TGGCCTCACAGAATGGCCATGAGGCGGTCGTGCGGCTTCTCATCGACAACGGGGCGGACGTCAACGCTCGGGACAGTTCTGGATCGACGGCACTGCTTTGGGCCTCACAGAATGGCCATGAGGCGGTCGTGCGGCTTCTCATCGACAACGGGGCGGACGTCAACGCTCGGGACAGTTCTGGATCGACGGCACTGCTTTTGGCCTCACGGAATGGCCGTGGGGCGGTCGTGCGGCTTCTCATCGACAACGGTGCGGACGTCAAGGCTTCGGATGATCCGAACACTTCGACGCAAGGAACGCCAGCTTGAAGCTCCTCGAAAAAAGCCTCGGCTGCACAGACCTCTCAAAGCTTCCCTTGTCGAGATGCTCATTCGCGAGACTACGAGCCGGGATGCGATCCTTCGATTCATGACCGTCGTCCACGCATGGCGAAGAGTTGGCGACAACGTTCGTGGACAGCTATTGCGGATCGGCGAATGCGACGAGTCTCACCGGCCAAAGGTCTTAGACACTCTAAGGACAGCTTTCCAGGAGAACTCCCAGCTGTTTCCCTTCCTGGAGATGCTGACTAGTGTTCACCTTGTACGGAGCCTCGAGCGTCGAATTACTGTCGTCACTGCAGAGGCGATCGACACACTCCTGGAAATTCGAGGACTTTCAGACACCAAGCAGGAGCGGAGGTTCATACGTAACGAACTCACTGTCTATCAGAAATGGGATCAGCTGTGTGGTAAAGCACCTACATACACCCTTGAGGGAATTCTCTGCTTTGTACCCCCTGTTTTCAGGGTCTATCAGGGAGTGACAAGAACGCAGGTCGAGCGTCTAAGCAGAGACGAGATTGCATTGTTCTGCTCTATGCTTCAAAAAGTGGAGTGTGTACAACGCTTGTGCGAGGTCGGTAGGGCTTTTCAGATGGGGATATTTGGGTCTGCGGAGTTTCAAGGGCGGCCATTTGAAGCTGAGCCAGAGAGGAAGCTGTCTACGCTTGATCTTGCGGATCTACTTCGGCTGCTTTAGCATTCTATCACCAAGGAGTTCACCAGCATTGCATTATCTGTCTTTCGAAGCTGTTGTGATCGAGAGTGGACGTGTATGCTTAGGGCGCACTAGACCTTTCGTTCACTATCTACCCCTTATAACTAAGGACAATGGTTACAATAGACATGGCGGGAAAGGTCTGTATATAATTGCAAGGTCGCCTTACACTTCGGACAGCCCCATACTGGGCATCTAGCCCGCTAACACTTGACATTAGCCTCTAAGACAGAAAGGCATAGGGAAGCGGTGGGATTTCTTACAAAGGACTCTTGGAAAACTCGCTGTTGGTAAAGGTTCTGGTTATAGTCTCCTTGAAGAAGCTCGTTCTCGGTTTGTTGCGAACATTGCCCCTTCGCTTCTCCCCTTTCGACCTTCCACATCGCCTCGCATGCCAGCTCGTACCAGAAGAACGCCCAATCTTGCCAGTATTGGAGCTCATTCTGCCCTGGCACTGTGTAATTCGAGCCAATAAACATTCCATATCGCAGTCTCGAGACGTCATGAGCAAGCAATTGGCGCGTTTTGACATTTGGCGCTCCACACGTTGGAGGCGCTAAGGTACCTTAAGATCTATATAAATCTACTATTGTTTATTAGATCTAAGGCTCTCCTTAAGTTAAATACTGTTGATTCTACTTATATTGCTAATCGTGAGGAACTGGCCCTATGGCGGAATGCAGATAGGCGTTTCATTATGTTATTGAGAAAGCTTGCAGAAAGAGAACTACTTGGGGTTATACCTTGCCCAGGGCTTCTTATATCCTGATGTCCCCCTCCCCCCTGATGTGCGCGCTCGGAGGTCGGGCACCTCCGACTCCACCTCCGAGCCGGGTCCGGGACATCTCCGCCACGTCAACCCAAGGCCATCGGCCACGATCCAACACTACTGCTCATGGCCAAGGCCTTGCGAGGGCATGGCCCTAGGCCTGAGCCCTTGACAAAGGATCGTATTATCTACCTCTATAACTAGGTTCTTCCAATATATGATTATAGTCTACATAGCGGTAATCGTCTAGATAACCTTATACTCTTCTTCCCTAAGGATAGGGCGCGCTATCTACAAAGTTTTGATATAATCGCGAAAGTACGACTGGATAATAATCTTTACCTCTGGATCGTCCTAGCAGAGATCTAGCCAGACCTAGCCAAAGTCCCACTTCTTATAGGTCTTAATAAAACTAAATTTATCGTTAGTAAGCTCTAATAGATACTTTCAAGATCATACAGCTATATTGACTGCTGTATACGAAACCGCTCGTCTTGTGCTTTCCGGTATACCACCCGCCTATCGTTAATCTCGGCCTCTAAGAATAGCTCATCGTCCTTGTCAGCTTTTCGTTGTCGCTCGCTACGGTCGTGTAGGCTGCCGGCGGGTTTATCGAGAACAACAGCGCAGCGTCTCCGAGACATCTATGCTTGATGGGTTGCGAGCGTTTTCTTCTCTTTTCTTCTTCTTCTTTTTTTTCCGCCCCCTGTACAAGAGGATATCGATAGGACGGTCGGTTTAGGGATTTGGATCACAGTAACCTAGCGTGCGACGCCGGCCCTCAGAAGGGAGGCCCGGCTTCTTAGCTGCGGCGTGTGGCCTTGAAAAATGGGCGGCACCCTGCGCCGCCGACAAGAACGGCGAGACGGCCATCTTAACAATTGACGGCGAGGTTAAAGCCGTTTTACGGCGTTTTCCCTTCTCCGCTAGATAAAATAGCGATCAGCAGTTTGACTAGGGGAGAGTGGACGGGATCCCGTATTTTCTACTGTCTATGGTTGTATGTGAAATGTGGTGGTTTATGCCTTCTTTAAGAATGAGCTTCGAAAGATAGTCCATTTCATAGAGGTTGCTGGTGAGCAGCTATTGAGTTCTAACTACAGCCGGAGGGCAGTAGGGACGGCAACACCCGACGAATAACAACAAACCGGACAAATTACCTATGCGCAGGCCAGTTGTTGGAAATTTGTTACTCGCACAAAAGGAACAGATGGAAATACAATTGCGTCCAGCGCGAGGCTTTCGGGCCCGCCGTCGTCTCGGTCGTCACCGCCGTTACGCCTAGCCCTCAACGGCTGATGACACCCCTCGGACCGTAATCCCAACATTTCAACCCGACTGGGGCATGCATAACCATAAAGAAGCAGGTGACTAAACTAGCCCGTTCGCCTGCCCACCAACGGATGATGGATCTGATCTGCTTCGTCTAACTGGTCAATGAGAAGAGCTAGGAAACCAACAGCCTCACCAGCAATCCCTGCACTCGGCCGCCCGCCGCGTCTGTCCACCCAAATGAACGGCACGGTGAGTCCACGACCTGGTTCTGCAGTGCGGGATCCCGTGTGGACCCGATGGGCAAGCTCCGTATTATTCCGTTGGATGAGGCTTGGGCAGGCGTTTCATTTCTGGGGATAAACGAACTTAACGAAGTGATGGTGAGAGATGGTTGGCGGGTTCGGGAACGGGTAGTCGGTGTGAGATTGCCATGGGGGGGAATAGATCGGGTACAAGTTGCTGCATATATCAAGTAGTAGAGGGTGTTCTTCGTTTGTTCGATGAGTTTGAGAGGATTGTGGTCCGCTGGCCGGGCTTTGTTGCGGCGTAAATTAATAACAAGATAGCGAGGATATGGTAGGCCCAGACGTACTCAAAGGGCAGGTTTGGTACTTGTTACTTGATGATAGTGTCGAGCTCAGTAGACCGATCCGACACAGGACCATATTACTCCTCCATCCCAGAATCATACCATAATTACTACTCCTATTCCCCAGATGTAAGGCAAGAACGTAGGTACAGTCTCGTGGATGGGGACATTACCGACGAATACTTCCAATTCGGCCAGAAGCAAACGCAACGGATTGACCGACATCTCCCTGCATCCGCCAGTCGCGCAGACCACAAAATGAGGCCTACCGCAGGAACAGTTGGTAGGTAGCGTGGTAGGCAAACGCAGGGCGGCCGGGCTGGTTTGAGAAGGTTATTAACAGTGCAGGGCGGAGCAGCAATGAGACCTGTCAACACGCTGGATGGCCCGCAAAGCGCGACTGGCTGGTCCTTCCTTTCGCATGCACCATGCACCTTTTGCCCCGGCCCCGGCCGCGATTTGACTTTTTTGTGTTTTTGCGAAGTTTGCACCAGCGGAATCGGCCTTTTTTATCTTCATTCTTTTTACTTCCCTGGTTGTTGCGTCTGCCGAAAACTCGGGAATACGCGATTCATTCTGGATTCCCCCAGAATCGCGGTTTTCCTCCGGGATACTTTTTCCACGCCGAATTTTGTTTTGGACCGGAAACCTTCAGGCTCGAGATGCCGCCGTCGTCAGGCAGCGCAATGGAGCGGGGCGTGCTAGAATACTTGGTCAACCATGTGTTTCTGCCGCCTAAAACACCCCAGGCGGATGACGAAGATGTTCACAAGGAGCATGCCATGATCCAGTCGGTCCTGGAGGGGAGCTATGAACTACACCGAAAATGTCCTAGGGAGATGGCTCGGCGGCTGGAGGGGGCTATCCGGATGCTGCAGCGTCTGGTCAGGATGCAGCCTGGTTTGGACGGCAAGAGTAAGAAAGCAGCGATGAGAGAGGCGATATGGGAACTGAAGGAGGGGGGTAGGTTTTCCGTCAGAGTTGACTTACCTGATGATCATTATCGTGCGCTAACTAACACAGCTTAGAACACGCTGTATTCTACATACGCGCCCAGAACGCCGGCATTCTCATGACCGGTCGCAAGGACGACATCTTGGTCGAGGCATTTGAGCTTCTTCCTCCCAACAACGCAGGCATGTCTTGCGCGGGACGCCTCATCAGGTCCTTCCCCGACTGCGCAGCCGCCGTGGACCGCGACATGATGCACAACCCCAAGTTCCTCGACCAACTCGTCAACCAATTCTATCTGCTCGAACTCTACGAGTCCCCTCTGGCGCAGCCAAAAAGCAACAAGTCCGGCAGCACACACGCGGAGGGACGGGACACCAACTCCCCATTCCTAGTCACGGAGATGGTGATGAGCACGCTGACTGGGCGCGGCCGGAAGGCTGTTACACCCCGGTGCATCACCAAGCAGACCCGGGAACAGACTGGTTGGGACAGCGATTTCGGGTCGTTTCACAGGTGCGCGGCGTGGCTGCTTTTGCGTGTGGGGCTACGTCTGGTGCTGGACCGCAGTGCGCCGCGCGATGAGAAGTACTCGCTGTACAAAGCGCTGATCGCTTTTTATCATGCGCATCTGGTGCGGGAGGCCATACGCGTTGGGTTGGATAGTGATCTTTGCTTTTCCATGGTTGCCAAAGTTGTTCGAAGGATGAAGAAACTGGGGTTGGAAAAAGGCACTGCCTGGGTGGATGGTGTGTGGGATGTTGTTGCGGCCGCGAACCAGGAGCTTCAGCGGCGGTGGACGAAGATACAGGAGAACAACGAAGGCAAGGCCTCCACGACCACACGGCTCGAAGACCTCGACTTTGAGAGCGACACAGAACTCCGGCTGCGTACCCTCGGCCCTCATGTGATCAAGATGCTTTCCCGCTCGACTGATGACAAACACCAGGCCGGACCAGGAGACATGAGCACGTGCTTGACATATCCAGCAGCCAACTTGCCCACATTCACAAAGCAAAATCCTGGCTCGTTTGATTTTCTCGAGTTAGAATCCTGGATTGAGAACAGCCTGGCCCACTGGGTAACCGTTAGCCTTAAGAATAGCTGCGGAAATAGCAGCAAAGCCATTTCCTACCTCCAGCAGCTCCGGGACCTCATCGACAATTACTACGGGGAGGCCTCCACTGCGTACGCCGGAATCCCGGAAGCGTTGTCTTGCATGTATCTCAACATCATGGACCTGTGGGTAGCCCTGGACAAAATTGCGGGCCAGGCTGTACCCTTACTGCTGGAGTACGACCCGGGTTTCACGCGTGACATTCTCCAACATCTTCTCCTACCAACCCGGGCCCAGATGGAACGACTAGATGCCATCGAGACCTACCTCCTCCAGCGCCGCAACGGCCCATACCACCACGCATTCGCCCTCATCGGCCACCGCGCCTCCTTCGCGAACCGCTTCTTTGATTCCTCTCGAGACCACCAACAGAAGCTCACGGCGATGCTCAAACAGCTCGACGACGCCCAAGCCCAGCGGATCAAGGAATACCACGCGATGCGCAGTAAACATAGGTCACTCACATCCAAGCGTAGCAACGTCGACCACAACAGGATACGCAAAGGACGCAAGAAAAACACGTGCGTGGAAGACTGCGAAGCCTGCGCCCTTGACCTCCAGATTTCCGCCCTCTGCATCGACATCTTCGAGTACCCCCTGCCAACCGATTCCAACCTCTGTAAAGCCATCACCTTTGAGATCAACGTGCCCCCCGTCGTGTCTCGCTGGCGGAACGTTACAGCTACGCTATTCCACACCATCTTCCGCAACCCAGGTACGCTAGAGACCAAAAGCAAGGAGAAGATCTATCCGGCCGCCCAGCACTCCGGCCTGGCACGGTTTGGCCCCACAACGAGTCATATACAGCTGGCATCGATGACCAAGCCGCTGGAGGCGTCACATTACCGGAGTAAGCACATCAGCACGCTGATGACGGAGGATGCGGTGTGGGAACGGCCGCCGTGGAGGAATTATGATTATTTCCATGCGGAGGGCAAGATTATGTACCGGGATCTGTTTGCGGATGCTACTGTGCCTAGCCGATGTTCGTTCGCCAAGCACCAACTCGAACAACAAGACACAAGGAACTTGCTGGTCTCATGGACCCGCACAACGAACCATACCTCCAACGAGGTCATCGCCTCCCAAGCCTCCTGTCCAACCGATTTGTCACTGGCTGAATTCCGCGCCCTAGGTCATCTGCGTGCCGACAGCCGGCTGCAGTGGGCGAATGTACTCTGCCAGCTGCGCATGCCGGCTGTGGACTGGAATGCGTTGGGGACGGCATGGGTGGTGCTGCAGGCGTGTTTGGAAGTGGGACCTACTTTGTCTTCCCTTTCTTCTCCGTCTGATGAAAACAGAGGAGGTAGGGGAGAGGAGGTACAGAGAGAGAGGGAGAGGGAAGAGAGGATATTTAGGGAAGCACACCAAGATCTGCGCAGTGAGACGTTTCTGTCAGAACTTACGGCCGCGCTGGACGCAGCGTTGGGGAGGGTACAAGAGAATTGGCAGAATGATGTCGCGGTGTGTATGCTGGTGTGTATTGCGACGCGGGTTCTGTCGCTCACCGGTACCACTGCCAGCAGCACCACAGCCGGCACCACTACTTCCACCGTAGATTCATCGCCAGCATCGCCGCCCCCGCCGTCATCTTCCTCATCGTCATCGTCATCATCGTCGTCGTCGTCATCGCCGTCATCGCCTCTCATCACCAGCGCGTCACCCCTACAAACCAACCTGCTATCTTTCCTATCCCGAGCGAGAACGGTCACCTTAGCCTGGGCACGCAACCTCCGCTCAGAACGCGCAACCCGCAGCGACGAGACAGAACGAACAGACCTAGGCCGACGCGCGTTGGTGGCTGCACTCACCTGCTTGGGAACGTTTGATGTACACCCTGACCTGCTGGATGACCTGGTCAGAGAGGAAGACAACATGGGCGCGTTGGTCGAGGCCGCTGTCATCTCACAGGTGCATTTACCAGCTGAGGCAAAAGGGCTCGAGCCTGTGTTGCGGCTGTTGGTGCGCCGCTGGCGGGGCATTATGCACCGAGGGATGGATGCCCTCACGAAAAGGATTGTGAAGACAGACTGTACCGGCTTCCACAATGCCATCAAGATGTTCTGGACAGAGTATTCCACCTCAGGATGGACGATACTGCCCGGAAGTCAGCGCCATATCGTTCAGGCCGAGGTCGGTCGGGATGATAACCGGAAGATTGGCGTGACGTTTAATCTGCTCGAGGGCAGGTTGTTGGTCAACGGGTTCCCGTTCTCACGGCTGCCGGCCGAGTATGAGATGGCGTCGGCGTACAATGAGCTGTTTGGGACGGACGTGCTGGAGGTGGTGCCGTCGCAAAGGCAGGGTATGCGTTTTGTAGGGTCGAGGAGGAGGAAGAGCTGGGAGGTTCATTTTGCTATGGATGGGGGAGATCTGGTGATTCGGGCGTTTCGGGGTGTTCGTACAGAGCACAGGAAAGAGCAAGGGGATGAAGAAGGGTGGGAGTTAATTCCCTCGAAGCAGTTTGCAGGCGACCTCCCGGCCTCGTTCGTGCACAACTACTCGCACTGGCTCAACCTGGCGACGAACGAGATTGAGTTCCGACCGATTGATACCCCATGGGTGTCATCTCCCGAGACGAACTGGATCTTGACATCTTTGTCTCGACGACGTCGAGTTCTTATCAAGGACGGAACGCAAGTCATCGAACCGTCTAGCGCAACAGCTACGGCCCTGCTGTCAGCCCTGTGCCCCATCGAGACTTTACACCACCTGGACATTATCTACCATCCTTCCCAATCCGCCCAATCCGCCCAATCCGCCCAAGCAAACCAACCACCCCGTGTGGTCGTCGACCTCCCGCGTTTCTCCCTCACCTTCACCCTTGACCACGGCGCATCCGTTATCCAGTCCAAAAACTACGCCAGCATGGCCTTGGACACTAACCGCAGCGCTGGGACTCTGATCGGCCTACACAGCAAACTCGTCCTCCAAGAACAAAACATCCACCCCCCCTGCACCCCGCGCCGACTGGTGCTCGTCCCCCGACAACCCATGCTTACATGCACACACGACCACCACGTTCACGTAACAGCCGACAATACTTCAGATGGAGTCAACATCCGCATTAAACACTCCACCTTCACCATCGACCCCCTTCTCGGCCGGCTCGTCCCTACCGGGTCCCTCTCGAGCCGGTTGACCCTGTGCTACTTGCACGCGATAACTTCACATTGCCTTCCTGACCCTTTGACTGGTCGTACAGGCACGGAGGAATCCCTGCGGATCCTGCGCTCGGCGGCGGTGAAGTCGTTCGCGCGGCTGGATGGGGAGTCGCTAGGGTTGTTGCGGTGCATCGCTGGGGTATCGCCCGTGAGGAGGTTTTACCCGGAGCATAAGCAGGATATGGAGCAGGTGCGCTGGGATAAGCGGTTGCCGGTGTTGAGCCAGCATGAGGCGTTTGAGGGGGAGGTGGAGGGGATATTGGCGCATGCGAGGGATTGTGAGCTGTTGTGGCAGGGGGAAGAGGAGAACAGCGGGGGACTGGGTGTGACTGGGTTGGTGTTGGCGTCGTCTAAGGTGTCACATCCGTTCTTGGTACAGAGGGCCAAGATCAGGAATGCTGTGTTTCGGGTGTCGGAGTTTGGGGCAGAGGAACATACTACTGCGTTGGACGGGAAGTACGGCGGGAGGAAGTGTACATCCACATTCCCATCTACAACCACGGCCTTCAAAAACGCCACGATGGTAACCAAGCGCCTCTGGGCGGGCACAGCCGCCCCCCTTGCCCCCCCGGCTGACACATTGCGACAGGTCATCCTTGATTTTACCACCAAAAAGTTCGGTGGAAAGGCCTGCACACCAGTCAACCTGACCTTCACCATGGACCACCTCGAACCCCTCAACAAAGTCCTCAGCGGGCAATGGTACGGCCTCTGCGCCGCTCTCGCAGCGACGAGATCGGAAACAGACCCCAAACCGTTCCAGCTAGCCTTCTTTCTGTCCGCCCTGCTGCACGCCAAAGCAGCCTCCTGGGAAATGGTACAGCTGCTCATGGTCCTAGGTAACCTCCCCCCCGACTCGCCGATACACCAAAAGTTACTCCACCCGCCAGACGAACAGTCCTTCAACCTCAACTACAGCCGGTCCTCGCTCGAGAGCAAGGTCCGCGGAATCGTCCACACACATGCTAGACCGCTATCTAGCTGTCCCGAGGCGCGCTTAGTGCGCGAGGACAACGAGAGCAAGAACGCGGCCAAGCGCCGGCGGGCTGAGGCATGGGGGAGCGCCTCGACCAGCGCACAAGATCGTTTTGTGGAGGACCTGAAGAAGCAGTGGGTTAAAGGCTGGCAGGTGGAGCGACCGACGGGTGAGGGGTACGAGGTATATCTGGATACGTCCGTGATAATGCCCAGGGTGCATGACGCAGTGGATCTGGCGCGACGGACGGAGCGGTGGGAGTGCTATTTGGATGGGCTCGTGCGGGAAATGGGGAATCTGACGGTGACGCCGGGACGACCGGTTGAGATTGAGGACCTGTCGGAAGATGACCCGGCGTATGCGCCGCGGGTAGGCTTTGTTCGGGCCGACAGTTTGTTTACCTCTGCTTCTGCCCCCGAGACTCAGCGGCCAGTGCCGCGGGGTATACTTGGTGGGAACTACAACAACAGCGTACAGCTCGATGACAGCCCCTCGCTGGATGGTTTGTTCGCCCGGCTGGAGCACATCGCGGGGGACCAGCCGTATCAGAGGGATTATATCCGTGAGTTGCGGGCGAGCTACACTGGACGCCTGACGCAGGGAGTAACTCCCTCGACAGAGATGGACATCCCCATGGACGCAGACCTGGACCCAGCAACAAACCCGGAAACCTACTTCCTCCACTGCCAGAAAGAAACCTCTACCATCTACCAGCTGATTAACAACGCTCTAATCGCCCTCAACCCCCTTGATTTCCGGTCCAACATCCACCCACGCCTCACTCCCCTCTTTCTCTTGCAGAACCTCGCCCACGACCACTGGCCGCGTTTGCCGCAGCCTTGGAAGGCCGCTCTCGTTCACTATGCCCTATCACTAGTATACCTCCAGCGGGCCGAACGGATTCTACGGGCGGCAAGGGGCAGTGAGGCTAAGAAGGCGGACTTGAAGAGGGAATTGGGGAGCTGGGGGAGTCATGAACACTTTGTGGAGGCTTTGCAGCCCTCGCAGCCTTCACAATGCTCACAGTCTTCAGAGTCCTCGGAGGGATCTTCACAAGACAGTCTTCAGAGTGAGGAACAGGGTTGGGAGCAGGCCCCGGAAGATTTGCTGCTAGAAGTCGAACAGGGGATACTCATTCGGCCTGTGCAGCGGTACATTGCGGCTCAGATGCGCTCTCCGTTTTCTGCTGTGACAGACAGTCCCCCTTCCTCAGCGTCATCCTCTGACTCGGACTCAGACTCCGACTCCCACGCAGATAATGACGAACGAGGAAATATAGAAGCCCCCAACGCCGTCATGCAACTCAATATGGGTGAAGGCAAGTCTTCCGTGATCGCCCCGCTCGTCGCCGCCTCGCTGGCCGACAGGACCCGACTGGTACGCGTGGTTGTCGCCAAACCGCAGTCGAAGCAGATGTGGCATACACTTGTTGGCACGCTGGGCGGACTGGTGGGACGGAGGGTATTCTGTTTGCCTGTGTCACGGTCTTTGGATTTGTGTTCTTCTTCCTCTTCGTCGTCGGCAGGGGGCATCGCCGTCATTAGGCGGGTGCTAGAGGCGTGTCAAAGGGAAGGCGGGGTGCTGCTGGTGCAGCCGGAGCATTTGTTGAGTTGGCGGTTGATGGGGGTCGAGGAGGTGTATTCTGCGGATACTGACTCTGATAAAAATACCGCGTCCGAGATCCTGAACGTCTACCGTAAATTCGAAGACGCAGCCCGCGACATTGTCGACGAGAGCGACGAAAACTTCAGCGTCAAGTTCGAGCTGGTGTACACCATGGGCCTGCAGCAGCCCGTAGACATGAGCCCCGACCGGTGGACCCTAACCCAGAACCTGCTGGACGTCGTCGTCGACGTGGCCCGAAATCTTAAGTCTCACGAACCTGGTCTCAAGGGCTTGCTGGTCGAGGAACTGCCCGGCAGCAAATTCCCCACGCTCCGCATCCTGGAACCATCCGCCGGCATCCGCCTTGTCACGGCCATCGCCGAACACATCTGCCGCGGCGCCGCCAGCCTCCGCGGCTTCTCCACCCCCCATCAGCTCCCACACCACATGCAAGAGGCCATTTTACAATACGTCCTCTCTCCGTCCCCTACCCTATCCCAAATCACAACCGTCGAAAGCCTCTTCACCTCCTCCACCACCAAATCCACCCTCCTCCTCCTCCGCGGTCTCCTCACCCTCGACTCGAGCATCCTCAACTTTGCCCTCGCCCAAAAGCGGTACCGCGTCCACTACGGCTTGGCACCCGGTCGCCTGCCCGCAACCTCCTTAGCCGTCCCCTACCGCGCCAAAGACGCCCCCGCGCCACGTTCCGAGTTCAGCCACCCGGACGTTGTGATAGTTCTGACCTCTCTCAGCTATTACTACAAGGGTCTCACCGATGATCAGTTGTATGTCTGTTTTCAGCGACTGGCCCGGTCAGATGGGGCGGAGGATGAATATGCCCGTTGGGCGGCTGCCGCACCCCCTGAGTTGCTAAGCCCAACACTGAGGCATTTCTCGGGGGTCAATTTGAAGGATGAGACGCTCTGTCGGGGGACTGTGTTCCCCGCGCTGAGGTTTGCTAAGCCGGTGGTTGATTATTATTTGGCGGGGGTGGTATTCCCCAAGGAGCTGCGAGAGTTTCCGAAGAAGTTGTCTGCCTCGGGGTGGGATTTGGGAAGAGCCAAGAAACATCCATTGACGGGGTTTAGTGGGACAACAGATTCCAAGTATGTCCTGCCGCTGTCCGTGCGGGCGCTGGATTTGGAGGCGCAGCGACACACGAACTCGGCGGTGTTGGCATGTTTGCTAAGAGGGGAGAATCATGTGTTAGAGCTGGGACTTGGAGAGACGATGACGGAAAGGGACGATGAGCAGTTGGCGTCGTTGACGGTGGATATGCTCCTGGACGCGGTCACGTCTTCTTTTTCGTCTGCCCAGCCGATGCGGGTGATCTTGGACGTCGGCGCGCAGATTATTGAGTTGAGCAACCTGGAGGTGGCCAAGCGCTGGATGGATCTGGTGCCGGTGCCCGATGCCGACGCTGTCATCTTCTTCAACGACCACGACGAGCTGTCAGTTGTCACGCGCGATGGAGCCGTTGACGCCTTTTTGACGTCTCCCTTTGTCACACAGACCGATCGCTGTCTGGTGTTTCTTGACCAGGCGCATACCAGGGGAACGGATCTGCGGTTGCCGGATGAGTATCGCGCTGCTGTTACGTTGGGGCCGGGGGTCACCAAGGATACGCTTGTGCAGGGTATGTTCTATTACCCCTTTCTGTCTTACCCTTTTCTGTATTGTTCCTTCAAAGTTGATGCTGACAATAATTAACAACCCAGCTTGCATGAGGATGCGCAAACTTGGCAAAGGCCAATCCGTAACCTTCTGCGTCTCGCCCGAGATGCAAAAGCGCATTCGCGCCCTCGCCTCTGTCCAAACCACTCGCCCCCTCACCGTCACCGACATCCTGGTGTCCGCCATCGCCGAGACCTGGGACGACGTCCGCCGCAGTCTGCCCCTCTGGGCCACACAAGGTCTCCGCCACCAGCATCAGGAAGTTGTCTGGGAGCGGATCCTGCGCACCGGTCAGCTTTCGACCAAAGACGTGCAGGACTACCTCGAGGACGAGGCTCAGACTCTCGAGGCACGTTATCGGCCTGTTCCTCAACGCCAAACTCAAGATCAAGAAGACCAAGAAACCACCAGCGCGACACCGTCCGAAAGTTTATCCCACAAACTGTCCTCCGCCACACATCTGAAAAGCCGCACGCACCAAGTCACCCAAATCCGGAACCGCTGCATCTCCTTCGGCGGCCTCGCCACCCTCGACACAACAGGCGCCCTGCAAGAAGAGCAAGAACGCGAACTAGCCCCCGAAATCGAGCGCGAGCGCCAGGTCGAGCGACCTCCCCCCCAAACCCCGGCAAAACACAACCTTCACCCGGGCGTGCGGTCCTTCGCGCTGACCGGCGTGTTCCCCTCTGAGAGTAGCAAGGCGTTTATCCCCGCGTTCCACAGTCTCGCTTCTACCAGTGCGGCACCCCTGATGCGCTCGGGCGGGCGTTTCTTCTTCCCTAGCGATTTGCTCGCGACGGCGGATTTCGCTACCACTATTGTGCGCCGCACCGGTGATGATGCATCGTGTTCGGATGTGTACCAGAGACCGGTGCAGTGGGTGCTTACGCAGCGGGTCCCGAACAAGATAGGAGGTATCGCGGGCGGCATGCGCATGGTGTTGGTGAGTTCGTGGGAGGCTAATGAATTAAAGCCTTTGTTAGAGGCTGCACATGCCCGGGCTTCACTTTCGTCCTCAGCCTCAACATCAACATCCACAACACATCCATCATCAGTCACATGTTTACCCCCGCATAAAAAGGTCAAACCCCCGAAATCCCTCCTATCCTCTTCCTCAGCACCGTCCCAAGCGCCACACCCCGTCTTTCTCCGCGCGTACCTCCCGCGCTCCAGTCTCGCGTACCCGTCTCTCGAGGACCTGACGCTGTACACTATTCCCCACACCAGCCCAGCGCCGCAGATGGGAATACAGCAAGGGGACATGGGAATACCACCCAGCCTGTTACGGGCTCAGCTGAATTTGTTTGCGGGGCAGCTGTATCTGCGGTCGTACGCCGACTACGTTTGGCTGTGTACCTACCTCGGTTTGTCGTATCGCGCGAATGATCGCAAGGTTGAGGGAAACCACGATGAAGAGCAGGACGGCAGCAGCAGCAGTGACACTAGCAGCAGTGGCAGTGCAGGAACAGGAATGATCGCGAGAGCAGACGGCTTCGTCGGCCGCTTCGGTGGCCCAATGTACGCCCGGTATTGTCCGTTTCAGACCAGCCCTGTTGGCTTCCTGGCGGTGTTGTACAAGCGCGTGAGACGGGATTGTCTGGATATTGAGAGGACACATATGGGTCGGATACTAGCGGGGGATATTTTACGGGAGAAGGATTTTGAGGGGGTTTCTGGCTCGTTTGATGAGGAAGAGGAGACAAAGCGGAAGAGGTGATGAAAGGTGGGGCGGGAATGGAATGAAGAATTAGGAAGGGAAAGAGGAGAAGATGGCGGGAAAAGGAGGATGGAATGAGATGTCGGTCTGTGGTAATTAAATGTAAATCCATTGTAAGAACGGGAACAAATGAACAACTGTACAAACTTCATTGCTGTCAAATACACGGTAAGTTCTGCAACGAATGGATTCTAATACCAGGTACCGAACCAGGATGGGTGTTTGGTAATTACAAATACGTGCACCGCCGCTTCCTCCAATGCCCATATTCGGCCTTTGACTAAATTGACTTTCGCTAGAAACAAGCCGCGAGCCTCAACAACGCACGCAGGCCATTTGAGAATTCAGACTCAGGGCTATCTTGTTCACACATTGACTCTCATCTTCGGCTCCCACGTCACCATGGCCCCCAGCAAGACGCGCACCCCTTCTCTACCCGCGCCCGCCCATGTTGCGGCCATCGCCCCGTTCCCCGGCACCACATTCGCCAAGTCTCACCCCACCACACTGCTTCCTTCGCCAGCCGACATCAGAGCACGCAACAAAGCGACTGGCCATCCCAAGGCAAATAACGCCAACCGACCTCCGCCAGTCAGCGTCCCCGAGCTCGGGCTGCTCGTCAAGTATGGGACCAAGGTCACGCGGACCGAGGTCGAGACCCAGCGCTACGTCTACCAGCAGCTGCGGGGCCGCGTCCCGGTGCCCGAGGTTATGGGCTGGGCCGAGGACGCCGGCCAGGGCTTCATCTACATGGCCCTGGCCAACGCCCCGACCCTGGCGGCGCGCTGGACCCGCCTGACAGAGCCTGAGAGGCAGGTCATCTGTAGAGAGCTCAAGGGCATGGTGCAGATGTGGAGGAGCCTGAAGCAGGATCCGAGAGAGGTCTACATTGGTGAGTAAGGCCACGTCAAAAACGCAAATAAAAAGATATACTGACGCGTGATCAGGAGCTGTTGGCAAACGGCCGCTCAACGACATTATCGTGAAAGACAGAAGCCACCTCTACGGCCCCTGGCCAGGAAGCGGTGCGGTGCGAGCCTTTCAGAGCGCCTGCGACATTGACATCGCCGGCCAGATACCCATCATCTTCACTCACGGCGATCTCGTCGCCTGCAACATCCTCGTGACGCAGGGGCCAAACCCAAGGGTCGCTGCCGTCATTGACTGGGCCCAGGCTGGGTGGTATCCGTCGTACTGGGAGTGGTGCAAGGCGAAATGGGTCATGATGACTGACGACAACATGGATGACGCCACGCAGGAGCAATGGCGGCAGCGCTACCTACCGCTGGTGGTCGAGCCGCTTCCTGACAATACCGTCTACTACCCATGGCTTCGGTTTTCGCTTGCTAATTTCTAAGCATGAACCGGTATTGGGAAGAAATAGGCGTTGAAACTAGTGGCTTCCATTTGCTAGGTTGTCTCTGCACCGCTGCGCTAAGCCTATTCAAGAGAGTGAGTGAACTCCTGCGTCAGTATAGATATCCTTCCATATCTTATCCACCTGCTTCTAGAGCCAGGGCGTCGCTGCTTCTGCGGCTCTTGTCTCAGCGGGAGACGCCATGTCAATGAGAACTTGCGGCCACACTCCGATATATCGCGATGTCACTGCTCCCGGTCAAACTTCCCAGAAAAAGCTCTAAGAATTGCATCAGAACGGTCCTGGTGCGGGATATTTCAACATTTGGGACGCAAGGGCCCCGTTGACCATATATCCATTGCCTCCGTGCGGGGTTAGCTGCGATGCTCCCCAATGATTACCGCAGCGGGGCTCTCTAGGGGGGAGGAATCATTCCTTGAAAAGTTTTGATGATTATGTACGGAGGTCTGGTAGATGAATCTAGTCAAAACCGTTATCGCCCTACAACACTTGCGTTAGATTCATTTTTCGCACCAACCGAATTGCATTGAGGAACCGATTCTTTAATCGAATGTATCTCGACTCGACCAGTCAGCCAAACGCATTACCTCGATAACTAACCCTAACCCTACACCTCCTATAGTACTTCTTCTGTTCAATTCAACCTTCGACTTAACCTCAAGTTTGACCTTCGATTTAAGCTTCGATTCAATCTTTAATTCAATCTTAAATGTATAGAAGGCTCGCTCCAAAAAACCTGGCCCTATTGCAATAGTGGGCTAGCTCCTCATTCTTAAGGATGTCTGGAGTTAGGGTTAGGGTTAGGGTTATTTAGGTGTATTATCGTTTAGCATTTGACCTTCGATTCAACCTTCGATTCAATCTTCGATTCAATGTTCAATTAAATCTTTAATGCGACACTTTCTCGGCTGACCGACCCAATTTCGGGTGGTTACAATCGGTTTGGAAAATATTCGTATAATTAATGTGAGTTGTGGTGGGGCGATAATGGTTTTGACTGGATTCCGTCTGGGTCTAGCAACATCGCTGTATCCATGCCCGGCGTGTTGAAAAGCGAAAAGTACACACTCTTGCCGCGGTACCGGTGGTTCAGCCGTTACAGACCGACGGAGCGCCCCGACCGACCGAGGCAATAGGACAAAAGACAATCGTTCCTTGCTGTAGCAACTGGTGACTACCCCTATAAACTGTCTGACAGAAACGCCGCATAATATCCTAGGGAACCTCAAAGGGACAGAACCCTCGAAGCTTCGCCTCCATGAACTCCGGTCAACAAGCTCTGCTCAAGATCAACATCTGTTGCCGGGATGCCCCACAAGTTCCGCTGCCTCCGAGTAGGATTTGTGACCAAGACCTTAAGCACCAATCCTCCGTTTCTTACCCGTGCCTCCTCCACAGCCTGACATAGAAAGCGCATCGCTATCTGCATGCCATCGCCCCTGAGTTCAGTGTCATACCAACATGCACCGTCGATCATGACAAGGACAACACAGGGCGACGAGATGTGCTGTAGGATCGTGGAAAATATCGAGCAGGTCGTGGTCAGGTCGTTCATCGTCAGTCTTTGCATAGTCTGCTGGGCATCTCCGGGGATCGGGAGAGAGAAGAGGCTTGTATCCCCAAATGCCTGGAGCAGCTGCAGCGCAAGGCCGCGCATGATGCCATCTCCGCCCTCGAGCGAGTCCCCATCAGCGGTATGCAGACCGCAGAAAAATGTCAGCGGGAGCATACCCGGCACAGACATAGATTTCGACAGCAAGGCGCAGAGATGGCTGGACGTGGAGAGAGAGTTGTTGCTTTCCAGTGCGCTGTCGTCATGGAGGATGACGAATTGGGAGTTCAGAGCTCTCAGCCATGTCGAGAATGCGCTGTCCCTCATCAGTAGGCCCAGCTGATTCTCACCAAAGTGGGTTGGAACGATTCCCAAGGCTGATTGTACATCCGCCACGAGGTCTGGCATTAGATCTCTTGCCGATGGTCCCGTTTCAACCCTCCACTTGGTGAAGAGTAGCTGGCAAAGCTGAGTGCTTGGTATCGACAGAGAAGGGAACTGCGGGCCGGCCATCTGGACTGATGCTTGTGGAGGGGGGGCGCCTCCCTGGACGTTCACGAAGTGCAGTGTTTGCACCACGGTCGGGGCTTGCGCCTCTCGCTTCTGCTCTTCTAGTAGAGATTTAATGTCTTGGCTGATGTCTTTCGCCATTCCCGCGAGATAGAAGTATAGAGTCTCCATGGTCCGGAAATTGCGGTTAGTTTGGGCTTGAAAAGTCTGGATATTGTGGTCAATTTGCTGCACACGCTTCTGCAAGCAAATAAAGACCAGACCCTCGAAGGATTTAGCAGCATTATTGACTTCCTCCACGGCGGAGTCTAGATCCGACTGATACTCGTCCTGTTTGAAGAAGGCCTTGAACGATTCGACTGCACTCGGCGTTAGGCGATGCTCAAAGCTGGAACGGGTGCTGGTAGGGTCGTAGCTCACGAGCACTTGACCGGTCGAGATACGCGACCGCATACCGAATGAAGTTCAATATTGCCATATACAACTTTTCAGACCGGTCCCTCAGTTCTAGGTCTTGTCGGTACATCCTGATCTCGTCCGTTCTGAACGCCACCGTGTCTGAAATGCTGTCCAGCATGTTGAGTATGGTTTCGCGAACCTCTTTCTTACGCTGCGCCGTCTGTAGGTCTAGGTCAGGATGTGCAACCGTACCTCTCAAAGACGAGTCAAAGACTTACCTTGCATAGCAACCTTAGTCCCCCAGCCAAGAGGCCACTGTAATCGCCATCGGGCAGAAGCTCAATCAAGAACTCAATACGGCGAGCCACCGCGCCGCCAAGCTTGTCGGCTGCCTCGAAGGGGTTGCGCCAGTTCTTTCTCCTCTTCTCATGCTCGTCTAGTTTGTTATACGCCTCAGTGGCTTCGTTCTTCAAGTTGTCCCAAGATCGGGAATCGAAGGCTTGGGTGGCGCCCTTGTCCTGGGCACTGTTGAGGAACTCGCGCATCCCCTTCAAGAATTCATTGGCACAAATCTGAAATCTTGAGCACTTCACGTGTTAACTTCCAATCATGACCTCAAGAAGGGAGACAACAGACTCACTCCTTAGATGGGGGAAGGCACGCTGGTACCGGTGGGGCCGGATCATGGATACGTCCGTGTTGCTCAGCAAACTGCCTCGGCAAGACGTCAAGCAGTCTGGGGTCCGGGTTTTGCCAGGGCTCAGCAAATTGGCCAGCTTTGTTAGTAGAAAGGAATTGCGAGACGGCATATAATTCGCTCATTGTCGTTTTCCGCTACGCTGCGAGTCAAAACGAGTCCCGACTATGTTTGCGTCGGGTGGAAGTTATCTCTCGGAAATCTTCCTTGCCGTGTGACAGTCAAAGGTTGGGTTCTGACCAGGGGGTTTTGGGCACTGGGAGTCGGGCATTATCGCGTCAGGGGCAGTGGCGTTGGTTGGAAAGTTCATCCATATTGCTTCGGATTTGTGGCGTCGGCTCAGCAGGTTGGTCAAGACTGATACATGAAGCAAAGCCTTGTTGCGCGTTCAGCTGACACCACACCTCTTGGGACAGGCCATTTGATAGGTTTGGTATCATCTCCATGTGCCCGCATTGCATCTAGACATGCAGATCGCAGCCTACTGCATCGTTGCCCAAACCTTTGACCGGCAAGCCTTGGTTCTGCCGAGGCAGCTGAAAGCTAGATGCACGCCATCTATTGGTATGTTGATCTTCCACTAATGTCGGCGGCAGAGGTTGACCGACATGCTGCGTATTAGGAGACACCGATTCGTGACACGCAGACCACCAAGAGTGCCATCAATGCAGCTTGCATGAAGCAGCGCGAGCCGCGCGAGCCGCGCGACAGACCCTTCCAGGTCTCCGTCCCCACTTGAAGATAATACTCCCAATGACCCTGCGACAAACTCAGCGGAAGTGGCCTGTTGTCCCTGGACTCTGTTTGTAAACATATCCACCCCTTCGACTCGAATCTCTTCCCCATCTCAACTCAGTTGCAGATTTCCAAGTCCTGAATTCAAGATGTGGAAAAAAAACAAACACAAGGCCCAGGCCAAAGCTGAGGCAGTGGTGCAGCAGTCAGCAAATGGATCGAACACGCCACGCAACCACGACGACATGTTGGCACGAGAAGAAGCAGTGAATAATCGGGAGAAATTGGTGCAGAGAATGGGCGACGATAACCGTAAAAAGGTGGATGAAATTGCGAAACGGGAAACGCAGGTTGATGAGGCCGAAAGGGAAGCCGCTAAAAAAAAGGAGGAGGCTATCAAGAGGGACGAAGCCGTGATGAAGAAGGAAGAGGCCGTTGCGCAACGCGAGGAGAGCGTCAAAATGAGAGAGCAAGAGCTAGCGCGAAGAGAAGCAGAGATTGCGATGAGGGAATCGGCGACACAACAGGAAGCCGAAACGATGGTGGGGATGGAGCGGACGACCGAAGCAGACGAAAAAGACAACGATGAGGCAGCAATTACAAGCGACAATGAGTCAGATGAAATGAGCAGTCAGAAGCTCCGATTTTGCACTGGGAAGTTGATATTCGTGTCCTGGAATGAAGCTGAGAGTTTACAAACTCCCGATGCAACCCACGCGGCTGTTGAGATTTCACTGAGCCGACCGAGCCATGGCAACTTTGCAGACATCTCCGACAAGACGGCAGGACGCGACCAGCCACAAAAAAAAGAACCGCCGCTGGAATCAGCAAAGAATGCATCCAAGAGACCGTTCCAGAGACGTGGCTGTCAGAGCGGCGACGCGGACCCTCTCGACGAGCTCCCCGACCGAATCCGAATCTGCTCCTTGCGCCTCGGGGTATATATGGACTACAACATCCACGACGGAACCTTGAACCGCGATACGGAGAACGTGACCCCCTATACCATTCGCCGGCCGTTCAAAATCCTGGTGGAGAAGGAATCTGAGATCCGCGATGGCTTGGACGAGATGGAAAAGGTTCGACTGAAACGCTTTCCGCACGCGACCGAGGAAGACCATGAGCACAGATGGCAGGCCAATATGCCCCAGGACATGATTGAGCCAAAGCGGTTTGACCCAAACAGTGCCAACCAGGAGGAGCTTACAGCGATGATCAACGACCTGCGATGCCTAGTGAAGTTCATGGATGGATACATCACTCCAACCCTGCGACATATTGGCTCATCGCCTCAAGTCTACTTCTCTGATCTGTGGTTTGTTTTCCCTGCCCGCTCTCTTCTCTACGTCCGGGACAAGGAAGTTCCCCAGAAGGTCTGGAAAGTCATTCAGCGCACAGGGGCAACCCGCGACAAAACTGCGCCACCACCGACGAGCAAGCGCGGCACGGAGCGAACGCACGGCTTCTTACCGTTCTACATCGACTGCTATCATCTCGACCACGACGGAACACGGTACATCCCAATGTTCCGCCAGATCAAAATCGAATACTTTGGGGGCTGCCAACCGCTTTCTTCGCTGCCTGTCATCCCGTTGGATGTGGCCCAAAGACTCGACTACATCGACACACAAACCTTTCTGCGGCGAGGCAGAGAATTTGTGCAGTGCACTACGCAACCAAGACACAAGCAATACACTGGCCGTAACCAGGTTAGTCGCCCTAACGGTGCCAAGCTGCACGATAAAGGCGCCGATGTCCCCGAGAACGCCACGCGGTACGCCGAATGGATCGAGAGCGAAGTCATGATCGACTTTCAGCGAGCGCTCCAGGAGATACCCAACTGGCGGCCCAAGACCGGGGAGTTGGAGCTCTTCAAATCACCCGGGCATCCGACAGACTACTGCGGATTTGATGATGACACCCCCTGGGACAACAAGGTGTCGGATCAGGTTATGGACGAGGTGTGGGAGCAGGGCGAGGTGTGGCACAAGAGGCGAACGCATCCGTCCGACGAGGAGGACCTGTTACTGTTACCTGAAAGGGTATTCGGGTTCGTGTTTCGAACAAGGAAATGGGGTGAGTGCATGATGGTGTCTTACGACATTCTAAAGATTCATGATTGCTGATGTGTTGTCTCCCGCAACTAGCCTGCCTCCGAATAGGCACAGACCATGATGGCGGGGAGACACTCAGGGACAAGACACGCCGTGACAAGCCATGGAATGACCTCCAGTTGCCGGACGGTCATAAGCGGTTGGTGGAGTCCTTGATTGAGTCGCATTCGTCTGTGAAGGGCCATCGAGGTTTGCACTTTGACGTTGTCAGAGCCAAGGGTATGTTGCCGGGTTGGGGTCTACTTTGTGTCACCTCCGTCAGCTGGAGCGAGGCAAAAACTAAACTAACTCTTTTTACACTACTAGGCAGGGGTGTCACTATCCTATTGCATGGGGTCCCCGGTGTGGGCAAGACTTCCACGGCAGGTGAGGAGAAAGGACAACAAGTTTAGACTTTGCCACCCTTTTTGCTAATAACGCGTTTAGAATGCGCTGCCGAAGCTAACAAGCGGCCCCTGCTCCCTATTACCTGCGGTAAGTTCAAAGCATTGTTTTATCCCCGCACATACAACTAATTCATTGTCCGAAGGCGATCTCGGCACTTCCCCGCGCGATGTTGAGAAGAAACTAGAGGAGACCTTTCAGCTTGCACAGCTGTGGGAGTGCGTTTTGCTGCTCGACGAAGCAGACATCTTTCTTGCCCAGAGGACTGAGAATGATATCGCACGGAATGCCTTAGTGTCTGGTAAGTCAACCTTCTTTGATCAGCATGGGAAACATCGCTGACATCGATTCCCAGTGTTTCTCCGTGTACTTGAGTACTATGAAGGAATCCTCTTTCTTACAGCTAACCGGGTCGGCGTATTCGACGAGGCGTTCAAGTCTCGTATCCACCTGCCTCTCTACTACCCTCCCTTGGAATGGAAGAATACCAAAAAGATCTGGCACATCCACCTCAAGAAGCTCGTCGAAAGCGGTCTCGTCGTTGTTGACGAAAACGACATCCTTGAATACGCAGAAAACTTCTTCGACCGCCAGAACGCAAAAGGATCCACGGTCGGACCCGTATGGAACGGTCGCCAAATCCGCAATGCCTTCCAGAGTGCAGTCGCGCTGGCCGGTCATGGAAGTGAAGTAGGCGCGGGTAACAAAATTCGCGTCACGCGAGAGCACTTTGACAGTGTTGCCAAGGTGTCGGATCATTTCAATAGGTACATTTACGGCATCAAAATGCAGACGGATTCGGACAAGGCCGTGAAATGGGGATACCGCTTCGATGGATACCAACCTCACGGTGGTACTAACGTAGAGGGAGCCACCACGCACACACCTTTCCAGGCTACAGGGATGCCATATCAGACGCCCGTGGGTGCAGGTAATGGTGCGGTCTACGGCGCTGGAACGGGAGCGCAGCAGACGTTCAACCCAACGGCACAAGGGCTTGGGCATGGCTTCCAGATGCAGACAGGTTACCAGGGTCCGAACTTTGGCACGCCGGGAGGCCAGACCCTCCTCTATGGGGGACCCACAGGTCTACAGCAAACCCCCCAACAATCGCCTCAGGGGTTCAATGCGAGCCAGACGCAGCAGTAGCTTTTTTTTTTTTTTGTTATCTATTTTGTTACAGTGTTTCCAATGGTATGGGTCAGCGTATCTGGAAGGCGAGACGAGAAGACCGGGCTAGGGTACGAAAGAAATATTTTGGCCCTTGGATAACACTTGGCGGGACTCAGATTGAATACATTTGCCCACAGATGTCTGGTATGAAATACAACCGCAACGCGGGAAGTTACACTGCGACTTGGGGACTTCAGCTCCGTGATGTCCATCCATTGAAATGCTTTATGGTGATGGCATCGCACCGACATTCCAACCTCACCAACTCCTTAGCCTTCGTCGCCAAAGTAGGCGTATCAACACCAGATTTGTTTGTCGGAGGTGACGCATGCTGTCATGCGATTCTGCCTTGGCCCTTCTTTTATGCGGGCCGTAGCTTCCAAGGAAACATCGTCGTAGACTTCATATCTCTTGGTTCTAATTGTCCTTGCGTACTGAGACCAAGTGTTGTTGTTTGTGTATTATATTACGTTGGAAACCAACAGCTAGGTGGTTGAGTTCGGGTGCTCTCCAACTGGAGAAAGTACACTCCTGGATCAACGCGCTCAGGCACCAGCCGAAGAGCTAAACAAATTGACTTAGCGTTAAATGGTGGCTCAGCTGAAACACATACTGAGTTGATCTGAATCAGGATGAATCATAGCACGCAATGGATGCATGTAATATGTACCAGGCACACGTATGTACATACCCCTCACAATGAAGCGACTCTAGGCAGATGTATTAAGATCAACATAAAAGCCGAGAAACCAGTTATTTGAGGCCATTAAGTTTAACTCAACAAACTGAACACAAAAAAAATAAGCTTCAACACCATCATTCCCAATTACCTTGGACTAAAATTATCCAACATGGCCCTCACCGGGCTCTGCCCCCCAACCTTCGCCCCCCTCCACACCCTCCTCACGACCGCCCTCACCTCCGGCGCCGAACTCGGCCTCTCCTTCACCGTCAACCACAACGGCACCACCATCATCGACCTACACGGCGGGCACACCGACACCGCCCGCACCCAACCCTGGCAAGCCAACACCATCGTCAATGTTTTCTCTACCACCAAGGGTCTCGCTGCCCTCGCCGTGCTCATCCTCATCGACCGCGGACTTGTGTCGCCCGATGACCCTGTCGCGGAACACTGGCCCGAGTTTGCCGCGAACGGGAAGGAAGCGCTTAAAATCCGCCATGTGCTGGCGCATACCTCCGGCGTGGCCGGGTTTGACGACAAGACGGGGCTAGAGGATTTGTTTGATGAGCGAGCGTGTGCAGACAAGCTCGCGCGGCAGGCGCCATGGTGGACACCGGGAACGGCATCCGGGTATCACAGCTGGACGTATGGGTATTTGCTTGGGGAAATTGTCCGGCGGGTGACGGGGCTGGGACTGAGGGAGTTTGTCGTGAAGGAGATTACCACACCGCTGGCTGGAAACAATGGTGGGGCAGTGGTGGATTTCCAGATTGGTGCGCCGGATGAGAAGGATTGGGGTCGGATCTCCACGCTGGTGCCGCCGCCGCCGTTTTCTGTAGGCGGGGGTGGTGATCTAGCGAATACGAAGTCGATCCCGGTGCGGTCGCTGATGAATCCTATGATTTCACCGACTGATGCGTTGACGCCGGCGTGGCGGCGGGCGGTGATTGGGTCGGGGAATGGGCATGCTAATGCGAGGAGTATTGCGCAGGTGTTTTCACAGGTGACGCTGGCGGGCAGGAAGGACCAGGGTGGAATCCTGCTCTCTCAAAAGACGGCCGAGTTGGTCTTTGAGGAGCAGGCGCTTGGGCCGGATCTCTCGGTCGGGCAGAACTGGCGGCTTGGGCTGGGCTATCTTATCCGTGGCCAGGGCGGGACGGTCCTGGATGACTGGCTGCCTGATGGGAGGATTGCGGTTTGGGGCGGCTGGGGAGGGTCGATCGTAGTGATGGACTTGGACCGGGGACTCACGATTGCGTATGCCATGAATAAGATGGCCGGCACGGGGCCTGCCACGCCGCTGCTGAGGAAATACGTCAGGGTGGTGTATGCTGCGCTGGGTGTTGAGTTTTAGTAGCCGTCGACTTGTTTGGGTATTGATGTTCTTTCATGATCAGCGTCCAGTTAGTTTGGGTAGCACTTGGTATTGAAGTCGAACCCGTGGATGATCAGCGGTGAATATGACAAACTCGGCGTTGTTACAGTCGGAACGCACCCGAACCCGCTGTGGCCACTCTCGCCAATGTCCAATCCCACGACTTCCATTGAAGTTATCTTGAGCGACACGACTTGCTACCTAATCATCCGCTTCTTTTACCATCTATGCGAGCACGGACCCCGCAGGACACACCAGCTCCTACCCTGGGGCCGACATTTGACTAATTAATTAATTCCGCTAAAACCTATGGGCCACAACCACGGAAGGAGCGATCTTCCAGGCGCTCCTGACAGTTTCAGAAATGAGGGGGATGTTGTCTTGTATCGTCTGTTAGTGCAAGCCAAAATAATGCATGTAAAATTCATCCGCTCGACTACCCCTCTTAACAAAGGGTTTACAGAGAATTACTAACGTAGCCCCGTGGATTCCGCAGTGAGGCAGAGAAACGGATAATGGCTGCGAAATTGCAAACAATCTACTAAGTCAAGAATCGAGAGTTGTCATTGACAGAGGTTCCATGGGGCTTGAACAACTCGACCGTGTGATTCCGACAGCTTAAGTCGGGCTTTGTGTTGGGTCCTGACGCCTACGAAGGTCGATTAGAGTCAGGCCCTTACCAGCGCCTGAGCCTGCGGAGGGGGGACAGCCTCGCTGTATTAGTCCAATGCTCATGTGGGTGCCATTAATGTATCGAAATGGAATGCTGCGCGCTGCGCCATGTGCAGGGTCGTATAGTAGCCGACCATGTCACGCAAAGCAACCTCTTGTCCTCGGGCAAGCCCCCACGCAGATACACCCAACCCTCTTGGAGGCCCTCGGTGGTGCCAGGAAGTGTCTCAAAAAACACCCTGGGCGGTAAGATACTGCTAGATCTTGTGGGTTTACCGCTTCGCTTGTTTCCCTCCGGTGGTAATTTTGCGGTCCGTGCATTGGTACCAGTGGAGCTGTAGTGTCCGTGATGCCTTTACAGTTGTTCACAATGCGGTCAGTTACAGACTAAGTACTACCTAGTCATGAAAGCGTTGCTCATAAAGCAAAGGCCCTCAATTAAGCTAGCAAGCGAGAGGCCATGGCCTATCAAGGAAGCTTGTAATTATTCCAGTAATCCAATTTGATACCCAACCGCCGTTGCCCCCTAGTGTACATAGTAACTTACCCCTAAAAGCGTAAGCGGGGCTCCACTCTGTTTTAGAACTTATATCCTTCATAATGTCTCATTGTCATCCTCGACTGTCTGTTCAGGCGAACGTGACTTGGCTCCTAGCCAATCGTCGACTTTGTCCATGAGCCCAGGTTGAACGTGCTCATGGCGGATGAGGTCTCTCATTGCCCTCCCCAGGACCCTCAAAGAAAATCTCAAACTTTGTGTCCCACCCCCAACATCGTCCTTCTTCTCTATAAGTCGTCCTAATACAAGGATAGCTACAGTCATGGGCCACACGATGAAACGGTCCTGCTTGCGAAATATCTCCCGGTTCTTGGCCCATAAGCTCTTCCCTATCTGCGCCGCCCTCGCGACATCTGTTGCTGCCGAGGCGCATTTGGTGCTAGCATCGATGGCCAGTGCTGGTGGAAGGTTGCTCTCCTCCACCTTAGTCAACGCCGTTTGATGAAGGCTGATCTCCACGGCGGCGAGGTTCATGCGCAGGATAAGGGAACGCGGATCATCTGACATTTCGCCGTCAATGTAGCGCGCCAGTGTCGTGTTCTTGCACCGAGCGATATCCTTTTCGATCGAGTAGTGTGTTTCCCAGAAAGAGGGACTGGGTGCCGACTCCAGGGCATCTTGGATCTGCTGGGAAGTCATGTGTTCGACGTAGCGCCGGTACAGCCACATCACAACGGCGATACTGGCGAAGGGTGACAAAGAAACATTGTCTCCCGTCTCTGGGGCAAAGACTTGCTGCAGGTTCGGCATATTTAAGCCTGGCTGAGTTGGACCATCCGGATAATCCGGCAGCGAGGGAAGAGGCATTTTGTTCTAGACGAGGTTAGCCTGCTGGGATACAAGTAGATCACGAGTGATGACTGGGCTAGGGCATACCGGTCTCTCCAGCGCTGTCCTCGCATTCGTCTGCATGGTCGAGATAGCATCCAAGACAAACAACGCCCAGTAAGTCCGGCGCCGCTCCTCGGCTTCGGATGGGTTTGCCGGGGGAGGCAGGGACGGGCCGACGTGCGATGGATCAGGCACTGCTGAAAGACAGCAAGCTCCTTGATCCAGCCCCATCATTTTGGCCAGCCGTATGGCTCGGCCGAGCGTCATCCAAGACCGCGCAAATTTGGGCTGTTTGAACTCGTACAAAGTCAGAAGAATGAGGGCCTGGAGGCTGTGAAGGTCCAAGGATTCGCCCGTGTCCTGTCGCTCTGCTAGTTCGAGCAGGACACGACATTTGTCGTAGCATCGGTCAACGTGGCCCTGCAGTTCAGGTATCGAGGATGACCCGAGGGTTGCCATAGCCCAAGACAAAGCATGAACACCAAGAGAAGAAGGCTGTGGTGTCTCAGCCGCCTCTAAGTCGGCTTCGAATCTCGTTCGGTTGATTATGGGCAGGGTTGGGTGAAAAAGCTCAAAGTGTCTGTCATACATTCCGTGAAGCAGTCCAGAGGACAGCTCCGGCTGGGCCTGGTTTGCCGTGGAAGAAAAGGTTTCCGCCGATATGGGGCCGAATTGGAACGGTAGCTGAGACTCCGCCATGAGCGGCGATGTATTAGGATCGAGTTGGACGGGAGCGAAAGCGTCCGCGCTGAAATCTGCCCCATCTGGGCCGTCATTGCCTGCTGGGTCCGACCTAACGACGCGTCAAACCTCCGACTGGTAACGAGACGAGATTCAGGAGCTTGAGATATTACCATTCAAGTTCACTTGCCGAGTATTCAAACTGCATTTCTTCCCCACCCATGCCGAACATGTCCAGCCGAGAAGGGGGTATGGTTGGGTTTGGCTGCGCCGATAACGTCGTTGGCGGTAACGAGATTGACAAAGCTTGTGTTACCGCGCCTGCATTGTCGTTCTGTCCCTCGCGTGGGGGTGTTGGAAACGTTTCCCGGACGACCGCGCCATTGCCACTGTCACTGCCACTGCCACTGCCATTGCCATTCGGATTGAGTGCTACTCGGGCTTCAATTTGCTCTGCCCCGGATCCCTCTCGTCAGCTCTCGCCCGTCACGTTTGATCATGGCAAAAACACGCACGGAGACGCTGGCCCATTGCCAGTAGGTAGCGGGATAGATCTGTGTTGGATAACGTCGACTTGGATCGCGTCGAGTAGCGACAGGTGTTCCTCATTCTAGCGCACCGGCCACATGTTGGGTGCTGTCGGTCGCACCGGATCTTCCGATCGCGGCAGGGTCTGCTTGGCTGCTTTGTCAACCTGCGTTCACGGCGGACAAGTGAAGGTTACAACACGACAACGGAAACGGGACTGTTCGCATACTCGCACGCCAAACGCTTCATGGCAGCGTTCGCAGAACCCGACACGCCGTCGCCCGGCTCACCCACAGAAGACATGGTGGAATTAGGATTGTCAGGTGCGCGCGGGCTTCGAATGCTTAATTTCGGTTCGAAGTTAAAAGGGTCAGACCAGGAGTCTTGTACACAAATTGAACGGCGGTCTGAGGGCTTCAACGGACATCAAAGGTAGTCAGTCCGCGGTACCCAACTTGGTATTCGTACTGCGACATTCGCTGGGCACCCAGTGGTGGGTGGGTTGCACTGTATTTGACCCCCAATCTTTCCGTGTGGCTTACGTGATTTGGCACATGTACCCCGCATGTCGAAAGGAGCGCGGGAGCATGTTGGCATGCAGACAATGCTCGGGTGCGCTCACCCGGCTCCCCCAGCTCACCCTCATTGGCGAGTGAGCGGGAGCCATGCACGCGCCGGTAAGTTCCTCCCGATCTTGGTTATCCCCCCCATCGTTAACTATCAAGGATGGCTTATCTCGCTACATATACATGCATATGTCCGTCCTCCTGCAGCCAGCGTAAGACGGGTTAATAGCGACGAAGGCGGCCTGAGTCGGTACTTAGGTCATTGTGATTGGGCGGCGAGATTGCCAGCCAAACGTCGGATTTAGTTAAACTTTCATGGACAGATTCCTCGGATTATCGGATAACATGGTAATGGAATGATGGGACTGACCAACGCCATCCATCATCGTTGGTACGGATGTTTTATGCGGTTTTCCTGCACAGCGAGCGGTTCAAGGTCCGGCGCACCATAGGGCATACAGGGAATAGTGGAATGTGAATAATAACAGTTTCCGCAATCATACCTAACCACCTGACTTTTTCTACCTGTGTATTGTTGTCATGTTGGAAGTCCAATAGGTACGGTTCCACGGTTATCATGTAATTAGGTAGTTACCTGAGATGATGACAGTTTACAACCGCGTATTCGAGGTACCCGGGACCACCCCAGACGTTATCAATTGACGTCCGTGATGGTGTTTCTTCTCCTCCTCCAAACTTCCACATTCCTCTAGAGCGAGTAGCTCTATACTGAACCTGTCCTCTGTATCTTTGGGTCGGCCCGCGGGTATCCTAGTCTTCGTGGCATTGTGCTGCCAAAATGCCATGACCGTTTCGGGTGCTAATTATAACCTTCTGATCTGTATAGGTAGCTATGCAGAGCGACTTTCGACTTTATTTTGAACACTTTCTGATTGATCACCTCCTTTTTCCTTGAATCGGACGGGCAGAATTAGTTCTCGTGGCAGATCTCTACCGCGATGTACGCTTTAGATGTCATTGACGCCAATTATGGCAAGCGATTTGGGAGCTAGGGGGCGGGCCGTCACTGGGCCCTCAACGCAAGAGGATGAGAAGGACAAAGGCCATGGAGTCAGGGCGACAAGAAGAGGATATGCATTAGGAAGAGGAAGACGGTAGTAACGGAGTGTCGAGGGACGGTATCACCGAATCCCAATCTAGAATTACAACTCTAGTCCCTTATAAGCTTCCTCCAGGGATTCAAACTCTGTGACTCCCAGGTCATCCTTGTCGAGCACCTTGCCCCCGTCGGCCCTCATCCAGCTCCTTTCACCGTACTCGTCCCAGAACTCCATCATAACGGCCATCTCCTCGCCCCACAGCGGCCACGACTCCCTAAACGCCTCCCCGCTCACCCTTACAAACTGCGCTGTAGTGCCCTTTACCCTAGCCCATAGCTGTAGCATATCGCCCGCTAGGTGCTGCTCTATCGAGATCAGTACGACGGCGCCCCCACGAGTCTTATCCGGTTGCTCGACCACGGCGCTAGCGAATGCGCCTATGTTTTTAGTTACGTCCCCGATAGTGTGCATAAGCGTCTCGGGCCTATAGCAGCCTAGCTGGACGTGCTTCCCGATAGAGGCTGTCCAGGTAGGCGTAAAAAAGGGCGCGGTGCAGTTATTAGCATACCACGTGACCCAGAAGAATGTAGTCTTAGCTAGGAGCGCGGGCTGCTCATCGCGAATGTAGGCGTCGACGGCGTTCTTACCCTCGAAGTGAGGGATCAGATGCTTGCCCCCTGAGAGGGCCTTGGCATTGGGGAGGGTACTCCAGATGTAGTGCTCGAGCGTCGGGGTAGCGGCGGCGGCTTGGGCGAGGTGGATGCCCTGCTGAGTCTCGACTTCCACAGCCTTTTCGGGGGACTGGTGCGCGATGAAGGGCTCGAAGAAGTTGGTGACGCCGAATATGATGTGGGAACCGGCGAAGGCGGCCTTGAGGCTAGCGAGGTCGTTGAGGTCAGCCAAGACAACTTCGGCCCCCAAGGCTGCAAGGGCTTGGCCCGCTTGGCTCGACGGGTTCCGCGTAATGGCACGGACTCGGTAAGCCGGACTATTGATAAATGCAGAGATTACGCCTTTCCCTTGGGAACCGGTGGCGCCTACAACGGTGACAATCTTGGCCATTGTACTTGGTACTGTGTGGTGAAGACCGAGCGGGTGTTTTTGAGGGGCGTGCTCAGTGTTGATTGAAGGGCGGTGCAAGTGATGGGTTAGATGATTCCTTGTTGTAAAGGTGTCTCCCCTTCGATGTGTTCGGTGTTGTGAGAAAAGAGTCAAAAGACTTCGCGATTGAAGGCTAGGGAGCAAGCAATCCTCCACTTATACACATACATCGACGTGCATCGACATCTTACATCTTTTCTGTTCTAGCGGCCTAGAAAGACTCACTAGGTACCGGACTCCGTGTACATTTTGGAAGTGATAATGAGCTAAGGTACCTAATCGTACTGTACGTCATGTACTCGGTACATGTTAGTTGCATTAGTTGACAAGATAGGTAAGGTACCTCGTTATCGCGCCGCTCTTTTTCCGCCGCTGTCGTATCAATACACCAGCGCCTTTGTCAGCAGCCACGACAGATGCATGTGTAGAAAGCTTGTATTTCCAACCCAGGCGGCGCCTGCAGGGACTTTCTCCTGCATGAGCCAGGCGGTCCGACCTCTCCAGGCGGCCCCCACTCTTGCTCCGAGTTCCTCGCAATTCCACATGCATATCCGTTCCTGCAGGCTTTCCCTATACCGTCACTTCGTTGCTCTGGCACAGTTTCCCAGCGCGTTCCTCGCAACAATTTCTTCCGCACGCATAGACATACACAGGTTACACAGAACAGCATCGTTGCACGACATTCTCGCATATCGACCAGTTGCAGATCTCTAAATGGCAACGCCGTCAATGCGACGAGTGTCGCCAATTTTTTAATCTCGAGCGTGATTATTTAATCCTGAGTCTGATTATCGAGTGGCCAACATCCTTTGCAATCAGGATTCACCGTGTGAAACGACCTTGTTGTGAACCCTTTGGCTTCACCGAATTTGAATAAGGTATTAATTACCCTTGTGCCATACCTTCGTTCCGGCGAACCCCTCCAGAGTTGGCTCTGGAGAAACGCGGCACCGGCCCTAAGCTTATGATCTTGACAGATGACAACGCATTTCAGAACGCCCGTAATTATCTCACTAGTCATGGCCAGTCCCGGAAATAATCCTCGAGATGGCGATTTCCGCAACTATCTCACCACTCTCCTCCTTGATAAGACGGAGGCTTGACGCAAACAGCATGTTCTCGATTGCCTTGTACTCTTCGTGTCCGCATTCGAATCTCATAATTTCCGCTGCAATGCAACATGCGGTCAGCACACTCGAAGGATCTGTCTCGGAAACGCAGTGACTACTCACTCGCATGGCCGAAGGGAATGCTCTTTGCGTTGGGGTCGCCGGTAATAAGCGGCAGGGTGTGCTCGTTGAGATCAAAAATGCCTTCGGCGATGCAGCGAAGGGCGCGGCCTTCGGCATCGACCGCCATGCCGCTGATGGTAGCGCGGGCATGTTTTTTATCCGCATCGATACGGAACCAATCCTGACCATTCCGCATCTTGAAATCGAGCTTAGGCTGAAAGTCGCCCACCGACACGAGGCTGCCCTCCCCGAAGGGTAGGCCAAAAAGCGCCGACCCGGTGTGGATGTCGCCGCAGGGAAGGAACCCGGTGAGGCCGCACTAACCACAAGATGATAATCAATACGAATGCCAATCAAATAACCCAGGCATTGTCAATATTTGACAGATGTGAGGAAACGGCCTTCCTACTCTGATCTTCATTGCGGGTTGCAGCGTTGGGAAGCCGGCGGGGGCGGCCATGGTAGCTAGTTAAGCGAGGGTCCGGACTCCGTAAGGGGTTAGAGATCAGATTGGTTGAGCGAGGATAAAAGAGGGGGATCAAAAGAGGAAGAGTTGTTTGTGATTTGAACTGATGCTCAGCAATGGATCGCGTGCTCAATACACCGAGGTAAGATTCGTCAGACTCGGCCTGTTATACACGCCATGCTGAGTGTAGGGAGGTGGCGACGGTTTGGTACGGCCCCGTATTAACGCTTGGTTGGCGGGTAAGACGCCCCGATCCCGGGATGCAAGTTCCGAACCTTATCGCGGGCATGGGCTGCTCCGCGAAGGTACAGATCAGGCACTGCATGTTAGCACGCGGCCCGAAGGGCGCGGCGAAAGGCGGGCCGTCACCGTCCGTTCCTTCACGCAAGCAAGGCGGGGACCGTGCCGTACGGCCAAGACACGGCGCCGAGACCTCCAAAACGGTGTTACCTCCTGGCGCCGGACATCAGACCGTAAGGCACTCGCTCGCAGATGAGAGACACCTGTCGTCGGATTCCGGTCAGGCTTAGCAAGTCCGAGCCACGGAACGGGCAGCGAAATGCTGAGACGTGCGGCATCAGCGCACAATGCTACTACGTGTAGAACCGGCGGTGATCGCACATATCCTTCAGCGTCGTGATATTCAGCTTGTTTTAGAACAACTATGATTAACTGGTCGGCCTATCGGCGTTGAAAGAGGTTTCCTGCTAGACGAGACAACGCCTTACAAGGTGGAATCCATGATCCCACAATGGCACAAGTCTCAGCAAGTGAAGGGAGAGTGGGGGTTTCCTTGGCACACTGAGCACCAACTCTGCATAAACAAAAGTTGTAATGCTGGTTTAAACCGCTCCGTGGTCGTACAAAATGCGGCATCCACCGGCCGAGCCTAAACAGCGTATCTGCAGCTGGCTACCTAAATAGGCATGGGGTCCGGTAAGCATCTTAGACCCGACGTGTTGTTGGCAGTTCATCGACCCCCAATCGTTAGGTCATCGTCATATTGAGCTTCATCACAACACACATCACCGGGAGACGCTTCCAGTTCATACCGTTAATTAAGAGTTTTACAATGGCCCCGGTCGACAACAACCGCCCTTTCCGCATCATCGTCGTTGGTGCGGGCTTAACGGGACTGGTGACTGCTAACTGCCTCCAAAAGCTCGGCATCGACCATGTCGTGCTTGAGAAGGGCGACGTTGCGCCACCCAAGGGAGGTATAGCAATGTGGCCTCACAGCATCCGAATTCTCTACCAGCTCGGGGTGCTAGAAGAGTTGAAGAAGTTCTCGAAACCAACCATAGGATTCAAGGGCAATGGGCCTGATGGCCGTCCAGTGTATGATACGCAGGTGTATCATTGTGTAGAGAAAAAGTGAGTGCTCTACAGTAGCCGGGAGTGGATTGATTCACCATTTCAGTTGAAAGCTCCGCTGACACGTCTTGAAAGTCATGGAGTAAGCATGTGGCCCGTTGAGAGAACAGATATTCTCCGAATTATGTATGAAAACTTGCCGGACAAGAGCCTGGTCAAAGCTAGAGTAAAGATCACGGACGTGAAGCAGTTCCCAGACAGAGTTGAAGTGGTTCTCGAAGACGGAACCGTGGAAATCGGCGACATGATCATTGGCGCTGACGGCGTGCACACCACGACAAGGGACTACATGTGGGCTCACGCCGCAAAGGTTTCCCCTGGTCTTATCACGGCCGCGGAACGAACGTGTAAGGCGCTCTGATTGCTTTTCTTTTCTTTTTTTTTTGTTTTTTTGCTGACGGGTATCAGCCCTCAAATCGCACTCTGAAACGCTCATTGTCAGCACACCCCCCATTCCAGAGCTCGGATACCGCGACATCGTCATCACATACCAGAACAGATTCAACTTTCTGTTCACCTGCACCCACGATGCCGTCTGGGCGGTCGTTGTCTTTCTCTTCGATGAGCCGCTCCCGTGGCCGCATCGGAAACGCTACACCGAGGAGCACGCCGAGGCCCTGGCCAAGCTCGTCATGGACAAGCCCATCACCGACCAGCTCGTGTTTGCGGATGTGTGGAAGCGGCGCCGCGAGGCACCTCGAGTGGTCATGCTCCAAGAAGGCGTCCTGGAACACTGGCATCACGGCCGCATCTGTCTCGTGGGCGACGCCGCGCACAAGGCCCATCCCAACATCGCTCTGGGCGGCAACACGGGTATCGAAGACGTTGCCTGCCTGATGAACCACATCTGGCGCGCTGTGGAGGCAAGCCCCCACAAGCGGCCCAGTGGCACGGCGCTGGAAGCCGTGTTCGAAGCCTACCAGGAGGAGCAGAAGCCCCGTGTCAAGCATATCGTCAGCCTCAGTGCTATGGCGGCCAGGATGCACACATTTGCCTCTGTTTTCCACAAATTCTTGGCCAATTGGGTCTTCCCGGCGTTCAAGGACCATTGGCCGGCGGACTACATCGGCCAGTACTTTTCCAGCGCGCCGAAGCTTGAGTTTCTGTCTAGTGAAGGATTTCCGACCGGGAAGATGCCATGGCTGTCGGATCAGAAGCGTGCGAGTGAAGGCGACGAGATTGGCAACGAATAAGGTTCCGTGTTTCATCGAGGGTACCGGCAACGCGGACCGTACTTTGACTTGTTAAACGCTCTGGTCATGTCTGGTCTACGGTGGATCTTGCGGTTGGTGTTATTTCAGCTCGTTTAATATACTGCGCTTTCAATAATTACCGGATGGACACGATTTGCTCCCTGACTCATAGCTATTAGTGCAGAGATGCAGCAAACTTAAGCCGTTGTAACATTCCGTCCACCAGTAAGTGTTTCACGCAGGGGTCGAACCGTAAGAAAACCGGTGCGACCATTAGGTGAGAATTCGATCCCGGTTCTCAATATTGAGACTAAGAACGCATGGTCATTTTTCCTCGGGAGGATGCGGACCTCGGACTAACTTGTCCGCATCGGCGCATCGATTGTTACACAAACTGAGCAGGTAAAATTAGGGCGTGCATGACAGGCAACCGGTGGAATTGACACAAACAAAAGAGAAGGTGATGAGGGATGGGCGACGTAAAAATGGCTGGAAAACATCACATCGGCGTCCTTCCAGTGAGATGCGTATATGTTGTAAGTCCTTCTGGATTTTCAGGGGCGGCCAACACTTCGGCCGCGCATGCCTGGCCCGACGCGCTCCGAGGGCTCGGTGGCTCGGTCCGGCCGCAGCCTGCAAATCCTTTGCAGCTTGACTAGATAGGGTGAACCAAGACCTCCTGTAATAGGTAGTATTAAATACGGCACGGGGATCCAGTACCAGCTTAGTATGCATGTCAAATGCATCGACTAAGACTTCGAGACAGTCAGTCAACCATTTAACCATGGCTATCCAGCGAATCCTCCTAACCCTCGGCGCCTGGCTATCCAGCATTGTACACGTACATGTACCCCACCGAACACCCGAATGCAGAACTCTGCCTGGCGACCTGAAGTGGCCGAGCCTAGAGCAATGGCTGTTGCTCAATGAAACCGTAAACGGACGTCTGATTGCATCTGTCCCACTCGGCAGTGTCTGTCACGATGCCCCCTTCAACCGCTACGACGCTGCCGCATGTGCCCGGCTCCAAAGCAGCTGGAATAAGACCAGATTGGCCCACATGGACGACCCTTCGGAAGTGTTCAGCATGTGGTTCAAGAATTACACCTGCAGTCCCTTCACGCCCCGTTCTCAGCCCTGCGAACTCGGCAATCTCGTCAGCTACGTGATCGATGTCGGTTCGGCCGACGACGTGCGAGCGGGAATCAACTTTGCACGCCAACACAACCTTCGGCTGGTTATCAAGAATACCGGCCACGATTACATGGGCAAGTCGACTGGAAAGGGCGGTCTGTCTCTATGGACACACCATCTCAAGTCCACCGAGCACATCCCGGAATACTCCTCCCCGCACTACCACGGCCCCGCCATCAAGCTCGGCGCCGGCGTGCAGGCCTTCGAGGCCGCCGCAGCCGCCCATAGGACCGGGCACCGGCTCGTGAGCGGTGTCTGTCCGACCGTTGGGATTGCCGGCGGCTACAGCCAAGGGGGAGGACACTCGATCCTGTCAGGGGTGTACGGGATGGGGGCAGACAACGTGCTGGAATGGGAGGTGATCACCATGGATGGACAGCACCTCGTGGCGACCCCAAGCCAGAATGCCGATCTCTACTGGGCCCTCAGCGGCGGGGGGCCCGGGACCTTTGCCGTGGTGTTGTCCATGACGGCTCGACTTCATCCCGACGGCGTCATAGCCGGCGCATCGTTGTCCTTCGACGACTCGCGAGTGGGCAACGACGCTTTCTGGGAAGCTGTCGGGGCTTTCCACCAGCTGACGCCGGCGTTTGTCGACGGGGGGAACAGTTTCTTCTACCTGATCACCAACACGGCTCTCACCGTCTACGCGGCAACCATGCCGGGCGCTGCTGATGTCGACCGCGCCAACGCCCTCCTGCGGCCCTTCATTGACGACTTGGCAGCTCGCGGCATCACAGCCAACGTGCGAGTCCGCATGTCCGACAGCTTCGACGAGCACTTGACGACTCACGTCGGCCCGGGTCCCGAGGGTTGGATCGACTACGCCACATTTTCCGGCAGCCGCCTAATTCCGCGGGCCGTGGTGACCGACTCAGCGCGCAACGCTATCCTTACACAGACGCTCCGCAACATCTCGCTGGCCGAGGGCTACGGGCCGATCCCGTGCGAGGCCCTGAACATCGCCCGGCTGGAAATAAAACACCCGGACAACGCCGTGCACCCAGCCTGGCGCGAGGCGCTGCTATTTTGTGTACAGGGTGGCTCCTGGGACCCGGACGCCAGCCCCGAAGAGATGGCGCGAAGGCACGACTTCGCGGCCAACGTCATGCAACCCATGATCAACAAGGCGACGCCGGGCGGTGGTATATACCTCAACGAGGCCAACTACCAGACCAAGAATTGGCAGCGCGAGATGTACGGCTCCAACTATCCGAGGTTGCTGGAAGTGAAGAAGAAATATGACCCCGAGGCGATGCTGTATGCGAGAACGAGCGTGGGAAGCGAGGCGTGGGTTGAGGTTGCGGATGCTAGAATTTGCAGAGCTGACGCTGGAAGGTCGCTCCATGATGGACTTTGATGACCTTAAAAAAAGAAAAAAGGAAAGTGTGCGTGAATTTTAGTGTCGAGTACCTACGGGAGCGGAGCTTGAAGAAGGGGCCCGGGGGTGGGCAGAGAGTGGAGAAAATGATGCAGACGTTCTTTCCAATTTTGAGTACAGATCTCCTATTAAGTTATCCTAATTACCTGAGCGTCGTGGCCTTCGTCCTTCTAAATATTTCGTCAAAAAATTCAACAATCTACCACTCGGTAGTTTTCCAGCACTCTAACATCTGCAATGTGCGCGCGCAAGGACTGTTCGTTTTTTTCAATTTTTCGCAAAATATTCCTCTCTGGAAATCTGCATCCGTTTTGGAGGCAAGATTCTAGTGTCAAGGTAATTACGTACACAAACACTTTAAAGCCTCTCCATGCCATTACGATAGCCCGAGGGTCGAGGTCGAAGAAGGCGTCAGCGACCCGAGGCCTCCCTTGAGCCCATAGCTTCCCTTTCTTACTGCCAAAGCGCTGCGAAACTCATCTACCAATCCTTTGTACTCACGCGGATAAGTCGGCGCGAACCAGTGCGCAAACCAATTTTTCTTGCGGCGGGGATTGACACCAAGATCCCGGAGCAGCACGTCGATGTACTTTGGGAAGTCACAGAAAGTTAGTTTCTTCGGGTTTCTCCTCGATTACAACGCGGTTGTTTCAACTTGTAATTACTCACAGGCAAAAAATCATAGATAGCGTAGGCGTGCTTTTGGCCCTGAACGCCGTACCGCTTCCTCGACCAAGCGTTCCACAATGCCACCTCGCCCTCCATGGAACCCAGCGACGGCGTATCATGCAAACCAAGGAGGAAGGTAACGCCCCAGAGGGCCTGGACTTCGGCCACAATTGGTGTATAAATGGTGTGGATAAAGCCCGGGAAGATGATGGACCGGTCGCCTGCGGCGGCCAAGGCTGGGACGATCAACCGACGATAGTGGTTGCTAGGCCCGTGGAGAGCAGCATGCTCTTTCGTGTCCGTCCCCGTCCCCGCTACAGTCTTGCTCCTCCCTAGACCCGCAGGGGATTTGCGGAGTGCGGGGAAGAGCTCGTCAACAGTCTTGTCTGCAGTGGTGCCCAAAACAGTCCACTTTTGCTGCTCCTCAGGGCCGACGGTGAGGCCGAGACTGTGCTGGAGTTTGGGGCCAAAGACGTGATAGGACTTGTCGAAACCGGTCGAGAGAATCACAAAGTCAGTTTGGAACCGGGTCCCGTCGGCGAGTCGGACCGTGTGGGTGTCGTGGAAAGATTGGATGTCGGTTCGGTGGACGGTACAGTCACCCGAATGGAATACCTGCCAGTATCCGGGCACACTGGCAGCGCCGAGTCCTGCGTTGGCCCAGAACACCCCATTTCCGTGCGGCATGGGCCTCAGCTTGGACGCGTTTTCGGACTTGGAGTATCCAGCATGGCGATCGGCAATCCAGTTGAGGGCGAGCCAAAACAGCCATGCGAGGAACCGGCCGAGATAGGTTCTCTGAAAGAACTGGTGACCGGCGCCATCCGTGCTGTCGACGGAGCTCCCCAGAAGGACCATGACCCGGGTCGTAACGGCCGTCATAGTGTTGACGAATCCCAGCAGGGTTGGCGGCATGATGGCCATGGGCCCACTTCCACTTCCATCCGAGGTGTCGCGGATGATCCAGTCCACCTTTTTGCCGGCCTTGAGGAGGTAGAAAACAGTGTCGAAAGAAGACTTTGCGCCGCCGACAACAGTGACAGACCTCACTTTCGGCGAATCGAGGGCGACGAGGTTCGTGCCTAGCTCCGACGAGTGGATGGTGGGTGCCTTGAACGAGTCATCCGTCGGCCACACGGGCCTTACGGCATGCGAGGTTGCACCCGAGGCGTAAATCAGCTTCTCGCACTCAATGGCAAAATTGGGTCCTCCCGGGTTTCTGCCCGCAGCATAGAGCTCGAGCCTCCATCCTCCGCCGGGAAGCTGGGAGACCTCGGTTACGCGCGTGCCGAGACGAGTGCGCCGTACGAGATCGTGGTCCCAGGCAAAGTCGTTGAGGTACGTGTGGATGGTATCGCCCGAGACGTAGCCGTCGGGTGAGATACCCTCGTGTCGCATCGGGTAGAAAGAATACTCAAACAAGCCATGCTTGATCTGTGCATACAGGCTGGGGTAGATCTTGTCGGCACTCCAAACTCCACCGATGGTCGCCTGGTCATCGATGATCAGAAGGGAGGCGGACGGTCGGAAGTCGAGGTAGGTTTTGGCGCAGATTAGACCATTCCAGCCTGCGCCAACCACGACGGCCTCGACGCGTTCCACATCTGCTGATGAAGAACCCATGCTACTTAGCTAACTTAGGTTGATGAAGACAGAAGTTCGTTCTCGGAACAAAGAATGAGTTTGGGGGCCAGTAAGCAGTTTTGGGAGTGATTCGTCGAAACGAAGCGAAAGGAGCCCGTGATAAACTCAAAATGCACGCTGACCGTTTTCTTTCAGCGTTGGGCTTTCAGCTGGCACTGCATCCTTCGTTGTACATGCGTCCGGTGTTCGCGGTCCGCATTGGCCGGCTGAAGTCGGGGGTTGACCGAAATCAGATGCGGTCCGCATGTGCCGTAATCATCGTGCCACCGTCCCACGTCTGCCGGTCTAACTTGCAGCATCGGTCTGCGATTCGCCGTCTTACATACCTTAACCCGCTACGCTAATTACTTGCACCGCCCAATTGGCACTTTGCTCCTCGCTCATGCTCGTAGGAATGAGAATGAGCTTCATGCCCTTTGTTCATTTTGAGCCTTGCTACTCTCGACTGTTGCTGTTATTGCTGTTACCGTAACCAGACCGACTTTGATAACCATCTTTGACTCTATCTTGGAGTCGAAAACGAACCATGTCGCTACCCACCTACGTTTTCCGCGCCCTCTCAGTCTTTGGCGTCTGCGCGCTATGGGGCCTGATCGCCGTCAATGGCACATTGGTACTCATGCTGAAGACGACGTACTACGGCGTTTATCCCACAGGTACGGCGCATAACTTTACCTGGACGGGTATCTGGCCTCTCGACTTCATGCTGGGCCAAGTCATCTGTTTCTTCTACTCGATATTCACCCTTGCCGAGCTGCCCGATGACGGGCCCTTTCTCCTCGGCGCCGATCTCTTGATCGCCCTCATCGTTTTCAGTATGATGACGCTTGCCGAGGACCGACGCAATAGGAAGACTGGCGCGCTTCGAGTGTGAGCTTATGATCCGAATTATCCCCTAATTAATACCAGAAGCACGCAAGCGCTGACCCAAGACTTTGTCATTGTTCAAGACCTGTTTGGTGGCAGTCCCTGTGGAACATGTTTGGCGCCGCTTGCGTGCTCCCCGTCTACCTGAGCTATTACGTCTCCGAGCGGGGACGCACAACGCCTCTCCGGCGCATGCCCGCTGTGCAGGCTCAGGCTTTGCCGTTCTCGGCCCTCTGGGCGTTGGTCATCAACCTTCCTACTCTGCTGCCAGGCCTCCTTTTGTCGACGCCCTACCGCATCCAAGCCGGTGTTGCGCTATGGCTTCTCGGCCCTTACACTTTGGGTCCCGTCCAAGACCTCATCGCCAACTTCTTGCTGCCTTTGCTGCCTGGTAGTTTCCCATCCGGGGGTTTTAAAAACCCCACCAAAGCTGCCTACACCATCCTCGGGGTCATCAGTGGTCTCGTCCACGTCGCCGTGGTGTTGGCTGCTGTTGTCGACACCGAAACCAGCGTGGCCCGAGTCTACTTGCCGCAGCACTCCCGTTTGGTGCCTGGAACGCGGAGCGCGTTGATTGAGGGTGCTATGCTGTTTACGCAGTATGATTACATTGGGATCACTCTGACGACTTTGGCGGCGGGGTTCTTTATGCGCCCGGGGATGAGCGGCGTCACAAACGGATTCCGCAAGATGGTTGCTTTGACGGCTCTGTTTGGTCCTGGCGCGGGTATGGCTTGGCTGTTGTGCAAAAAGGAGAATGAGTTGGATGGAAAGGGGGACGGTGTTGGCGCCAAGAGCGGTTAGTTAATTAGTTACGGTAGTTACTTGGTATGTAGTGGAATATAAAACGTTCAGGACGTCGAAGCCTAGAATCTCGGTCTCGTCTGCATCGTTGAGTGATTTTGATGCCAGGTCCGCCGTCAACTACAGTAAATGATATCGGTAGGTACATTGGACGTAACGGTGGGCTCTCCCGGACGTCACGGAAGCTTCAGATCGCTCCAACCAACGTAATTAGTGAGACGTATTTCTCGGAAAGGAGGTGTGCGCTAGAAGACCTTTCACTTGAAGTTCGGGAAGGGTACGGTAAGGTGAGCAACACACCACACACCACACAAGAGCACCACCACAATAATCAGCACGATAATCAACAGCCAATAAGTGATCTCTGTTGCCAGGCCGGCCTCAAGTGGCCCCCACGAACTCCCCCGCGCCAACGGTGAACAGATGCAAGATAAACTTCTGCATGATCCTATCTCCGCCCTTGCTGCTAACCTGGGATCCGGCCTTCGTTCCGGACCGTCCCTGACCGTGCCTCTCCCATACCTTACTTATGTGCGGCCCGGCGAACTCCGCCCACACCATGGAAACGGAATTCGGTGAACCGAATCACTGTCTGTTACTATGTAGATAGGGGTAGACGAAGCCTGTGAGGGTTACGTAAGGTCTTGGTGCTCCACGGTGAAGAAACTCCGAGCTCTGGGGACTTTGGGCACATGATGCAGTAGTTCATGCAAGAGCTCTATTCACAGATGGTTTCGACTCGCAGGATAGCAAGCACAGCACTTTGGGTTGCATCTTGGCCGCGCATAGCTCGGGTCAGCATGTATGAATTCCACAGGGGCTTCGATTTTGCTCACAATTAGACATAAAGGCGGCATCAGGGCCCTCATAATAGAGAATCTGACCATCGGAGACCAGAGACCACGTAATTCTCAAAAAAACGAAAACGTGCAACAACGATAACAGGTATTAGCCAGTCAGGATGCCTAGTGCCACCAGAAGCCCGAGCACGTCGTCGGACTCGGCGTTTGTCTCGGACGAGAATCTCCCTCACGTTACCTTGTCCTCTCCCGCTAGCAGCGTGTCCTCATCCGTCAACTTGACTGAACATGGAGACACCAATGACACTAGTGGGTATGCGGCCACGTCTTTCCCTGGTTATGCAGAGAAGCCGCTGGACGAGCAGCTGGAACCCATTGCCGTTGTTGGCATGGGATGTCGACTCCCTGGAGACGTCAAGTCAGCCTCGGACTTCTGGGACCTCATGATGTCCAAGGGCACCGGAAACACGCCCAAAGTACCATCATCGCGGTTCAACATCGACGCCCACATACACGCCAACAACGACCGACCCGGCAGTTTCGGTGTCTTGGGCGGCTACTTCCTCAACGATGACCTCGCCGACTTTGATCCCGGGCTCTTCGGTATCACGCCGATCGAGGCCATGTGGATGGACCCGCAACAACGCAAACTGCTCGAAGTCGTGTACGAGGCGCTGGAGTCGGGCGGGATTCCGGTCGAAAAGCTGGCGGGCACGCGCACAGCCGTGTTTGCGGCCTCGTTCACCGCCGACTGGCAGCAAATGTCGTTCAAAGACGCGTCGTTCCGGCACAGTCTCGCAGCGACCGGCGTGGACCCGGGCATCATCAGCAACCGCATCAGCCACGTGTTCAACCTCCGAGGCCCCAGCATCGTCTGCAACACGGCCTGCTCGTCGTCGGTGTACGCGCTGCACAACGCCTGCAACGCCCTGCGCAACGGCGAGGCTGAAGGGGCGATCGTCGGGGGCGTGAACCTGATCATCACGGTGGATCAGCACATGAACACGGCCAAGCTTGGAGTGCTGTCGCCGACGTCGACCTGCCATACGTTTGACGCCAGTGCGGATGGTTACGGCCGGGCTGATGCCGTGGGGGCTGTGTATCTGAAGCGGCTTTCCGACGCCGTGCGAGACGGCGACCCGATCCGGGGGGTGATCCGGTCCAGCGCGACCAATTCCAACGGAAAAGTGCCCGGATACGGCATCACGTATCCCAACCGCGAGGGTCAGTATGAGGTGATCACGGCGGCGTATGAGCGCGGGGGTGGTCTGGACCCGCGTCTCACCGGGTATTTCGAGTGCCACGGAACGGGCACGGCAGTGGGCGATCCGATCGAGGTCGACGCCGTGTCTCGGGCCATGAACAAGCAGCGCCGGCCAGGCATCGACCCGCCGCTGTGGATTGGGGCGGTCAAAACCAACATTGGCCATTCGGAAGCGGCTAGTGGAATCTCGGCGCTCATCAAAGCCATCCTGATCGCGGAGCGCGGGATCATTCCGGCCACGCGCGGTGTGGTCAAGCTCAACCCGCAGATCGACTGGGAGGAGTGGCAGGTGCGCGCCGTCACGGACGACCCGGTGCCGTTTCCCAGCGAGCTGCCTGTCCGTCGCGTGTCGGTCAACTCGTTTGGCTACGGTGGAACCAATGCCCACATGATCATCGAAGGCACCGCGTCCATCGCGCCGGGCTCCGAATCAGGCTACCGCTACGTCGACCGCTGGGCGACGAACAAGCCGAGGAAGCCCGGCTTCTTCAGGCGGGCCGTGGACCGGAAGAGACCGTACCTGCTCCCGTTCTCTGCCCACGACAAGGCCACGCTGCGCCGCAACATTGATGCCATTGGCCCCGTGGCCGCCGACTACAACCTCGTTGATCTCTCGCATACGCTCGCCAACCGGCGCAGCATCTTGGCCAGCAAGGCCTACACCGTGGCGAGCCATGGAAGCCTCGACACCATCTTCTCCTCCGTAGGCGAAAGCTTTGCGTTTGCCGATAGTAATGTTACTAAAACGCCCGCGCGGGAGCTGGCCTTTGTCTTCACCGGCCAGGGGGCACAATGGGCACGCATGGGAGCCCATCTCATGGAGTATTCCCCGCACTTTCTGCAAACTATCCGCGATCTGGACCTGGTGCTGGAGCACGTCGCCGACGGGCCCGAGTGGTCCATCGAAGACCTGCTCAACGAGCACGCCGACACGTCGCCCGTCCAAGACGCCGAGTTCTCCCAGCCCCTCTGCACGGCGGTCCAGATTGCCGTGGTGCGACTGCTCGAGTCGTGGGGAGTCCGCCCCGTAGCCACAGTCGGACACTCCTCGGGCGAGATGGCCGCTGCCTACGCCGCGGGGTTGGTCTCGGCCGAGGACGCCATGATTGCCGCGTACTATCGCGGTATTGTGGCCAAGGAAGTGAACACAGGCGGTGCCATGCTGGCTGTGGGGCTAGGAGCCGAGGCTGTTCAAGCGTGGATTGCGGAATGTGGTGTTGAGGACAAGGTGGTCGTCGCGTGTCATAACTCCCCCGCGCTGGTGACCCTCTCGGGAGACGCAGACGCGCTCGACCTCGTCCAGGGCAAGCTGGAGGCTGCTTCTGTTTTTAACCGGTCCGTCAAGACAGGCGGCAAGGCGTATCATTCGCACCACATGGTCCCCGCGGCGGAGAGATTCAAGGCCCTTGTTCGCGAGGCTAAGAGGGTTAGGTCTGAATCTGGTAGGAGACGACGCGGTGTGGCGGATCACGGCCTGGGTGAGCTTCTGGCCACCAAGGCGCAAATGGTGTCCTCCGTTACCAACTCGGTGATCCCCGCGGGTACGCTTTTAGATGAGGAGTACTGGAGCCGCAACCTGGTCAGTCCAGTGCTCTTCAACCAGGCCGTGCAGACGCTCCTGTCCGATCCTGCATTCTTCCAGGTGGATGTCCTCGTCGAGGTGGGACCCCACTCTGCCCTCGCCGGGCCTATCAAGCAGATCAAGGAGGCCCTGAACTCGAGCCCTGTTGGCAACGCGAAGTCCAAGGCTGGAGTGAGTTACGTGCCGACCCTCATTAGGGGCGAGGACTCGGGTGCCCGGCTGCTCAAGGTGGCTGGAGAGCTCTTCCTTCGTGGGTACCAGCAGCTCGACATGGAGTGCGTGACTGGTGCCTACCACGTCCAGAGTCTCAAGAGTCTCAAGACCAAGAGCAAAAGACTCAGCAGAAACAACTCAGCGGGCAAGGTTAAGGCTAGGGTCAACAGTCCAGGCGTCACCATTGTCGATCTCCCTCCTTATCAGTGGAACTACACGCGTCCGTTCTGGGCCGAGAACCGAGCCAGCCGGGAGCAGCGCCTGCCTCGGTTCCCCCGCCACGACGTGCTCGGTCAGCGTGTTATCGGCGGCTCGCTCGCGGAGCCGACTTGGAACAACGTCCTCCGGCTGCGTGATCTGCCATGGCTCAAGCACCACTCTCTCGGCGGTGAAGCCGTGTTCCCTGCGGCGGGCTACTTTGCCATGGCCATCGAGGCCGTTACCCAGCTCCACGAGTTAGACAATGAGTCGGACGACTCGTCCAAGGCCACCATTGACAGCTACGTGCTTCGCGATATCGACATCAAGAAAGCCCTGGTCACCCCCGACACCGAAGACGGCATCGAGGTGCTCACCAGCCTGCGCCCGTCCGTGTTTGGCGCTCCCTTCTGGGACTTTAGCGTGTCATCGGTGGATATTGATGAAAACAAAACTACGACATGGAAGGAACACATGACCGGCAGCGTGGCCATCAACGCAGCCACCACCACCTCTCGAGGAAGCCAGAAGAAGCCCAAGCCGCGCACACCCCCCGACGACCTGACGCAGCGGGCCAGTGGCAAGACTTGGAACCAGGCGCTGCGTGCTGTGGGCTTCGACTACGGGCCGACCTTCCAGGACATGGACAACGTGCGCTTCGACGGCAAGCGGTATGTGGCCACTTGCACCACCAATGTCAAACGCGAGGTCGATCCCACCTTGGGCGAATCCCGTTACCCGCTTCACCCGGCCGTCGTCGACTCCACGCTCCAGCTCAGCATTGCCGCCATCTATGCTGGACGCACCAGTGCCATGGACTGCGGCGTGGTGCCTGTCCAGGTCGACCAAGTGACCATCTGGCCCCCGACCGACGAACAAGTCGCCCACAAGTCGGCTAATTGTTATGCTTGGGTCGACCACCGAGGTACCCGGACCTTTGAGAACAGCGTGCAGATGACATCGACAGCCGGCGAAGCGAGTGAGGGCGAACTGATCATGGAGATTGTCAACGTCCGAACAACTCGCTACGAAGCGGCAATACCACAAAAGGCCGAAGACCATGTTCCCCTCGAGCCTGCCCCCTACGGAGAGATGGTCTGGCAGCCTGATATCGATCGCCTCGTCCACACCAGTGGTCACACCCTAAGCAAAATCAAGTTGCCATCGGAGCTCGTCAGCCTCGGCTTGTTCAAATATCCAGGCCTCAAGGTTCTTGACGCCGCGTCCGACCTGGCCGCGGCCAAGGATCTGCTCAGCTCCTACCCCTCAGCTCCCTATACGCTGGCTGTGGACGGGGATTCCTTGTCAGAACCCTTCTCGGAAACCGAGGTGAAGTCTGAGCTCGAGTCGGGGTCCGGGCCCCAACATCGTCTTGTCAACACGGCTGTGACGACGATTCAAGCGTTGACTGCGACGTCGTCTGCCCCTGATTCCGCCCCTGAAGAGTCTGAGTCCCCGTCCGAGTCGCCGCCGTCCGCCTCTTACGACATGCTCGTTGCGCCTGCTCATCTTGTCCTCGCGCTGCAGGGTTACGTGAAGCCCGGCGGCTACATTGCGAGCGTCAGCAAGGATGACGGCTCCATCGCCCTCAGCCGTAAGGTTACCCCCTCCAGTGAGAACGAGTCGGCCCAGGCCACGGAATCTACGTCGCCCGGAAATGATACTACTTTCACCAACCTGGATATCGCGCTTGTCTTCCGGAGCTCCCCCGACTCAACCATCAACAAAACCAAGCTTGCTATCGAGGCAGCTCTTAGCTCAAAGTCAGAGTCAGACTCGCATCAGTCAACAGTGCGCGTGCACATACGCAGCCTGCAGTCCTACGTCGAGGATGCTCACCTGGATGGTCCGGTAGCAAGCCATGTCGTCATGCTTGCCGATCTCGAGGCAGCCTCAGTTGCCTCCCCTCTCCTCTCGTCCCTCACCGAGACCGAGTTCTCGGCCATTCAACGCATCACCGACTCTTCCTCTTCCCTGCTCTGGGTCACCAACGGGGGCCTACTGGAAGGCAAGCGACCCGATCACGCCATGGCCTCGGGACTCGCCCGCGTTGTGCGGTCCGAGCAGGCCTCGTTGGACTTTAGGACGCTTGACGTTGACACTGACGAGTCGGACGACGTTGGCGCTACCACCTCTGCCATCGCCGACAGCGTTGCCCGTGTCGTCCACTGCCAGGTGGCGGCCAAGGCCAGCAAGGGCACGCCAGCCGACGAAGAACTCGACGAAGAACGTGAGATGTGTCTCTTCAAGGGCGAAACGTACATCAGCCGTCTTGTTCGCAACCGGGAGTTGAACCATGTGTTTGCCGACTCTGCCTCTGCCTCCGACAAGCCGGCACTCGGCTCGTTCGTGCCTGGACGAGACCGCTTATCCGGCCGAATTCGACAAGGAAAGGTTGTATTTGAGCATGTATATCATCAAGACGAGACTAGAGCGAACTCAGCAGAGCCTGCAGAGCTTGAGCCGGGTACTGTCAAAGTGGCTGTCGAATGCAGTGGCTTGACAAGGGAAGGGGTTCTTGCCATTACCGGGGCTGACTACCCGACCACCTTTAGCCATGAGCTGGGAGGCGTCGTTGTCCGCACTGGGCCCGGCGTCACACACCTCGTGCCCGGAGACAATGTTGTCGGCTTCCACATTGATCGTTTCTCGACCGTGCAGCACGTCCCGGCGACCATGCTTCACAAGCTCGGTCCCGGTCAGGACATGACGACCGTGGTTAGCCTACTCATGGCGTCTGCCACGGCGCTATATGGTTTAGACGTGCTGGCGAGATTGCAAGCCAGGGAAACCATCCTCGTGCTCCACCAGACTGGTTTCGTCGGTGTGGCCGCCGCCATGATTGCGCGCGCGCGAGGCGCAACCGTCTATATCGAAGCCGAGACGCAGGAGGAGATGGAATTCCTGCAAGATCGCGTCGGCTTGGCTCCGGGACAGATCCTTTCGGACCTTTCAGGGTCCAACAACGGCCAGCAAAACCGGCTCTCCGACCAGATTGCCGCACTCACCGGGGGCCGTGGAGCTGACGTCGTCTTCAGCGTCGGTGGTGCAGTCAAACCGAGCACAGCGCGCGAGGCCTGGCGGTGCATTGCCCCGTTCGGCCGCTTCTTGGACGCCAGCCCAGGCCGCAAAAACGCGGGCGCCCAAAGGCAGGCAGCCCTCGACGCGATGCCCGTTCGACGCTCTGCGCAATACCTACCTTATGATGTGTTAGATCTCCTCGAAACACGCCCCAACACCATGGCTGCCTTACTACCGTCCATCTTGGAACATGTCAGCATTGGCGCCATCCACGCTCTCGGCAAATCCGTGGTCCCAACCACCCTCTGCGATCTGGCCGCGGCCATTTCAACCTTTTCAGACGCCTTTGGATCTCCCAAGCCTGTCCTCGTGCTCGACGCGCCGTGCGAAGACGCCCCCATCATCACAGCACCGCCGCGGGACTCGCCACGGTTCAAGTTCAACCCCGACGTGGCTTATCTCCTTGTCGGCTGTCTCGGCGGCCTCGGCCGTAGCTTGACGCGATGGATGATGGCGTCGGGCGCCCGGCGGTTCCTTTTCCTGTCCCGCTCCGGTACGGACGCGCCCTCTGCCGCCAAACTGGTCGACGACCTCGCCGCAGCCGGCGCTACCGTCCAAGTGGTCCGAGGTGACGTTGCCAACAGATCAGACGTGCTCCGCGCCGTCGAGCAAGCCCCCCCGACCAGCCCGCATCCCATCCGAGGCGTCATCCACGCTGCCATGGTCCTCCGAGACGCCGTCTTCCACTCCATGCCCTACTCCAGCTGGACCAGCTCGCTGGCGCCCAAGGTCCAAGGCGCCATGAATCTGCATTCCGTACTCGTCGAAGAGTTGGATCTCCCCCTCGACTTCTTCCTCATGACCAGCTCCGTGTCGGGAATCCTCGGTACCCCCGGCCAGGCCAACTACGCCGCCGCCAACAGCTACCTCGACGCTCTGGCCCGGCACATGAACAACCGCCAGCAGCGCAGCGGCACCAAAACCAACACGGCCATATCCTGCATCCTCCCCATGGTCCTCGGCGTCGGCGTCGTCGCAGAGAACGATGAAATCGAGGACGCCCTCCGCCGCAAGGGCATGTATGGCATCGACGAGGACCACCTGCTGCAGTCGTTCGAGGCCGGCCTCGCCAGCCTCGCCAGCCAGTCCGCCGAGTCCAAGTCCCAGTCCGACCACATCGTCATCGGTCTCGACCCCATGCTTCTGCGCCGAGCCCAGGCCGAGGCCGCATCGGACGATGACGAGTCAGACGCCAGCTTCTGGGTTGACGATGCGCGCTTCCGTCACGTCGTGCACGCCATGCGCGGCTCCGATTCTGCGGCGGCGTCGGGTGGAGGAGATGTGAGCATCCTTGCAGCGGCCGCATCGTCGTCGTCGCCGGCAGAGGCGGTGGCGATTATCCAGAGTCACTTTGTGCGCAAGTTGGCGACCATGTTGATGATGGACGAGGAGAGTTTTGACGTCGCGTCTGGGTCGATCGCGTCGTACGGTATTGATAGCATGATTGGTGCTGAGTTGAGGAATTGGATCTTTAGGGAGTATCGGATTGACATGCCATTTCAGCAGTTGCTTGCGCCGAGTTTGACGATTGGGAAGTTTGCGGGGCAGGTTTGCGCGTCTGTTGGGGTTGGGGTTGAGGTTGAGGCTTAATTAATCCGTTGGGAGGATGGTGCACGTCTTGACTCTTGATTTCAATTATTAGGCGGAGTTTTTTGGGAGTTGGGAAATTGCTCTTTTCGATTTGTTGATTCCGATTTTTGAGTTTGCATTTGCATTTAATTGACAGTCACATTGGAACATTCTTGGGGACTGACTGTGAGAGGAGAGGGATTTCGTTTTGGCTTGCGTTACCGGGAATTACCTACCTAATTAACTTTCATGTATGGACCCATGGACTACACTCTTGATTGACCTTTCCCGTGCCTAATCTAGGCTACGGTTCGACTTAGCTTAGGTGTTATTAGATGGACAATGCGTAGAGTTTCATGCCCCAAATTCTTTCTTCTCTTTTTCCAAGTTTAGAAATTCCTCATGATATTGCTGAATGCCAAGGCTTTTGTTTGACCGCAATACAAAGCGTTGCGTGTTTGCGGAGCCAAACCGGGTTTGCACGCTCCGAGGTGCGGCTTCCATTGTCCCCCAGGTGCGCCCTCGGCGCTTACCCCGACCGCGCCAAAAATTTGGTGAGCCGGTTAACTCCCCGCCAGGTTCAGAACGTCAGGGCTCAGAGGCGATTCGGAGACCACGGGACCGATAGATAATACCGAGTAAGACCGAGCGGCGAGCGCCGGCCGAAGTTTCCCTTTATATCGTTTGCTGGAATTATATCATGGCGGTGACGTGCCCGGGTGTTCTCACCGTCTTACTTTGTCGCACAATACCTACCTTGACAAGTGTTGCCCATCCATCCAGAAATGTCCCTCGAAGGCTTCCCCACGCTCCAGCCCGCCTTCACTATTAAAAGTGGCGGCGCCACTGAGAGATTTCGTATTGGGAACTCGTCCGTCGGTGGGGGTCTAGTTGCTATCGTGAGTTTCTGCCCCTCGAATCTGCTATGAATTAGAACCGGGATCCAACACCGCATCCAGCCCTTTTACAACGGCGTCATCGAGTCCGTGCCGAACTTTACCCCCAAGTTCAAGTTCACCATCAGCAACGGCATTGACTATGTCACGGTCGACGAGGACGGTAAACATGGCCGGTTTAACGTCAAGGCGGTCCTAACCGATGATGAGGGCCGTAACCTAGTGTTGAGCATCGACGCCATCACCGAGCTGCATCCGGACGTGGTGGCCATCATCGAAGGTACGCCCGACGCCAAGTCAGCTCCGTTTGGGTATTGCGTCGAGCAGCTTAAGTTCTGGGTCGGCGATGAGGTCTACAAGCCGTTAGAGAGCATGTATTTTGTCAGCAGCCAGCGGTTTACCGTTGCGGAGGATGGGACGGCTGGGGCCGAGCTGCGCGTGTCGAGGGTGGTTTCGGGGATCTGATTAGCGTTGATCGAGGCGTCGAGAATCGAGATCGGACGGCCGAATGAAGATATAAGAATAATAAGATCAAGATACGAGACCAATCGGAGAATTATCATCTTGAGGCCAAGGTTTGGGTCCGATGTTTTTTTATCGTGATTCGTGCATCTTCATCGCGGGAAGGACCATGACGTACAGGTGGCTTGAAGAGATCCCGAGTGCCGGCATGCCGCATTACCGTGATGGTCACGTAATTTAAATTACACAATACGTAACTACTTGATACTTCTGTACAAGCTGGGGGATGTATATCCCCGTCGCCGGGACGGTACCTTGGTACCTGATCGAAGCCGTGGAAGTGAGCAACGATGTGCCCAATCGACAATGCTTTCCAATCCTGCTTGCCAGGATCTCGGGGGTGTCCTCCGCGCTTCTCCCCAATCGTCAATTTCCAACCATGGTTTGAATGCCGCCGCTGAGAAATCGTTGTCAAAGTGCCAATCAGAGCTCATGGATGGTTGCCGGATCTGGCAAACGCGGGCCGCACTTTTCCGCACCGCCGAGCAACTCAGCAAACAAGTACAGAGGTACGTACCTCTTATACCCGAACATGCAGACGCTTCACAATCGCGGGCCGCACTTCCCCGCGTTGCTTACATAGTAGCTATTAGGCAAAGCAAAAGTTTGAGTTCGGCGATGTCCACTACAAGCCACCTCCATCAGGGTATTAGCCACGGCGATAATTGATCATTATTAGCTAATCATCCTGTTTTTGTACATGGCATGTTTGTCGGTGTCGGAGAGTCTTCCAAATAAGCACCAAGTGACCAATTCGACATCTTTGAGGCCTAGTAAACAAATTTCTGGCCAACCAGCTCTTCACTCAGGTCCCACAGCCTCCTCGCTTCGGCGGTGCTGGTCCCCCACGGCTTGACGGTGTCGGTAACCGGGTTGGCAACCCGGCAATCTGTCAGATACGCTCCGTTGTGTGCTGAGAAAGCCACTGTTAGATGAAATAATGAAACAAATGCATCTGCCGGCTGCCGGCCCTAGGATACACTCTGCTTACCGTCCAAATCCGGGCCAAAGGCAGCAAAGACGTGGTTCGCGGCGCAATGTTGCGGCGATCGGAATGGAACCGGTCCCTCAACGTTGCCGAGGAAGACGTCCAACTCATCTGCGACATCAAACGTAGTTACGTGATCAGCCTTGTTCTGACTTGACAACCAAGCGATTAACACTCACGAATAACCGGCACCTCGCTCGCAAAGCCTCCACTGATATGGGCGTCAAGATGGGTAGGTGCAAAGCCGGGGTGCACGCAAAACGCCGATAGTTTCTTCGGGCCGGAGCCCAACTTTTCCGCCAGCGCCAACGCCATCAGCATGTTGGCCGTCTTAGATTGTCCATAAGCCTGCCACTTGTTGTACGACGCGCCGTCGTGGAAGTTGATGTCGCCCCAGCGAATCGGGTTCCACCGATGGCCCTCGCTGCCAAGCATCACCACTCGTGGCTTGTCAGCTGCCAGCAGCTTGTCCATGACTAGGTTCGTAAAGAGAAACGGGCCCAAGTAGTTGACAGCCAGCGTCATCTCGACACCGGCATCGGATCGTTCGTAGTCAATGCCCATGACGCCGGCGTTATTGACCAAGACGTCGATCCTGGGAACGTCATCCCAACCCTGCACTGCCTTGGCAGCCTGGCGCACTGCCGCAAGCGAGCCCAGGTCGAGCTCCAAGAGGCGAACCTTGACATCAGGATGCCGAGTGGTAATGGCGTCGGCTGTCTGCCGCACTTTGGCGAGTGATCGGCCGGCCAGAATCAGCAAAGCCGGTTGAGCGGCTGCGACGCTCTCCACGAAGGCCGCCCCTAGGCCGCCGGGAGAGACGCCGGTTGTCAGCACCACCTTGCCCTTGATTTGGTCGGCTACATCCTGCACCACCTCGCTTGCCGTTGTCTCGGAGTTGTAGGCTCGTGCCATGGTGATTCAGCACTTCAGAGGCGGGTCGAAAATTGGACCGGGAGTTTAGGTTGATGATGTGTGTTTGTCAAACTGTTTGTAAGCCGTGCGCAGCGGAGACATCATGACATGCCGTCAAAGGCCCTTTTTGTAATTCCTTTGCCAGCTGACATACCGGCGATGCCTTGGCCACACACCGGGTTACCGGCCGCGAGGACCGATCCGCTGACACCGGACGCCGGCCTTGAGGACTTGGACCGCTGAACGGAGCCGGGAGAATCAGAAGAGTGCACTCCGGCCCTCCGCATTGGCGGGCTTGGCGGGGTTACCGGCCCCGGGATGGGGCAGCGCCGGGATCGACCAGAAATGCCCGATTCTCATCTTCTTTGTGTTGCTATTGGTCAGCGCCGATGCCAGTGCCGTTTGTCATGCAGGGGATTGCTACGCTAAATCGCGGAGAGTGCGGCCCGCGCTTGTCTCCCACACCAGAATGCCCACCCATGGCACCCAATAAAGGTGGTTCCTTCCCAAAGCAAGCAACTAAACCCAGAAATTTGTGCTAAGGCAGAATTGAGAATCGACAAGCTCGCACGCAGCTCCCACACAAAATGGGTGACGACACGCCGAACAACTTGAAGCTCGAGGAGAAGGAGGCGGGTACCGAGTCATCAGAGCTGGGCCTGGAACCGGAGACCCAAGCCCAACCTGCGCCGCCTCCTCGGAGTATTTCTGGCTGGAAGGTATGTACATACAGACGCGGAGAGATATCGTACTTAGGTAAGCTGCAAGTTCTTGGAAGATCAAGGTGCTGACAATCGGTCTCAAAGTGGGGATTTGCTTACTGCTCCCTCTTGTCCGTCACGTTCCTCTTTTCCCTCGACAACACCATTGTAAGTCAGGAGTCTCAGGGCCGTCAGGTTTCCCTCTCCGCCCCGGATTCACGACCGCTAAAACGACAAAAATTCTAGGTCGCCGCCATCCAGCCCTCCATTCTCGAAAGTCTCGGCAGCGTCAACCTCCTCGCATGGATCGGCGTCGGTTTCCCCCTCGGCAGCACGTGCGTCCTTGCCTTCTCCAAGGCCTACGGCGTCTTCAACATCAAATGGCTCTTCATCTTCCATGTTCTTCTTTTTGAGGTCGGCAGTGTCATTTGCGGTGCCGCGCCCAACATGCCCGCCATGATCTTTGGGCGCGTTATCGCCGGTGTCGGAGGATGCGGCATGTACTCGGGATCTCTCACGTATCTCGCTGCCATGACGAGCATGGCTGAGAGGCCCCTCTACACTGCTGGCGTTGCTGTTGCCTGGGGACTGGGAAGCGTACTTGGCCCCGTGGTCGGCGCAGGATTCGCCGAGAGCGGCGGCACGTGGAGATGGGGCTTCTACATCAATATCCTCATCGGTGCCGTTTTCGCCCCCTCGTACATCTTCCTGCTGCCAGGTCTCACGCTCCAGAACACAGCCAAGACGATCGGGGAGAAGCTCAAGATGGTGGACTTTGTCAGCATCATCATTTTTGCCGGTGGCGCCGCTTGCTTCAACATGGCTATCACCTTCTCGGGATCCGTCTTTGCTTGGTCTTCGGGCTCGGCTATCGCTCTCTGGGTTATGGTCGGGGTGCTTCTAATCGCCCAGATCGTGACAGCTCTCTGGCATCCCGGTGTATCATCCGACCACCGCCTCATTCCGGTGCACTTCTTCAAGCGGCCCGTCATTCTCAATCTCGGCTTACAGATGGCGCTGGTCTCGGGTACCATGATGGGTTTCGTCTACTACATTCCGCTCTTCTTTGCTTTTACTAGGGTATGTGTCCCCAAGCGTCCAAGGTGCCACATGGGAGCATGCTGCTAACCTGTGGTTATTTCGTAGGGCGACGCCCCGATCCAAGCCGGCGTTCGACTGCTGCCGTTTGTAGCTCTTTTGGTATTTGGGGCGATTACAAGCGGCTCGATCATGCCCAAGAACGGCTTGTACATGCCGTGGTACGTTGCAGGCGCGGCTTTGGTCACCATTGGCTGCGGGTTGATGTGTAAGTCGCCTTGAATCCCTTGATTACCTTGTCCCCACTAACACCACCGCCCGCGAACAGACACGGTAGAGACCAACACTCCTCCGGCTAACGTCTATGGCTACACGATCCTCGCCGGTCTCGGCGTCGGTTTCTACGTTATGGCCGGCGTCGGCGTAAACCAGGCCCTGGTTGAGCCGCACGACATTCCCAATGCTGTCGGCTGGCAGGCTGTCACCCAAGTCATTGGCGCCATCGGTTATCTTTCCGTGGCTGGAAACATCTTCTACAACACGGCCGTCAGCAACATCCGACCGCTTCTGCCTGCCGACACCGATATTAGCTTCATTGCCGACCTAATTGCTGGCACAAGTGGCGAAGCGTTCAAGAGCCTCTCCCCCGAGGTGACCAAGCTTGTTATTGATGCCCTTACCAAGAGCATGCGCAACGTCTGGATTTGGTTCCTCTCTGGTGGCGCGTTGAGCTTCGTCCTCAGCCTGTTCCTCAAGGTAGGCTTGTCTCTCCTAGGCGATACCTGCATGGTTGCTAACCTGATCCAGCGCGAACGATTGACTATCCCCGGTTAAACTACCCAATGATGACGAAACGGTGTGTCTCTTAGTAACAGACGAGAGTGGTCCATAGGTGCGGAGACAAAATTGTCGAGTGAGATAGACGAGGGTTGCCCGCTAGAGATGATTAATTAGTCTAACAAACAAGCCTTGTGGGTGCCAACGATGTACGCTTCGGGGAGCCGCTGGAAGACTGGGAACATGGGCCAGCGGCCACGGAGGTGCATGGAAAGCCGGAGGGGGCGTACCAGGTGCGATTTGCATATGCGGCCTTGGCTCCGCCGAACATGCTGGTGGATTCCGAAGAGGGGAAAATCAGGGGCATAATCAACTGGGAGTTTGGGGGAAGGGGGGGGCAAGTCGCCCAGGATATTTTGTTAATATAGTTGATTTCCATAACAATTCGCCTCGCCGGAACCATCACATCTGTTCTTAACTTTCAATCACGGCCTCAAGGCATAATATATAGTAACTTACACCATTTAGAACCACAACTAATATACGGCCATAAGCAGTAGGCAACTCGGGATCCCTTCCGCGCTCCCCTCGATAAACTCCTCACGGTCAGTTGTTAAGATGGCCGTCTCGCCGTTCCTGTCGGAGAAGCAGGGTGCCTTGCGTGTCTCGAGGCCACATGCCGCAGCTAAAAAGTCGGGCCTTCCCCTCACAATCGACCAAGCCTAGATGTCTCGCAGATATGGTGCTGTTATCCTCGACAACCCCACCGGCAGCCTACGCTACCGTAGCAAGCGACAACGAAAGGCGGACGAGGACGATGGGCTGCTCTTAGAGACCGACATTGACGATAGACGGGTGGTGTACCCGAAAGTACAAGGCGAGTGGTTTCTTTCATAGCAGTCGATGAAGCTGTTGCTAATTATCGTCTTGAAGCATCTAACGTTATTGATTCGAGCCTATTGACCATAAGCTTGGATTTATCGATACGTATAAGAAATGGAACTTCTTGTTATCCGGTCATACTTTTACTATTATATGAGTGCTTAATGTAGTCGCCGTATTTCGTCTTTTCACGGTTATTTTAACTAATTCTCTTTCTTTTATGTTTTCAGGTTTTACCATATTCCCAATTCTTCTCTCTTCTTTTTCCAATTACATGACATTACATCATTCAATGTCCTTTCCCCCATGTAAAATGAGAAACAGGCGAAATGTTAGGTCAGTAGGGTCATTTGGTGTTTGTTAACATCTCAATTGTCCCTTAATGGAACCTTGTGAGACAAATGTAAGCGAACGGATATTCACGGTCAGTGGTGCGCTGGCTGCGCAGTTTCCGAGACGACAAACGGCTTCATACTACCAAGGGTGCTGAAAATTGAAATATACAGCGTTACATAATCCGTGGCATGGTTGCTCGGCAGGTTTGTTGACATCGTGATAGGAATATTTCTGTTGTCATGAAGTTAATTCTACACGAGTTCGTGGCCGGCATGGTGAAAGGCGAAAGGCCGAATGTTTGCATCGCATCCGGGATATCTCCGAGCTGACGCTCGTTGTGGAATTTCGGTCAAACGAGAAAGGGGCGTTAAACTTATTTTCAGGGGTTCAGGGACGTTGAGTGGCGGCGTCCCTGGAGGCCAAGACTTGATGGGTCCCGCGAAAGCCGAAGTGGCACGACACGGAAACGGTCGGATCCGCTCAGGAAAGAGCGAATCACAGCCCATTGTTGTCTCCCGATTGCAATTTCAAGTTGCTCAGAGTGGAGCCCGGCCCGCTGACCGAGGGTGGAGTTGGATTTTTTTGCTGGTCTGCCCTCCCAGGGGTCCGTCGCGCGCTGTTTTGCGCGCCGAAAATGCTGGTTGTGAAATTGTTCTTGACCGGGAACTCATCAACCTCAAACCGTCTCACTCACGCGCTCCATTCCGGGCACAACAATTGCATGAGTGTTCATCCATCATCCGCCACCAGCCATGGACGTCGCTCTTGAAATCCTCGACCCGCTGGTCTTTGACAAGGCCTACGCCTACCTGGTACCCGCGCCAACAGCAGCAGCGCATTTCAATGGCTCCTCAGCAGCGACGACACACGACGCGCTCGCCTACACAACAGACTTCGCCGGTGCCGCTGGCTCTGCCTGGGCGCGCGACAACATTGTGCGCCAATGTATCTCCATCCTCATCGTCACCCAGATCGGCGCCTCGGGCCTGTACTGGGTGTTTAGCGCCCTATCGTACTACCTCATCTTTGACCGCCGTCTCGAATACCACCCGCGCTTCCTGAAGAACCAGATCCGCCAAGAGATGGTGTCGTCGATGAGCGCTGTGCCCTTCATCAATATCCTCACGTTACCGTGGTTCCTCGCTGAGGTGCGCGGCAAGAGCTTGCTCTACACGAATGTCGAAGACTACGGCTGGTCGTGGATGCTGGTGTCGACCGTGCTTTTCATGATCTGGAATGATTTCTTGATCTACTGGATTCACCGGCTCGAACACCACCCCAGTGTTTACAAGTATATCCACAAGCCGCACCACAAATGGATCGGTACGTTTTTTGTCATCTGATATCAGTCACCGGTTCAACGAACCTTTTGCTCACCATTCCGGCAGTTCCGACGCCCTGGGCCGCGCTCGCCTTCCACCCTCTCGACGGCTACGTCCAGTCGCTCCCTTACCAGTAAGTTTGCTTCTTGATTTATTCCGTATTAGCTCATCATCACTAACGTACCTCTAGCATGTTTGTCTTCATCTGCCCGGTACAAAAGTACCTCTACTTCATCCTCTTCGGGCTGGTGCAGATCTGGACCATCCTAATCCACGACGGCGACATGATCTCGGGCCACTGGCTCGAGAAGTTCGTCAACAGCCCCGCTCACCACACCCTGCATCACATGTACTTCACCGTCAACTACGGCCAGTACTTCACTTGGGCCGACAGCTACTTCAACTCCCATCGTGCCCCACAACCCGAACTTGATCCGCTGCACGAGGCACTGCGCGTCATGCGCGAGAAGGGCCTGGTCGATGAGAAGGGTGAGCCGATCCCCCAGGCGAAGAAGGGGACGGGGAAGAAGGGTGGAAAGGACGAGTAAAGGGGTGGGTTTTGGAAGAAAGCAACAAAAGTGGTGGTGGTGTGGTTTTAATGCTTGTTTGGGGGAAGGATACCACTGCGAGGGACTTCCGAAACGAGAGCGACGAGACGAGCGAGACGATAAAAGATGCGTCACGGGAATAAAAGGTTCAAAATTTGCAGCGACGAGGAAGACACCAGGGCGGCCGAACTGTTTAGAAAGAAAGATGGGCGCTCGAAGGTGTGTTGGCATGGGTTTTCATCACGCGGGTAACGAGCACCGATTGCGGAGTGGGATCGGGGGGACAGGCCAGGAGGGGGCGTTGGACATATGCATGCCTTGCGAAGTGAGGCCGGGTTTTTTGTCTTTTTTCATCCTTCCTCTTTCATCCTTCTTCTCCTTCTCCTTTGCTTCCTTATTTCAATTTCGGGCCACCCTTTTCGAGTTTGAGCGTCATCTGTTTACTGCGCCGGCTCCTTTTTAATTCATAGACCTTTAATTTGATGACGCCGTTACGACCAGCTTTGCTTCGAGCGGGGGAGGGGGCTTGCTTTGATGTCGAGTTGTCAGCACTGTTGTCCTGCGGTCAAGACGTTATGGAGGAAGTGAGCTGCAGAGAGGAGGCACACAGTTATGAACAACCATCATGCCAAGATGTCCGCGGCCCAGGAGAACCAGGGCTGCTATTTTAAACAAGCTATTTCTTCATGGCTCCAAATCACAGGAAATCAAACAACGGCGGGCGAGCTAAGCAACGTTGAGAAACCCGGAACACCGATTAGCGAAGCTTAACGGCAACGATCGTCATTCCCCCACGATTCTTGCTCGGGCTTCTCCAACTCAACACCGACATCTTGGCATCTAGGCTGGATTGGTGATATTTTTTCCAAAGCTCCGTGAAACGAAGGACGAAAACAGGGCTCGACATATCGCCATCGCGCATTTCCTTGCGATTTAAAACACCAAACGATGTCCCCAATTCTTTGCTTCCAAAAAACCTTCGGACCTGGACCATCCGCGCCAATGCGACCCGGGAGCAGGGGACGCTGCCTTCCTAGCCAATGGAAACCTCCGCACTTCTTCCTTTCCGTCTACCTGGTCGTCGCGCGCAACACAAGCACGCTGGCCACGAGGTGACCAAGAACAGAACTCAGGACAGCACGCAATGCGCTGCCTGCCTGCGCTGCACTGTAAACCTGCAGTGGTTGTCCAATGTAGCAATACATATTCCTGCGATGGCTGACTGAGCATTTCGTGGTTTTTCGCGTCCCACCAGGACACACAGAAACAGCCGACGCAACCGAGCATTCCGCTGGTCGCTTTCAGCAAGCTTTCCGGAATCCGGATCCTCGTGAATTGAGCCCTCAGTAGGGTAACTGGCTCGGAGTACACTATGTACCCCAGGCTCCGTCGGGTACAAGCCGAGAGGGTTCTTGATAAACGGCAATCGGGGGATGTTCGTTTCCAGAATACCATTCCCCTTAGGGTGGTAACCCAAGAACCCCAATGCTGACCATCTTCCCACCAATTCCCCCTCTTCCCCTCCTCCACACACTCAGCCTGATCTCCAACGCAATAAACGGAACCGGCCCCAGACTTGCGGATCGGCCGCAGCCCGCCCCCCCTCTCTTGGAACGAACACCTGGATCTCGCCACCCCTTAACCTCATCTATCTGCAAGGCGTGAGAAGTCCCTTTGTAATATCCTGCATTCCCCGGACTGTCGAAAAGAAACATAACCCTTGTTTTGGGGCAAAAGGAATACGAATATTGATTACATGCAATCTGGGGTTGTATCCGGGGTGGTCTCGGCATAAGGAATTCCCACAAGTCCATTACAAACCTCCACACACACTCTCATACACGTCAGACCAGGGCAGCATCTTACCATCAATCCGCCCGCATCTCATCCGCGCAGCGAGGGCAAGGCACACGCGAAACGTTGTATAGTGGCAAGGTGGTCAGCGTTGCAGGCCAAGGTTCATCATCTATCCGCCCGGCCCGGCTCAAACCTAGACCGGGTTCATACCCCAGATCGGCTCGTCAATTCAACCTTGACAGGGGGGGTGCGGAGCAAGAAGGAGTTGAACTTTGTCTGTCAGCCATGGCGGAGGATAAAAGCCAGGGTAAGCCCATTCCGGGCGACGGAGGAGGTGAGCTTTTCAGGATTTCTTTGCGCCCTTGCCGGTTTTCGAGGTTGTCTCTGTAGCATTGGCCGTCGTCGTCTCCCTGCCCTCTTCTTTGGTTTTTGAAAAAAGCAGGATCGGAAGGACAACATGAAGTTCTCACTCCCTCTTTTAGCTGCCGTCGCCGAGGCCGCTGTGATCGGCGGACGGGCGGATATCCCACCCCCTGGGGACGATGGTCGGTACACGATCTCTTCGGATGGGATCAAGGCTCAGGTATGTTGCTGGGAGGGTTGGGTGAGAGGGGACCCTGAAAAGGATATTGGATTGCTGACCGGCTCTGGTAGTTCATCCCCTATGGTGCTTCCTTGACCAACCTGTTTGTCAAGGACAAGAACGGGGATGACATTGATGTAGTTTTGGGTTATGACGATGCCGCGTACTACCGTGAGTCGAGTTCTGTCCCGGTTTACTGCGTAGATTTGGGCAACGACTGACGCTCCCTCAGCCGTGGACCCCGGACACCCGGTGTACAACTCCATCCCGGGCCGGTACGCCAACCGGATCGGCAACGGCACGTACACGCTCAACGGCGAGACGATCCACACGGAACAGAACGACGGCAACAACACCCTTCACAGCGGCACCAACAACTGGTCCTACCGCGTGTGGGAGGTAACCGACCTGCAGGACGACGCCATCACGTTTGCTATTCTTGACAAGTCCAACTCGTCTCTGGGTTTCTTTGGCGACGTCCAGGCATCTGTGACCTATTCGGTTAAGGGGTCGAAGTGGAACATCAAGTTCACGGCGGAATCGCTGGATCAGGATACCCGTACGTTTTCCCCCCTCCTCTCTGTCCGTCCAATTTTCCTTCAAGGAGTGGGATGTCCAGTGTGGACGTGATGTGCTAATATGCCCATGCAGCGCTGCTTCTCACGCACCACACCTACTTCAACCTCGACGCCTTCCGCAACCCCGACCAGCCGCTCATCTGGGACCACAAGCTCTCCCTGCCCTATTCCCAGCGCTACCTCGAGGCCGACCAGAACGCGCTCCCAACGGGCCAGATCCTGACCGCCGAGCCCAACTCCATCAACGACTTCGCTTCCTCGCCTGACCTCACGCTCGGCCATGCGCGTGACCTACCCGGATTCGAGGGCAACTGCGGGGCTGACGGCGCGTGCGAGGGGTATAACGGCTACTTCCTGATTGAGGACGCGCCCGAGGATGCGGTGGTGGCGACCCTGGCGAGCGAGTTTTCTGGTGTCAAAGCGGAGTTGCGGACTGATCAGCCGGGCATCGTGCTCTACTCGTGCAACTGGATGGATGGCACGGCTGACCTGAAGAGCACGCAGGGCATTGAGGGGGTCAATGAGAAGGTGGTCAGGAGCAGCTGTGTGGCCATTGAGGCGCAGGACTACCCCGATGGGATTAACCAGTGAGTTTTGTTGATTCCTTCTTCCAATCTCCATTTGTCCCTCCGCATTTCGCGATCACGCGTTGTTCCTTCCCAGATTCGGGTCATTCCTGTTTTGAAATTCGCGATTCCGTCATCGCTTCCTATTTTTTACATCATTTTGACCTTGTTTGGGTGGACATGCTTGATGATGACGATGCACGATGACTGACTCACGGACAACAACAGCCCCGAATGGGAACGCCTTGACGCACAGATCTATGGCCCCGGGCGGACCTACAACTGGGAGACCTCGTGGACTTTCAGCCTGCTTGAGTAAGGTAATCAAGTAATGTCCGGGTACACCGTACTTGCCTGTTGTGTGGCATTGGTCCGTCCAGACATGGAAAGGAGGACCTAAGAAAGACGTTGGAAGTGCTGGGGGACGGAAAATAGATAAGGTACCTAGTTACTCCGATGAACATACCTACCTCGCCATTCCAAGTTGGTTGTCCCCGCCACAAACAAATCCGGGCTTTCCCGGTTGTGATGAAAATACCGCAGCTGCGTGACTCGCACCCACCCCTTATTGTGTAAACATTGCATAACAAGGCCAGGAAGGCATCAACGGAACAACCTTCAATGAACAACTACGCTGTTCACGGGCCCCCTGGATTCACCTATAAATACATGTCCTCGCCCTCCCCTGCCCTCAATTCCTCTTTTCCAACTTTCCAGATAAACACATCTCATCAACCATTAATCAAACATCACTCAATCATCAGTCGCCCGTTGATCACACCTTGATCACACCTTGATCAACCATCGACAACCTTCTTTGATCGCCTGATCAGTTCCCTTTTCAACAGTTCTCTCTCAATTTTCCCGGTCTCAGCCGTTCTCTTTTCCGACTTCCGACCATACTTGCCACCATGGACTCCGCGGAATACAATGAGACCCTCGACAAAATCATCGAGGATGCGCGCAGCAGCTTCCACCAAGTAAGCAAACCAGCGATCTTCTTGTCCTTCGCCCGCCCGGTGGCCCAGATGAAGAGGCTAATGCCGCCCGCAGGACCTGATCAAGAGGTTGTTGCTTCGCGAGTACAGTGGCGCGTTTCACCACAACAGGGAGGAACTGTTGAAATGGCTGGAAGTGGGTATGTATAGTCATTGTTGTCCTCAATAATTGTACCGCTGATGCTGACTCCTTTGGCCTTTTTGCTTTAGCTCTGGACCAGGTTGAGCACTTCTGCTGGGGACCCCACGACGAGGAGATTGAGGAAAGCCCGGGCTTCCCAAACGGCACCGGGTATTATCCTTCTCCAAAACCTGCGGCGGAGGATGGCAAGACCGCAGAGCTGATCTGCGACCTCCAGGAGAAGGTGGCCCAGCTGACTGTGGAGCTGGAGGGGTACCGGGCTGCCGTGCCGGACGGGAAGGAAGACGGGGTGGAATCGGCTGCGGAGGAGGAACGGAAGCAACGGTCGCCTAGTGAGGACGACGGCTGGGACTCGGTAAACCCGGAGACTGGGCGGGACGCGGAGCCTGGATCAACCGTCCCGGGCAAGTAGCCGCTTCCCTGGGCTGGGTTAGGAGGCAGGAAACTACGGGGAAAGGGTAGAGGAGTGGAGCGGTCGTGATTTTAGTGATACCCCAATGCGAATATTTCCGTTATTACTCCTGATGTTGACTTGAACGATGAAGAACAACTTCGAATGCTCAGAAAATATGAGGTACGATGAGTATAAGAACAAGTGAATGTATGGAACTTGATGCGACGTACGATACATACAACAGAAGCCGTGAAAATAAAATTATTGCTTGCACGATAACAACCCGAATCATCATGGCCGTTGGGGGCGATGATGATCGGTGATCGCCTTCAGTAATTGGGTTTGATGGCTTGGGGTTTCGTTTGTGAAGTGAACACCACCCTGATCATGTCTTACCTCCTAGCCAATCTTGTTCCTCCCCCCCCTTTTTCTTTGCTTTTCTTGGGGCTGGTTGGTCGACTTCTCATATGTTGTCCATGATGTTTGGTGGCTTGTGGAGTTTGAAGTGGAATAACAGCATATCGAGTACCTAGGGAGAAAGATCAGGTTTGCGCGGAGAAAAGCTCCCATGTTGAACTTGGACCTGACTTAGTGCGTGGAAGTGGAAGTGGAGGACAAACTTGCTCATTCGGGGGATATGGTCCGGATTTTTGAAAAGGGACGTACATGTACGGAGTAGAACATCATGATGCGTGCGGATGTGGAACGTTGGAAGGGAAGTGAGGTAATAATATGTATGTACACGAAAAAACATCCCGATCAGAGTATATAGGTCAGAAGGACACATCTGCGGACGGGGATCATCCACCGTAGACTAGAATAGCCAAGAAAAAGTAAAAATGATGTAATAGAGAAAACATGGTAACCATAGAAACTCCTGTTCTTTCGTGACAAAAAGATTTCTAAACAAACTCGATAGCCTTCATATAATACGCCATGCAAATAGTCCCTGTCGCCCGCGCGCACGCTGTCTTGAGTAACCTACTCGCTCATGCTCCGTACAGCAAATAATTCGGACACACTAGATTTACCCGTCCGTCCCACTTTACCTGGTTTGCCATTACATCCACCTAAAGCCCTTCTCTCATAATTCCATCTCCAAACACTTCCCGCGTCTATTTCGGCGCGACGTGTTTTACAGGGTGCAACATCATGTTAGGCAAGTACAACTTCCCCTCCATCTCACGAATGATCCATGGCCGCTCCATGTCCTTGTCCAGCTTACGGCCGTACCAGTCGTTGAACACATGACGCGACCATGTCGACTCCCACCAGAAAGACAGACCCTTGCCACGCGGGTGGTCCGAGTTGTCCGGGCCGAGACCTGATGAGCTGGCCCGCGGGCCGCCACGCCACCACCCGCGACGGTTCTCGACGTCGTCCTTGTCGCGGTGGAAGACTGGGTGCTGCGGGAAGGAAAGCTTGAGGCCGTGCCATAGCGCAAAGCTGGGAAGCGTAGCTTCCGAGGGGAGCCGAATGCCGTGCTCGAGTTGGGCTTGGTGAATGGCCAGGTACAGGTTGCGCGAGCCACGCTGGATGGCGGGCGGGCAGTAAAAGCGCGGGGTGTGTACGCCGGTTTGGAGGCCCCAGATCCATTCGCGGAAGATCCACTTGTTGGGGATGTTGGCGTCCATGCAGAAGGAGGTGAGCAGCGCGTCGGCGTCTTCGCCCACGCCCCATTCGAAGTGGTCGTCGCGCGGGTCGGTAACGGGAGGTTCCGGGCCGATGGGCAGGATCTCGCGCACGCGCACGGGGCCCCAGGCGTGCGAGCCGCCGTTGTTGGATTGGTTGACGGCCAGGAAGAACTCGCCGTAGTCGCCGGTCTCGGCGATCATGTGCCAGAAGCTGGACCGCTCGAGCGACTGCTTGCGGGGCTCGTTGCGGGCCGTGGCGGAGAGTCGATCGAGGAACTTGCCGGCGTCGCCGAGGAAGCGCATATCGAGCTCGAGTTGCCAGAAGTGGTCGAACTCGGGGTAATGGAGAGCGAGTAGCTGCATGGGCTGGAACACCTGCCACATAGTCCTACAGGGAAGGTAAGTTAGACACGGACGGAAACAAGGCCTGGGATGGGGACAAGGACGTACCTGTGTTCCTCAATCATGGGGTACCAGCTCTCCAGCAGACGGACGTCCCACAGCAAAGCAATGGACTGCAACTCAGGGGGGACGCCGGCGTCTTCAAGACCCTTCTTGTACGCCTCTTCCGAGGCAAAGATGTTGTTGTCGTACCCCTCGTAATCCTTCATATCGACAAGCAGGATGACTTGGTACTCGCCACCAGACTTAAGCGCGGTCTCGGTGATGAGCGAGCGGAGATAGTACATGTCTTCCGGCATGTATTTAAACCCGCGCCAAGCACGCACAACAATAGCCGTGCGCCGTGACGCCTCGAATTCATGCCAGTGACGGATCTGGGGAATCTTGGAAACGTGACGGAAGCCGAAACGCGGGGCCGCGACGCGGGTGTCTTCAAAGCGGGTGGCCGCAGCAGGGAAACGGTCGCGATTGCGTTGGAAGCAGTCGTTCTGCAACTGGCCCCAATCGACGCTCTTCCAGTCCACTTTTTGCCGGTTGTAGGTCTCCTTCTCTTCGCCGAAGCCGTATGGGCCATATCGTTCGTCAACGGTCATGACGGTCAGGTCAAGACCGGTTTCCTCGTAGTTTCCGGCCCAAGGCATGGGGTAGGCTGTGTTAGGTACCGGGTTAGCTTCCTGTCGCGTATCAAGACCAACAAACAATCGCCAGGTGGGGGGGTAGAGGTAATATGCATACGGCCATCGAGCTCGCTTTCATGGAGGTCGTCATCCCGGCTTTGACCGAGTAAATGGCCACGGGGGCCATGACAGGCGATGCGCTCTGCCATCGGCGGCAGCACGTTGTGTGTGGGGATCCGTTTCGGCCCATTGTAGTTCTCCTCTGATGTCGAAGACCCAGGCCCTAGGTCAGGCCAGTGTTGTGACAGGTCGTTGCTGAACTGCAGCCACACGACCCAGACGATGCAGACGGCGACGGCAATCAAGAGCGTCTGTCGGGTGAACAGCCGCCTTGACTTGCCGCCTCCCAGCCCGAGGCAATTCATGGTCGGAATTGGCAGACACCAACCGAGCAAAAACGGAAGTTGTGTCGGGATTCGTTGTGTATCTACGTCGGGTCCGCCGCCTTGGTTGTCGTGACAGGGGAATTAACGATGGCCGGAGATATCGTGATTACAGACCCCCTCGAGAGAGTGGCATTAGACAGAGTTCGGTAATAAAAGCGCAAATACGACAGATCGGATCCAGGAAAAGAACGAGTGACGCTGGAACCGAAATCGCAGGAAGAAATAACACGGGTACGAAGAGAAAACGATGGTGGTTTGCAACCGCGCTGGTTGAGGAAGGATGAATGAAGAAAAGATCAAAAACCCAGATTTGACAGGATTGGCGGTGCGGAAGCACGGCAACGTCGCGGTCGGTAAGTCTCCTGACAGCAACTGGAACCACCGCCCTCGACTCGGCGAAACAGAAACGCTGGAGACGAACGCTATTGCATGAAGGACGCACCGCCGCACACCCGAGTCTCGTTCGAGTTCTTGGCGCGGGCTCAAACATTGGTGGGATTTGACGGGCCCCACCATTTCCCGGGTTGAGGCGTTCAATGGTTACCACCCCTCCCAGAGCAATCTTGAAAGTTGCTTCGTATCTTTTTTCGCCCAGCCGGGACAAGTCTTGTGATTAAAAGGTGATGAGATGCGTGAATGCCGCCATTTTTCTTATCTGGTGGCGGTAAAAACAAGCCGCCGTCGTCTAGGTACACGCTACATCCAATTATATTCGAGTTCCGTCATAGTCGTCCCCAAATTCTTCATGTTGAAAATGAAACGATCCGATTCAGCAATCTTCCCAAAAAACGCAGCTTCCATCCAGGAGGAACCCTTTCGCGGCAGGTCCGAGTGAGCATATCTTGGCACTTCGCCCCTGGACCCTGCAGTGCCACAGGGGCTCACACTGGGGGCTTGCCGCTTCTCGGCCGTTGATTGCTTGGCCTCTGCGAACCTGCCGGGGAGACCCCGCTTGGCATGGCGATTTCAGGGGCAAATCCTCACAGGATCATCTCAACTCGAAGGGCTGCTAGGAAAGGGTTCCACTCAGATTCCAAACAAGCAGCTGGCGGTGCTTCCGTGATGCGGGATCGGGACAGAACCTGCCGGGTTCGGTATTCTCGGCGGTGAAGGCGCTATCAGATCCGAGTTCTTTTTGCCTTGGGACGTGTGCGGCACGGGAACCGATAACGTTATGGAGTTCTGCCAGGGTCGCGACTTCACTACCGTTGGAAGCCAAGCGATGTCGAAGTCTGGTATCAACTGAAAGGTGATTAAGCTTAATTGCCTCGTTCATTCTACCAATCTACACTACGTTACCGTGGGCCTTCATTTTTAGGTTGTTCTCCATTCCCTTTTCTCATTCGTCTACTGTGTAATTCTTGCTTCATTTTCTGGTTTCCTAATGGTGTAGTTACTCAAACGGCTCAACTAAAGTATTCTTCGAAAAGATCGTCAAAGGCCACACGGAGTATCTCTCCCGAAATCTTGGGTCGGGCCGGTCCTTGCGGAAGCGATCATCTATTGGCGCGGATGGGAATCAATTGGACGTGTGGCATCGCTTAGATATCAGGTAAAACAAGACCTTTCTTGGCCAGCAGCGATCACACCGCGCATCTGGTCAGGAAGTGTGTAAAGTCTGCCAGGGTGGACATAATTCACGAAAGGGGAAGGTGTTTGGTTCTTTCCACTGACGTTGTATTGTGTCCGACTACGAGAGCATGACCAAACCACGCTTTTGATGTACTGCCAAAACTACCACCAGCCAAAGACCGAACAACACGGTTTGCCCCCTAAACCACAGCCTCCATCACCGGTGCAGCAGCAACATCCCCGGCGGACGCAACCGCCGACTTGCGGAAGCTCCGCATGGGTTCCAACCCCCAGCGTCCAAACATTGCCGCATCCTCATCCCACCCGTTGCAGTCAGTCGTCAACATTTTCTCGCCCGTGAAGATCGCATTCGCCCCGGCCATGAAACACATTGCCTGTTGTTCCTCCGCCATCGTCTTGCGCCCAGCCGCAATCCGGATGATGGTTCCAGGCATGAGAATGCGGGCCGCCGCGATGGTGCGTAGCATGCTGGTGAACTCAATGGGCGTGCGGTCACCCAGCGGTGTGCCCTTGATAGGAACCAGCGCGTTGACGGGAAAGCTCTCCGGGTGACTCGGCAGAGTGGAGACGGTGTACAGCAGACCGATACGGTCCTCCGATGTCTCACCAAGACCTAAGATACCGCCGGAGCAGACGTTGATGCCAGCGTCGCGGACGTGGCCCAGCGTCTTCAAACGCTCGTCGTAGGTACGCGTGGAGATGATGCTCGGGTAGAACTCGCGGCTAGTGTCGACGTTGTGGTTGTACGCGGTCAGACCAGCCTCCTTGAGCTCCTTGGCTTGCTCGGCATCGATCATGCCGAGGGTCACGCAAGACTCCATACCTAGCGCCCGCACGCCGGATACCATCTCCTTGATGTTTCGCAAGCTGTTCTTGCGGCCCCGCATGTCGCGCCAGGCGGCGCCCATGCAGAAACGGGTGCTGCCATTTTCCTTGGCGACGCGGGCCGCTTCGAGGACAGACTCTACGGTTTCGACACGCTTTGCTTCAAGGCCGGTCCCCTTTTGGTATCGAGTGGACTGAGCGCAGTATGAGCAGTCTTCGGTACAACCACCTGTCTTGATATTCATCAGGGTGCAGAGCTGGACCTCGGCAGGGTTGTGGAACCGGCGGTGGATGTTGGCCTATCAGGCCAAAGGTATTAGCTACAGGACGACATCGCGGCGACGATAGCGAGTGCTGGGGTGCCTCAGCTCACAGCTTGGTACGTCAATTCCATCAATGGCTGATAGAAAATAGCTGAGATCTCTTCTCGCGTCCAGTCGTGCCGCAGCTCCGTTGCCGCGGCGGCGGTCTGGAGGAATTGCCTTGCTCGGCGTTGACGCTCGACATCGCGCTCGGAAAGGGGGGCTTGGCTCGGTGGTAGTGTGGTCGCGGGATTTGTCGCGGGTGTGATCGGTTGAGCCGCGGCCGCTGTTGCCATGCGGGCCGGGAAGTTACCGATGCGGGCCGCGGAGGTCAGCCGTGTACGCGTAGCCGCGTGTAGGGCCGGTCGGAGGGAAGCTCTCATTGCGGGCGTCGGGGTCGGCGTGAGCGTTCTGGTGAAATTTAGAGAGTAATCGCCTTACCGGGCTGAGATGAACAAGAGAGCTAACCGATGCTCGGCCGGTTACCCGGGCGCGCAATTTGTTGAGACACGGGCTATGAAGAGGGGCATCCCGCGTTGAGCTGCAGCCCCAGGTGGGGTCGCTTGCTGTGGGAGTCGATCGTGGCCGCGGGGTGAGTCAATGCGAGATTGAAAGATGCAGTTTCTTCATCAACCCCACCGACCCGATGGTAGCCATATCTCCGGACATTCCTCAGTCTCGGGCGTCCGTGTTGCCCGAAATGTCCGTCGTCGCCGTTGCCAATCTCCAGACTGGAATGTGGCGGTTGGCGTACATGTTAAAAGCTAGCCCCACAGGAAGCTCATTTAGCTCCCGTGGAATTGAGTGGGCGACCCAAGGCAAGCTCTCGAGGGTTTAATGTTTCTTGACGCCCTCCATCCATTCTTTACCGGCCTTTGCACCGTCATGTGCTTTGCGGAAGAGTTTCCTCTCCCATTCGTCCAGCCCTCTAAGAAATTCTTCGCCGGCACCACCAATCCCGAGATTACTCCCCTCTTCACCTTTCCCTTTGTGCCCAACACCACCGACTTTACGGGCGTGCAAAGCCACCTCAGCCGCCCGAGCCACAAAAGTTTTGCGTAGAACAGCCGCCAATTCTTGCTCCTCAGAAAGCTCCATCATATGTGTTGCGAGCCCGTAGAAATGTGCGCTCTGGTCTCGGAGGGGTACTGCGCGTGGGTCGGCTTTAAGTGCCTGGACGACATCGTTCCCGAGGGCGGCTGGCAGGTCAAAAGTCACAAACGACTTCCCCTCGATGTCTCCAGTGTTGGCAATGGCAAGCATTTCGGCGAGCCATAGAGGGAGGCTGACTTTGGTGCCGGCTTTCAGTGGTTGGGTGGGGGTATTGTCGAGATAACCAAGGTCGGGTATGTCGACCTGAAATGTGCATGGGATTTTCTGTGCGAAAGAATGGTCAGTCGTGCGTGCGTTCAATCATGTCGCGTGCTTGGTGACAGAGAGTTGAGGCCGTACTTCTGCATCTGTAAGAATGGAATCTATGTCGTAATAAGACATCTTGAGCCGCAAAACATTAAAAAGGTCAAGCAAAGCAAAGACAGTGAAATGGTCCTGGACCAACAACTTCGTATCGCGACATGCTCCAAACGCGAGGGGCTGCGCGTGTGGCTAGTACCTCGAAGGTAACCAACAAGCCACGGCTTGGCACCAATTAGCCACAGCTTGGCAATGGTGGGGAAACCAGGATCATGACGAAATGGTGAGCCGAAGCTTCGCCCGAGCTTCAATCGGATCGCCGAACCTGTTTTATTCCGATACATGCGATTTAAAAACTGCTGTCTCTTCAAGAACAGGTACTCGTCCAGGAAATTCTAGGTTTTGCAACATCCAATTGACCCCCATCCAGTTAGAATACCCAACGCCATCATGTCTTCGACTCTCTTCCGCACTAGTCCCGCACTGCGGGGTGCCCTCCGAGCTTCCGGAGCTCCCAAGGTTGCCGGTGCCATGGCCGGCATTGGCTTCGTTCGGGGAAAGGCTACACTTCCAGACCTTCCGTGTTAGTCAACCGGCATATCTCAGCTAGCTCGCAAGTCGTAGCCACCATGACGGCATGCATTGGTCTCACAATGCGAGTTAGACTCAAGTCATTCCCGTGGATGAGCTAACCGCTGGTCCTTGCAGATGACTACGGGGCCCTTGAGCCGCATATCTCGGGCAAAATCATGGAGTTGCACCACTCCAAGCACCACCAGACCTACGTCAACGGTCTCAACAGCGCGGTACAAACTATTAAGGAGGCCGAGAGCAAAGGGGACTTCACCAAGGCAGCGACCGTTGCGCCCCTCCTTAACTTCCATGGCGGCGGACACATCAACCACACCCTTTTCTGGGAGAACCTGGCCCCAGCCAGCCGCGAGGGTGGTGGTGATCCCTCTGGTGCTCTGCAGGTATGCTGGCTCCCTACTGAAGCCACCAACACCACGTTTCACTAACGTGCATGTCTTTCCAGAAAGCCATCGTCGCGGACTTTGGTTCCGTCGACAGCTTCCGCAAGCAGATGGACGCCGCTCTCGCCGGTATCCAGGGTAGCGGCTGGGCTTGGCTCGTCAAAGACAAGACTGCCGGCAATCTCAACATCGTTACGCGTGCGAACCAGGATCCGGTCTCTGGCCCCTACGTCCCGCTGCTGGGCATCGATGCTTGGGAACACGCATACTACCTCCAATACCAGAACCGAAAGGCCGAATACTTCGAGGCTATCTGGAACGTTATCAACTGGAAGACGGTTGAGAGCCGGTTCGAGAAACCTTGAATAAACAAAACGTCCAAGAGGGAAGGCCATTTGTACACCACTTTAGCGTGAATATATCTGGTAGTAACAGGTATCCACCATCTTTAAACTCACCATATGTCGATGTGGAATCTTTGCACTGTTCTTCATCACGTTGTCATTCCCAGCGGAATAATTATGGAATCCATCATGGATAAATCGTCCGATGGGGGGAAGCGGTAGTTAAAAGGGCAAAAAGAACTGGTCGATAACTTTTCAACAGTGGTTCAATCCAACCCTCATATGCAAGGCGTCTCCCTGAATAGTTCTATCCCCGTTAAGTGACATCCCCCGGTGTGAGCAAGCTCGTGCACCAGCTCGGACAATGACATCACCATATCATGTGCCCTCACTTGACTGAGCATGAGGTCTAGGCCTAGACATTAGAACTTATTATCTGGGTGCCACTTCTTCAGGAGAATCAAGGTACACTGATCTATCGCCTCGCTGACGGAACACCGGACGAGTTATCCCAAGTGTGAGTCCGCATCTCGATTTTCTGGTGTTTACACCCAGGTTCCCCGTTTTGTGTCAATTATGCTTTTCATTTCAAACTGCCTGAACCGACCTTGATATTTGGCGTTGACCAGCCGACTTTTGGCTGGGGATCGCTGGACCAGAGCTGTTGAGGGATTGATCTGCACGGAATCTTGTTCTAGACAGAATCAGCAACTAGGTCTGAACTGATAGCTTCCTGATGCTACGACTAGCAACAATCCTCACTTTTTCGGACTGTGGCTTTATTCCTCATCTAACATAGAAAGCTGCGGAAATAGGTTGAAATTTTCAGCACCCCTTCAAAGTATTCGAAAGGAGATCCGGGGTTGACAAATGATTTAACCACCAGAGACACGAAGATCACTCACCATCAGATCATGACACCATCCCCCGACACCTCATCGCGGATCCCGAGCCCCCAAATCATCGACCACGACCGTATCCGGACTCTCGCGAGCGGTAACCCATCTCCTCGGTCCAGTGACGACGCAACCCCTACTACCTCGGATCAACAAGATTCCGCGTCGAGTAACAAATTCCGCCGGTTTGCCCAGGCAACTATGGCGTTTGAGAAGGGCCGTACGTTCTCGACGGGCACGTCGGTGCACCGGAAACGGCGGATGAGCACATTGGTAGAGAAGGAGGGACAGTATGGTGCTTCGCTGACTGTATGTGGAACGACTCTCCTGGTTTGGGGCCTGGTCTAATCTATCTGGTAAAATACTGACGTTCTACCAAGACCCTCTACCTGGGTATCTCTGCCGTGTTTGCCGATGACCACACGGCAGTCGTGGCTCTGGCCATCCACGACACCATCTACTTGGTAGACTTCTCAGTCAAGTACATTGTGCTGGACGATGCGATGAAGATGGGCGCCGATTTGATTGCAGATCATGTCCTCGCCGAGGTTGAGAGATATGAGCACGAAAACTTCTCCAAATTTATTGGCGCGGGTCTGCCCACCACCCTCAAGTACATGAGCCCTTCTCTGTGCTCTCGACTGTGGCTGGAGGTTGACATTGTGCCGGTGGTTTTACGTCCGGATGATGAACACAAGGAGAAGTCGTTTTGGGATGTCAAGAGGGTGGATGAACAGGCTGATTCTATGGCTAGAAAGTGCATTATGTGAGTATTAGAGGTAGATATGTATGGAAATCCCTTACATACTAATACTTGCGGCAGGAACTTTGGCCCATCTCTTGTTCCTCTGCTCCAAGTTGGATGGCGAGGAGTCGTCCAGACAGACGCCGGGTTTCGGGCTCATCTAACCACAGTCCAAAACCACAAAGACACTTGCGGTAACGCGACATGGGAGGCTATGTTGAGTTATGCAAAGAAACTGCGTGGCAACAAGACTAAGATTGCTTTCTTCAGCTCGACTCCCCAAGGCGGTGGTGTTGCGCTGATGCGTCACGCATTGGTGCGTTTCGCGCGGCTCATGGGTGTTGATTTAACTTGGTATGGTGAGTAACCTCCCCGTCCGGAGTGCTCGAAGGAAGATGTCAACTGATGTGGGCTAGTCCCCAAGCCACGACCGGGGGTGTTCCGGATTACGAAGAACATGCACAACATTCTCCAGGGCGTGAGTCATCCGGACCAGTGGATTTCTGCTGAAGAAAAGGAGGCGATCATAGACTGGATCGAAGAGAATGCGGCACGATATTGGTTTTCCGAAGGCGGACCACTACGAGCGCCAGAGGAAGGCGGTGCTGATGTTGTCATTGTAAGTCCTTAGCCGTCTTGGTTGTACCAGGGCGCAAGCACCGTGGCCACCCTTCATCATGCACTGGCATAGCAGACTACTCGAAGCTGCAAAGCTGGAACAAGGGGATAGGCGTTGATATCTATCGTCCTTATGCCAACGTGTACTGACGAAACCAGATTGACGACCCCCAAATGCCCGGCCTCATCCCTCTCATCAAAAAGGCAACGCCGGGCCGCCCAGTTCTCTATCGATCCCATATCCAGACCAGAAGCGACCTCATTGCCCAGTCCGGCTCTCCCCAGGCTGACATTTGGGACTTCCTGTGGAGTAACATTCAGGGGTGCGACATGTTCATAAGCCATCCGGTTCCCATCTTCGTGCCGCACACCGTCCCCCGCGAGAAGGTCGCATACCTCCCGGCTACAACGGATTGGCTCGACGGCCTGAACAAACCCCTTAACGAATGGGACTCGGGATATTATGGTAACATTTACAACATCGCCTGCCATTCACAGCGCATGTAAGAACAATCCCACCCTCCCCTTACGTCTCGTCTGGCATAACATCGAACCTGACACAAAAACCCCCACAGGACCGAAGTCAACTGGCCAGCACGCAAATACATCGTGCAGGTAGCGCGCTTCGACCCCTCCAAAGGCATCCCCACCGTAATCGACTCCTACGCCGAATTTCGCCGCCGCTGCGACGCAGCCAACATCAGCATCACCAACATCCCGCAACTCGTCGTCTGCGGCAACGGGTCCGTCGACGACCCCGACGCCAGCCTGATCTACGACCAAACCATGAACCAGCTCGAGAAGTACTACCCGGACCTGATCCAGGACGTGAGCCTCATGCGTCTGGACCCGAATGATCAGGTGATTAATACCATGCTGGCGAATGCGCATGTGGTGCTGCAGTTGTCAACAAGGGAGGGGTTTGAGGTGAAGGTGTCGGAGGCATTGCATGCAGGAAGGCCGGTGATTGTTACGGCTACGGGGGGGATACCGTTGCAGGTGAAGGATGGGGTGAATGGGTTTTTGGTGCAGCCTGGGGATTGGAAGGCGGTGGCTGGGCATTTGATGGATTTGTTTACTGATGAGGAGTTGTGGAAGAAGATGAGTTATGCTGCGCGGACGGGGGTGTCGGATGAGGTGGGGACGGTGGGGAACGCGTTGAGTTGGTTTTATTTGGCGGCAAAGTGGAAGGAGGTTGGGGTTGAGAAGCATGGGAAGGGTGGGTTGAAGGGGGATGGAAGGTGGGTGAATGATATGGCGCGTGAGGAGGCCGGGTTTCCGTATGCGGAAGGGGAGAACAGGTTGCCGAGATCCTTTACGCAGGTGAGGGATGGGTCGGTGCATCCGGGTGAAGATGGTGGGCAGGCGGTCGAGAAGGTGGTTGTTTAAGATCCTTGGTGCTGGGATGCGCCGCAGCTGAGGTGGTTGATGGAGGATATCTTGGGGTATTTGGAATATTTGGTCCCGCCACTCTACTCAATAGTTAACATTGGACATGAAATCGCAACTCGCGAAATACGCTCAAGGCCTTCCCAGAAGACCGTATCCCGACCTTAACCTTAGATATCCAACACCATCTACCCGGAAACGCTCCACGCCCCACTTAAACAGACATCTCCATCGGGATAATCTTGTGCGGATTATACCCCTTAATCACAAAGTCCTCCACCTTCCACCCATCAATACTCCTCTCCCCATCCTTCTCTCCCGTGCCCGCCGCGATCTCCAACTCAGGAAACTCCCTCGGCTCGCGCAACAACTGTGTCTCGAGCGCGTCAACGTGGTTAAGGTAGACATGTGCATCGCCCATAACGTGGGTTAAGGACCCAGGCACGAGATTGCACACGTGCGCGAGCATGTGGGTGAGCAGGGCATAGCTGGCAATGTTGAAGGGCACGCCGAGGCCCATGTCACAGGAGCGTTGGTATAACTGGCAGTGGAGGTGGCCTTTTTCTGTTGGGGCTGTGGTACTTGTGGAATCAGATTGTTCTGTTTGTTGTTGTTGTTTCTGTTGTTCGACACGCGGTCCGCGGGCGTTACGCGGGTAGGAGACATAGAACTGGGCAAACATGTGGCATGGCGGCAGCACCATGCGCGCCATGTCGGCCGGATTCCAAGCGCTCAGCACCAGCCGCCGATCGAACGGGTTTGTCCGCAGAGTGTGTACAATCCGCGCCAGTTGGTCCACACCCTGGCCTGTGTAGTCTGTCTTCGAGTCGACGTATTCCGCGCCAAAATGCCGCCACTGGAAGCCGTACACGGGGCCGAGGTCGCCGACCTCGCGCTCCGTCAGGCCGAGGTTGTCGAGGAACTCGCGCGAGCCGTTGCCGTCCCAGATCTTGACGCCCTGCGACGAGAGAGTGTGGGAGGAGGTGTCGCCGGAGATGAACCAGAGGAGCTCGGCGATGACGGCTTTGGTGAAGACGCGTTTTGTGGTTAGGAGTGGGAGGATGGGCGTGCCGGCGCGGTTGAGGGCAAATTTGAGGGGTCGCGGGGCGAAGATGGAGTAGGTCCCGGTGCCGGTTCTGCGGAGTTTCTGCGTTAGGAGAGGGGTACAAAAACGGGGATTGGGATTTAAGGGGCTCAAAGCAACAATGCTCAGTACCTGTCGCGACGTAGCTCGCCTTCGTCGAGGACCTCCCGAACGAGGTCAAGGTACTGGTATTCTTCGTGTCTTGGTTCCGTGGCGGTGGTGGCCGCAGTCACAGGTGGGTCATTTGAGATTGTCATGGTGTAATATTTGGGATGGGAAAGATTCGCGTTGGTTGTCAAGAAGTTCGCTACCCTTTTTCCCAGATTGACGGTGTTTGGAGTCTTGACGGAGATTTGTGTTGACTGAGTCGTTGAACTTTAAGACGCGATCCAAACCGTCTGGCCATTAACGCGTCGACGCGTGGGGTGCGTTTCCGGCCCCACATTTCCTTCCCCTACTAGACGTGGGCCCCTTCATTGGGGCGAGGCTTTTGGCATCCAGCTTTGACTTATGACTTCTCTAATTGCCTGGGAATTAGGGCGCACCGGGCAGACGGGACAAAGCGGCTGGAGACTATGTGTTTACAACCCCTGCCTTATTCACGAAAAGTGGCGATCTGGGACATGGGAGGGGCGACCCGACAGAGTGGCTCGGAAGATGCCGTGATATGTTGACGTCTGCGTAACAGACCCTGGTCGCTGCGTGTAAGTTGTTATCGTCAAGTCGTTTGGCAGTCCGCTCGTGCGATACAGGTTCATGCATAATTACCCAACTTTGGGCAACTTTGTCCCAAGATACTGCTGAATTGAAGATGGATTTTCTCCCACGAGGGGTGCAACTTGAAACCTTTCGATCAATTTTGATGCTATTTATTTACATTTTACGCCACGCTTATCAATCCTCGTTTCTCAATAGTTACTTCTGAAGAAGATACCGGGCCATCAAGCTTATGGCCAATGTTGAAGTATCTGAGTTGTCTCAGTCAGTCGGAGCGGGAATTTCCACTCCTTTACAGTCTATGCCGTATTGGTGTCTGTTGTAGACCTGTTTTAAGCCGTTTGGGCAGCACGAGGAATGAGAAGATGATCTATTATAAAGAGAAATAGTCGTGATTAACGTGCAGCTAATGCCGCATTCACAGAGGGAATTATACCGAGCACAGAGTTAGACAGCTACACACCTTTGAGCCTGCCGTTGTTGAAAACATAAGGTACCTACAATGGTAGCATGATTGGGGAGGACCCAAATGACCCCTCTTCCGAGTCCGGAGCTGTCGGCCACTCCAGTAGGCTCAACACGGCCGGGCTACCCAGCAAAGTCAATTTCAAACCTCTGGCCTGGCACCAAGCTTGGGTCCGTAAAAAGCCATTAAATGAGGTGAAAACTCTTCTCCATTGCTCCTTCCACGTTTGTATTTCAGTCAAGGAAACTGCGAGGGCGCTCAGCATGTATTGGGAGGAGACTCTCAGACACGCCGAAGGGGTGCGTCATCCCGCCCGATCGACGTAACGCGCGGTACTTTTGCAGAGGCACAACCCACGGGACACGCGTCGTTTATAGGGCATTGACATTGCCATGACCCAAATCCAAGAATGCTCGGAGTGGTTTGAACAGCTTCGCTGTGTATATTACCCCTCCTTCAACCGAATCGTCTTTCAACTTGAGCCCTTCGCTGCAGACAACACCATCGACGGACTTCCACTGCCCCCGAACCTGCACGAGGAATCCTACTCTTGTTTCCAACGTTCATAGTTCTGTTTTAGATCCTCAAATGGTGCTAATGGCAGCACAGTACCCTGAGTGCCTTCCCATCCTCGCCGACTGCGTGACTGTTGGCGCCCCACGGCCAGGCCCCCCTCCTCCGCCGTGAACAGTGAACAGGAGGGCTAGGCGGGGACTGTGTTGGCGGCCTTGATTTCGTTCTATCTGATCAGGAATTCACAAGGAGCTTGGACCGACGTGTTGGAAAAATTTCAAACAAACTGCTGCGATCGCTTCTTTTGTCCCTCGCCTTTGAATTTTCTCTCACCACCATCGATCACGAACTGAAAGTCACTCTCTCTGCTCTGGTGCTCGCTGGGATAAACCGCACATCGCGTCGGCTCATCTCATCGAGTTCCTTTGCAAAGTTTCCCTTTAGCCTCGTATTCCTCTCTCTCCCTTGTCGTTGATTTTTTATTTCCCCCGGGCTCAATCGCACATACTTGATACCCTGTGCACACAAAAGATTCCGGGTTTTATTGTCTCACGACAAACCCTTTTGGCGGAACCTCACCGCTGTTCCGAGCCGTTTGCTCCGAAAATTTCGGAGCATTTGGCTCTTCATCATGTCCTACAAAATGCCGGTCTCGGAGCCGATAGCGATCGTCGGGAGCAGCTGCCGATTTGCCGGTGGTGTGACGAGTCCGTCTCGGCTGTGGGAGCTGCTGAAGGAGCCGGTCGACCTGACCCAAGATGTTCCGGCTGAACGATTCAACATTAAGGTAATTGAAATCCTTTGCAGGATGATTGAACGGATGAGATGGAGATGATACTAATGACAACAGGCCTTCTACCACGCCAACGGCGAATATCATGGCACGACCAACTCCCCGAAGGCTTACTTCCTGGATCAAGACCACCGCGTGTTCGACGCTAGTTTCTTCAACATTTCCCCCAAAGAAGCCGAGGCCATCGATCCTCAGCAGCGCATGCTACTTGAAGTGGTGTACGAAGCGCTCGAGTCCGCTGGTTACACCCTCCAACAGTACGCCGGCGACAAGGTAGCCGTCTACGCGGGGCTCATGACCAGCGACTACGACACCCTCTCGCAGCGCGACGAGCTGGACACCAGCCAGTACTATGCCACAGGCAACGCGCGGTCCATATTATCCAACCGCATTTCGTACTTCTTCAACTTTCGTGGTCCGTCCATGACCATCGACACCGCGTGCTCGTCCAGTCTGGTCGCGCTGCACCAAGCCGTGCTCAGTCTTCGCGCGGGCGAGTGCAAGATGGCCTGTGTCGCGGGGGCCAATTTGATCCTCACACCCGAACAGTTCATCGTCGAGTCGAACTTGCACATGCTTAGCCCGACCGGCCACTGCCGCATGTGGGACGCCGGCGCAGACGGTTACGCGCGCGGCGAAGGAGTCGCAGCCATGTTCATCAAGCCCTTGAGTCAGGCCATTGCTGATGGCGATCACATTGAGGCGGTCATTCGCGAGACGGGCGTCAACTCGGATGGCCGGTCGCGCGGGATCACCATGCCCAATTGGAAGGCGCAGTCGCAACTGCTCCGGGATACGTATCAGCGCGCAGGGCTGGATATTGACAAGCCAGAGGACCGGTGCCAGTACTTTGAAGCACATGGCACGGGCACCAGCGCGGGTGATCCCAATGAAGCGCGGGCGATTGAAGATGCGTTTTTCGGACGTAACAAAGATGTCAAGGACCAGCACAAGCTTTTAGTCGGCTCCGTCAAAACCGTCATCGGCCACACTGAAGGCGCCGCCGGCCTGGCAGGGCTCCTCAAGATGGTTCAGAGCATGAAGCACAACGCGGTCACACCCAATTTGCACCTCGACACCCTCAACCCGGCGGTCGCGCCGTTTTGTACTCACCTGGCCGTTCCCACGGCCCTGACTGCTTGGCCGGCCGTGGCTGCTGGCCAACCGAAACGTGGCAGCGTCAATTCGTTTGGGTTTGGTGGCACAAATGCGCATGTTATTGTGGAGGAGTATGTGCCGGAATTGCACAACCCGGCTGGTGCTGAGCGAGGTCAAAAACATGTTGAGCTCATTGGCTTGATGCCGGGTGTCAATGGGGCTTTGGTTGATCACGGTAGCTGGCCAACTGAAGCTATGGCGTTGTGTCTTCCGTTGGTGTTGTCTGCCCCGTCTCCCAAGGCACTGGTGGCTGTCGCCCAGAGCTACTTGGATTACCTGGTCAAGAACCCGTCAACCAACATCAGCGAGCTGGCCTGGCACACGTACAAGCGCCGCACGGCGTTCCCCTTCCGCATGGCTGTCTCGGTCATGTCAGTCTCAGGCCTCACGACAAAGTTGAAGGGCGAGTTGTCCAAAGCCGGCGCTAGCAGCAACAATCTCACGAATCAGAACGGCGTCGGCGCGAACATCAGCACCCGTGTCCGCCAGGGAGATACACCCCCCAAAATCCTAGGCATCTTCACCGGCCAAGGCGCGCAATGGCCGACCATGGCTCGCGCGCTATTTGTCTCTTGCCCAGCCTTTGCCAGCGTCATTCACAGCCTGGATGGCATCTTACAGCACTGTCCTGACCCGCCGGAGTGGTTGCTAGCGGGCCAGATCCTAGCCGACCCGGCAGATTCCCAACTCGACAAGGCATCTGTTGCCCAGCCAGTCTGCACAGCCATCCAACTAGCACTGGTCAAAGTCTTGACTGAGATCCTCGGGATCCGGTTCCGCGCTGTGGTGGGCCACTCGTCTGGAGAAATCGCCGCGGCGTTTGCGGCTGGCCGAATCGGCATTGCCGAAGCCATGTTGATCGCACATTATCGAGGCATGGGCGTGCATCTCGCCCAGGGAGATCCGGACAACAATGATGGACAGGCAAAAGGCGGGATGTTGGCCGCTGGCCTGACCTGGCAGGAAGCCAAGCACTTTTGTTCCCAGAGCCGGTTCAAAGGTCGTTTGTGGGTGGCTGCGAGCAATGCGCCGGGGAGTGTCACGCTGTCGGGCCACCGCAATGCTGTGAGCCAGGCGATGCGGGTGCTCACCACGCGGGGCAAGTTTGCGCGGGCACTGCGGGTCGATACGGCGTATCACTCGCCGCTTATGGACGCTGCTGCGGATGCGTATGTTGAGGTTCTGCGGAAGTGTGAGATCACACCCACGGACGGAAATAGCACCACGGTGTGGGTGTCGAGTGTGGAAAAGAACCAACCCCCCTCGGACGAGGACTTGGCCGCGGTGTACTGGCGGGACAATATGGTCCAGCCGGTGATGTTTGCCGAGGCTGTTGGAGCTGCGGTCGACTCCCTCGGACCGTTTGACTGCGCGGTGGAAGTCGGTCCGCACCCGGCACTCATGGGGCCCGTTTCACAGGTGCTGGCCGCTAAGAATGTGGCGGGCATGCCGTATCTGGGAATTTTCGACCGGAAGCTGGACGACCGTGAGGCATTTGCGGGCTTTCTCGGGAAGATGTGGACGCTTTTCGGGTCGTCGGCACAACAAATCGAGGAGTTTGTCAAGGCGCATGGTGTGGAGGGATTACACAACAAGAACAGCAGCGTGGTGGACTTCCCGACATACCCCTGGGACCACACCCAGGCCTTTTACCGCGAGTCACGCCTCTCACGACAGTATCACTTCAAGTCAGACGCGCCGCACGAGTTGTTGGGTGTGCGCACTCGCGACGACGATGGCAAACACCAGCTTCGGTGGCGCAACTTGCTCAAAGCTGACCGCCTGCCGTGGGTGCAGCACCACAAGTTCCAAGGCCAGGCTCTGCTGCCGGCTTCGGCATACCTCGTGATGGCGCTGGACGCAGCCAAGGCCCTGCTGGGTAAAAGGGCGGCGTCAACCGTGGAACTGTGTGACTTGAAGTTTCCGGCGGGGATCATTCTTGAGGGAAATGTCCCAATGGAGGTGTTGTTTACATTGACTGTGGAGGAAGAGGACGCTGATACGATCAAGGCGTCGATGCTGTTGACGTCTGCTCGTGCTGACAGCAGCGATACCTCGGGCAAGGCCATGACGGCGGCGATGAAAAAGAACTTCACCGGCTCGATGATCATCACCCTCGGCCCGCCTACTCCGGATGCATTGCCTTTCCCCACGTTGGTGGCTACCCGCCCTGAGACCCGCCCGGCAGACCCGGCTGCCTTCTACGACATGATGCGTAAAGACACGGGGTTGGAGTACACTGGTCCGTTCCGGGCTCTTCAGTCCCTGGATAGACGGCATGAGTTTGCTACGGCAACGGTGCGCAGGCATGATGAAGAGCTGGATACCACGACCTTGAAGCTGAGTCCCGCGATGCTGGATGGATGTCTGCAAACGGCGTTTGTGACGGTCTCAGCGCCTGGAGACGGGGAGATCTGGACGGCGTTTTTACCCGTAAGTATGGAGAAGGTTGTCTTTAACCTGGGTGTTGGGGACAACGCAGATACCTCGACATCTGGTGAACCCCAAGATCAAGAGGATTCGATCTGGGATGACGACGGCATGCTCGTAGTCGACGCCTACCTCACCAAAGCCACGCCCGCAACCAAACACACCCCGGCGTCCTTCACAGCCGACATCGAAATCTTCCAGCCCAGCATCGGCTACCTCGAAATCCAAGTCATCGGCCTCACCGTCGGATCCTTCGGCGCGTCAACTACTTCCGACAACGTCTGGGAGCTCTACCTCACCACGCGTTTCGACGTCGACCCAGACGACGAGATTGTGCTCCCCGGCCCGGAATGCACCAACCCAGCAACCATGGGCCTGTTGATCGACAGCTGCGAACGGGTCGCGGGGTTCTACACGGAGTACGGCCTCAGCAGCTGGCCTAAGGAAACTCAGGCGGACATCGATGCCTTTATTGCGTCGTCGCCGTACTTTGTCACGCTCGAGACGATCCGCGCCTTTGGCCTCTATATGCCCCTGCTCATCACGGATGCGGTGACACTGCTCACTCGTGATGGCCAGGAGTTGCTTGGGCTGCAGAGGCATGTGGCCCGTGTTGTGAGGCAGATTGCCCACAAGTACCCCGCCATGAATGTGTTGGGGGTTACCGATCCGACGCTGGGGCTCACGTCGCATGTTATGGAGGGGCTGGGCGGGTCGTTTGCGTCGTTTTGTCTCGGGGGTGAGGTGGAGAAGTATTTGGAGAACCGGACGGTGTGGTGGGAGACGGATAAGGAGAGGGTTAAGGTTAGTCGGGTGATTCTGGAGGTGGCGGAGGATGAGGAGGATAAGAAGGGGGATAAGAACGGGAATAAGAAGGTGGACAAGAAGAAGGATGAGAAAAAGGAGTACAAGGGAGTGGTGTACGATTTGGTTGTTCTCACGACGGCGGACATAACCAATCCAGTTATGGTCTTGGAATCCGTAAAGCGTATGATGCGGCCTGGAGGCTTCTTGCTGCTGGTCCACGAGACCAAGATGAAAGCCCAGCCGTTTCACAATTGGCCGGTCCTACTGGACCATTATGGGTTTGGGTTCGTCATGAAGAACAGCCACCAGGGATTAGCGTCGCTGCGCAAGTACGGAATCACCGTTCGCCAGGCCGAAGCCAGGGACAAACACACTCTCCTGCTTCCGCTAGGCATAAACACCAAGAAAAAGCCACAACCCCTAACCGACCGCTTGGTAATCGTCGGTGGCACGAGCATGCCCACGGCTATCCTCGCCGCTGGCGTCTGCGAGCGGTTGAACGTACTGTCTAGGCAGCCAGTCAGGATTGTTGACACGCTGGACGATATCTCTCTCGACACCAGCTCCGGCTCGGACGCCAGCACGGGAAGACGAGCGAAACCTAAAGCGTCCGCCATTACAGCCGCCATCTTTCTGCAAGATCTAGAGGAGCCCATCGTCTCCCAAGCGACCGACGACCGCTTAGCAGTTCTGCGCGCCCTCTTCCGCCCGGACATGGTCATCCTCTGGGTTGTGCGCAATGCCCGCTACAACAACCCCGAGCACGCTGCCAGTCTGGGGTTTGCGCGTACCATCCTCGCTGAGATACCCGGGCTGACGTTGAAGATGGTGGATTTGCAGGTGCAGGGCGGAATCAGTGTGGAAGGATCGGCCACAGTCGTCGCGGAGATGTTTGCACGGCTGCTCAAGCAGAACACAGTTGGGGAGACAGAGCTGTGGAGCAATGAGCCGGAGGTGCATGTCGACAGGGGCAAGTTGTTGGTGCCGCGGGTCATGCCCTGGGAAGAGGCTAATAAACGGGTGAATGCCCCGCGCAAGGAATCCTTGACCTTTTGGAACAGCGTGGAGCACTTAATCCGCGTGGTGCCGAACCGAGACGACGCCGCTCCTGAGAAGTTCGGCCTTGAAGTCGACCTCGACGATGTTGCTTTCAGCCCCAGTGCCGACCCCAACCTTGTCCATATCCATGTGCAGTTCAGCACAGTCGACGCCATCGACATCGCGGGGCGGTCATACTACATCTGTTTCGGCCGAGACGTTGAAACATGCGATTCCCACGCTGCATTGTCCACTGTCAACGCCTCCCATATCTTTGTCCCGCGCAGCCAGCTTCACACCGTGGAAGATAACCTTCTCAATGTTGGTCGTGTGCGCCCGGTCGGCGATGATAGTGGGGTTCCGATCGTGGAAGATCAACTGTTGTTTCTGGACTGTCTCGTTCGGCAGATGTCCACCATGGCTTTGTTGCGCGAAGCTCGCGAATTTACTCAGTGTGGTGCTGTTTTGTTGGTTGAGCCTGACGCGCTGTTCAGGGAGTGTCTGACTGCGGCGTTTAACACTGTTGGGGTGGGGATTCGGAGTTGTTCGACGGACCCCATGAAGTGTGCTGCTGTGGCAGAGGGGGTCGATATGGAGTGTGTGCATCCGCGGGCGTCGGCCACGGTCGTGAAGGGATTGTTTCGGTCGCCGAATACTTTGATCATTGATATGTCGGATGGACGGAGTGTGTTGTCGGATATGCTGAAGAGGCATGCGCCTCGTGGGTCGCGGTATATGACCCATGGGTCGCTGATGAACTCGCATTTGGGTAAGGACGACCGCGAGGAGAATCGCGTGAAGGCCGTCGTCGAGAACCATGAGGACAACCGACAGGGCAACCAACAGGTTAACGGACATCAAAACCAAAAGGTCAACGGAGAGGCTAATGGCGTCAACACCGACAGCAACCCAGACGAAGAGTATGATGAACTGGCCCGCTTCTGGAGCTTCTCCAACTCGCTGGCCGTCATCACTATCCGCGGGATAGCCGCGCCTACTGGTCACCGCACCATCGTCACCGTGCCCGACCTCGTCAAACGCACCACTCCACTCCCGCCGTTTTCTTTCATCCACTGGGCCAAAGAGCGCATCGTGGATCTACCCACTAGGTCTTCCCCGTTACCCGCGAACGGCCCCCCACTACTCAACCCGAAGAAGACCTACCTCCTAGTGGGCCTGACCCGCGACCTCGGCCAGAGCCTAGTCACGCTCTTCGTAAAACTCGGCGCCCGCATTTTCGTCCTCTGCAGCCGCAACCCACCATCTACCATGCCCGCGTGGGGGCAACAGCTCCGCTCCAAGGGCATCTACATCCACTTCGCCTGCCTCAACGTCATCAGCCTGCACGACGTGCACAACCTGCGCGTCCACCTAACTCAGACCATGAAGCTCCCGCCCATCGGCGGCGTCGTCAACGGTGCCATGGTCCTCGAGGACTGCGTGTTTTCCCACCTGACCGCTGAAACCCTGAAGCGTGTGCTGCTGCCCAAGACCGTTGGGTCGGTGAACCTCAACCGCGTGTTTTGCGAGCCGGATATGGATTTCTTCATCATGACGTCCTCGTTTGCAGCCATCGGCGGACACGCCGGCCAGTCGAACTATGCCGCTGCGAACATGTTCATGAACGGGCTGGCTGCGGGGCGCAGGAAGAGGGGGCTGTGCGCCACGGCGATCAATATCGGCGTGATCTACGGCTTGGGGTTCCTGAACCGCGAGAAAGAGGAGTTGTATCAAGGGTTGGAGAGGGAAGGGTACCCGGCCATTTCGGAGCGGGATCTCCACCACATGTTTGTGGAGGCTATTGTCGCCGGCCGGCCGTCGAATACTGATCAAGGAGAGCAAGGGATCTACGATATTGTTACTGGTCTGCGGCGGTTTGAGGCTGGTCGCCCGACGCTGCATTGGCATCGGGATCCGAGGTTTGGTCACTTTGTCACCTACAATACCTCCGATGACACCACCAACCCAACCTCGGGGACGGAGATCCCCATCAAAAAACGCATCGCCGACCCTTCCCACACCCAAGCCAGTCTAACCACCCTCCTGACCGAGGCCTTCGTCACCCAATTGACAACCCAACTCCACTTGGACAGTTCCTCGGGTGCGGTGACGCCGGAGCACAGCCTGGCTGAGTTGGGCGCGGATTCGCTGGCGGCTGTGGACTTGAGGAATTGGGCGTGGAGGGTGTTGGGGCTGGATGTGGCCGTGATGAAGGTTTTGGGGGCGGCGACGGTTAAGGGGTTGTGTGAGGAGTTGGCTGAGGGGGTTTTGAAGAAGTGTGAGCAGAGTCAGAGTCAGGGGGAGTGAGGTGGTGGTGAGAGTGAGCGAGAGAGAAAGGAGGGTCACGTGTAAGACTGGGGGAGTGTAGGTTTGGGGATGGAAAAGTTCAAGGTTGGAAGGGAGTGTGAGATTGAGGAAAAAAAGAGAAAACGAAAAAAAAGGAAGTGTCTTGTACGACGGATCTCGGGATAGATCTCGAGATGGATGATGGGGTGGACGATAGGATCGTCAGAACGGATCTAACCGTGTAAGACTAAACTACGAGCTTAATGTACGATAGAGAATGTAAAATGTAGTGTACTCATTCGTGCTGTGGCAATGTGGTATGTACGTTGGTATTCTCACCTTGTGGCCGCACATCGAGTGTCAGGCGACTCAGGCCATGGTACCTAGTGGGGGTGGGTGTGTTCTGTCTGTGGCTGCTCAGGATGGAGATACCACCCGGTGCCGTCGGATGTGAAAGGGAGGGTAAAAACGAGGGGGATTGGACCGGCCGGTGGAAGCCACAAGGAGAAGGTTAAGCCAGAGAGTTTAAGACAGTCAGTGTTTAATGCCACTACCATCTTGTTTCTATTGTTGAACTGGCTGTATAAATGTGAACACTGCTTTGCATTACTTGTACCTTGTTACTTACCATGTATTACACCCCTTAGGGTCGCTCCTCAGTCCTGACACGCTATCATAACCACCAACACCAGCTTTTGCACTTTTGCATCAGGTTTACACCCGCACTCGGTACAATCTTGCCCTATAAATCCTGATTCTAATCGGTCCCGTTACAACAGCACTGTTTCCATGGACATTTGCATTGCGATTTGCATATAACAACATCCCGTTGCTCTGCTATGCTTCCGCCAAGTTATAGGGTCAGGTCAGTCAACATGGGCCCAAATATTGCAAGTCAAGCACTGCTATACATACACCGGGTCCATAATACACACCACCGCCGGCACGCTCAGGTTTGCAAGAGACACTTTGCGGCATCGCCTTTGAAATGGCCCGTCTGCTTACAGTCCAGACACCTCGCTTCGGCTTCGCTATGTGCGAATAGGGCAGTCCCGCCCACGCCAGCAGTGTGACGCGTACCGACACATCTGGGTCTTGCGCAGGCTGAGATTCCGGTTTGGGTTCTGTTGGAACAGGTGCCGCTCCTGGGTGGTGTGGCGGTAGCCGCAGTCGTCTTGCTGCTTGCACCGCGGGCCGAAAGGGCAGTCCTACTGCTGGTTGAAAACGCGGCGGTGGCGTCTTCCCGTGTCGATATTGCTAACGACGGTGTCCCAGCCTTCCTCGTCGTTATCCACGCCGGTGGCATCGCCACTGTTGATGTTTCCGCCGGCGTTGGCGCTGGCGTTATCAATATTGTAACCGCCGTGATTGTTGTTGGTGTTTTCGATTGTGTTCTTGGCCGTAGGATTCTGCAGCCGCTCGTCAATCTTGGCACCATCATGCTTGTCCCCCGCAACAAGATCCGGATCCAGAAGCTTATACATATTGACAGTCTTCACGGCCTCCGTAGGGTCCTTGTTGAAGAAGCGGGCTCTGTACTCGGGCCATGACAGGATTGTAACGTCAGGCAGAAGCTGCCGGGCCTGGAAATTCACCCTTTCGATCAGGCCCACAGCTCGACACGGATCCCGCACTCGAGCACGCGCTTGACGGCAGGCATCATGTCGCGGTCACCCGTGATGGCGACAAAGGTAGTGTTATCCTTCTTCTCCGTGGCCTCGGGGTCAGCCATGACCTCGGCTCTTATCCGCAAATCGGTAGCTTTCGTAGCCATATCGACCGACATGGAGTTGTCGACCTCCTTTTCCTTGCCGCCGTGGGCACGGTCGTAGATGTTGGTTTCGAACTTGTTTTTCTCAAAAGCCTTCCACACCGAGTCGTTGGGTGGTGGGCGGGAGCCATAGAGGAACGATGGGCCTTGGGTACGGTTGCGCCGGAGCCTCGAGGTGAACTGCGTGGGGTTTTAATCACTCGCCAGGCTACACAGGAGCGGGACCCGACAATACCTTCATGTGGGAACCGTCTCTGTCATCGAGCGTGGTGTCCTCGTCCTTCCGTGGACAGTGGTGGTGTGGGCCTTGCCGCTATTCGTAGTGCCGCGAAAAGAGGGGTTGTGTTGTTGGCAACTCAGCCGCTGCCTTGCAGCTTGCCAAGGTGAATAAATTAAAGGAAGGTCACAAAGCAATGTTAGCGATAGCAAGGCTGGGAAACGGAATAGTAAAACTGAGCGGATACGCTTTCCTCACCGTTTGCTGTTCAGATAGCGTTCTCAATATGTACGCGACCTAACTTCAACTGATTTAGCAATTTGGATCAAAAAGAAAGTGGATCTAGCCGGTTAAGATTCGTGTTTTCGCCCTCTCTACTCCCCACTTAAGCGACACCTTCTAGTCTTCGTTGTTGTTTAAAGGTGCGGTTTCTTGCCCTCAGAACTGCCAGTTTTAGACGATGAGAAGGTAGGTAGTTAATTGGCTTTTGAAAAATGCAATGAGATAGGTAGGCAACAACTTGTTGGGCGTGAAAGAGCATACATATTACATAGTAGCACTTTCGCCACATGCTTTCCGGGTTGCAATTACACCACCAATGATAACCAGGTGGTCTCTTTTATGCTGCACTCATATTCGTTGAAACGCTCATCATTTTTTCTAATCATCTTTAACACAACAACGCTAGGAATAATGCAAGAAACAAAACAGACAAGGAAAACGTGGAGGAACGATAACCTCACGCATACAAGTTCATCCACCTCACAAACTCCAGATCTCCCCTTGGCTTATGATGCTCCCTCGCCTCCTTATCCCGCCGCCAAAGCGCCATCGCAGCATGCTTCCCAAACACATACCCGTCCCCGTCACCCAGCGGCAACCGAATGCCCTCCCCCTCGCGACACCGCATGATGGCCATCTCAACGCCTTGGTACGCCAGGTCCTTGACGGTTCCCGCAAATTGCCACCGGATATCTTCGTCCTCAACCGGCTGGCCGCGCGCCATGCGGAACGGCAGCCCGCGCTCGAGCATGTTTTGCAACCGGTTCGTGGCCATCTCGATGGCGTGCTCTGAGTCGGTCGCGATGGTCAGCCGCGTGCAGTGGCTGAAATCAAACGGCACAATCTGCACCGCCGCGAGGAGCGCCCAGGCCGCCACGCGGTTGGGAGTGGCCCTCATGATATGCTTCTTTGGTTTGGGCTCGGATGGGTTCTCGTTTCCGTTGTTGCTGTCAGCGACCTCTTCCTCCGTTTCCTCCTGTAAATCCATATCTTCCTTAGCATCCTCATCGTCATTCTCTTCACCAGCATCCGTGTCCGCATATAGCGGCGCACCCCCCTCCTCGTTATCCTCCGACTCATCATCTTCTTTTGCCTCGCCATCCTTCAAGCCATCCATCTTCGCACCCCCCTTATCGTCACTAGCTTTAACGTCCAGCTCCTTCCCATCACCCCCCGAGCCGGGTTAGTATCTAACCCCGTTCAGGCACACACAGTGATACAAGGAGTTGGAGGTCGCGTCCATAGCATCAAGATCCCCCGGCTCATTGTTCTACACCTCGTCCCACGACCCTTCTTAAGCATGCTGTCGAGGCTAGACAGCCACATACGACCATAGACAGTAGAAAATACGGGATCCCGTCCGCTCTCCCCTAGTCAAACTGCTGATCGCCGGATTAGTACTCAGGTCGGTGACGACTGGGGAATCCCCGGTGTTGTATGTTTTTGATGTTTTTTCCCCTATTTTCCTTTTTCTTTTGAGTAATGGTAATCTGGCCTGCTCTCTTTTTGGCCCGGTACAAAATTAGGTAAAAGTCTACAAGTAGCTCAACGCCGAGGTCGGGATGGGAGTGCATCCGAAATCGGTGTTGGCTTTTGGTGGATAACGGCACGGACGCTATAAACTTAATAGCCTCTCCACTAGCTAATCTGACGTTCCTACTATTCGTACTGTAATCACCAGATTGTCTTGCAAAACCTCACATCACCTCGAAACATTGGTAAATCTCTAATTAGGACTAGCACAGGACAAACCCCAACCGCAAGCTCTTCACATCACGAGATCGAATCGTTACCACAACTAGTTACACACAAGAGCACACAAGCGGGGTCTCACCTGAAGTCTGGACCTTTCCCCGCGAATAAAGTGTACCCACCAAGGAATCTTCAAAAACGAAGACTAACTGAATTAGCACATGTTCGGTCCCGCCGATGCCGCTTCAGCTGCTGCAGGACGAGATGTCTACATCGGATCTGCATCGGCTGTGGCGCATGCGCATGCGGGTAATACGCGGATGCGGGTGGGTTACCCCGTGGGTTAGGATGGGGTTTAATGGAAGACGTCTTCCAGCTGAGTGAGGGGCTGCGGGCAGGGAAATAGTGGGGAGCACATTTGGATCGTACTGTAAACATGTAGAGCGAAACCGACAAAAGAGGAGGTTCCCAGATGGGTAACTCCGCGGGTTTTGAGGAGATGCGGCGCTTGTCGCGGTCGTTGTGTAATTAAGTCAAGTCGTTTTGTTGAGGGGTTAGCTTGAGAGTTGGAGATTGGGGAGAATTGGGGAGAATTGGGGTTGTGCTGCATATTTGAGACCCGACACGACCATCTGAACACCCATCCCCTCTTTTAACCCAACAACACGCCCATTCTCTTGTGTTTTCCTCCCTCCCCATCAACTCCATCTCAAACCCATCACCAACACGGTCAACACCCATCCACCCTCACCATGTCCCCCGCCGAACGCGTCGTCCCAGGCTCCTCCAACCTGCCCCCCGCAGTCTGGCCCCCCACAGCCATCACCCCCACCGCAGAGATCGACGCCACCGGCATCGCAACCCGCTTCATCACTTCGCTCAACGACGGCCTCGCATCCCGTAACTTGGACGCCATCGCCGATCTTTTTCTACCGGACACCGGCAGCCCGGATGCGCCTACTGCCTACTGGCGTGATCATCTCGTATTATCCTGGCGTCTGCGCACCCTCAAGGGACAAAATGCGATTCGCGAGTACGTCAACGATAATAGCAATGCCGATGGCTTGACTTTTGCTCTGGATGAGACGCACCCGTTCCGTCGGCCGCAGGCGGCTGGGTTTAAACCGACTGGTGGGGCCGAGGGGGTCGGGTTTTTTGTGACGGTGAAGACGTCAGCTGGGAAGGTTGGGAGGGGCCTGGTGAGGTTGGCGGAGGTGGAACGCGGAGTGTGGAAGGTGTGGACGCTGTTTACGACGTTGGAGGGGGTGACGGGGGAGGAAGAGAGGCGCGGCGAGAAGAGAGTGAAGGGGGTGGAACATGGGGGTAAAGAGGGGAGGAAAAATTGGGTGGAGAGGAGGGTGGATGAGGGGGAGTTTACTGAGGAGGGGCCGGAGGTTGTTGTTATTGGTGAGTGTTCCCTCTGTTTTGTGCTCCGTTATGTTCTTTACAGATGATAGCCTAACGTAGTCAGGGGCTGGCCAGGGCGGTTTGACGGCGGCTGCCCGACTCAAAATGCTGGGCATCCCGACGCTGGTTATCGACAAGAACGAGCGGATCGGCGACAACTGGCGGAAACGATACCACCAACTCGTCCTTCACGACCCTGTCTGGTACGACCACCTGCCCTACGTTCCGTTCCCTGACTTCTGGCCCGTCTTCACGCCCAAGGACAAACTCGGCGATTGGTTCGAATCCTACGCCAAGGCCCTCGAACTCAACGTTTGGACGCAGTCCGAGCTCGTGTCAAATGTATGGGACGAGAACACCAAGACCTGGGCCGTCCAGATCAAGCGGACCCGGCCCGATGGCACGACACAAACGCGGTCCTTCTCCCCTAGACACGTGGTCATCGCGACTGGCCACTCTGGAAAGGCCTACACGCCCCAGATCCCAGGAAAGGACTCCTTCCAGGGGGACCTCTTGGTCCACTCTGGTGACTTCCCCGGCGCCAAAGAATCCGGGAAGGGCAAGCGCGCCATCGTCGTGGGTGCGTGCAACTCGAGTATGGACATTTGCCAGGACTACGTCGAAAAGGGCTACGACGTGACGGTTGTCCAGCGCTCGTCCACCTACGTCATCTCTAGCGAGACCTCCCAAAAGGTTTCCCTAGGTGTGCTCTATGAAGAAGGCGGTCCCCCGGTCGAGGACAGCGACATCTGGGTGTACGCCTTCCCCAACGAAGCGCTCAAGTCGCTGCAGGTTGATCTGACTGGTATTGCGGTGGGCCGTGATAAGGAGATGCTGGATGGTCTCGAGAAAGCCGGGTTCAAGATCGACCTAGGCCCATCCGACGGCGGAATCTTCTGCAAATATCTACAGCGCGGAGGCGGGTATTACATCGATGTTGGTGGAGCCCAGCTGATTATCGACGGCAAGGTCAAGGTCAAGCACGGCGTGGAAATTGCCGAGGTGCTGCCCACGGGGTTGAAGTTCGCGGACGGGAGCACCCTAGAGGGAGATGAAATTGTCTTTGCGACGGGCTACGAGAATATGCGGACCACGGCTGAAACAATCCTCGGGCAGGAATTGCCCGATGAGGTGGGCGATATTTGGGGCTGGGACCAGGAGGGCGAGATGCGGACCATCTGGACCAATTCGGGCCATCCGGGGTTGTGGTTCCACGGCGGGAATTTGGCGCTGTGCCGGTATTTCTCGAGGTTGGTCGCACTGCAAATTCTGGCCCGGCTCAGGGGGTGGGACAGCGCTTGAATGGTTGAGGGGAAGTTGTTAAGTTGAAGAATCCTTAAGTAGTTAACTAAAGCAATTCGCATATTGCCTTGCCTTTGAGAAGAATCAAATGCCGGGTTGTTCAAATATTTCCCGGGAGTCTATTGTAGAGCAGTCTCCCACATCATCTAATTAGCATGCGTGTAAAGACGGAACCTGTTAACTGTTATTGTCACCAAACGGAGTTCGTCGGGAATTACAAAGCTTCAAGCCGTGCGTCGAACGCACAGGTGCTCATGGGAGAAATTAGGTAACTCGGGATTTGGGAGAGAGAAGGAACACTGCCTCGTCGAACCCACCGTCAAATCATTAGCAACAGCGCGACCTGTCCCAAAAATTGGCGTGTGTTTTGTTGATGAGCTAGGCCCTAAACGACTCAACTCGTTCCTTCTGTTGTTATGTTTTGCGCTGCATGATCGACAGGGGAAAGCGCAACCCATCGGGAGGACGAAAAGTTTTCCACCCCGGTCATGTGCCAGCCCCACTTAAAGCCACGATCGCACCAATTAGCCTCTCCCCGTGGTCTTGCTTTCTCATCACCAACCTCACGCCCACGCAGCTGAAACCCCATCACGACGACGAACCGTCCTCGGGATCACTCCCCCAAGGGTCAATCTACATGATGGGCCGACCGCCGGGCGTTGTGGGCCGTGCGCAACTGAAGCCGGATGACCTGATCCGCATCCAGACCCTGTCGCGCGACGCGCGTATGGGGCCGTCTGAGATCCGGCGCGTCACGGGGTATTCCATCCACCAAATCAAGTACGCGTTGAAGAAGAAGACGCCGACGATTGGGAAGCGGACGGGCAGGCCGAGGAAGGGAGAGGGGTCGCGGAATAATGAGGGCGGGGAGTCTACGGGGGTAGAAGGCGGGGACGAGCTGGAGGGGTTGGAAGGGCTGGAAGAAGGTGGTGGGCTAGAAGGGGGTGCCGGGTTGGAAGCGGGCGAGGGTCAGATTGAAGGGGGAAGTGGTGAGATGGAGGTGGATGACGGATCGCGAGAGTCAGTGTTGTCATTTTTTCGGTGGAGGTCCGTTGGTATCGAGTCTAACTGGGTTGCAGGGTGCGTGGTGAACAACCCGAGCAGGACCAGCCGGTGCCGCAGCAGGCCCAATACGTTCCACCGGAGCCGGCGGTGCAAGAAGATCAGTCTGTTCAACAGCCGCCACCTCCTCAATCTCCTGCGCAGCAATTGCCGTATCAACCCCCAGTCGCCGAATACCAACCAGAGTATCAACCAAATGATGCTGAAGGAGGCCCCGCAACAGGTTAAGGCGAGGTGAGGACCCCGGGCGAAAGGGTCAGCCGGAACGGCTGACTAGTTTGCGGAGTTCCATCTGTTCATGGTCTACTTTAATGCTTGGGGACTGGTCACCTATATTTATCCCGGGTCGCTCTGTGCTTGGAGCGGGCTGATAATTTTAGGCGAAGATTTTATTTATTAATTTACGAAGCCATAATAATTACCTCCACGATTAAGTACAGCAACGTTGAGGAATTGAACAACGAAACCTAGGGAAGCTAGTGTATCCACCCGAGCTCCCCCTTAGCACACTACATCGGGGCGACACGTTGTCAGAATCCAAACCCGAGTATTTATATAGATTGTCTTGTTTCGGAGGAACAGAGTCCCATTACACCAGGTACAATGTCTTCCGGTAGCAGGCTATTTCCTTGGTAATGGAATCGTGCAAAAAAAAACTGTTAATTGTACGTTAAATCATGATCTTGTTTATGAAATGTTTCCTACACCTTGTAGTTATGAGATAATTAGATTCTGCCTCGTAATATGGGGTCATGCTTAGAAGATATCAGCGGGTAGTGAACACATTCTTTTACGTATTTCAAATCCCATTTGCATCTCTGACACCTGCCGACGTGTTTCCTGTGGTGGATTCGAACCTACGGCAAGCAGTCATGGAGGCAGCCACCGAGCCACTTAATTATGCCTCGTTTCAAACGGGGATGTTTGTTAGTTTCGAATCGAAGATACCCTGCATAGTTGTGGGAATGGCTGGGGAAATCCAGGGCAAATATTGCATATTTGAATCGAGCATGGCAATAGATAATGTCTAGAACACTACCTACCTCTCCACATACATGTGGTCTGTCTCCCCCAAAGCAAGTTCCCCGCTTATAACAGTTTCAACGCAGTCACAAGAACCGCCATTCCTTGACTGGGGAACTTGCAATTCACCGTGTAACAGAAATGGAACGCAAAAAAGGGCTGTACAACTCTTCTCAGTAATGATTTGAAGATTCTGCTCCTCGCAACGTTTGTGCTCATTCTCAGGGGTAACGCCAAGTTACAGAAAGGATGCCCCTGAAATAAAAAGAAGCCAAGTCTCCGTCAATTCCACACCGAACGACAATGTCAATCGCGGCGATCATCCGCTTTTGAGCCGCTGTAACTTGGATTGTCGTCCGACCCGGTATGCCCATCAATCAGAGGTCTATTTCTGGGTTTCACATGCCAAGCTTTCTCCACAAAACACAACTGGGATCCCTCACCACCAAGATCGCTGTCATGAGGAGGTCCGACCGCCCGTTTCCCGTTTCACCTTGGACGGCATCGCACCGGCCGAGAGTGAACTGACTCAACACCACAGGGAACCATCCCGACATGATTTGAGCTAAGCCTCCGCCACCGATGGCAACACAGCGCAAGATCGAGCGTTTGGTGGGGATGTGTGTACGCGTTTGCATGTTTGCGAAAAATGGCTGAAACGTCCACAGCATCAGCTACCGCGCCGGATTGCCACTTTACATCTGATCATTACCGTTCATGACAGTGTTCGATTGGTCCAGGCCTAGTGGTAGTATGACTTAAAAATGGCTTCCCTCTTGGATCTCAACATGCTCGTTCTTGGCTGGCCGGTTTAGAATTTCTCAGTCTTTTTTCCCATCGCTTGCTCTTTCATTCCCATTTCACATCGGCATTGACTGCTGATTCGCTCCGTCTTTTATTCTTAGCATCTAAATATCTCGCCGGGTGCGAGCCAGCAAAACACCAAAAAAAATACCTGAAAACAAAGCACTAAAAGCAACTCAAAATGCATTTTTCCGCCTCCTTCCTCGCGGCCGTTGCGCCCCTGCTGCTCCTGGGCACGACCTCCTCAGCCTTCCAGCACCACCCTCGTGACAGTGAGCTCCCCTTCAATTTACTTTTCTCATCTCCAACTCTCGTCCAACGATGAATTAACTAACACCACCTAGCATTCACAACCTCCGTCGTCCCCCGCAGCGCCCTCTCCACCGGCGCAGCCAACGCCAACGCCGGTGCCGGTGCCGGCGCCGGTGCAGCTGTCGCGAGTGGTCAAGATGCTCAAGATCCCCAGGCCGCCCAAGATGCCCAAGCCCAAGACCAAAACGCCCAGGGCAACCAAGACGACGAATCCGCCCTAGAGCAAGCCGTCGAGCAGCTTGTAGGCGGCAAGCTCAGCAACTCATTCCATGTCAGACGGCAGGCCGCTGGAGCGGGCAAAGGAAAGGGCAAGGGCAAAGGAAAGGGTAAAGGAAAGGGGAAGGGCAAGGGCAAGGGTAAAGGCAAGGGGAAGGCGGGTGCTGCGGCTGGGGCTGGAGCTGGGGCTGCAGCTGGTGGTGCTGGTGGTGCTGCTGCTGGTGGTGCTGCTGCCGGTGGCGCGGCGGGTAATGCCACGGATGCTGCTGCGGCCGCGAACGCTAATGCCGGTGATGCTGCGAACGCTAAGGGTGTTGTTGGTAGTGGCGGCATTGAGACGGGCAATGCTGGATCTAGCGGCGCTGCTGGTAATGCCGGTGGTAATGCCGGTGGTAATGCCGGTGGTAATGCCGCTGGCAGTTCGGGGACCGGCTTTGGGAGCACTGGCTCGGGTAGCACTGGCAGTGGTACCGGTTCTGGTGCTGGAACGGGTTCTGGAACTGGCTCCAGCACTGGCTCTGGGGCTGCCAACGGCGCGGGTACCGGGTCTAGCGGCACTGGGTCCGGAACTGGATCTGGCACTGGCTCTGGTACTTCTGGTACCGGGTCTGGGGCCAACACCGGGGCTGGCTCCGGTACCGGCAGTGGTACCGGCAGTGGCACTGGCTCTGGCACTGGCTCCGGGGCTAACACCGGTTCCGGATCCGACGCCGGTGAAAACGCCTTCAACTAAGGTATTCTTCGGACAGGAGTGACCGCCGGCAAGAGGGTGATGACGGCGTGGGGGCATCTCCTGCATTCTGCTATGTCAATATGAGGCGGGTCATGTACCCATCAACACATTTCGAAACCGTTGTTTTGTTTTGAATGGAGGGTTTTCACTGTTTTTTTAAATATCAGATACTTGATTTTAATCTCGCTTTTATATTTCTCGCACTCTCACCTCATTACCCTCGATGCACCCAGGTGCGATCTCTCGTGCAAAACACACAAGCCCAGGGCCTGGGAACATTCAACACTAAGAATTTCCTTTCAGGTTCCGCGTAAACGCTGGCAAAAGTCAGATTTGCTCAAAAACGGGCGCTCTTGTTCTCCCTAGTACTAATCGTGACAACCCGAGGTCAATGCCTTTCCCGTTGAGCATGGAGTTTAACTCGGCGGTTCGCGCAAGATGCGGCCATACTGTTCAACAGAGCTTTTATATTGTCTTTATCTGAATCTCCCACATGATCACGTATGCTCCTGGTCTCCATGATGCAGATTGAGGATCCTACTCCTCGTACGGAGGCTCATCCCCCCTTACCGCGGGAATCCGACAGGTAAGAAATTTGGGAAGGGCCTTCATGGTCACTTCGCCACATCCTATGTTTCCGTCCTCCTAGAAAAAGCTGTCCAAGAGCGTGCCAAGAATAACGGCGTCCTGGACCAGATCGATATTCTTCTCCAACATCCCACGAGTCTGCTGAGTCATGCCAGCAAACAGCCCCGTCTAAAAGGCTCGTTCCGCAACCTAGAACTCGTCCGGCATCCAGAACTCCCCACCCGTGTATTCACCAGCCAGGGTATGGATGCGGCCGAGGCCGACGGCGAAGGGCTTCGGTGTGGACAACTCCCAATCGATCAAGCCGGTAACCCCACAGGATTCGTCGATGAGCACGTTGACGTCGTTGAGGTCGTAGTGCGAGACCCAAAGAGGTAGCTTGCCGAGATCGTCTAGCTTGTCAAGCAACCCTTGTAGCAAAGGTCGATAAGTCGCAACCTCGTCCAGCGGGCTAGCCAGTATGGCCTCGATATGTGGCCGGACCTTGGTTGCTACAGCATCGCCGCTGTTGTCGGCAAGGTATCCTTTGGGCAGTACACGCCCAAGCGACTTGTTGATGGCGATACGGCCTTCACCGCCCTTGCCTGCGACACCGTGAACCCACACCTGTCCCGGCAAACGCTCAAGAGAGTAAGCCCAGACGCCGTACTTCTCCAGTTCGTCGTCATGGAGAGCCATCACATCCGGGACAACTCGGTCCAGGGCCCCTTTGGCTACCACGAAGGCGTCAACATCCAGTTGCTCGGTTCGGAATTGGATGACCACCTCGCGTCCGTCAGCTAGGTAACGAAGAAGGTCCGGCTGAAGATCCCCTGCATCGGTGGCCTGTCGACACGTTTGGAGGCGCTTCCAAGATGCTCTGACACCAGCTTCTTGATTCGCTTGACCTGCTTCGTTGGCGTGTTGAGCAACTTGGGGAGGTCATTGTCGGATGTAACGGGCGGCATGGTGTAATATGCAGCGATTGGCGGCAAAGGGCAGCGGTAATTAGTTGGGCAAGTGGAAGTTGAAGTTGAAGTTGACAGAATAACGATACTTGGGAACAGACTTTTCTTCTCCTCCTTGTTTCCAAGTTAATTCGGTGCTAGCTTGGGGAAAAGTCAAAACGCGGTCACAGAAAATCTGCCAATCGGATCGATCCTCCTCTTCACGAGCCGTCGCGTCGCGCCAACAGGCCATTGCCTACGCCGAACCAACAGGCGATATCAGTCCCAAAAGGGTAATTCATCCACCACCAGAGCGCAGCGTCCTGCCAGGATAATGACTCAAGCAGGAATTTGGCTGCGGAGTAAAGTTAGCGCCCAATGTAAGATTTTAATTCTTCTAGCACAAGAATTTGAATCCACGAGACCTCAATTCTCGCCTCGGAGTGACATTCGTCTGGAGGATTGAGCCACAGCCCGAATTAAAAGAGACGACGGCTGGCCTAGGTGTTTCAAAAGGGGCACTGTATCTTTCAACTCCTAACTGCAAGACAAAGACAGAAGTTTCATTCGAAAGAATATGAATTTTATCGATAAAGAAAAATAGACTGTTATAAAGATAAAGAGAATATTACTTTTCCTGTATCTTACTTTTCTAGGAATCTAGAGGGAGATTAGAAGTAACATGAATTAAAGAGAAGGAAAACTATACCATTATAAGTAAAGTAGAGAATAATCCGGTGAAGTTCCCAGCAACATAATCTAGGCCACTGCCCGGAGCTGAGCTTGGGATGCAGACGCGAGAAGGGATGTCAGCGTCGCGGAGTGCATGTGCTGCTGGAAGTGAAACTTGATCTTCCAAGCGTAAAGGGAGAGCAGTGGATGATGAGGCTCTTGCCATCTGAAAGCAGGTTGCTACCTACCTACCTAGGTACTGACAGGAAAGAGCATCTGAGGGCAAGGGGTCTGCAGTCTTGACGAGCAGAGCCGCACCTGCCGATTGCTAACTAGTCCTCCGGGCTGCCCACCAGCTCCATCCCATCGAAAAGGTCGAGCCAATCATCAAGTCGGTCTGCAATAAATCGGTCCAACTCCCAAGGCTCTGGGAATATTTGGGCCATGTCGCCATCCCAGACATAAATGTCGACCTCGATTGTATCTTGTCCCCCCTCGCTGTCGTCTTCCGAGGGTTCGATCGAAGCGGTAACTGGCGTTACCTTATAGACTTCCCCTTCAAAATCGTCCGCTTGCGTCGCTGCGAGGTTGTTTCGAGGAGGACAACATATCCGTTGATAGATAAATCTTCATCCTTGATCGCCGCAGGGTAATCACAGCCGTATAACGCATATCGCTTGTAGCCCGAAACGGTGGCTTTGCAAAGCATCCCCTTGATCGCATCCACTTGGGTGGCTTCCCCGGTTAGGGCCCATGCTAGCAGGGGAAGGGCACACAGCGTGCCATATACGAAAAGTGGCTTCGGTGTTGTCGACATACTGGCGTTCATTGTATGGAGGTGGTTGGCCTGGGAGATGTGGTAAACGGTAAATGGTGAGTGTCTAGGAGTAGGTAACGAGTGAGTTGGTGCTGGATGCACTTTTCGGGGGAGCAATGCTCATTTGCATGTTGGCGTGTGGGATGCTCAAAGAAGCGTTGATTTCTTTGGTGTGTCAAAGTGTTCTAACTTTTAAGGTTCAATTTTTAGAGGCGTGGATTTTGGACTCTGTCCTTTAGAGCTCCCGCACTGTGCCACCATAATCAGGCATAGGTACATAACCCTAACCCTGAGTGCTTTTTGGCAGAACGAAGATGGAGATTGAAGTAGCGGGTGCTGCTTTCAACCATCAATGCCCTAATTAGGTACTATGTAACCACATACAAGCACACGAGCTTTTAGTGAAAACGTAAAACTTATCGCAGTGTTGGGTACTAATTAATTGGGTATGGAGTCCAAATCAGGAAAGCGACGCCCCGCTCATCAAACATTCACAAACATCGCCGGGTCACGCCAATCGTCATCTCGGCCCGAGCCGTTCGGAATGAGCGATCCGGCAGCTCAATCTCGATGGCCGTCTTTAATTTGAATAACTACTTGACATTCGTCGGCGCACCGGGTTAGCTGCCATTGTGTTCTGTTTACTTCGCGTCACCACCGCGACGTTGTCGAAGTATCCACGCAGTGACCTAACGTTTTCCTCGCTCACTTTTCTCAGTTTCCCCAATGCACCTTGTCTCTTTCCTCCCCGTTCTCTGCGGCTGGCTCGCATTTCCCCTGGTTTTAGCCACGGTTCCAATTCTCAACAACGACGTGACGCCCGATCTTGTGGTTCCCAACCGATATATCGTCAAGTACAAAGATGCTGTCGCCGACAAGGGGCCGGTGCAAGCACGGCACGAACGGGCGGTCCACCGCGCGTCGCGGGCAGGTGGCAGCATGAGAGGCATCCTCGATACCTTTGCTCTCCCCGGGCTGCGAGGCTACATCGTCGAGATTTCCCCTTCGGAACTGGGAAACCTCGTGGAGTCTGATTTGGTAAAGCCCTGATGCAACCCTAACCCTGTTTCTTTAGTCTCACTAACACCCCCAGCTCGAGTACATCGAGAAAGACACCATCACGACAACGGCGGCCATAACCCCCACCGACCGTCATTCCCAACACCGCATGATGACACAATACGACGCCCCGCGCGGCCTCGTCCGCCTATCCCACCGCTCCGCCCACACCACCTCCAACGAATACCACTACGCCGCCACAGCGGGCCTTAACATCCCCATCTACGTCCTGGACAGCGGCATCCGTATCACTCACTCCGAATTCCACCAATCCCCCAACCCCAACACCCAAGGATCCAGCACCAGCCGCGCTCGCTGGGGCGCCAACTTCATCCCCTCCTCCCCCGATACCGACGAAGACGGCCACGGCACCCACGTAGCCGGCATCATCGCAGGCACCACCTACGGCGTAGCCAAGCACGCACACGTCATCGCCGTCAAGGTACTCGATGGCACGGGGTCGGGCAGCATGTCCGGTGTGCTGCAGGGCCTTGACTGGGCGGTTAAGGACGCGCGTGATAAGGGCGTGATGAGGCGCGCGGTGGTGAATCTATCGCTGGCTGGGGTGTATACGCAGAGTGTGAACGATGCGGTGCAGGCTGCGGTGGACCAGGGCATGACGGTGGTGTGTGCGGCGGGAAATACGGGGGAGGATGCCGGGGGGTATTCACCGGGGTCTGCGGCTGGGGCGATTACGGTTGGTGCGGTGAATGGGACGGGGACGGTTGGAGAGGGTGGTGAGAATAGGAGGGCGACGTTTTCGAATTGGGGAGGCGCAGTGGATATCTTTGCGGAGGGGGTAGCGGTTCTGAGTTCTGGGGCGCAGAGCGATACACATGTGAAATATATGAGTGGGACGAGTATGGCTGCGCCGCATGTTGCTGGGCTGGCGGCGTATTTTATTGTTGAGGAGGGGTTGGAGGGAGAGAAGGTGAAGGCGAGGGTGTTGGCCGTTGCGGGGAAGGGGGTACAGGATCGGAAAGGGGGGGCTGATCGCGTGGCGTACAATGGTGATGGACTATAATCGTGGAATCAGGGGTTTGTTTACTTGGTTGGTTCACAACATCTACATCGTCGTCTATTTGGTATCTCACTACACATGAAAAAACCTAATAATTACCCAGAACCCTAAAAATCCCCCGCAATCTGACCCGCAACCTTAATCTCCTCATTCGCCATCCTCCTCCTCTCCATCTCAGCAAACAACGTCACCACCACCTCCCAAAACTGCCCCTCGCCCAATCCCCCGGGCTGAATCACCTCCAACTGCCCCTCCTCCCTCTTCCTTGTCAACCCCATATCCACCCCCTTACTCGACACAAACCGTGCCAAGGCCGGCCCGCTACCCGCCTGCGAACTCCCATATAGACTAAAAAACCCTCCACCTTCACTCCCATCATCCACCTTCAACACCACCGTCTTATCCTCCAACCCCCACTTCATCTTCCGCGTCGCCGCATACCCGTTCCCATTCCCATTCCCTCCTGGTGCCCCGCCACCCAACCCACTTTGACTAACAAACGTCTTCTTAAACCGCCACTCCCATTTCCCCCCTCCGCCAGGTAAATTCACCCACGCATCCACTTTATCCGTAGTAAAAGAATGGAACTGAGCGCCGCCTAGCTCGGGGGTGTTCGGATCTTTGCTGTGATCACCGAAGTAGATGGCTAGGCGCGGGGAGGTGGTGAAAGTGGAGGGGTAGACGAGGGTGAAGAGGGTGTGGGAACGGTCTGGGGCGAGGAGGGACATTTGGCGGTGGCCTGCTTGAACGAAGGGGTAGATTGTTGCGGAGTGGAAGGTTTGGGGGGGTTGGTGTTGCGGGGCGGGTTGGTAGGTTTGTTGGTAGCCGTATTGTTGCTGTTGTTGGTTTGGGGGCGGGTAGGGTTGGGGGTTGTATTGTTGAGGGTTGTAGTATGGTTGTGGCGGTGGTGGTGGTTGTTGTTGTTGGGGGTAAGGCCCCTGGTATGATTGTGGGCGTGGCGGGAGTGGTGGGTTTTGGTTCCAGTTGCCGGCCATGTTGTATGGTGGTGGTGGGCCGTTGTGGAAGTTGTTGTAAGCCATAATTATTGATGTGTTGTCTGATGGACAAAAAGTTGTGGTAATTGAGTCGAGTTGCTGCGATGAAGGCGATGAAGTGGGAATAAAGTTGTGTAGACTTGGGCCCCAAGATGGCATCGGTATTTGTATGCAATGCTCATCTCACATGCACGCTCGAATATCTGTTTTGGGAGATTCACACAGCTGCCCGATGGTGGTGATAGCCGAGCTTGGCGTCAGCAACAACTTCCCAAAAAGGAAATACTCGAGGCCAAGACATCACCAGCCATGACAGAGCCCACCACAGCCACAACACGCGTCGATCAGGAACAGGCTCGTCATAGGGCCATCTACGCGCAAGAGAATTAAGCGGCCCGAAAGTTTCCAGCGACTTGCCTGTTTGGACGGTGGAATTGTCGATGCCACTGCCTCAGTGGCTCAGGCAATGCCGACGACAGTTGATTGCGTCGGTCAAACCCTAACCCTGCTCTGGACCTGGACTTTCCAAGCACGCGCTAAGTAGGCCGTACCCTAACCCTTGATTTGCGTTTGTTTGGGACGGCCCAAGCGCCTAGGCCCACCTTTGCCTTTTTCCCCTGAACACAACAACAGTTGCACGGGGGCTCCATTGCGTTGTGCAGATGCCGCAACCTTCATGCCCCGTCCGGAGCGCAAAACGAGAGACTGGTGCGCTCCTTGCATTTGAGAAGACGATGGGTGTTGCCTGCTTTTTTCGGCTTGGCTCCGTCATACAACCGGCTTTGTTGGCCTTGTTAATGGAATTTCCAGCATTGTAAGGTTGGATTAACGTTCATAGTCTTAGCCGTTGCCCGACGCCATCCATTCTTTTCCATCGCCAATGTATTTATCAGGGAGTCGATGCTATTCCCATCCGTGTCGAATTGCCGTTCATTCATCCCGACTTCTGAGTTTCCTACCTTTATGGCCTATTTCTTCGCCCCGACTGTCCTCACAGCATGGCCGAAGATATGTCGTTCCAGCACACCGGGTTTGATGAACAAACCAACGCATTAATATATTTTGAACATCCCTGAAGCATCCCGAAACTGATGCCAAGCCCCGCAACCCAAGATGCTTATTGGCGGGCGCACAATGAAGCCTATTCTGGGTTAGCCTGTATTGTCCCAAAACGTCAAGATGCACACGACTTGACCACACATGAACCGGAACGACGAACCCCGGAAACATCTTGAGCTTCATACCTCGTTCCTCGAAATTGTTCTAGAGAAACAGAAAATACCAGTGGTTGGCAGATGTGCTCGAGCCCACACACTGACCAAGACACAGTTCCGGTGTATTCCGTAGGCCCGAGGAGAACAACTTAAATAGCGCCCAAACTGACCTCCCGTCCAAGTTCCCAAAACGGCTTCAACTCGCGCCCGGCCCATCAGTCAACACAACAACACGACAACACCATGGTTGGTGTACCCGGACGTTCCAAGGGCTGCATAACCTGCCGGCAACGGAGAAAGGGGGTAAGGCAACCGACCCACAACCTACCCAGTAAATAATTTGACCAAAGCACTCGCTTACTCACTCACATCCAGTGCGATCTCGCCAAGCCGACCTGCGACCAATGCAACCGTGCCGGCCTGACCTGCGCCGGCTACACCACGGATCGCGTGTTTGTCATCAGCACACCAACCAGCCGCAAAGCCGGGTACCGCGCAGATCTAGCCCCGGGACAGGCAGCTTCGCGGTCCCCTACTTCACACCCCCAAGCCAACATCACCCTTAATAACAACCCCAACGCCCTCAACAACCCCAACCCCGCCATCAGTAGCCTCAGCACCAGCTACACAACAACCCATCGCCTCCTCTCTCGCCCCGAGGAAGAGCACCGCTGTATCAACCTCTTCTGGGAAGCTTATTTCCCCACGGGCCGGCCCATTCCCAGTAGCGTGGTCCGCAGTTTTACCTGCGCCTGGACCGAGACTGCCCGAACGCTGTACCGTGATAATGGTTGTCTCAAGTATGCGCTGTGGGCGAACTGTTTGTTCGTCACGGCGGGGTTACAACGACCTCGTCAGCGTGAGCGGGGAGATGAAGGAGGCGCAAGAAAGAGGGGAGATGAAGTGGAGTGGATGAGGCGGGAGGCTTCCAAGTCGTATGGACGTTCGTTAGCGGATTTGAGGCGGTCGTTGATGGTACCGCAGCAGGGCCCGGCGAGAAGAGATGCGTTGATTGCGACGATGAAGTTGTTGAGTATGTTTGAGGTAGGTATCGCTAGCGTTCCGCGATATGAAGGTCTATTTGAAGGGTCTTAGTAATACCCTGCTGACTTGTTAGGCACTTACACTGGCTGAGAATGGGCCGGCCAACAATGAGGCTGATGATCCCGCCGACTGGCAACGGCACCAAGCGGGAGAAATGGCCTTGTTCATTGCCCGAACACCAACGGCCCACATCGCCGGCGAATCCCACTACATCTTTGCTGACGAGCGCGTCGACATGGTCGGTAGCTCACAACTCACACCATCCTCCCAACTTCCCTAAGAAAACTAACATAATATAACCAGGCCATGTCCGCCATCCTTCAGCGCAAGCGCTTCGTACTCGGCAATCCCGAATGGAAAAGCGCTCCCTGGCAACAAATCCCCAAGGACCTCAAAGACGTGCTAGTCGACGTCCTCGTCGACATGCCCGACCTCGTCGTCCTCTACGACACCATGGTACACTGCCAAGACAACCCATCCCACCAGGAACGCCTGCGCGCTGAACTCCACGCCCGTTGCTGGGAAAGTGATCGCCAACTTGAGGCTTGGTTCGCTGCTGTCTTGGCCATTGCGAGACCCGATGGCGGACAGGCCCATGCTTGCCCAGTAGAAGAAGGGGAGAAAGCAGAGAAGCAAGAGTTACCCCAAACATCGGAAGCCCCCCAGCAAGAAGCAGGAGACGACAAAGAAAGCTCCGGCCAAGACCACCTCATTACCTACGTCGCCCAAGTCCACGGTATGATTATCTACTGGACCACCGCCCTAGTCCTCTACACCATCCTCCGAAACTCCTTGCCGCGCCACGAACAGCCTTCAGCTCTCCCTCCACGCACTGATCCCCTCCCACACGCTAAACAGCTCGTGAGGTCTCTCACGGAGCTGCTGAAGCCAAGTGCTGGATTGTACGGCCGGCAGAATGTGGTGCTGCCGTTGGAGATCACTTGGCGATTCGTGAGGGATTGGCGGGTGACGGGTCTGGATGCCGTAAATGTGGGGGTCGATACGAAGGAAGAGATACGAGGGCTGATCGAAGGGATGAGAAAGGTTAGAGAACGGTTGAGATAGGGCGGACGTGAGTGAAATCTGCTGTAGGAGAGCGTGCGTAGATTACTGTGTGCTGAATTACTAGCCACGATTTAATTAAACAGCGTAAAATACATCATGTTAAGCGATTGCGTAGCTATAGCGGCCAGGTACCACACATGCCCGTAGTCTTTCGCAGTGACAACGTCGTCTGTTTTGCTCAATGCCATTACCTTGCCCGGCCTTCTTGTCTGCTATTGGCTTGCAATTAATCCCAAAACCACTGCTTCTGATGCCATAGCTCCTCGAACGAACTCCAGTCCAAATCTCCCCTTACATATTGCTCCAAGGCCTTATCCCGAGGTCTACAACCCTGCTTCCGCATTCTATAGTCCCAGGACGAGCCAATCTTGAGCCGGCATCGTCGTTCGGCTAAGTCTTGAGTTCCCTCGGCTTCGACCTTTGACGCTTTACCGCAAAGTTTTCCACGCAAAATGTGAAATATTTGCATCGTATCTGGCGTCACTTTTACCATTGGGAAGCGGACCTGCCGGAGCTGAGGCCCAAGCCTTTGGAAAAAGGGCTTGAAGTGTGGGGCCTCCGGAGACCAGACATGCGCGCCGAGGAACTCGAGGCTTACCAACGTCCGGATATCGAGCGATCTGAAGACGCAAGTCCTCGGCTTTCCCCCATCAGAGAGCGAGAGTGCCCGCAGCCCGGGACCGCAACGCGCGACGATGGCATCCAGCAACAAATTCCGGGCGCACGGCTTCATGGACGGTTGTTCCTTCGCCTGTTCTTCGGGCGGTAGGCTGAAATCACAACAGCATTTCGCCGAGGTGTAAAACTGGACACTCTTCAGGTCGCGACAAGCTTGACTGACCTCGGCCCACATCGGGATCTCCTGGTATGGTGCGAGGATCTGCTGAAAAAGATGCTGATATGTGGAAGAGAGCGGACCGGGGCGGCCCGGGCGGAGATGGAGAAGCAGCGAGTTGGTGTGGACTTGGAGTTGTTTATTTCGCACTGTTGATAGGGTTTTTTGTGCTACGTTCTATGTTTACAACGGGATGGGTGGTGAGGAGAGTGCCGTCTGACATTATAAATAAATAAGCTCTCAATATGTTCTGCTCACACTTCCTGTCTGCCTATCTGTGCCCTTAATCAACTAGTCTGTGCCTCTGCCTGCGTCTATGTCTACGTCTGCAGGGATCGGAGCCGGAGCGGTATCGGGACTTTCACCGGGCGCAACATCTCCCTGACAACAGGTCGAGGCTTTTTCAAAATGTTCAAAGCCAGGTGCGGGCCTCTGCTATAACGCGACTCAGACCAGTTATATCCTCGAGGCGACACGATGTCTCTGAGGTCGATAAGCCGATTACTCTCCGCCGGCCGCAGACCGGATCCCTGCTTTCGTGATGACCCGGACAAGCACTGCCCTCCCGGCTCTCGACCGTCTGTCTAATCATGAATAGATTTCAATTAGACCGGGACTCTGGCTTAACGGTCGCTTCGGAACGAACTGGTTCCAACAGTGACGCCATTACGTGCTCAACTGAGTTAGGACTGTAGATCTCAAGAAGCCCTAAGCAGGCTCAGGCTACAGCGGCGTGAGCCGCTCGCTGTGGTCAACAAAAGCGGCAGGCTAAAACAGATAATTAATTAGCTCAAGTCCAGTCCGTTGATATTTGATCAAAGACTAACAAATTTTGATTGAATAACTCTTTTTCGTCTTTTTTTCACTTTCTAGACTTATTCTTTTTTATCTTTTTTCATTTTCTAGATTTATTGTCTCTGTCTTTTTTCACTTTCCAGGTTTATTCTTTTTTGTCTTCTTTCACTTTTGTGGAAAAGTGACTTCTCCGGGGACTTGGTCTGCCGCTTTTTTTTTGGCTACAGCGAGAGCGGTGAGCGTATCGCATCCTTCTTCTGAATAATTCGAGGTATCATTGTTGCATCATACACTGAAGAAATGGTTACATCAGGCCTAGGCGCTAACGCCGTCTAGCCATAGGTGGAGATGGTCGAGGCGGCCCTCTGCGACATGTTGTCCAGTCCCTTCCATATCTCTGAGGATCTTATCAATGTAATCGCCGGCTGCCGATAGGTGGAGGATTCGTGCAATAGCACGGTGGATCGCTAATAGCCGGGGAGAGCGTGGTTCGATCTTGCGGGGATTCTAAAGAGGGGTTAGATTAGAAAACAGTTCTGTTGGTGAGCTACAGGGGCTGGGCAATTACTAGTTGTTCGACCTACCTAAGCCTCGTCAAAGAGTGTGGTAAAATATGGGCGACTTCCATGGCCTCAAACTCCTGCCCTTTGAGCGGGTGACCTTCCTCATCTTGGGCGGTATTGCCAGCATCTTTAAACCTTTCTACTGTTTTGTTGCAGTCGAATCTCCGCGTTACAACAAAGCGATAGCGGTCGCGAATAAGGCAAACACCCCGGAGGGCAGATATTCGCTCTTGGTCCTAACAAATCCCGCTCCTCTAAGTTCGATTTGTTGCACGGCAGAATGGAAAGCCGGTGTAGGCTGGGGAGCTTTTTTAGGAGAGGCTTTGACTAATAATAAGTTAGTGAGAGCAGTTGGTAATGCAAGAGCAGGGCGACCTACAAGGCAGAAAAGAATTATTGAAAAGGTAATCTGCAAAGCCGAAAAACCTAGCCCGGATACCCTTGTCTAGGGGTTCGTCGGCACCGTCCATAGGCAATTCAAGTAAGCTAAAGAAAGCTCGAAGGAAATTATCCTGCGATATATGTGAAAGTGCATGGTCGTATGTCTGGCGGATAAGCCGTGAGCGGACGTAACAGGGACGACCGCCAGTGTTCCTAGTGTTACTGTTGTCACCACTGTCCCCGGCGGACCCCTCGAACTCGCCGACGACTTGGTAGAATCTGTGCCTAGCTCGGTCGCGCACCGCTGGGTTTAACGGTGCCTCAGGTTGGAAATCAAGGATGCTTTCTAGGGAGGACTGGCGCCTATGGTGAGGCGAGGGTGGTGATGGGTGCGCCACCACATCGATTTGTTAGGATTGACCGATGATTGAATTATCTAGGTAATTTCAATCTCGAAAGCGTGGCAATTACAAAGACACTAGCTGAAAACCACCAACCACTGATAGCGGCGCCGAGACAAAAATTATCTGAACGAGAGCAACGGTACCGCACCTCAAATTTTGCTTTTGTAAAATTGCGAGTCTCGGGTTCATGTGACGGCTGGCTTGTCTTTGGATCTCGGGTAGGTCCTGGAAAAAAATCCCAACCGCAGGTGCAACGTCGCCGAGCACCTGCTAACCGCACTTGCCAAAGTGGCGAACATCAGTATAAAAGTCTGACAGCAGCCCGGATGGAACTTTCCAAGCTTGGTGTTTCCAATTTCGACGCGGTCTCAATGTTGCAGAGCCGTATCGATATCGAGAGACGGCAAGAAGCTCGGGAGAGCTGACCCGAAGATCGGATCAACGATGGGCCTGTCTCGGGCTCGCTGCCTCTTCGGGCGGCTCGGCGTGTGAATTGGGCGGGTGCCGGTCTCCGGAGAGTTGTAATATGGAGGAGCCACGTTCAGACCACATAATCTACGAAGTACTTCGTACTATCAGTTATGGCGGCCGTCAACCGCCTTCGACGTTCGATGCCCCTCCATGGAACGACGTTGAAATTGAGCGAGTGGATGGAGCACGTTGCTGTTTCCATGCCGCTGATTGGTCTAGATGGGAGACGCGCCAAGGGTTCAATGCCCACGCCAAGCAGCACCTTCGATATTTTGAAGATCTTGGCTGTTCTTTGCCAAACACTCTCTGCTCCAAGGCGCAGATTGCAGAGGCTGCTTTTCGACACCTTTCTAGAACTCGAACCCGTTTGTGGACATCGCGAATTTCTTTGACCACACAGGCCCACGGACGATATTCTTAGAGAGGGACAAGAAGGACTCCCGACCAATTTCGCGACTAGGGCCTGGCCAAAAAGGAGACGAGAATGCGCCGCAGGCCAACGGTGTTCCCATACTCGAAGCCGGACATATCACTATCAAATCTTGGGGAGAAGCGAGGGAGGAAAATAGTAACAACGTGAGACATTATGAGGGCAAGCAGCATGTTCCCTTAACACGTTCCGACGTTCAGATAGGTCGTCTTGATGCGCACCGAACCGGAGCATGGTCGCGTCGTTCCACTACCCCATGCTCGAGGGAGAGGCTCACACATCCATGGATGCAGCAATTGTAGTCCACACCACCCTGTAGGTATTGCCTGTAGATATTGTACTATGGAGTGTACCAAATCCAGATGAAGTGCCCAATGACGCCGTCGGCCTGGAAGGGACAGCCTTGGCGGGCCGAAACGGCTCATGCCGGGCATCCGCGTCGGCCTGTCACGTTGGCCTGCCCGGCAAACGTGCCCTTGGGTTTGACGACAAGTCGGCTGTTCGGTGAGGTAAACAGACAGAATGTGGGATCCCCTAGCTTTTAGGAGTGGCACAAGACCAGTAGTTCGGGCTTGGAAGGCTTGGGTGTGTGGGTGCGAGCATTATCACTCCCGCCAAGTCGGCCAAGAGGCGACTTCAGGAAGCGCATCGGCAAGGTTTTCTTGTCCTCGGGGGGCCAAATGGGGAGCAGGGCGCCCCCATACTGCGCTGTGTATGTGCGCCTGTCCCCCAAACTGTTGTATTAAAGACACAATGACACCCAACCCCTCCGCTCTGTGTACTCTATCTCGCCGAGTCGACAGCCTCCTCAACAGCACCGCGCTGTTGTCCCAGCTAATCACGCGAGCAAGGTAGACTGTGCAACCGCCAAGATGCCTCTCCATCAGTACGACTATATCTTCGCCATTGGCGTTATCTTCGCCGCACTTGATGCCTGGAACATCGGTTAGTAAACCCCGTAGCCCGAGGAGTCGACGGAAAAGGGGTCCAATATCCAAGCTGGTCTCCGACTCTAACGAAGAGGGCGTGTTCTAGGTGCCAACGATGTGGCCAACTCGTGGGCGACTTCGGTGTCGTCGCAGTCCGTGACATACCTCCAGGCCATGCTGCTAGCCTCCGTCATGGAATTTGCCGGCTGTGTCGGCGTCGGCGCCCGCGTGGCCGACACCATCCGAACCAAAATCGTCAAGACCATTGAGTTTGAGCACCACCCAGACCTCCTAATGCTGGGCATGGTCTGCGCTGTCGTGGCCTCATCAATTTACCTGACCTTCGCCACGAGGATCGGCATGCCCGTCTCGACCACGCACTCAATCCTCGGCGGCGTGATCGGCATGGGCATCGCGACCTTGGGCTCAAGCGGAATCCTGTGGGTGGGCGAGAGCGGCGGCACCGGTGTCATCAACGGCGGCGTTGTGCAGGTGTTCCTAGCCTGGATCATTGCGCCTGGGCTGTCGGGCATCTTCGCGTCCATCATCTTCCTCATCACCAAATACGCCGTCATGGCGCGCAAGAACCCCGCCACCTGGGCCCTGCGCATTGTGCCCGTCTACTTCGGCCTCACCGCGGCCCTTCTGACCATGCTCCTGCTCTGGAAGGGCGGCGGCTACAAGGTCTACCTCACTGACCCGGAGATTGCCGGTACCATTGTCGGCGTGGGGGCCGCCTTTGCCTTGTTCATCGCCGTCACCCTCGTGCCCTGGATGTACCGTGTCGTGATCAAGGAGGACTGGCAGCTCCGCTGGTACCACATCCCGCTGGGACTCCTGCTTCTGCGCCGTGGCGAGGTCCCGCCCCCGCCTGAAGACGCTTACAACGGCATCAAGGACTACTACGCCGGCCGTCTGAACAAGGAACAGCTCGACGCCCGCAACGCCGCGGCCCGCGATGATGTCGAAATCGTCGGGGGTGACGACACCGTCACCACGGCCGCAGCCGACGCAGAAAAGACCAAGAACGCCGAGGGGTCCGACGCCGAGGGAAGCGCCCCTCCCAACAGCCACAACCCCAACCAAAGCGCCCTCGCCAACGTCCGCCACGCGCCCAAGAAGCTAGTCGGCCCCAAACCCGAAGGCAACTGGCACTCGGGCCCCGTGCTCTTCTGGTACGTCAAGTGGGCGCTGCTCCGGGGTATCGACCAGGACGTAGTCAACGCGCAGAGCACGGAGAGCCGGTTGGCGAGCAACATCGACGAAGTACACGCGCACGCAGAGCACTACGACAACCGCACCGAGTACATGTACAGCTTCCTGCAGATCATGACGGCGGCCACGGCGTCGTTTGTTCACGGCGCCAACGACATTTCCAACGCCATCGGGCCGTTTGCCACGGTCTTTCAGATCTGGAACGAGGGGAAGTTGCCCGAGAAGGACCAGGCCGATGTGCCGGTGTGGATTCTGGTGTTTGGCGGTGCGATGCTGGTGATTGGTGTGTGGACATATGGGTACAACATCATGCGCAACTTGGGTAACCGGTTGACGCTGCAGTCGCCGTCGCGTGGGTTCTCCATGGAGCTGGGCTCGGCTATTACTGTCATTGTGGCCACCCGTCTCAGTACGTCTCCCTTTCCCCCCCTTTTTAGGCCCCCCAATAACTCGTATGGTGTAACACATCACTAACCTCGAACCCCCATAATCACAGAACTCCCCGTCTCCACAACGCAGTGCATCACAGGCGCCACCGTCGGCGTCGGTCTCTGCTCTGGCACCTGGCGTACCGTCAACTGGCGCATGGTCGCCTGGATCTACCTGGGCTGGATCATCACCTTGCCTGTGACGGGTATCATTTCGGGTTGCTTGATGGGCATCATCATTAACGCCCCTCGGTGGGGTTCTGAGCCTTTGGCTTAATAGAACCCAGGCACGTCCCTTTCTTGGGGAAGGGAGGGATGTTAGTGATTCACTCAATAATAGACGCGACGCGTTAAATTTAGAGTACGTAACAATACCCCAGTAGTCACAGTAGAATGCCGTTGAGCTAGAGTAATGAGAAATTGCAAGTCTAGCCAGATGTTCGCTACACTAGCTACGCTTAGGTGTTTCGCCCCAGCGCGTAGGACAGTTTCAGTTCCTTTCCCTTCGTCCGAGGTCCACCCGCACCTGTTCCAAACACTGCTCAGTAAAAAAAGGCCATTCAAGTCGTACAAAACTAACCATACAACAAATCGTCTGCTGTGTATCGCTAAGGCTTGCAAACTCTATGTACCGGCCACCCTTCAACCCATCATCGCCAACAACGCCGTAATAAAAGGTCCCAAGCAACCCAATACGCCAGTCCTATGACCTTAACTATAACCCCAGCGCTACCAGCATCATCCACAAGCAATACACGCGTATCGCTATGCAGCTTCACCGCCTAAACTGCACCACCCTTCCCAGCATTCCCGCCCCGATTCCCATTACCAGCACCTGCTTTTCATCCACCCCCAGCACCAATATTACCATCCCCCCCAGCCGAAGCACCATCCCCACCCGGCAACCCCATCTCCTCCCTCGCCTTCCGATATCCCATCCTCCACACCCCCTCCAAATGCCTCGCCATCGCTTCATCATTATAAAGTAACGCAGCCGTCGCCTCCCGTTTCTTGCACTCTTCCTCCATTTTCTTCATCTTCTCCTCCCGCTTCTGCATGTCCGACTCCCGTTGCTTGAACCATGCATCTCGTTTGCGCTTCTCGGATTCCCAGAACCTGATGATTCTTTCGCGATGGTGCAGGTCTGCCTCTCGCTCGTCGAGCGCGGTGGTGCGTTTTGTGACGAGGGTCTCGCGGGCTGAGAGGTTTGATACGGTGGTAAAGGGTTTAGGTGGGGACGGTGGTCGGGGAGGGGGCGTGGCGAGCTCGTGGAGGAGGTTGGTGAATTCGTAGAATTCGGCGGTGGGGATGTGGAGGGTTGTTGGGAGGTTGTTGTTGTTGTTGTGTTCGGGGTAGTTTTGGGGGTTGCTAGCGTGGTTCTGGTTCTGGTTCTGCGCAGCGCCAGCTTTAGCAGCGGCCGCTCTTCCCTTAGTACCCATGCCACTATTCTCTGCGTTGGTCTCGTTGTCCACCGTGGCAGAGGCAAGAAACTTGTCGCAAAGCTCGGCACAGCGCTGCTCGCGCCGTTGTCCCTCTCGGTCGGTGACGGGGAGGAAATTGCCTTCCACGAATCGCCTCATGGGGGCGAGTTGCTGAGGCATAACATAATCGCCAAGTGGCGGTCCGTCGAGCTCGTCGTTGTGGAGCAGCATTCTCACTTTCCCGTAGTGTAGGTAATCCCGGAGATGGTATCCGGGAGGTGGATCGGGAATCGATCGTTGGTTGGACATGATGGATTGCTGTTGAAGTAGAGGCCGTTGTTGCGCCCTTGGTCGATCGAGTTTATGCCTGGAAATCGTACTCGTTTAGGCGATGATGATGAAAGCTTCGCAAATCGTTTTGGAGGGGGTATGAATGTGTGCAAAAGGATGCTTGTAAGGAAATTGGAAAGAGCAAAAGAAAAGTAATGAAATATAATCCTCGCCCCGCGCGCCGAGAACAACTCGGTCGTGTTATTCCAACAAAACAGGTCCCTCCAATAGCCTTTTGCTGCATCCCACTGTTTCGCTTTGTCCCTCTTGTGGGGTTCCATGTAAAATGATTCCGGCCGCGGAACCGGGTGAACAGGAAGGGGGAAGGCGCCCTAGACAATTTGGGCCCTCACGCAGGTACGTCCCCCCAAAGATCGAATCGTTCATCCTCTCGGCCGAGGTGACCGCCTCTTGTGGCCAACAGATGCTGGGGCACAAAGAACCCAGGCCCAGATCACATTGCCCGCCATCCTCCTCAAGGCTGCCATTATTCCTTAACTTCATCCGGTCCACGTCCGACCCTCCTGGAGCAAGACGAGGCTCAAACGGAACCAGAATTTCCTCTTTATTATCGACATCTTCCGTTCTGAAACCCATATAAACATCTTTGGCCAACCCTGTGTGTCATTTGTCAGCCTACGCACTGCCACATTACTGGTATCTCTTTTCCTAAGAACACTTACAAGACCAAATCGGACCCTGAAATACCCACTTAGGTACATATTTAACGCTGAGGATCACCTGCTCAGGCAACGCCGTGCTTTCACCAGGAATGTTGCGGCCCTGAACAATATTTGGGAGCTCGTCGTCCTCCTCGCCGTCATCGGGCCACTCGATCAGCTCGTCAATATATTTTATGATCGGTTTTGGTGGGGGGGGCGGGATTCCCCATAGACAATGAAGCATGTGTTGAACAAAATACGGAGAAAGCTCCTCTGGGGGCTCATCACGCGGGAGCGCTGGTCAAATCTAGTGTTAGCAAGGGGATGGATTTGGGGACTTGGTATACTACTGTACATTCTGATGGCAAGGGTGGACGGGTGCTGCCGCCAGCTATCGGAAACCTATCACCTCGAAGAGGTTGAGCTTCCATGATGAAGGTGTGATAGGCAGTTACAAGTCCGGTTCGCAGTTCTGGTGGTGTACGTACAATGCAAAAGAATAGGGTACGTGAGGCCGGGGTTGTTAAGGATGTGTTGGCATATTCGATGTCAGGAAATAAATTTACTCATGCCAACAACTTTGGCTCCTTGACAATGTTCTTTGCCTTTGCGAGGCAGCCAAACTGTTATTTGGTCGCGGTTGTGTTGGCGCTTTCACTGTCACGGGGCAGCAGCGTTGGCGGCCGCCGACCAACAAGGCCGGCGGCACACTTCTCAGCAGGTTTGAGTGAGTGAACACAGGCATACCACGTGCAAATTGCTCACGCAGTATTCAAGCTGTTTTATTTTGTTTTCCTTTTGTTGACGCAATGTGGTGTCGTCTTTCCTTACAGAGTCAACGGCTCGTTCCTTACAAACACGGCCTGCGGCTAGGTAAGAGCAGCCGGCTATTTAGTCCATAATTACTCTCAGTTCCGATGCTCAACTTATTAGATCAAGCAGGTGGCATGCTGGCCTGTTGTCTTTATGCCTGTCAATTACACGCTAAAACCACCAGGTAACCTTACATTTGTTGATCCAAAGTTTGGTAACTAAATTATTTAAAGGACCCAAACACACAACCTGCATTTGCCCCCGGCATTAACAAAGATAAACAATCTCCCACATGTTGCAATAAGCACATTTCATTGCCTTAGTTGGGTGTTCTTAACATAACTTCGATTGTTGCCCAAGGTAACTCCCGTATAATGAACATTCAATCAAGCCTTATCCCCTTCCCTCCCATGAAACAAAAAGCTCGTAGTTTACTACGTAATTTTCGGACTTAGAAAAAAAAGGATTCCTCCGTCAGGATTCCGATCAAGATGGCGGACTTAAAGCTCGTGTTTCCATGTTGGCTGTCAGGATTCAACCCAGTCTCATGTGGCCAGTGTTTGTCCGGCCCTGCTAGCGGCCCTTTTCCTTCGGAGCCCCGTGGTTTCACCCGGCGCTTGTGCAACCGCCCAACAGATGACCAACAGCCGTAGCTGCTCTGATCACCCCACCTGGCCGTCCACATCAACAACATTATCTCAGACAGTATCTGTGTAGTTCCAATCTATGTTTGGTCTAGTCACTGTTGAAGTATCACCTTTCATGTCGGAATAATTTGGGAGGTTGTAATAGCAAGTCGCCCAGGGAATTAATTCTGTTCTAACTCATTTTGGTGCTCTTAGTGCCCTTCTAATCAGATGGCTAGCCTCCGGTGCTCACGAGAGCAGCTACTCCTAAAATCTTGTCACTCAGGTAAATGAATTGGGAAGCCTTCATTGGAGCTTTCACCTATCGAACAGCCGTGGCAAAATCGAACGGCATGGTTCATTACCGCCCATTAAAACATGCTACTAGGCCCCAGCCAACTTCTCCTTTGAGAAGCTCGTCTGCTACACGCCGGACCGAGATATCTGGACGAGCCAAATACCCAATGCATCTCAGACAACACGACTAGCCGGTGACGGAAATCCGGACGGAGTTCGACTCCAGGAAAAGCTCTAATTGTTACTTGAACAACATCACAGACCAGGGCTTCTAGATTCCGCGGATTACACGATATGCCCAATCGCCATACGTAGTTGTTAGAATGTCAATATGGAAAGCAAATACGACAGAAGGACACGTGAAAATCCCAAACCACCACATGTATGAAGTCGGTCGTCGGACAGAAAGGGCATTCATAGCGATCCGAATCCGAAGAGGAAGGATCCATCCCCCCGCTCCATACCAACCCCGAAAGGCTTCGGGGGTCGTCCTGCGCATGGGCCACATGACGAACGCGCCTTTCCATACCAGAGCAACAACGTGAGATAGCCGGTAATAAATTGTACATATATGCGGGGAGATAGACGGGAGGAGATTCGGCCCGAGTCTAACCCTCAATTAATCCAATCCTTACTTCGTACAAAGTCGTCATCCAACCTCTTCCGACTCGAGATCTCGGAATAAACAGTCCGTATTCGGATGCCCGCGCTGTCTCCCTTGCACCAAATATTGAAGCGAAAACAAAAACACGACCGCAACCCCATTGGGCCTCACCGATTTCCCACAGTGTTTTGAGTGGGCCGAATGCGAGAACACATTCCCAACACAGTGGTTTTGGTCGGCGACCAGCAAACGATATCGGGGTCATCGGGTTGTGTTTGTTGGGCGGGGTTTTCTCAAGAAAAAAAATGAGTCCTGCAATGGAAGGTTTCTGCAGCTGTGCAGCACATGATGATCTACTGTGCCGCATGCACGCGTGGCCGCCCTGGCTTTGCTTGGCCCCCGCGCCGAAAACCGACCTGAAGAGCTTGAGACAACCTGCCCACACCAGCCGAGGAACGGGAATGGGCGTGCCTGAGCAGCGCTGAATTCGGAGCAGGACCCGAAGTTGCAGCCGTGACGGCGAATGATTCGCCGCCTTAGGGACAAGCCACAGACACGCTGAGTGGTTCCACGATTTGGCATGATCCGACATGTCACGGACAGCGTTGACGGTGTGCGAAATGGGATTGCTCGAGGAAATGACTGTGTAAATGTCGAGAAGATGAAGAGGAGAGAAACCTGGTGGTTGGGCCGATCGACTAGGTCTTCGCTCCGTCTAACGACAAGAACAATGGGAGGAAATTGAGTCTGTCTATTGGTTTTGTTTGTTTGGGTAAGGTTAGCTCCATGGAGTCGACCTCTATTGAGTCATAACCCACCGCAAACTTAAACCCCCACAGAAAAAGTTCACGAACGCGGGTAGGATACCAGGTATGTTATAATCCCGCAGCGGCAACAACCGACAACACCGCCTTTCCCGCAAAGCGCTCAAATCTGGCATGTGCCCAGCTGTACTTTGTACGCTTTTGACGAAACTGATTCGTCTATCCCTCTTTGCATGTGGGATGTGTGGGTTTCGGCTCGCCCTATCTGAGATCTCGTCCGGTTTTTCGGCTGCCTTGTCCGAGCCCAACCCCAACCTGCATTGCATCCCACCCTTTCGATCGATCCGCCTTTGACACACACCTCTCTACGAGTACTAGCTGGTTTCTGGATCCCTTGTTCACATGCGTGACTTGATGTGGTCCGATGCATTTGGCGGTCGTGTGGCCTCAAAGCTGACCGAAGGGCGGCGGGGATATGTGCTGTCATGACTTGATTACTTATACCTAGATTCCGCGGGCCCTGCGTCTCGGAGTACATTATGTGTTTCTTTTTCTTTTTTGTTTGTTTGTGTGACCAACCTGATAGTCTGAGCTGCTAGTTTGTCCTGCATCCTTCAGCGTATCGACGATATGCCGCTGCTACTATCTCGGCTTTCCGAGAACGGTGTGACTTGGCCCTCTCGGGGGCTTGTCTTGTACATCATCGGCCTCCTATTGTTTGCGCATAGTATCCAGAGAGTCCGAAGATGGTACCGCTTGAGCCATGTTCCCGGTCCACTCATTGCGGGATGGACCAACATGTGGTTGACAAAGGGGTACATTAGCGGGCGGTTCTTTATGGAGTTGCCTGCTTTGGTGGAGAAGTATGGTATGCATGACTGACTGATACTCTTCTGATGATGAGTCTGATTCCTCAGGCCGGACATGCGCTGACAGTTATGAAGGCCCTGTGATTCGAATTGCGCCAAATCAAGTCGTGTGTGTCGATGTGGACACCCTGTACCGGATCTCGGGCGTGCGCTCCCTTTATCGGAAGTCGGAGTGGTACACCATTGCCCGTATCTCACGGGATGGTGACCACATCTTCACCATCATCGACCCTGAGGAGCGCAAGGAGAGGAAGAAGTTCATCATGCCCGCTGTAAGCCTTTTTCCTCCTCCAAAACAAAACGTCAAGTAACCCCTCTTCTAATACGATATTATGCGAATGAATAGTACGCTGGCCGCGACATCGACCACTTCGAAGAAGGCACCGACCGGGCCCTGACAGACTGGATGGAGCTGATCGATACCAAGTACCTGTCCAGCGCCAAACTGGCCCGGTTCATGAACTTTGAGGAGAAAGTCCACTTTTATGCCCTCGACGCCATCGGCGAGATCGCCTACAGCGAATCGTTCGGTTGTGTCAAAGAGGACCGCGACACCAAGGGCGTGATGGCCGTCAACGACGTCACGGTGCCGCTGCTCATGGCTATTAGCAACTACGTCGCCTTCTGGAAGATGATGCGGATGTGGCCGTTTTACTACCTACTCCCGCATGATGGCGACAACAGCGGGTTTGGCGCAATTGTTGGGTACGTGGCAGTCTGTTTCCTTGGTTGCTGGTTTTCTCCTCGGGCGACACAACATAATATCGGTCGATCGATTCGACCGATTTGGCGAGAAATCGACTGACTGTAATCTAGACACGCAAGCACGATCGTCCGTAAGCGCCTGCAGCCCAAGGCTGTTCCGAAACATGATATGCTGCAGTCCTTTATCGAGCAGGGTCTGCGAGACGAAGAGGCCCTGAAGCAAGAAGTCGGCATCCAGTTGTACGTCCCTTGGGTTTATGACTTACACCCCTTTTAGAGTCCCACCCACTTACTTTTTACCCCCTAGCTTCGCGGGCTCCGACACGGTCTCCTCCCTCCTCTACACCACTTTCCTCCTCCTCCTAACCCACCCCTCCGTCTATGCCCGCCTCCAATCCGAAATCGACACCGCTCTCGCCTCCGATCCCTCAACCACCAACCCACCCCGCATCATAACCGACGCCCAAGCCCGCTCCATCCCCTACCTCCAAGCCATCATCCGCGAAGGCCTCCGGCTCTTCCCGCCCCTCTGCGCACCACCCATCTACAAAGAAGTCCCCGCCGGCGGCGACGACGTATGCGGGTACGCACTGCCCGCCGGAACGCTCGTGGCGACAGCCCTGCAACAATGGCACGGAGCGCGGGACAAGAGCTTTTGGGGCGAGGACGCGGACGCCTTTCGCCCGGAGCGCTGGTTGGGAGCGGCTGCGGCGGATGAGAAGGAAGGGCCGCGGGCGAGGAGGGTGTGGGAGATGACGCGGAGGATGGAGTTGGCGTTTGGGTGTGGGCAGTATGTTTGTGTGGGGAAGGCGATTGCGATGGTGGAGGCTGGGAAGGTGCTTGGGGAGGTGAGTTTTGGCTTTACTTCACCTCTACACTAGTTCTCTCTTTCTCTCTCTGCTTGCATTTGCTAATTTAGAACAGCTGGTGAGACGATACAACTGGTCGCTGGCCAAGCCGCTTGATCCACCCAAGGTCACGAACAACGGCGTGTGGGCGATTAGGAATTTCTGGGTAAGAGTTGAGAAGCGTGAGGGTTTTCAGACGGCGGAACAATGATACCTCTCACGGGGTTCGGCCAAGGTGGAGGTCCGGGTGTGTCTCGGTATGGCATGGGAGTTGGCTAGGTTGGTATCAGGTAATGATGAGAGTTGCAAACGCAGGTGCGAATGAACGGGTTTCTCCGAGTTGTTTCGTTGCAACATATCAAGCGAAAGCGAGTCAAGGCTCGGTTTCTCCTCCTCTTCAATGTGCGATGTCGATGTGAATCGTTCCGCACACTATTATTATGTTGTGTAGGATGTGACGAGATCCACCGCCACCAATCGCGAATTATTCCCGGCGAGGTCACATCTCGAATGATCACCGTCCCGTCCGGGCCCGGGTCCCACCGGTCGGGAGTTGCGACTCAAAGCGGTATCCGTTCTCCGTCTCATGTTGCTGATTTCTAGCCTCGGCCAGCATACGAGACACAGACTCGGGACGAAAGATCGGGACTTGGGGAAGACCGCCCCAGACTCATTTGCATCGCCGGATCGTTGGAGCTATCCACAGACTCGTATCGGTTCTCCACATGAGGGTTGACTCGAGTCATCCCGTGGGACTGGGACAAGTGGGACCTCGACTGCATGTTGCATCTCGTCCCGAATTGATGTCTGTGCGTACATAGTACTCGCAACAAGTTCAAGGGCCGCCCTAGTTTCATCGTCTGAAGTGGAGTTGAGTTCTCGACCCCGTCGTTCTCCATGTTGACGTCCAGTCATCCGCAGCCAATACGAATTGCAAGACCGCAAGATCATACCGTTCGGTGATGAAAGACAATCACCAGTGACGTGAGTGCTTCAACCCGTTGTTTGGCCTAGAGATGGTGACCTCAGTAGACGGTATCACAGCTCTAATTTCATGGCGTTGCATGTGACGAACAGGATGTGATCTGTCGTGATCCCCCGGCAGTATCACATCGTCAGCCTCGCGAACTTGCACCATCTCGCCGCTCCAGCTTGCCGAAAGCACCGAGCTTGGCGGGGTGCATCGGCCATGTGCTGAACAAGGGTTGACCATGGGCTTGGGTGAGGACTGAGGAGGAAGAGAATCACAGCGAGCGACAGCGAGAGTCGTTGAGGGGTTGCCGGTTGCCGCCGCTGCTACACAGATTGGGCAAGATAAACAGCTGCCCTGCAGCTGATTGCTGGGGGAAAATGGGCAGATGCCCCTGGAATGCGAGCCCGGGGACCATCATTTCCCGTCGGCGACACACACAATCAAGTGGGGGACAGAATAAGCCAGACAGCAAAGTATTCCAACCAGCGTAAACCGCGACCAAAGAGGGGAGTTTATGCCCGTTTTCTCTCGCAATTCTTCAGAAAATGGGCTCATTCAATCTAGCAATACCTTGGCCCGAATTTTCAAAATATTCTTGGGTTGGATAAGGGTTGTTCAATTGTGGTGATATGATGGTATTTGGTGATTGGGGTACTTTGCTGTCTGGTTTATTCTGTCCCCCACTGGACAATTCATCACCAATCTTCCTGCTTGGTCCCTGGAACCATGCGCTGCCGCTGTCGTCGAGGTTACATTCTTCGGCATGATGCGAGCGAACCTCATCTCGGTCACGTGTGGGGCTGGCTTGGCTGGCTTGGCTCGTTAGTGGGGTGATGAGCTGTTTCGCGCCGTGACAGCATTTGTGCGTGCGACGTGAGGGCAGCTTGACAGCTTCCATGTTGTTTGATTATTGGCCCTGGAAAGCCATCCCCCACGATACCATTCCTTGAGACGAAAGAAATCTCTCTCATGTACGAGGAGACGAGATGGTCACCGAAAGCTGGTTTTCATCCACGGCAGCGCTTCCATCCTGCGCCTAATGTCTCGTGCGCAGCCACTTCAATTGCGCTAGCGCTAACGTTGTTTGAGGCTTTCACTTTTCTGTCAACAGCTTCGGTGCCAAAATTGGCCGGAATTTTTTTTAGTCTTCGGCGCGCCGGCACCCCTGGAGCGCACTGACCAGTCCGGGGAACCCGGTGAATTTTGGCGGGCTTTTCCCTCCGAAGGAGTTTTCACGAACGGCCGGATTTGGACCGCCATATTCGGAGGCGGAGCCCATTCAGGGGAATGTCCAATCTCTCTTGAATTGCGCTTTTGTTGGGCTTTGCAACGAGAGAACGGAATGCGTTGGCCGTGCCTGATGCAGGTGAAAAACAGCCGAAGGGAGAGTGAGAGCCAGTCGGGTGTTGTTTTCCTTGCTGTTTCCAATGTTTCTCCCAACCGTCAAGCAGCTCCGTCGATCTGTCTTTCTTTTCGCGGTTTGCCATGTTGTTGATGATCCGCGACGCCATCCGGCTGTTCTGGAAGAGCAAACGTTTTCTGGCTCACATTTTGGCTCCACCACACCGCCGCGACTCCCGTCCAGCATCTTGTTAGTGTTGATGCCTCACTGCCTCAGCGGGTCCAGCGAAGCTCGCTCCGGACAATGCTCCACGGCCTCGACTCGAGTGGGAGAATTACGGGGGTCGTCTGGGCTTGGCCACGGCGGTCTGGACGCTGGCAATGGCCCAGCTCGGCGGACTTGTCGGTATCGCCTCCAGGGTGCGAGTAAAGATGTCGAGGGAAAACGTGTGCGAGGGCTTCGTCTGACCGCAGACGGAAATGGGCGTGGGGGATCGCGTGGTGGAGCCTGAAGCAGCTGGGTGATCGGCGGTGACAGGGACCCTGGAGAGCATCGATGCAAACTTGTCAGCGCTGAAAGCAAGCTTCGAGGAACTTGTGCTGCAGTCAAACGACGCAGTTTCCAGGACGGGCGGCAGCCGTTATGAATTAAAAGGCAGCGATTTGCGATGCAAGGGAAGTTTTACCCAACCGATGCAGGAACTGACGTTGAGGTGCAGCTCGGTAGAGGCATCGCGTGTCTCTGGCGAGCGCCGTTGAAAGCACTGGCGTCAAAGTTAATTTGGTAAATCGGCGCAATGGTTTTACCGTCAATTTGCTCTGACAGGATGGAAACCTTGCTCGCTTTTGCCCGGCCTTGGGCTCCACCAGGCTCTCTCTGCCGGGGGCCGGGAAATGCCAGGCACGGGACGCTAGAGCTCAGAAGGGAATAGTGCCAGGGCACAGTTGGTGATCCCTTCCTCAAGAAGAACCGCAGGGTTGCAAGAGTTTGGCTCGCCAAGACCTCGACGTTACCATCATTGCACGACCTAGCGGGGAATTGCGAGAACAACCATCCCACGGCAAGCACTTGCACTGCATGTCCCGCTTGCAGCAAGCACACCATGGCCCTGCCAGCGCGAAGCGCCCAGGACAACGCGAAAGCCACGAGCTATCCATGATCCTGCCCACCATGCCGGGCTCGTCGACGCTGCTGTGGCTGCCGTGTCCCGCGCGTGCTTCTGCAAGGCGTTCTTCCTCGTTTTACCCTGCGTGGTTTCCCTCCCTGTCCGTCGCTTCCCATCCTCTTGGTCTTGGTTCCGACCTTTTGTTGCCTCGCACCCCGCGAGGCGTGTCCCTTCCTGCGGTCCTTCCTTGTTGATGCGAATCCATTGCCTTCACTCTTTCGGCTTTGGACGCACAACTCGCACCTACCCGCAAAAGACACACAACCCCCGACGCTCTTTCCCGCATCCAACTTGCAGGGCTTTCTCTCAAGAACACAGAAGCAACGCTCCTTCGCCAAAACCCGACAACACCCTTCTCTTGTACCACCACGGACTGCCATGATTCCCTGACCCCTACCTTGGAGCAGTAACTGAACGTGACGATATGCGCCTTCCTCCGCTCGGTCCGGTCCCGGACAGGACCGTGGAGAGACGGCTTCTCGGTGAAATTTTAGGAGGAGTAGGAGACGTTGTTGTCACTCCGGTCTGTCAGGTTTTGGGAGGATGTAGGCAGGCAGAGCCCTCGCCTTCTCCCTCTCCTGATCCATCCCCTTCCCCAACTCCGGACCCGACCCCGGACCCTACTCCGGACCCGTCTCCCACGCCGGACCCCCCCAAGGCATCACCTACTCAACCGCCCGCCAACAACGACCCCCCTTCGCAGGATCCTCCCGCCCAGGCACAGCCCACGCCTAACCCAAACCCACCGACAGGTGAGACCGGCTCTGGCGATGGGAACGGTAACGGTTCAGGCTCTGGGTCTGGCTCCGGTTCAGGTTCGGGTAGTGGCAACGGCTCTGGGCAAGGCTCAGGCAGTGGCTCCGGTACTGGTTCGGGTTCGGGTAGTGGTTCTGGCACCGGCAATGGCAATAACGGGCCCGGATCTGGAACCGGCTCCGGCTCCGGCTCCAACACCGGTTCAGGCTCAGGTTCCGGATCTAATCAAGGGAGTGGCTCAGGAGGCTCGACCGGGGGTAGTGATGGGACGGGTAGCCATCACGACTCTCCTGGTGGAAATGGAAACCCTGGGTCAGGCAGTGGGCATGGGTCGGGCTCGGGCTCGGGCAACGGGAGCACCCCGCCGCCCGGCGACAACCAGAACAACAACGGGCCTGTTGTGAAGCCGCCTACCCCTGACAATAACGGCCATACCAACACCAATGGCCCAGCCCCCACCCCTACCACGCCTGTGTCCCACTACAGCCCTGGAGATGCGACATCTACCGGCCCTGCTGTCGTTCAAAGTTCCGATGCGGCCGCGCCTATCAACGGCAACGGTTTCACGAAGACCGATTTCGGTGACTTGGCGGCGGGCTCCGGTGCTTACGGGCACAACGACAACGAGAACGGGAACTCGAACCCCCCCGGTGGGATCGGTGGAAATGACGGGTCCAACGGGAGCTCACAGCCCAGCTCGTTACCGGGCGTCGTGGCCGGTGTTGTTTGTAAGTGTCTTAAACAATAGTGTGTACCCGTTCTTTGCTGACTCTGCAGCCGTCATTGTGTTATTCCTGGTCTTGCTCGCGCTCCTGGTGTACACCAACCGTCGCAGACCCCGTGTACACGCTTTCCTCGTCAAGTACACTCCCTTCAAGGTCACGCCTTACTCGGATCTTCAACGGAAGCGGTCTTCTCTGGGCGCCGACCTGCTGTTCACTGATGGCTCACACGGCGATGCGCTGATGACCGAGAATCGCGGTGGTGCAGGCTATGGCACCATGGTCCCGCCCGTGACGCAGCCGAGCCGAGCTGCCGCTCGCCCAGAACGTTTCGATGGTCCTCCTCAGATCACTACCACCATCGTTAGCGGACGGCCGCAGAGCCCCACCAACCCGTTTGACGTCTCGCCTATGTCTCCCGACTTCCCGCAGTCCCCACCCCCCGTGATTCCTGCCCGTCGTACCAGCCAAGACTCTGTGGGTGGCATTAGCATTGCGAGCAGCGGTGTGTTTTCACCATCCCTGCTTTCCTGGCCGGTTCCGCCGTCTGAGAGCACCAGCACCGGCCCGTCGCCCCCACCAACCTCCCACGAGCACCTCGCCAACCTTGCGGACCTCCAAGCAAAATACAAGCCGTTGACGCCTACGACGAAGCCGGTCACCCCTGTCAGCCCTGTGGGATCGATGTTCCCAGTCATGCCGGTCTCGCCACCCACGCCTGTGAACCGATCAAACTGGACCAAGCCGCCGGGCTGGGATTAAGCTGGTGAAGGCTGCGGCATTGCAACGCTCACGTGGTTTCACTTCTGAGGCGGTCAGGTACCGGTGGTGGCGGCCCAAGTCCGGCACCTGTGTGTGCTCGTTTCTCCCTGCAGCGTTTTGATTGCTTTCTTCCGTTCGACCGGCCTGGGCACGGGCATGGATGGGTTCATGACAACGACCTTAAGACGAGGCATGACGCGTGGGGAACCGCGCCTCATCTGTCCCGCTGACAGCTGCATGTACATGACTCTCAATGTACAAGTTTTCTCTCAACTATTCATGCGTTGCGTGAACGCACAACACGCAGTTCTCCTACTCATGCCTAACTCGACTCGACCGTTGTTGTTCCCTTTTTGTTGCGCCTTTTTTATTTTTCTTCGTGGTTTGTTTTGGATGTCTTCGTTTGGATTCGCCGGGTGTTTCGGAGAAGGGGTTGGGGGAGGGAAAGGGGAATTAGGTGTTGGTGGGGAATCGTCAAAATTATTAGCACCCTGCCGTACTCGGCCGCCGTGTGCCGTTACCTTATACCCCGCTACCTCGCTGGAGCCATAGACAGATGAGCTGTAATACCGTAATCTTCTCAGTGTGTCTTTGCCTATTTGGTAGAATACGATTTGCTTCTTCGCTCATGTGGCTTTGTATGTGAGGCTGTGCCGTAGCTATTCGAATGTACGGATGTTCCGGGTTGTCGAGGCTACTTTCCTGGATTCATACGAACGAACGCCCAATCCCGTCAGCGCTTTCGTCACCTAATATGGAAGTTTGGCTCGAATTTCCATCAACGAAACCCAGGGTTAGGGTTTATACCGGTCGTGACTGCCGCCCATCAATTGAGCGACGTCCAAAAAGCAGATCATGGCACCTTCCTCCCATGCTGGAATAAGTGGAAACTGGGTTCAAAACCCCAATCGGCTCTCCAAGCCAAGAGGTGAGAACGTTAGTCAATGGCAGGATCTCCGCAGGAATCAACAAAATTCGTCAAACGCTTGAACTGACCTGCCAATCCCCCTCGGACTCCGCGGGAGGCCGCTTCCCGTGAATTAAGGCCCACCACCGATTCTGACTCTTCAACGCTCGTTTCCATCTCCCTCAACGGTTTTTTCTGTGACACGTTTCTCGGTTGTACGATCCGACCTTTTCAATTCCCGTGTGATTAGGTTTCTGCGCTAAGGCTGGTGGGGTACCTCCTGAACATCCCAAAATCAAGACTCAAAAATGCCCTCCACCGAAGCCTTGTCGCTGGTCCGTCCAGCGACCCCGTCGAAACAAGCAGCGGCCGCAAACGGAGGCGCTCATCGTCGAACCGTCCCATCAAAATTGAGGCATTCGGAATCAACATCCACAACCGTCAAAAATGTGCGACCGGGCAGCTCGCCAAGGGGAAGAAAAGTATCTGGGCGCAGGAGGCAACCCAACAGCAACTCGAGGACCGGGTTGCTTCGGCGAACCTGGGTGTTCCCTCTCGCTTTGGTCCTCAGCTTTGTAACGCTCTACGCCATTAACCCAACCCAAAGCAATGTAATCCGGCCTTTCCTCTTTCTCTCTTACCAATCCGACAGCCGCCCCGACCAGTATGGAAAAGGCCGCCTAGACTTCGCCTTCGTTGGGTTCTACACTGTCTTCCTCACCTTCACCCGCGAATTCATCATGCAAGAAATCCTTCGGCCCCTCGCCCGTCTCGGTGGGATTCATTCGCGCGCCAAGCAAGCCCGATTCATGGAGCAAATGTACACAGCTTGTTACTTTATGTTCGCCGGACCGCTCGGCTTATACACGATGCACCAGACGCCGGGGCTCTGGTACTTCAACACGCGCGGCATGCACGAAGGGTACCCCCATGTGGCGCACAGCGCGGTGTTCAAGTTCTACTACTTGTTCCAGGCGGCGTATTGGGTCCAGCAGGCGGTGGTGATGCTGTTGGGGCAGGAGAAGCCGAGGAAGGATTTCAGGGAGTTGGTGGCACACCATGTGCTGACCATCACACTGATTTTCCTGAGCTATCGGTACCATTTCACGTACATTGGTATCTTTATCTACATCACGCACGACGTCAGCGACTTGCTGCTCGCGGTACGTCTCATCTCCGCTGGTCCAGAAGAGCAACTTCCCAACTAACCGTATGTTTAGATCTCCAAGTCCCTCAACTATCTTTCCCACCCCCTCCAATCCTACACCTTCGCCCTCTGCATCGCCGGTTGGGTCTACCTCCGACACTATCTCAATCTGCGCGTGATGTACTCGCTGGCGACCGAGTACGCCGCGATCCAACCGTTCGGCGCGATCAGCTGGGAACGGGAAGAGTTCAAGTCTCCGATGTCGCAGTGGGGCACATTTGGACTTCTCGTGGGGCTGCAGTTCCTGAACGTGTTTTGGCTGGGGTGTTTGGTGCGGGCGGCGTACCGATTTGTGGTGCTGGGCGTGGCGAAGGATGATCGCGAGGATGGGGAGGAGGAAGTAGAGGGGAAGTAAGGGAGAGTGTGAGATGGGGAATAATGGTTCGAGGGTTGTTGAATTTGCTCTAGATTTGCTGCATGTGGATGGCTGGGTGTGGGAATTACTAACCTAATGTGATACGTGTGCATGGAGACGGACGATAGACTAGCATCTTTAATACGGATAATAATAATAGCTACTAAGCCAGTTTGCTAACTCAAAAACATCACATCGATCCTTAGTTTCCCGGCTGTTGTCTCGGTTCTGTTCCGTTTTATCCAAGGATCTAACAAAAGCACGGGAGCTTAGAGACAAACGTATGACTTGAGCACGGGACAGATGTACAGATACGAAGAATCGAATAATTACCAAGAACACAACAGTCCCACGCCCCCCACCCTAGACACACCACCAACAAACGCAACACATGGAAGAATTGCCACCATCCCCCGCTCGCTGTCGGCCTCTCTCCGTCCTCAACGCGAGTCCCCACCAATAACGGAGTGGATCTGTCTGCAGGGTGCCGTGTTGTATGTGAGGCCTACTGCGTAAGGGTTGGTTTTGGGTCTGGCTTTTCCTCTTGGTTTTGAGTTTGGATGAGGGGCAGACGGTGATTCGGGTCAGCAAACGGGTTGGTTTGTCAGCCCCATGCCCGGAAGTGGAAGGGGAGGCCGGGTGGGAATTGGGATCGAGTCTGGAATTGGATTCAGGATTGGGGAGCGGGAGGCGGGAAGCAGATAGCCGTGGACCAATGGTGTTGCGTAGGTGTGTTGGTGGTGTGGTAATGACGATAGGCCGAGTTGTGTGGGCAAACGGGTTGGTTGATGGTGTTTGGAATGGGGGTATAATTGTATCAGCTCTGTCGAGGCTCGGTTCGCGATTTTCTTCTTTTTTGTTGTCAACGATTTGGTGCAGTTCGGAGCCAGAGCAGACTGGAGACATCAGCGCGTAATTAGGTGCTGCTTCAAGTCTTTTGTTCTACATATCTAACCTTTCAATTGATATTTCCCTTTCGTTCTCTGCACCTGTCTTGATCTTCCATCTTCTTCTCACCGAAACCCAACAAACACCACCCACAATGCACAACGGCCGCGGCGGACGACGCGGCCTCCAAGCCTTCACCCCCAACAACAACAACAACAACAACAACAACAACAACAGGCGTGGCAACAGAGCCTCATCATCCAGAGCACCATCAACCCGAGACTCGTCCTCCCGACCCTCGCGCGCCCAACCGCCAAGAGGCATCTGCAAATTCTTCCTCACCTCCCACTGCACCCACGGCTCAACCTGCCGCTTCTCACATGACGAAGCGGATATTGAGCGTACGCTTGAAGAAAGCGGGGGGCAATCGCGGGCGGAAGCACAGGCTAGTAGGGAGGCGTATGTTGATTTTCGGAGGGGGGTGCGCGACAGTGGCACGAGAAGAATGTCGAGCTGGTCTGGAGGGTTTTTGAGGGAGGAGTTGGAGGAGACGTGGAGGTTGGCGGGGAAGGTTTTGGATGGACCGGGGAGGGAGGGGCAGCAGGATGTGGCGAGGGATTTGGGGGGTAGTTTTAACTCGAGAGAGAGGGATGGTGGACGGGGGGTGGATGGGTTGGGGTTTGTGCAGAGGTGTGTGGAAATTGTTGTTAATAGCGATATGGGGGAGGGGGAGGACAAGGAGGAGGTGGTGGTGAATCTGGTGGCAGCGATGTTACGGGTGGTTACGCACCCGTCGCTGGTGAGGAGTTTGTCGGTGGACGGGTTTGTGGGTGCTGTGTACCGGCGCATCGCGGGCGTGGAGGGGGATCAGGGGTTGGTGCTTTTTGGGAGGGTGAATGAGTTGGTTGGGGAGCGGTGTTTGGGGGCACCGGAGTCGTCGAGGGGGTTGTTGCGGTTAATGGTGGAGGGGCTGTATGAGATGTTGCGGAGGGAGCGGGGGGTATTGGGGAATGAGGCCTTGGGGGGGTTGGTGGAGGGCATCAAGGGCAATGTGGTGAGACTGGTGGCGGATTTGGGGGAGGGTGAGTTGACGGCAGCGGGAGAACTGGATGCGATCTCGGCGAGGGTTGAGATGATCCGGCGGATGATGGGTGCTGCACGACGGAGTCTGACCGGCCCGGGCATGAACCTGACTCCAGGAATCATCACTTCCCATCACAGTACCACCCGCTCAACCTTCCCCTTCGCAGCCGCCATCCCCGGCGGACACCACGACAACGACTTCGCCGACATCACGCGCATCCAGATCTTCCCCACGCTCGGCGAAATCACCTACACCGGCCCGGCAGTCGAGTTCCTCCCCACGACAGACCTCACACAGCCGCACTTTCTCGCCACCGACCCAGTCCAGCGACATCTCGACTCGGCCTTCCGACTGCTACGACACGACATCTTCGGCCCGCTGAAGGATCTCGTAGGGTCGATCTTCGCTTCCTCTCTTTTGTCTTCTTCCATTCCTTCCTCGTCATCGGCATCGTCATCCTGGCGGCCGTCTCGGGCTCTGCCCATCGCATTACAGAAACTAGTTCAAGACCAGGGCCAGGTCCGAGCCCACGTCTACACCAACGCCTCGATCGGACACCTGTTCGTCGACAACGCCAGTCTCGAGGCCTCGCTGTCGTTTTCCCGACCGCCCGCTCTCCGGAAACTCACTACGGCAGCTGAGCAGCGACAGTGGTGGAACGCGTCGTCGCGGCTGGAACAGGGCGGACTGCTGTGTTTTATCTCGGGGTCTCAGACCAGTGCCGATGACGACAAGGCGTTTATTCTGCTGGTTGTGACGAGGAAAAACACGAACGACGACGACGACGACGACACGGCTGGCCGGGACAAGAGTTCCCTCGTACCAGGGCAGCATCATAATCCGTCAGTCAGCGTACGGCTGGCAGCAGAAACACGCGAGAATGCGGCAATGCTGACGCGGTTGTATGTGCAAAAGCTGGAGGGCGTGGTGGTGGAATTGCCGGGGTTGATACCGGACACGTTTGTGCCGGTGTTGCGGAACTTGCAGCGGATGATGAGGGATGGGGGGTTGGCTTTTCAGAGGTGGATTTTGCCGGCTGAGTATGAAGAAGATGAAAATGAAGGGAGAGATACCGGAGATGGGACGGTGATATCACCGCCTATGTACGCGAGAAAGGACGGGTTTCACTTTCGGCTGAAGAGTATCACGCAGCCGGGTAAGGCTGAGATGAGGGTTGACCCGGCAATGCCGGACGGGGGAGTGGATCTGAGCGAGCTGGAGGACGCTACGGGACTGGACAAGGGTCAGGCTTCTGCTCTTGTTGCGGCTCTCACGAGGGAGTATGCGTTGATTCAGGGGCCGCCGGGCACGGGTAAGTCGTATGTGGGTGTGAAATTGGCACAGGTGCTGCTGGATCATAAGTCCGAGGCGGATCTAGGGCCATTGCTTGTCATGTAAGCTTTTCTCTGTTTCTGTCTTCTCTTTTCTTTTCCTTTTTCTTTTTTGGCTTTTTCGAGGGGTTCTTTCGGGTTCATTTGCAGAAATGCGCTAACGGTCTGACAGCTGCTACACCAACCACGCCCTAGACCAATTCCTCAAACACCTGCAGGACGTCGGCATCAAAAAGATCATCCGCATCGGCGGCCAGAGCAAATGCGCCGATCTCGATGGTTTGAACCTGCGCGTGGTCAACCGCAACGCGGCCAAGACCTCTGTTGAGAGCCGGAGCCTAGGCGAGAACTTTGAGGAACTGAAGGGATGCAACGAGTCTGCAGGCAAGAGCCTCGGCCCGCTACACCAGGTTCGCAAGCGACGGATCGACTGGAGGACGCTGAAGTCGTTTCTACGGCGTCGCTACCCGGCGGTGGCTGACCAGTTTGAGTCGATGGAAGGGGTGGATGAGGACGGGTTTGAACGTGTCGGGGGTGACCCCTTGCAGGTTTGGCTAGGAGGGGTTACAAAGGGGGCGCCTGTTGACAACCATGACGACGACGAAGGCGAGCGGCTGTCCCGGCTCGCCAAGGAGGACATCAACTGTCTCTCCCCGCAAGAACGGCGGACAGTAACCGACTACTGGGTCCGCCAGCTCGTACACCACCAGACCGAGCGCATAGCCGAGTTCGTCGACCGCGCCCAAGACCACCGCAGCGAAATCAACGCCGTGCACGACGACGTAGCCCGCCGCACACTGCTTCAAGCCGATGTCGTGGGGGTCACCACCACCGGCCTAGCCCGCCACATCAACATGCTCTGCCGCGTGGGCATCAAAGTCGTCGTCTGCGAGGAGGCCGCCGAAGTGATGGAGCCACATCTGCTGTCCGCACTCATGCCAGGCGTCGAACATCTCATCCAAATCGGCGACCACCGCCAGCTGCGACCCCAAATCCAGAACTACCTCCAGTTCAGCCTCGAGACAACCGCCGGACGCGCCCACCAACTCGACCGCAGCCAGTTTGAGCGCCGGGCCGAGGGCGAGCCCGGTCTGGACCCCCTTCCCGTGGCCCAACTGCATGTCCAGCGGCGCATGCGGCCCGAGATTGCCCGGCTGATTCGCAGTGTGTACCCGGCTCTAGAGGACCACCCGTCCGTCCTAAACCTACCGCCCGTTGTCGGTCTCCGGGACACCCTCTTCTGGCTGGACCACGAGCACCCGGAGGAAGAGAAGGGCAACGAAAATGACACCAAAACAGGCTCACACAGCAACCCGTGGGAGGTAGACATGGCCAAAGCCCTAGTTCACCACCTCGTGCGCCAGGGCACCTACAAAAGCAGCGACATCGCCCTCCTAACCCCTTACACAGGCCAACTCCAAAAGCTGCGGGCCGCACTCAACCGCGACTTTGCAGTCGTCCTCAGCGACCGTGACCAGGACGCCCTGGCCCAGGACGGTTTCTTGCAGACCGAAGAAACCTACGAAACAAAACCCCCAACCTCAACCCAATCCCTCTCCCACGCCCTCCGCCTCGCAACAGTAGACAACTTCCAAGGCGAAGAAGCCCGCGTCATCGTCGTCTCCCTAGTCCGCAGCAACCCGCACCACAAAGTCGGTTTCCTCCGCTCCCCGAACCGCATCAACGTCTTGCTCAGTCGGGCCCAGCACGGGTTATACCTCATCGGCAACGCGACTACCTATTCCCACGTGCCGATGTGGGCTGATGTATTGGGTCAGTTGCGCGACCGGGGGGCTGTGGGAAGGGGGATCGCGTTGGTTTGTCCGCGGCATACTGCCTCTCCGAAGTCTTCCTATGCTGGTCAGGGGAACCCTAACCCTGGTGATAACCCCCCCTCAGCCGTGAATGTGATAGCAACGACCCCCGCCTGCTTCACCCTCCACTCCCCCGCGGGCGGCTGCACTCGTCCCTGCGACCGACGCCTCGAGCCCTGCGGACACAGCTGTCCGTCCCCCTGCCATGCTGACGTGTTGCATGCGGCGGTCGTCTGTCTGCAGCCGTGTCCGCGGATAAGGGAGACGTGTGCGCATGCTTGTTCGAGGCTTTGTGGAGAGGGTTGTGGGCTATGTCAGGTCGTTGTTGAGGGGGTGAAGTTGCCGGGGTGTGGGCATGTGAAAGAGGGGTTGGCGTGTTGGAGGGTGACGGTGCCGGGGGAGTTGGAGACGGTGAAGTGTGAGGTGGTGGTTGAGAAGACGGTGCCCAGGTGCGGGCATGGGGTTAAGGTGGAGTGTTGGGTGGATGTTGATGACGCTGATAAAGAGCATGTCGACGGTGAGAAGGGTTTTCTTGCTGGTATTATCAAGAAGCGGGAGGGGTTTGTGTGCCCCGTCAAGTGTGAGGGGAAGATGTTAGCGTGTGGACATGCGTGTCAGGGGTCTTGTGGGCGGTGTTCGCGGGCTGAGGGGGGCCATGAGCAGTGCAAGAGGGTGTGTGACCGGCCGTTTGGAGGGTGTAATCATCGGTGTCGGAGGATGTGTCATGAGGGGGGGGAATGTGGGGTGTGTCCGCAGCGGTGTGAGGTGTGTTTACCCCTTTTGTTTACTTGATGCCCATTGTTTACTTACCCCTTACCCCTTACCCCTTACCCCTATTTCTGCATTGTTACTGACACGACATGATAACAATCAGGTCCGCTGTCCCCACTCCCGCTGTCAACAGCCCTGTCAGAAGCCCTGCTCCCCCTGCATCGAGCCGTGCTCGTGGTCCTGCGAGCACCAAGGAGCGTGTACCCTCCCCTGCGCCGCGCCGTGCAACCGACTGCCCTGCGACAAGCGCTGTCCCCGCGTTCTCCCCTGTGGCCACCAGTGTCCCGGCTTCTGTGGCGAAGACTGTCCGAGCCGGGACTTGTGCCAGGTATGCGGTACGCACGGTGACGCCCGCGTCGATCTGCTCGAGTTCAAAGCCTACGCCCAAGTCGATCTCGACGAGACACCCGTGGCTGTTCTCGGGTGTGGGCATTTCTTCACTGGCGAGACGCTGGACGGAATGTTAGGCCTGGGATCGGTCTACACGACCGACCACGCTGGAAAATACACAACGCTGAAAGAACCCTCCGGCGAACTGACCGCCATCCCAGCCTGTCCCGACTGCCGCGTACCAATCCGTCAATTCGCCACGCGCCGATACAACCGCGTCGTCAACCAGGCCGTGCTAGACGAAACCTCCAAGCGGTTTCTTGTAGCCGGCCTGGCCAAACTCGCCGACCTCGGCAAGCGCGTGACCGCAATGGAGGAAACACTGGCCAAGGCGTCGCAACACACGTCGCTCCTCGCGTGGCGAAGCACCCAACGCTACGACACGGCCAAGGCGCTCCGCCGGGAAGCCACCCAGCTCCGCTTCGACATGAAAGCTGAGCACCAGCCTACTAAGAAACTTTTTGATGCTATCGTCACCTCCCAGCGAGACCACCCTCTCCAACGCCGCTTCCAAACCCTCACGCTCTCTCCTACCTCCGACACTACCCTCAGCCCTAATACCGACAACAACCAACCCCCCATCCCACAACCAGTCTACAACCAGCAAATAACCCTCCACGCCCAGCACCTCGCCCTACGCGCCTCCGAAGCCATCCTCCGCGACATCTTCACCAGCCTCAGCAGCGAAGCCACCACTACTACAACCACCACTCCTTCCTCCAAACGTCCCGGACAATCCCACGCTGCTGCAGTAAAACAACAGTTCCCGCTTCTCCCGCAACAGTGCGCCGACTTCTTGCACCAGTGCGAGCAGCTGATTGAGCAGGCTGGTGCGGCTTCGTTGCCGAGATTGGTGGTGCCGGCTGTGTTGTCGTTTGCGCGGGTGGCACAGTGGGGGGGGTGGTATACGACGCGGGTTTTGGGGGTGAATGGGGAGCAGGCAAAGGATCGTAACAATGGTGAGGAAGGTAAAGTGGACGGTGAAGTGGGTGGTCAGCGTCCTGGAATCCACCCACGGGGACAGCAGCAACAGCAACAGCAACAACCCAAGGACAAAGACAGCGAAAAAGAATCACAACCCCCCACAGAAAAAGCCCTCACCCTCCTCACCCACGCCCTGACCCTCTGTGACACCCACCCAGCCGCCTCGCTAGGAGATCGGTACCGGGAGGAAGTGGAGGAAATGCAGAAGCTGCTGTTGTTGCGCCGGAATGGGCCGTGGTATGAGGCGGTGTCGCCGGCGGAGATTGCGGCGATCAAGCGGGCGATGGTGGAAGGACCTGGGGGGTTTGCGACGCATTCTGGGAGGTGGTATACTTGTGTTAATGGGCATCCGGTGAGTTATTATTTTCGTTGAGTGTTTCTTTCTTTGGTTTTTGTCACCCCCTTTTATTGAATTGTGTGTGACACTTTTATGTTTAATCTTGGGGTTTGTTTTGTTTTTTGTTTTTTTCATGACCATTTTCCTTAACTACTCGCCTCAGCTCCGTTTTCATTTCCTTCCCTTCTTATTTCCATTCACTTTGTCTAATTTACCATGCACTCGATAATGTTTTTATATTTATATATTTCCTCGATTTCCTATCGTTTTCGGTATTTCTACTCCTTTTCCTTTGGTTGTCCATCCTACATTTCTTAGCTAACCGTAATTACCAGTTCGCCATCGGCGAGTGCGGCATGCCCATGGAAATTGCCCGCTGTCCCGAATGCGGTGAGGCCATCGGCGGGCAGAATCACATGGCCATGGCCGGTACGCAGCGTGATGAGGAAATGGAGAGGGCATAGGATCATTAGGTATGTAGATAACAAAAGCTAGGTAGTGTGTATTGGACTAGTTAACGGAAATCTCCGCTCATTTTTCGATCTCTTTACTCAGAAATTCAGTTCATCCAATCGAGTCGTGATCCAAAGAATCTGATCCAATTTTGTTGCTTGTGTGACTGTAACCATACTGATCGTCTTAATACATGAAATATGGACTGGGGTGTTTTGGAGGGGCTGAGGGGTATCGAGATTGTGTACGGTACCGTACCCGGACACCTGAAGGAACCGTATTGACAGGGAAAAAGTGGGAAACCCCAAAAATGGGTAAAAAACCCGAAAAAAAGAAAGAAGAAAAACACAAGACAACAAGAAACTTTCCGCATGTACCACATCGCAATCGTGTTCACCACTCCCCACCCACACACACCTCCAATAGTGTACACCCTCTCACCGCCTCGTTAGTTACTTCTCACCCACCCCATTCTGCTGCACATGCCCATGCCCATGCCCATTCCCATTCCCATTCCCATTCCCATCCGCCGCCGTCCCCTCCACAACATCCTTCCGCATCCACACCTCCCCAATCGGACACCCTTCCCGCTCCACACACACCCACTCCCCAATCCCCTTGTGTTCCGGTGCCCGGCGCACACCGCGGCCTCCACCACCCACAATCAGGTTGCCCGGCCGGTATGACGGGTCCATCTCCATGCGGCGGATCACGCTGCCGTGGATGCGCGCGTTGGGCGGGATGTCGCGGACCTCGCCGCAGGGGAGGGGCCAGCGGATGGGCTTCCAGGAGCCGTCGGATTGGAGGTCCATGCGGCGGAAGGGGAGGTATCTGAGGCTGTTAGCATACATAGGTACATAGCAAGGGGGATGGGATAGGGAAAAAAAGGAGAAGAGAAACAGGGGAGGGGAACGTACTCCATGACCTTCCAGGCCGCGACGGCCGACCAGCTAAGGCCGCCGCCAAACTCGAGCGAGTCGTGGATCAGCGCTGTGTGAGCCTTGTGCATCATCTCGCGGAAGGACGGCGGGTTTGTCGCATCGGAACTGCTGCTAGTGCTGCTGCTGCTACTGGTAGTAGTTATCGCGGTTGCTGGAGCACCGGCGCTGGGACTCGCGGGTTCTTCTCCGTTGGTGTTCTGCCTGCCGAACCGCGCGCGTTGGAACAGCTTGGGCGTGCTGGTGCTTGGGCTGCGGACCATGATGTTGGGGATCGGGCGTTGCTCGGCCGCGGGGGCGCTTGCTGATGGTGCGGCTATGTTTTCTGCTTGCGCGGTTGCTGCTACCGGGTCGCGCTCGTCGTGGAGGGCGTCAATGCAGCCGAGATCGCGCACCTTGTCGAGGTCAAAGTTGAGGCCGGCTTTCATGGCCTCGTGGATCATCCACACCAGCGGCACGTGGCTGGCCGACTTGGACTCCGGGAGCATTTCCCAGCCGCCGCCAATGTCGGCGTGGCCGCCGGCGAACCAAATCTCGTCCAGATCCTGCTCGCCCTCATCCTCGGACTCGATGATCGAGTCGGAGTCGAACTCCTCGCCGTGTGGGTGCGGCGCGATGGAGAATTCGGATTTCTCGTCCGAGACCACGGGAGTACGACGGGAGCGGGCGGCCGAGTGTGAGCGCGCGCGGTACGGTGCCGGGTCGTCGGGGATGTTGAGCTTGGATTTGCGGCCGCGGCCTTTATCGCGGTGAGACTGGGACGACGCATCCCCCAGGCTGGCCCGCCGACGGTACTTTTGGTGGACTTCGTGCAGCTTCTCCATCACGGCGTTGTGCTCCCGCGCAGCCTCCTTCTTGCGGTGGTTGTTCTGGTACATGAGGTCCTGGCGGAACTTGGCGCGGCGCTCGTCGATGCTGACGGCGTGGCGGACAACCTTGGCCGACGTCCGTGCCGTGTAGGGGAACTTGCTGCGTTGCATCCAGGCTGTCTCGAAGCGCGGCACGCTGTTGACCGTGTCGAACAGACCGAGGAAGCGGATGCGCCGGACGGGTCGCGAGAAGGTCTCGCGGAAGCCCTTCATAAAGGTGTACATCTCCTTCTTTTTCTGCACACCCTCCGGTGTTGTGTTGCCTTGGCGACTCTGCCAACTAGAGAAGGCCTTCCACGCGAACACGACCATCTCCTCATTGCCGTGCGACAGCAGTCCAACGTAGTCCAGCATCTCGGCCAGGAAGCGCGCGATGTAGGCGCCGCGAGAGAAGCCGAAGATGTAGATTTCATCACCGGGGTTGTAGAAGCGCATCAGGAACCGGTACCCGCCGACCACATGCTGATCAAACGATGAGCCCACGGCCGAGTCCTTGGCCTTCATGTACCAGGACTTGACCCGGGCGACGGTGCCCGTGTGCGTGAGGCTAGTGGACACGACATACGTGCCGATGCCGGCTGGTGATGTTAGATTGCTATGTTTTACGACGACGCTGCTTCATGCAAGTTGACTTACGTTGATAGTAGTGGTCTGTCCTCGTCCGTCAGCATTGGGAATCTCGGGCAAAGCCAACACAGAACATCGTGTGCGGAGTGGGGCACGTACATTGATCACTGGCCGTTCGGTCTAGCATACGAAAGATCTTGAGGATGTTGCTGTCGCTGTCATCGCCATGGAACTTGTTGCCGGTGCCGTCGAAGCACAGCACAATCTTCCGCGGCTTGCGGTGATGCGAGCGGGTTTGGCCTTCGGGCCCCGGCCCCGGCGACGCGGGACGCGACGGCAGATGGGACGAGAGGAATTCTTCGTGCGAGTCGCGGGGTGCCTCGGGCCGGGCATGCCCGTCTTGGGCCAACGGATTGAGATGTGTCGGGTCCATTGTGTTCACGCTGTGGCAAGTCCCAGAAGTCTTTTGGATCCTTTCTCAGATCTCGTAAAGACGGGTGAGAATTTCCGTCCTTTTTTTGGCTGCGATGGAAGACATGAACGACCTGTCGTCATCCAACGACTTCCCAATTCATCGGACCGTGGGGATGTTGGGCTCGGCATGCCTTTTGATCGTTATCCGTGCGCGCCGAAGGAAGAAACACGCTGCCTGGGCTCTGCAGGCCCCCTTCCGGTTTCCCGCCCGTTGCCCGTCGCCCCGAGGTTGACACCCCCGCTCCATGATGTCGTTCCTGATGACTGCTTTGTTCCATCTGTTCTGCGACATTGTCGATCCTCGCCCAATAGATGCAAAGTTTCGACTTCGGATCAGCCACGTCCCCCCCTCGCAAGCCCAGTCGAGCCCCTGTCCTATCACAAGCCAGGAGCATGGCACAGAATGTCGGAGCAATTGATCCATTTGATCCATTGTTGATCCAGAACTTTTGCCAGCCCACGTTTGGCAAAGAAAGGGCAGGAAACGCACGTACCGCAAACGCACGCAGCATGAGGGCCGCAGAGGCCCGCATGTTTGCTTGCTCGCCGGCATGCCGGGACGTGGGCTCCCGAGGCATGGTGGTGAGTCGTGACTCTGGTGAGCCTATCAGCGCCGGGTCGATGCCGGCCCCCGGCCCTCAGCTGGCCTCCGGCGGTGCACGCCAGACCAAAGCGGAAAGCCAGGCCCACTTGGGCCCTCGGCGGCGGTAACAGCGGCAGGCCCAAGAAGCTGGCCGACAGGGTGGATTGATCCACTCAGGGCGTCAAGATTTTCATCATTTTCGGGGTTTGCGTGTGACGAGTTCGGAGCTGCGAGACTGGTTCGGTTCAGCAGCGAAGTGATGCGCCCAAATCCTACTCTGACCGTCGTGTTGATATCATCCTGCGTTTTGCCCCACGGCGATGAAGGAAAAGGGGGGAGGATCCAGGAATAGCATTTTACCGTGGCGTCTTGTTCGTCCTGATCGGAAGAGAACTTCCTTTTCATGCTCGTCAGTGTTTTTTTTTTTTTTTTTCGTGGGGCGTGGGGAACGTCCCGTCGCGTTCCCGGCTCCCGACTCCCGAGGGTACCAAGAAGCTTGGTTGGGGCTGGAACATCCCGAGGGTTCACCCCAGGAGGCGACGGCTCCGGTTCCGCCAAGTGAGGATCTGGGTTTCTGGGTTAAGCCGGTGGGCCAATGGTGGACGAGTCCGCGGATCCGGGCCCTGGCACACATGAACTTTCGGGGTTTCGGTGCTGGGGTTCACAGAGGGTGTGTTGGTGTTCGTGGGGCTGGGTGGACTTTCTGACCCAAAGAGAAAGGACCGCTGAAAGCAGCGGTCTTGCGCACGGGATTGAGGGACCAGATATATACTGCTCAACAGCCCCGGCCAAAGACACAAGGCTTGGTGTTGATCTGGAAGATAGTTACTGCGCTCTTGCCCTTGATGTTTCACGGCTACATGCACAGCATCCCGCGTCCGCTCAGCTTGTCTAGGTTGTTGTGGGAATACCGATGCAGTGATGGACCGATGAGCCTCTGTGCTGTATGTCTCCTCGGAGCCTGGAGATTTTGGTTGCAAATTGGAAGTGGTCTTTTTGGGGGTTGGTTCGTCCGAATTGGCTCCAATGCCCAGCGATCTGCGCCAAGCTCGGGCCGCACCCTTCCTCGGTTGCTCGCCGGGCTGATCCGCCTATTGGCTTTTGGTGCCAGCTGTAGACCCACATGACACCCCGCCGATCGACAGGACGAACAGGGATCCTGGGTGGACCCCTCCACGGAGCGATCAGTGCATGCACACACCCAAAAGTTTGGGCAGCTTACCATTTTTGCAAATCTCAGAAGCAACCTCACACACGCAGCGGTCAACAACCGGGACGACGGAGTGTCAGCGGCCAGCGCTGGGTGGAATCGCCGGGGGTGAAATTGGGGTATCTTTTTCAATGACACTTCCGTCTCCCTCAGCTCGTCCCGGCAATCCGCGGCATTCCTGTCGTCGCATAGCATGGCGTCGAGCAAGCGGCTGAAGTGCAGAGATACGCAGGCGGCAGCCAATTGATGGACGCTCTTGGGCTGATTGCTCATCGTGCTCGCCTGCAATGGCGTGTCGCTCTCGAGACTGGACGCTTGCAGGGTCGAACCAGAAAGGCAAAACCCATGCAACACAGCAGCACGCCCAGCCGACTCCGCTTTCCACAACACGCCCATCATTTCCCTCGTTCGACATGGCTCCGTGATGGTGGCGGAGATGGTCTTCAGTGACCGGACCCTGCCTGGCTTCGAGGCTGTCACCAATGACGTCCGAGAGATTTTGCCATTGAGCTGCTTCCTCACTTCTTGTCTCGGATGGTGGAGGGGTCGATGCAGCACCCCGGTCTGCCGTGCTGGCATGGTTTCTCTGGGCCCCTGTTTGTGAGCTGTGTTCCCCGGGATCATCATTGGATTCGACCGCCGAACTTGCGAGCTGGAGACAGGCTCGACAAGGTGCAGCGGGCGACCTGCACCATGGCGTCAAGCCGGCCAGACCGGGGTCGTCGAGAAGTTCGCGCCCGCGCGATGGAGATGCGGACAGCTGCGGTTGTTACACTGGTTAGATAACAATGCACTACTCGCCGCCACTCGCGTGCTGTCTCATCTTTGCTGTCCCTACCTCTTGATCTTTTTCCTTCTTCCCGTCTTTCCTCTTCGTCTTACTTCCCAACTTGGCGATACCGGTCAAGTTGTTTGTCGGGAGTAAACACAACGCACATCATGGCGCCCGCACAGAACGGAGAGAAGCTTAACGGCCACGGCAAGCTGCCGAGCGCCTCGAGCACGGCCATCTCGGTGTCCCCTGCCGTCAAGGCCGAGAGGCTCGCCAGCCAGTCTAAGCCCAAGCCGAGCGCGCTCAAGCTCAAACCCACCAAGGCCGACAAGAAGGGCATCGCAAACGCCTTTGAGCGGCACGGCCAGGTCATCCAGGCGCGCGTGAAGCCACTTCCTAACCAGTCGGGTACCGCGGGGACGTTCTACGAGACGAGGCGATGGGGGAGACTTCGGGACGACCTCAAGACCCTGCGTGGGGCTGGTAAGTTGCTGGTTTCCCAGCTTACCTGCTATTGCGACTTCACAGGGAGCAATGGCTGACGATTTGCAGACTTGAAGACCCTTAAGAACATGGTGGTCGCCAAGGTCAAGGGCGAGAAGCTGTCGGATGACAAGACCATGATCATGGAGCGCGTCATCCAGCTCGTGTCCAACCTGCCCAGCGACTCCAAGCTCCGCACGGAGCTGACCAACACCTTCCTTGGTGAGCTGTGGTACTCGCTCGAGCACCCGCCCTCGCTGTACGTCGGTGAGAAGTTCCAGTACCGCCAGGCTGATGGCTCATACAACGTAAGTTCCGCGAGGCGCATGTCGCAGGTTCTGGTAGAAACGCAGCTGACGATGTTTTCTGCTAGAACATCATGTTCCCACAACTTGGCGCGGCCGGTACGGCGTACGCCCGCTCGGTCAACACCAACGTCCTGCGCCAGGGCGCGCTTCCCGACCCGAGCCTGATCTACGACTCGGTCATGAAGCGCACAGAGTACAAGGACCATCCCAACAAGGTGTCGTCCGTTCTCTGGTACTGGGCTAGCATCATTATTCATGGTATGTCTCTTGTCGCCCTTGCACAGAATCGTCAGCGATCAAACCCTAATAACACGTCCGCGCAGATCTGTTCTGGACGGACTACCGCGACATGAACAAGTCTAAGACCTCGTCGTACCTCGATCTGTCCCCGCTCTACGGCAGCAACCAGGAGATGCAAGACACCATCCGCACGTTCAAGGACGGCAAGATCAAGCCCGACTGCTTCGCCGACAAGCGCCTGCTCGGGATGCCACCCGGAGTTGGTCTTTTGCTGATCATGCTCAACCGCGTCCACAACTACGTGGCCACCAACCTTGTGGCCATCAACGAGGATGGCAAGTTCACTCCGCCACCGCCGCATCTTCAAGGTGAGCGCGCCGAGGCGGCCTATAAGAAGTACGACAACGACGTGTTCCAGACCGCGCGCCTCGTCACCTCCGGCCTGTACATCAACATTACCCTCTTGGACTATGTCCGCAACATTGTCAACGTGAGCGCGCACTTTCCAGCTATCGCATTATGCCTTTTTAGACGAGTAACACTGACTTGACCGCAGCTGAACCGTGTCGACACTACATGGACACTCGACCCCCGCCAGAACACCGGTATCGATGCTGGCACAAACCAGGGTGCTGAGCGTGGTACTGGCAACGTGGTGTCCGCTGAGTTCAACCTCTGCTATCGGTGGCACAGCTGTATCTCGGCGAAGGACGACAAGTGGATTGAGAACTTCTACCACGAGCTCTTCGGCAAGCCGGGCTCTGAGCTCACGACCCACGACCTGATCATGGGCTTCGCCAAGTACGATGGCCTCATCCCCGAGGACCCATTGGAGCGTCCCTTCAACAAGTTCAAGCGCGGCCCTGACGGCAAGTTCAACGACGACGACCTAGTCAACTGCATGAACGACTCCGTTGAGGACGTCGCCGGCTCCTTCGGCGCTCGCAACGTGCCGCAGTCCATGCGCGCCATCGAGATCCTGGGTATCATCCAGGGCCGCAAGTGGAACGTCACTGGTCTGAACGAGTTCCGCAAGCACTTCGGCCTCAAGCCGTACGAGTCGTTCGAGGACATCAACTCCGACCCCGGTGTTTCGGATGCTCTGCGTCGTCTCTACGACCACCCCGACTTCGTCGAGCTCTACCCCGGTCTCGTAGCCGAGGAGCACAAGGCGCCCATGGTCCCCGGTGTCGGTATCGCGCCGACCTACACCATCTCGCGTGTCGTGTTGTCCGACGCCGTCTGCCTGGTGCGTGGTGACCGCCACTACACCGTCGACTACAGCCCGCGCAATCTCACCAACTGGGGTTACAACGACGTGCAGTACGATCTCAACGTCAACCACGGCTGCGTATTCTACAAGTTGTTCATCCGCGCGTTCCCCAACCACTACAAGCACAACTCGGTGTACGCCCACTACCCCATGGTGGTGCCTTCGGAGAACGAGAAGATCCTCAAGGATCTCAAGCGCGACCACTTGTTCGACTTCAGCCGCCCCACGCGCATCAAGCCCGACACCGAGGCCAGCTCGGTCGAGAGCGCCCAGCGCGTGTTTGCCAACCCGGAGAAGTACGAGGCTGCCTGGCATGCCGGCATTGACGCGCTCACTCCCAAGGGCAAGTCGAAGCTCTCCGGTAACGCGGCCACCCACGACAAGCACCGCAGCGACACCAGCAAGCCGCTCGTCACCCCCGAGCTGCTGACCGCGGTCAAGAAGTTCTACGGCGACCTGACCGACGAGCTGCTCTCCAGCCAAGGCTACAAGCTGGCCGACCTCCGCATGGCCGACCTTGTCCGCGATATCGCTAACATTGTCCCCACTCACTTCGCGGCCTCGCTCTTCAACCTCCCGCTGCAGACCAAGGCCAACCCCAAGGGCCTCTACAGCGAGCACGAGCTGTACGCCGTGCTCTCGGCCATCGCCAGCGCCGCGTACACCAACCCCGACCCGGTCAAGAAGTTCCCCTTGGTCCAGGCGGCCAAGACCGTCGCCGAGCAGCTCGCGTCGGCCGTCGAGCGCTCCGTCAAGAGCCCCAAGGCCAAGAAGGGCGATGCCATCAGCGCCTATGGCGCCCAACTGCTCAAGGGCCTGTCCAAGGCCGGCCTCAACACCTTCGATATCACCTGGGGCCACGTTCTCGCGACCTCGGCTGCCATCGTGCCGTACCAGGCTAAGCTCGTAAGCACACCCCTTCCTGTTTCCCGTTCCCTGTATCGTATGTGCTAACGCTTCCTCCCCACAGTTCACCGAAGCAGCCGCCTTCTACCTCGACCCCAAGAACGCCGCCCACCTCGAGGCCATCCACGCGATCGCCGCCCAGCCCGCCTCGGAACAGACCGATGCACAGCTCCTGGGGTACGCCCTCGAGGGTGTGCGTCTGTCCAGCTCCACCAAGCTGCACTTCCAGGCTACCGCTGCCGACACCCTTGCCGGCCCCAACGGCAGCGAGCTGTCTGTGCAGCCTGGCGATCGGGTTGCTGTTACTTCTGTATGTTTCCCCGTGAATGCTCAGTCGTTTTTACCACGGTATACTAATCGTGTTTCCTACAAACAGGCCGCCGGCACCGACACCGTCGACCCCACCCGCGCCCGCGAATCCTACGTGCACATCGCCGCGCTCCCCAACAACACCCTCTCCCGGGAAATCAGCGAGGCCGCTCTCACCGCCAGCTTCCGCGCCCTATTCAAGAGGCGCAACGTGCGTCGCGCGCCTGGCCCGCAAGGCGAGCTCAAGAGTGTGGTGGGCGTCAGCGGCGTCGAGGGTGGCGTGGAGTACCTGCGCGAGGACTGGGGGTCCAAGACGGAGTTCCCTGTTACGTTGAAGGTGGCGTGGGATGATTGAATCGCTGTTGGGGGGGGGAGTCGATGGGGCGTGGATGGTGGGGAGGGGAAGTGTTTGGCTTGGTGGGTGTAGGAAGGGAGGGGGGATCGTCGATACCAGTTTGTTTTTTATTTCTTTATTCTTGCGTAATTAGTTGATTGTGTTGTAGGTTGCACATTGTATGTAATGGACAGTTTCAGTTGGATCAATCGCTTCGACATCCTGCATGAGAACCTGATATAAACTGGTTTCCCTCTCCAACGCAAGTCTGTCCCGATTTCCCCGGCCGGGTTGTTCTGCCTGCCTGTAGTTTGTTCGGCTGTTCTCGGAGGTATTAAGTACCTCCTATGTTGTATTTCATTTCGCGGTAAGGAGTCCGTTGGTCGGTACGCTCCTTCCCGAATAACTTACCGCCACCCTCTCTGACCCAATCACAGCAACACCCACCCCAAAGCAACCACGGAACAACTTCCAAAAAACACTACAATCCATTCAACAACCCAAAAACTATCTCGTCGCAAAGGACAAGCAAAACCAAAATATAAGGTCGTGCCCGGAATCGAACCGGGGTTGCCGGAATTTCCGTGTGTTTTCAGAATCCGGAGTGATAACCGCTACACTACACAACCGAACAGGTTGCTTGGTTGGTTTACGGCGATCGGAAATGGAGTTTATGAGTGGAGTTCTCCACAGCGTATCTTAGAACGTCGCACTGCTGTGGGTAATTCTTTCGTCGAGCCAGTTCTGAGGGTAAGGTTTTAAATTTGAGTGATAGTTTTATCGCGAAGGTAAAATATGAGGTGAGGGAGGGAGCGAATGATACCAAGATACAATTTCTTGTCCCTGTGTTCTCGAAAGGGTGGACAGGGCAGGTAATTAGTACCAGTAGCCACGGCAATAGAAAGTCGGAGCCCGCGAACAAGGACCTGTCGCTGAAACCATGCCGCGGTTATTTCGAACTGTTGACTGAAACTTGCGCGTTTAGTAAAGTGATAAGCTGACGGGTACTGTGTGCAGGTCCATTGGGAGCGGTGTATCGCCCAAGTTCATTACTTTAGGCCGCGTCGTGCTTTTTACGTCCATCAATGATCGGCTGGCGGTCGTTGCTAACTGCCTAGTCGAGCTCTAGGAGCGGTGACGGTCAGTGACGCGTGGCTATCGTGGTGTAATTAACATCTCTTTCAAATACGGTGTAGGCCGCTCAAGCGTGGGTTCGAATAACACCGTGTATGAGCCAGCTTTAAACCGTGAACGGGTCCCTTGAATGCGCGGTTGCTAGCCAGTTCTTGAGTCGCGAGCGGAATCCTAAAGTTTGTTTGCAGATGCTTGGTGGGTCTCACTGTCGCCTGCAAGTCGTCAGCTATAGGTTATACGTGTGCCCAGTCGTCGTTGCTTTTGACGCCCCTCCATTCCGCGCCGGTTGGGTTCGTGCAAGGCTTTCGAGGCCTTCCAACTGCGAGCAGAGATGCCCGATGGTAACCTTAAATGAGAGCCCTCCGGTTTCCACTTACTTTCTCTTCGTCCTGTCCCTTGTAGTCATCTGTACCTTCGCACTAGCGTTAGGCGTCAGCAAGGGGAACCATCATTTAACAAAGAAACAATGTCCGCCGACACTGGTAACCGCGTTTTGTTTCTCGTCGCAACTCCCCTGAGGCAAAGTTTTGACTGGATCCTGTGCAAATTCCACGCCATGACACCCTCCACCGCACCCCAAATCACTTGGGACAGTCCTCTTGACACTCCTCTCTCTCTTCCAAAAATTACAAACCACCTGTGCTTCGCGAGACATTATGCCGTGGGTGTAATGGACCGGGGGCACTGGGAGGACCCAGACCTGACGCTTCTGGAGAAGTTCAGTCAGGCACACTTCTGGGAGCACCGTGGGCCGACCTGCGATCCGAATCTTGGGGGGACCCGGGAGGAACAGGACGTCCGCTCAATCGAGGCTGTCGAGTTTCTGTGGTAAACTGACAAGTCAGATGGGACTATCTCCAATGAATGTAAGTTTTATACCCGTCCCAAGTACGTATAGAATAAGGGAAGCCAAAGTGAAACTGACACTAGTGGTCTGCTTACATTAGATGCCTCGGTGCTCCTTGATAACTGGGCGTACCTGCCGGTATGGTGGAACTGCCAGTCCTTTGCGACCCGACTAGCATTTCTTCTCACCGAACTACAGGTTTTCCGCGACTCCGTTGTTGACCTCGCACGAGACATTCATACCGAAGTGTTACAGCGAGTGATCTCTGTCAGACAAGAAACAATGAAAACAGTTTCCAAGTCTACCAAGATAACAAGCCTTGCTAGTTGGGTGGGCGGCGCAATAATAGTGGCTGCGTTCCCACCAACGATAGCCCTTTTTGTCACAGGCTTGATCGTGTCTTTGCTGCGTTCGTGTTGGAGTCTCTATTGCCGAGGAGAACTTTCACAGCGTAGATCGGAGGCGAGCCAAGGAACTTCAACCGAATATGAAACGGCTAGAGGCGAAATTTCCTGTGCTGCGGGGGCTTCACCGCAACATCCTAGGAGCAGCCGAAGTGGTGGGTCATTCTTTGGATGCTCGCAGCGGCGTGAACAATATGTTCGATGACCCATGTGTTTGGGGCGAGGAGAATAAAGCACGTGCGTAACTCGGTGATTCTCAACCTTAAACGGGGTTAGAGACCAGATGTGGACTCGTCAACAGACGGGAGCTTAGATACCCAAGTTTAGTTGGTGCGAGGGGCAGCTGTTGTTGGGCCGGAGCGTCGGCCCACTGGGTGTTTCCCTCCCTCTTCTTCAAATCGCTTCCTTTAGAATTAAATTGTCGATACCTGATTGGGGCGGGTACATTCCATTTCCTGACCCAGAGGGTAGCGCCTTCCTGGGATACTGCAAAGGCCTGGGCTTATCTTTGCCTTTCCGTGCATTCCCCAAGAATGGAAAGGACGATGCTGAACGACCCGGGCCAGGAATTAATTAATCACAATGTTTGGGAAACCCCCATCATGGCGCCTTCTCGATCGAGACAACACACAACGAAATGAGCATGGAAATCACGCCTGGCTGTCCCAGTCCATAAAACTGATTTCCTCTCGCTCACCCTCGGCCAACTTCCATCAACTCTTTTGCACGCATCTTCAATTCCAACGTCTCATCATCGCCTTTTTGGTTCATCGCTACCATTTGCCACTCATCAACGTTAGTTGCATTTCCAGAATTTCCATCACGGCCTACGTCGCTACCATCACCATGCGTTCCTTTGCTGCTACTATTCCGGTCCTCGCCAGTTTCCTGGCCTTGGCCGCTGCCGGAGAGATTCCTCTTACTCCTGTGGCTACCTACCCTGCTGTGCGGCCAACCCTCAACCCCGAGAACCACAACGCTCCCATCGGGCAACGACCTCCTTTTGCCGGCAACAGCAGCCCGTCGGGGCAGCCGTCGGTGTTTGTCCTGACGCAGGTCTCCGACAAGCCAGCGCAGACGAGCACCCCCACCAACCCTGAGAAGTGTTCACAGGTTGCTGCCCGCATCACTCCTCAGCTCACACCCACCCCGACATACTCGCCGTCCCTCAAGGGCCTGGCCGACAAGCTTGGCGGCGTTGACCGCGACACCTGCGGCGAGATGGATTTCAAGGCCCGCTTCAAGACGGCCCAGACGGACGACATCAACCGCTTCAACCAGGCCCGTCACTCGAGCTTCATCCTGCCCATCTGGGCCAAGGTTTCGGAGCTCTGGAACGCCTGCGGCGACGAGACACACAAGATTTCCCAAATTGCCAAGGAGCCGTGCTACCGCTGGGCCCTCGAGTTGTCCAAGGCCTCAAACAGCTCTTTCGGCAGCAAGGCCAACCAAGGTCCCGAGAAGCCCCCGACAACCGAGGTTCCGGGCAACATCAAGACTCCTGAGCTGGAGAACGGCGTGGCGGACAGCGGGATCTCGCACAGTGCTGCCATTGGCTTTGCTGGCGTACTCGCGTTTGTGTGGGGGATGGTACTGGCTTAAGGCGGTAGTGGTAGAGAACACAGAGGGCATGGTTGGGGGTTTGGATCCTCGCACTGGTGGTTTCAACATTTCTTTAGTGGTTCGTGTCGTGGGGACCATGTTTGCCGGCTTAGAGTGGGAGGTTAGACTGAGAGGATTGGGATTCATGATAGACGGGCATGCATAATGCAGTCTTTTGTCAATGTGCTGATATCCCAAGTCCATCTATGCGCAGTGCCTTCCCACGCAACCAACCCTTGAGCAGTAACAGATCTCCGACTAGGCCATCCTCTCCACGATATCTATCATAAATGCCTATTGCCATGCCACCCTTCAACAGGTCAGGGTTATTTGGCCCAGTCTCGTCAAGGCTTTTCTCTCGATGTCGTGACAGCTCTCCAGGTTGTGCCTAGGATATGTGCATGGCAGCGGGGCGTTGCTGGCGGGAGGGCCAAGATCAGGGATGGCTGATAGAAGTTATACAGGGTGTAGGTGAGAGGATAAGAAAGGGTAACTAGAACACAAACTAAAAGATAATTCAAGGGCTGTTCGGGGCTGGACAAGTATGGATTAGGTTGAACTTGAGCATGACCAGCTCTGGCGGGTTGCGACTTGCTACTCTATATTAGTTTTAGAGTTCTAACCAAAAATATGGAAGTCAGAGTGACCCTAGCCCAAACGACAATCCATATTCTCCCGAGAAACAAATCCACGTCTACCATGTCCTCCATCTCGATAATCCCGCTTCTACACCACAGCCATAAACACCTCCATCTCCCCCTCCGCCTTCCACTTCACCCCAACCCCCGGCGCCACAAACCAAATCGACCCCTCCGCCAACCCCACCACCTTTCCATCCGCCTCCATCTTCCCCTGTCCTTTCGTCACAATCATCACCCCCGGCCCATCCCCGGCTTCCATCTCCTCTTCTTCTCCCCCCTCTGTGCCTCCCAACTCCACCCGTAACATCTCAAACTCCCTCATCGGCGGTTGATACACCTGTATCCTCCCCTTCCTTCCCCTCTTCGACACCACACTGGGTAAAATAACATCCTCCTTCGAATGTGCCTTGCTAAACGTCAACGCCTCCGTAAATACCTCCAGGTTCTTGTTATTCTGGACACGCTGGGAAGGGTCACAAAACGCGGCATTGAGAACGTTGTTGCTGCGCGCCATGCACTCGACGATGTCGCCGGATAAGTAGGCGTGCGGCGCGTCGGCGGGGATGTAGAGGGCTGAACCTGGGGAAAGGGTGAGGAAGTTGAGGGTTGTTAGGGCTACTAGAGTGCCGGGGTCGGAGGCGGAGGGATATTGGGTTTGCAGGCGGGTGAGGAGGGTGGTGTTGATTTGGGGAGGTTTTTGGTGAGGGTCGTTGCTGGGGGACGGGGTGGGCGTGGGGTGGTGGAGGAGGGCGTGTTGGGTTTGGTGGATTGTGGCTGGGTCGGCGTGGAGGAGGGCGTGGATTACCGCGCGGAGGGTGGTGTTGGTCCAGGGGCGGGGGGCGTCGGCGGGGATGAATTGGTGGAGGGCTGGGTGGTGGCGGAAGAGGGGCTCGATTTGGGAGAGGGGTTGGAAGCCGGCGAAGACTTCGAAGTCGGAGAGGGCGATGGCGATTTCGGGTTTGTGGTTGGGGTCTGGGAAGGAGGAGGGGTCTTTGGCGTGGAGTTGGGCGGCGAGGTTTTTGTCCGGGTGGATTTGGAGGGGTAAGGCTTTGGCGATGGAGAGGATCTTGGGGAGGAAGGGGAGCTGCGGGTCGAGGGTGGTCAGGACTTTGTCGCCGAGGAGTGTTTCTTTGTTGCGGGCGAGGATGTCGGCGAGGGCTTCGCCGGTGGTGAGGACGCGGGCGGGGAAGTCGGGGTAGTCGCCGAACCAGAGTTCGGAGTAGGGTTTGGAGTCGTCGATTTGGAAGCCGGGGGTGGTTTTTTGGCAGAGGCGGGCGGCGAGGGAGTCGTGGCCGTGTTTGCCCCAGGGGTAATTGTTGCAGGTGCCGGAGAGCTGGAACACGCGGTCTGTCATGGTGAACATGAACAATGAATCTTTATTTTGTTTGGTGAGTTTGTTTTGGTTAGTGTGAAGTTTGTTTACTTTCGTTCTGAAATTGAGTTTTATGGTTGAGATGGTGGATGTCGTCATACCATGGCGTCACGACTCCGGATGCGGCCGGATGTGGGCCGAAGAGTGGGGCCGGTGATGTGGGGCCGCGGCCGGGCCCCGGACCAAGCGGAGGAGGAATGTAACCCTAACCCGGACTAACATGACAAGCTCAACAAAGATAGGAAGAGGAGCCTTTGAACGACTGTCTCTCCGGAGTGATTGATTTTAGTTTCGCTGTTGAAATTGGAACGTGGATAAGAGGCTTTTATACCGTCTAGCATGATGTCCATGCCGTTGCCGTTGTGGAGGTAGACGCAGTGGGTGGTTTAGTTCCACTCGAGTAACTTTCACACAGATACAGATATCGCGTTGGTCAAAAAGTGTGATAAGCCCACCAGTGGCTTCATCTTCTCTATCTAATTTATCTCAGGCTCAACCTCCTGGGTCATCCACAGCCCAGCTGCGCCGTCATCCTCTCTCTCAACACCCCCTTTCAACATCCTTTCAACCCCCTCTCACCCACAACACCCCCCAACCTCCCTCGGCGCCCCTCTCATAAAAGCATGGGGAAACAAAAATCTAATTGTTCCATCCCGGCGCCCACCCCCGACTCCAAGTCTGAATCGGGTTATCCCCCGCCACCGGCCCCGTCAACGGAATCTGCACCGGCGTCCTCTTCACCGCAATCGACGAGTCACTGCGCGAGACCACCGGCCGACCGCGCCCATCCCGTGTCACGGTATAATGGTACTGCCACGTCCACTGCGCAACCAACTTATTCTGCGACTTGTTCCACAGCGTAATCAAAAACGTCTCGTCCGCCTGCACGCTCACCAGCGGCTTCTTGACGACTGTCGCTTTATCCCCCTTGCGCTGCGGCGGGACGGTGACCAGCGCGTTGATGGGGAGGTTCCACGACGGGTCATCATCGATGTCCAACACAAAGGACATGGTGGATCCCTGGCTGGAAGGGGTGGGGACCCTCTGCTTGATGCCAGACCGGTTATCGTAAAAGGGCAGCGTAGCCGGGTTCGCCATGCCGTCGATGCAGGGGAGACGTTCGGCCGGGTAGACGGTGAAGGTGCCGCCGCCTTCGTAGGTGGCGACGCGGCGGGAGGAGACGAGGGTTTGCACGAGGCCGACGGTGTTGCCTGCTTCGGCGTAGTCCGGGCGGGCGGCGACGCGCTGGCGGTTTTCGCTGCTGGGCTGGACGGTGATTTGCGTGGTAAACTTGAATTCGGTTTGGTGGCTGATGTTCCAGCCGTCGCTGTAGGTTTGGACGAGGACGTCCTTGAGCCGGATGTTGGTGCCGGTGCGGGCGGTAAGGGTGACGAGCTGGGGAGGCGCGGGGGGCTGGGGCTGGGGCTGAGGGCGCGGGCGAGACATGGTGTTGTTGGGTGTTGAGGTTGGGTGGGTTGTTTTGTGTGGTTGCTGTTCCTGACAGAGAAGTGAATGTGGGTGAAGCTGAATGAAGCTGCTGAATGGATGTTTAAGAAGATCCGGCTTCTTGTTGTGTTGGCTCTTGCAGATGAGAGGAGGTGATGAGTGGATGGTAGATAGTTGTGGTATTGATGGGGGAACAGGATGGCTTTATACATCTCGGACTCATCGTAACGCCGTGAAGTCAACTTGACATTTGCATGTATTACACTCTCAACACCCCTCTGACCTGTCTCAACCGCCTTTCAGCCTGCTTTACGAAGATCAAAATAAATATCATGGCCTCTGCCTTCGCCGTGGTTCAGGCTGAGACTCTCACCAAAGCAATCCCCCACAGTTTCGCCTGACGCCACGACAACCACGGTCACCCACACCCTCTTGGGCCTCGCCAAGTTCGCGATACGACACTGCAAGTAGGAGCCGGCCTCGATCAGAATCATCAGATTTGAGTGTTTCAAGTCTACATCAACAGCACGCCACAAAGAAATAGCCGAATAGGCGAGTATCAAACCGGCCCAAGGCTTAACTAAGCGAGTCGTTGACGAAGGATTCGGACGGTGTCAGCAAATCGCGAAAACGGGCAACCACCAAGACCAAGCTGACTGATCGCACCACCACAGGGCTGAGGCGCATGGGCCTTGGCCGGGAACATCCGCTGCGCGTGAGGCATTTGATTGATTCCACATCGTTTTTGACGAATGAGTCGGGTTGCACAAGCTGCCTTGGGTACGCTGAGTCCAATGGGCGTGTGTGGTCACTGTGGTGGGAACAACTCAAGACGGAGATAAGGTGATTAATAAACTGCGTGGATTTGAATCTTATTTCAAGATACCTTTGAGTTGTTTATTTTCTAGGCTTCAATGAATCCGCTTTAACTCAGCAAAGTTTCAACACGAGTTACGGGACTGAAGCGCCCGTAGCAAACGAAGGCATTTCACGTGTCAATCAATTACGGGTAATTATTATTAATAACTGAGCCTCGACCGCCGCAGCGCCGTTGGTTAACATCTCTTCAATCAAATTTGCTTTGCGCCCCACAGTCTTATCCCGGGTTTCTCAAAGTTGCGGAATATAAACTCGGTCATAATTACTGCACAATACGTTCAAATGGTTTAAGGTGTCAAGAAATGAACGAACAGAGCTAATACCCGATACCGACCTGTGTTAACGGGCATAAAATGCGCTGATTCGTGATAGAGTGAGTCCATCTTTAATTACTCTTAGCCCTATTTAGGGTAAGTTTTTACAAGTTTTACTCACACACGCTTTTTAGAGTCCGAACAAACCTGATGATTATCGCCAAGGGATCATCAAGATACCGAGCCCCTTATTTTTAGACATGACATACCTCCTATCAACTCAACTGACAGGCTACCAATCGCGCGACAAACTACCTCGATATTCACATTTACAATCCCTACTCCGCCTTGTTAAACTGCCACCAGTCAAAGTTATAGTCCCCCCCCTGGAACGTAAAAAACAAATCCTGTTGATCCGTCGCGCCCGTCACCGGACAATTCACCGTCTCCCACGTCGTCGCCCCTCCCGTACTCGCCACCTCACAGCTCGCAATAACCGTCCCATCCTGGCTCCCAACCCGCAACTCAATCGTCCCACTCGCCCCCTGCGCCGCGGCCACCGACACATCCACCGACGCGGCCCCATCCGCTCCAAAATCCACCCCCTTCACCTTAATATAATCCCCCTGACTAATCGACGTCACATAAATCCCGCCATCCCCCGCCGCCGCCGTCGTCAACCCAGACGAAAACGCAATCGTCTCCGCTTCCACCCGCTGGTACGGGTTCAGCGGCTCGATCTGCGCCGCGCCCTCCGAGGTCATCTTCAGCAGCGGGATCGATCCATCGGCGTTGTACTCGAATTCCTCTACGCACACCGACCGGCTGTAGGTGCCGCCTCCGGGCAGCGCGCCGTTGTGGTAGAAGAAGTAGCTGCCGTTTTTGTAGTCGATAATGCCCGCGTGGTTGGTGAAGGAGTTACCCTGCGACGCCATGATTTGACCCGCGAAAGTCCAGGGCCCGGCCGGGCTGGTGGACGTGGCGTATTTGATGTCTTCGTTGCCGTTGCCGAAGGAGGAGTAGGTCAGGTACCATTTGTCGCCGCGTTTGTGCAGCCAGGGGCCTTCGACGAAGTTTTGGAGGTTTTCTTGGGCGATGGAGCCTTCGTACGAGATCATGTCGTCGTTGAGAACGATGTGGTAGGCGGGCGAGTTGTGGCCCCAGTACATGTAGACTTTGTTGCCGTCGTTTTCGTCGCGGAAGACGGTTGGGTCGATGCCGCCGTTGGAGAGGAGTTCTTTGCCCAGGGCGTCGGTGTAGGGTCCTTCGATGGTGTCGCTGACGCCGATGGCGACGGCGTAGCCGCCGCTGTTTTTGGTGACGGTGGCGTAGTAGTAGAACTTGCCGTCTTGTTCAATGACTTGGGCCGCCCAGGCGTCGGCTTTGGCCCAGCTGAAGGTCTTGAGGCTCATGGGCGAGCCCCAGTCGCGCCAGTTGACCATGTCGGTGGTGGAGTACAGGCGCCAGTCGCGCATGTCGTAGTTGCTGGCGCCGGTTTCATCGTGGCCGGTGAAGAGCCAGAGGGTGTCGTTGTATACGACGGGGGCGGGGTCTGTGGTGTAAAGGGTTTGGATGATGGGGTTGTCTGCTAGCGCCGATGGGAGGTGGCTGCCGAGGAGGAGCCCTGCGGCGGCGAGCACCGACTTGGTTGTGCCGAACATGATGACCTGATTGTCAAATAGTTGACTTGTTGGCGAGGTAAAGGTGAGGGGTGATTAGACCACCGTGAACGAGTGTGAAGCACGGATATTTTGTGCGTATTTATATGCCAGCCCGGACCGACGAAGTCTCAGATCGTGTAGTTTCTCCGCCGACCGTTTATTGAGCGGCCCCGTCCTCCGAACAAACCGGCCTCGGGATTGGAGCGCGAAACCAGGGTGCCAGCCGAACTGACCGTTCCGGATGTCACCCCAGCGGGGATTGGCTCGGCTAGTTGTTCATTTGAGCTGATCGCGACTACGATACGGGCGGTTCCAAATCCTGGGCCATGACGACCGCCGATCCGAACTGCCGGGTAAATTAAACTGTCAAAGCAAACCTCAGGGGACGTTCTGGTCCCGAGACGTTAATCCGGGTCGACAAGCAAAACACGGAAAGGATCTCGGGAATCCGCAACAAAGTGGGCCGGGTGTTTTGACTATTTACGAAGTGCATAGTACCGTTGGCTGTGCCGGTGTTGCCACGGCCTTCTTTGGTCGTTGCGATGGCGATTTTGTAGGAGACGGTTCGAGGTATTTATTGGGTGAAACCGGGGGCATTTTGGATGAGCAGATAAATACGTAAATACCTAATTATGCATATAATAACTTCTTCATCTCCCCGTAGCAATTCTGAGGGAGTGTATTAATAAAGCTGGATCGCACGCGGTCCTCATGCCAACCTTAGGAACAAAGAGAAAGAAATAAATACCCAACGTAGGGACTCATTTTCCTAGCTATTCAATCCAGCGCGCAACAACTCCCACCTCGAATTTACCCCTTTTCCTCAGGAAACTGTCTCGAGCTTAGTGCGCTGAACTCGATAAAGTCAAAGCCAACTGATTATCTACGAGGCTGCCAGCACCGCCCCCCTTCGTAAGGTATCGTGAAGGGAAAGGAAGAGGGAAAACTTTCCCTTAGTATACTGGGCTCCTCGTACCGTATTTTTAACTGTCTCTCCAATATATTCTGCTAACCTACTCTCGTCGCCCCTGAAATGTCGAACCAGTTGGACGGTGGTATTGGGTTGGTCGGGCTGCGGCCCACGTAGTTTAGGTGTGTGTAACCCGGTTCGACACACAACGCATCGCCCCCAAGCACCACACCACACACCATAGGACGCGCCGGTTGAGGCCGTGATGCAAGTTGGGGGCAGAGCAGTACCGCAAACGAAACAGCAATAGCCGAGGGGGGGCGGCTGCGGCTGCATAAACGTAGACCATTTCACGTTGGCCAGCCCGTCGCCCCTGAATCTTAGCATTTGGTGGTCTTGTCGCTGCTCTCTGGCCAACAGCGTGGCCGAGGCAGGCATACCAATGTCGCAATCGCTGCTGGTCGGCGCCGTTATGGCGAGGCTTTGGTCTTAGAAGTTGGCTTTTCCTGAGACAGGAGATGGTGATCGGGGTCGCTGCAGATAGGGTCGAAACCTTGGTTGTATAGGTCATTGACTTCGAGCCATATGCCTAACGTCGCTGTCTCCGACTCAAACACAGGCCGGGCCGGTCCATAATGAGTTGGGTGTTGTCAAGGCATGGAACAGGCTCAATTCTAGATGTCTTCGACGAGCTACTACTTATAGGTTTGAACTTGAAGAGGGTCATGACAGGTATATAATTAGGGGCTGAGTTGCCATCTTCCAAGACATTCGAGCAGGCCTTCAATCTACTTTGCATTCAACAACACATACCCCCCTTCGTTTCCCCTCCGTCCAACAAGTTTACCACAGTTCGTTGTCTCGTGTGTATTCAGTGCATCGACAAGAGATTCGTTCTTAGTTTTTATCCCCGATCCCTCCCGAGTAAGTTTCATGTCACGACCCCCGGCATTCCTCCTAAATTGATAAGTAATAGACGACTGCGCGAGATGGTGTCCGCTGCTGGAGGATCTAGTTCCGGTAGGAGCTCCGGTCCGGGAACCGGCGGCACGTCAGGTCGCAGTGGAAGTGGAAGCATTGGTGGAAGCCGCGATGGATTCAGGGGGGCATCTAGAAACTTTAACCGCGTCCTACGCCCTGATCCAAACTGTGACACTTGTCACGGAAGAGGCCTTTACGAGGCAAGCCAGGGGCCGGTGAACCAGACCGCGGGCTGCGCCACGTGCGGCGGCACCGGTAACGTCCCCCGTCGTTTCCCATGCACCTGTCGTCCCGGAGGGGGAGGAGGTCGACGGAATAGAGCCACTTGCGGCTCTTGCGGCGGAACGGGATATATGGTGTTTGGGGAGGAGCCGTGCCCGGCTTGCCGCGGTGCTCCAGCTCAGAGCTTCAGGTGCCACTGCTGGGGTTATCGTTGATGCTTGATGGCGGAATGGGGGACCTTCTTAATGTTTGTGTTGTGTTTCTTCACGGGCTCGTCCTATGAGGGTTTTGTATTTCGCAGATAGACTTGGAGCTCGGAAATATTCCGCTGTCGGGACCGTGGAGCAACCGTTTCTTGGCTGGTCCAGAGATCCTACACTCTGTGCTTAGCATATAGGAATGATTATCACTGCCCTTCCCTCAGCGAGTCCGGATCGATCCCGCCCCAACAATTATGTTGCAAAACTGCCCAACCTCACTCTTGCTCTCATCATCCGTGGCGCTCGGAATGCGGGGCTTTGGCGCGTCGACTTGGGTCCGAAGGATACGATAGAGATAGCTACAAGGTCATACCTACATGCTGTCCATCTGCGGTGTTGGATTCGCATAAATGGATGATATAATTAACCCGATGTAGCCAAGCTGATCTTAGGACTTAGTCTAAATATGGCCCTTCCGGCCCGAGTAATAGCTTCATCTTCTCTTCGGCCTTCGCCCAAAGCTTCGGTGGGACCCGTGCCTTGACCCATTCCGCCCCGTCAGGGAAATCCTGCGCAAATTGTAAAAGCTCGTCGGTCAGGTACAGGTTCTCGAGCAATGTACCACGGAGCATGTGTCGCTTTACACGTACTTCCTCGTCGCGGGATTTGTAAATCCTTCGAGGTGGCCGTACAGGGACCTTCTGAATAAGGCAATGGTGCGGAATCCTTTCAAAGGGATAATGCCGGAGCTCACGACGCACTTTGCCAGGGAGCGGGATCTGTATCGTTATACTACATTCTGTAAGTCAAACGGCTATAACAAAGGGGAACCGGAGAGGTCGAGGGAAACAAACAATTCTGTTCCGGTCCATCGATACCATACAATCGGGGGATCCGCCGGGGGAATTGGGTCCGGGCCGTGGTGGTCGACCAGGAACCAACACTCAACGTTGTCCAGGGCAAAGTGGCAGTGGTAGTCCCAGGGGCGCTCACGGAATTTGTCGAACTCGCGTTGCCAGACATGCTGGCAAATTAGGCTCAACATCGCGTTGGATCTCTCTCCAAACCTAGTCGACTTATCGCCGGGAACATGGTGCGTTTGGGTTTGCACCAATACTCGGACTGGGCTGTCATGATCGGTGGTGTTGGTCGCATCGACAGCCGCGGCCGAGGTGGGGTCGACGATATCGGGAACGTCCATTAATGAGCATTGAGCCATTGACGGGGTGGTTATGGGAGTGTGGTGAAGAAAGGCGAAACCGTATATATCATGTACGTTCTAGAGTTTGTAGAGTTCAGAAAAAAAGATAGCTAGGGTGCTTGAACCATTAAAGTGAGAGTGGAAAGAGGAGTAATCCGAGTGAAAGCGGGGGATTCTAAGCCTCTCGCCCTGGGAGGTCAGGCCAACATCTGTTGGTTCTGGGTTTGCAGCAAACCCGGCGCGCCGGGCTGTGACGTTGACACGGCGCCCCGCACTGTCGAGAGATCCGAAAACGGCCGGGCGGCGCTGTCCAGCCAAATTCTGCGGCGGGCCACCGTAACGGTGTGAGAATTAAGGTTGCCGATATTTGGTGCGTTGGTTGTTCCAAGGCGCCGCCCCCACTAGGCGTTGTTGTGCTACAAGTTGGACAACCGTTCGTGTGGCTCTTGGTCATTCTGGTTCACTCGACTCGGGAGGTATCTAACACGGGCTACAGCAGAAACGAGGGCCCGCCGAATCCAAGAATTGCTTGTAAGCTTCTCGCAACCCTTGCCTCCATTACAGATACCGTTGTGTGAATCATTTTACAGTTCTCGAAGGCTGCCTTGCACAGGAACCAGTCATTTTAGCTTCCTACCAGGGTATTATTGACCTGGGGTCTTCGTTACTGAAGCTATCTCTGACACTGTCAGTGCCATCGGACCGTTGCGTAATGGGCGGCTAGTGGTTGAATCAGCCTCATCCTCACTTGGTTTGCAAAAAAAAAACATTTGTACATGTACCCCATCTTGCTTGTTTTCAAGACTGAACAAGCATTCTGAACCCACGTGCCCTTGACCGGTTGTGTCAGTGGGAGTGATGACTGAAGGCATTTTCCAGAAGGAGTTATCGTGTGTTAGTTCCGAACTATGGGGGCGGAGCAAAGGAACCCCTCTTTTGTCCCATGCTCGCGAAACAAACAATGGAAGAAAGTGTTTTTGTGCGGGTTGCACCTAGCCAAATGTCACGTTCTTACTCTTGTTTTCGAGAAAGTCAAACGGCAGGAGCCATGGGACGGATGCACGTGACATCGAGTAAACGCCCAGAAATCAGCGCAAAACCACCCCCCCCCCCAGATCACACACGCTGCAGGTTGACCTTTGTCAACGACCACTCCCGCCATCGGCAGAAGGATGATGACTGCTGTTTGTTCCCATGCTCGTTGCCGCGCGGTTGGATGGCACAGAGCAGACCGTCGTTGAAGCAGCCAATACGGACGAGCTGGGGCGGCCCGACGGGGCCGTTGCTGAGTTGCTCGCTCGCATTTCATCAGCCCAGGGCGCACCGTAAGGCTGTTCAGCCCCCAGCAAGCATCATTTTCCAGCGCGACATCGGAAAGAATAGCGTTCCGGCCGTCGCACTCGGCCCATGGAACCCCCGGCCCAGCGAAGCGGACGGGGTGCCGGCGGCTCGGTGGCGCCTGCAATGGAAGCTCAAGCTCTGTCCCGCCCCCCGCCAAAAAGTGAACAAAATGAAGCCCGGAACCGCGACCTCCCAGCACGATTGGCCGTAACTTCCGCAACTGCCCCCTGAACACGGGCCCCTGCGCCCCTCCTAAAGCGCTTCGCCACGGGAGGCCTAAGAGGGGAACAAAAAGGCCCACCACGTGGTGCAGGGCCAATGAGACAGCCGCTGGCCGCCTGACGACAGCCCTGCGGTCGGAAAGAGCGCGTGCTTCGTGCGCGTTCGGGCAGGGGGGCACCTGGGCAACGGGGAGGTGAACATGAGACCGCTCACGCAGGCCGTGAGGGTGTCAGGCATGAGTTTCTGTGGGGGGTGATACTTAAACTGCAGCTCTCCACCGAGATGTTCGACCTCGAGGTACAGTATTGCCCACCTCGGAACTCGCTTCTGTTTGTTGTCTTTGTGGACAAATGATATTTGAATGAAAGTGCCGCATTGTCTCTGCCGACTTCGCCTCCGCCACACTGATTTTTTTTCTTCACATTTTACGACTGCGCCTTTTCGCTTCTCGGGTTATTCAAACACCAACTCACCGAAACCACGGCGTTATCGCTCATTTATTGACGTTTTATCACGGCACATCTGAGAGATCCAAATCCAACTCATGCCAGTCAGCACAAAAAGTGTAACGAATCAACCACCGCCAAGATGTCAACCTCCTCACTCACCCCCCCGCCTTACGCGCGGGAACTCCTCGTCGCACAGCTGGCTGTGCAGCGCGCTGCTGTAGCTACGAAGCGTGTGCTCGCGACCATCAACGCGACCAGCGTACAGCCCAACAACATACCAGCACCCCCGGCTCTCTCCACCGAGACCTCGACCGCCACGGAAGCGACCGCTTCAGGCCCGCCCACGCCCACCCGCGAAGGGGGGTTTGAAGGCTTTGAATGCACCTCGCCGGTGATCTACACCTCCCAGTTCGACGACGACGACACGAACAACGACCTGTGCATATCCCCGGCGTCCGAGCTACCGTCGGCCCTTGTTGCGGACTTGGCCCAGGATCCAAGTCAGAGCCAAAACATCGGGCAATACCTGCACCCATCCTCCTCCCCGCTATCACCCATCTCCGACCCCTTCGCCGACATCAACCCTTTCCCCACTTCCTCCTCCACCTCCCGCAAGCAGGCCCCCAACTCCGGAGTAACCAACACCAACACCAACAACCCAATCCGCCGTCTCTCCCTGGCCAAACCCGACCTTTCCCCGGTCACCATCGCCGACCTAGCCGCACAAGCCCTCCTCATCGCCGCCGTCCACGACGCCTTCCCCAACGACCTCATCCTCGGCGAGGAAGACGCCGCCGCGCTCCGGGAAGACCCCGACTTGGCCGCGGGCGTGTGGGGCGTGATCCAGGATGCGCTGGACTACCTCGACGATGTGGCCGCCACGAATCCCAGACGTGGCGGAATTGGTGCAGAGGAAATCGAGCTTGCCCGGCCGCGGGACGTGGCTGATATGATCCGGTTGATCGAACTCGGCGGTTCGACCGAGCAAGAAGCAATAACAGCAACAACAACAGCAACACAAACAATAACCGCAGCAGCCGGCCTAGCCGCTGGTAGAAGGGTATGGTGTCTGGACCCCATCGACGGCACGAGCGCCTACATGCAGGGTGGGCAATACGCTATCTCGCTCGCGTTGCTGGAACACGGCCGGGAGGTGGTCGGGGTTCTGGGGTGTCCGAACTGGGCATATGAGGCGGACACCGAACCGGGCGCGTGGCGGGTGGTTGAGAATGAAGTGGATCGGGATGGGATGGGGTTAGTGATGGCTGCTGTGCAGGGCCAGGGGGCGTGGGTGCGGCCGATGTGGGTTGAGAAGGGGTTGAAAGTTGGGCGGAAGGTGGATCGCAGACACGGGGTCTCCTTCCAAACGACCACGACGACGGTAACGCAAGATTTGAGCAACCTACACTTTGTCGACTCGCAAAAGAGCCCCGCGACACTATCCCAAAAAGTCCAGGCCTTCGCCGACCGCGTGGGCGCCGAATACCCAGGCACCAACCTGTACTCGTCACACATGCGGTACGCAGCCATGGTGCTAGGCGGGCGGGAGTTTGTCCAGATCCGATGGCCGAAGCCGTCGAAGGGCCCCTGGTCTACGTGGGACCATGCCGGGTCGCAGCTGATTTATGTTGAGTCCGGGGCGGGAAGAGTGACAGATCTTGATGGGAAGGCGATTGATTTCCGTGCGGGGAGTACGATGTCGCGGAACTGGGGGCTGATTACGGCGGATGAGGAGGTTTATGAGGAGGTTTTGAGGATTGTTAACGAGATGCGGAAGGAGTGAGCGATAGATACTTTGGGGGCGGATAGTCGAGGGGTAGATACCCAGATACCCAGATCAGATGAGGATAGATATTTAGGAGGGATGGATGGGTTTATGAGGAATGAATAGACGAACGCGGAGTTTGGGTTTGATATTCTGCTTTTGCTTGCTTTTTTCTGCTCTCTTATGCTTGTTTCTATTTGCATCGAATCTTCTCGTAACTTCATGTTTAGCGTTCCAGGCATATTCACATTAGACATCACCACATTATCCATCGCCCAAGAACCATTCCTTCATTCATCCAACCCCCCATCTCACCTCGTCTCCCGTCTCCACAACCTCGTAATCCCTCTCTTCAACCCACCCCTAACCTCCGTCCCCCGATGCAGCGGCAACGCACCGCTCGCAATACTATCCCCATTAACATACTCCGACGACCCTTCCCACTCCTTCTGCTTAGCAATCATGAAATCGCGGATAGCGCGCGGCGAGGCCGCGGCCAGTTCGCTGCTAACCCCCGGCTTGCCCTTGACAGGACGGGCCACGAAGCGCAGGGCGGACCGCAGGCTGCCGAAGACCATTGCGCGGGTGGAGGAGCTGAAGGCGAGGCCGAGGGAGATGGTGACGACTACGCTGGAGAGGACGACTGAATAGGTGGGGTTAGCGACTTGAAGAGCGAAGAGAGGGGTATAAGAGGAGTGGGATAGGGGTAACGTACACATCAGCATGAGCTGTCTGCCCATGCTCATCGTGCCACTGTCGAGTTCGCGCGAGTTCATGCCGAAGATGGTGGCGAAGAAGGAGAGTGGGAGCTAGACTGGGTTAGCCAAGCTTTAAGCCATAAATGTGGCAGGCAAACCGTGACTCACGAAGAAAATGGTGACGACGGTAAACACCACAATCGAGCGGCCCTGGATGACCGACTCATCGGCTCGCCGGATGGCCGCCTTGGCTTCGATGATGCCGGCCTGTTGTTGTTTCATATCCAGGAGTTCACGGAGCTGCGTAGTGGTCTCGGTTAGTTACGTCATCCACCCCGGCTCCAAAACATCCCTAGATCTAAGTCAACAGATCCAGGTGAACATAACATACCTGACTCCGCGTATTCGCCTGCCGCTTCTCCAAATTCGCCAGTTCCTCCTGGCGCAACTTCATATCTAACAACAAACCAGCCGCCCTTTCCGACGCCCTCTTCAGCCCCTCGTTAGGCTCGCAGCTCAGACCCCGCAGCGCCTTCTCAAAGTCACTCATGACCGAGATCTGCTGCGAGTAGATTTCCTGCATGATCTGCAGCTGGTCGATCACGTTCTGCGCCTCCATCAGGGCCGACCACTCAAACTTGATGTTGAGAGTCTTGCGGAGCAGTTCTTCGGCTGTCTGCAGCGGGTCCTGCGTGTTCATACGCTTGACGTCGCGCCCGAACCGCTCGTAGGCCTCCGTCTTCTTTTCTGAGATGTTGGAGATGGCGGACCCAAACATGTCCATCACTTCAGGCCGGAGGTCCGGCTTTGTGCGATCGAAGAAGACTTTGGAACACTCGTCGATGATGATTAGTGCAAGGTCGTAGATGGACGTGATCTGTTTGCTGTCCATGGCACCGAGGTGGTCTCGGATTGCCCGGTGCACGGCTGATGGGTCGGGGTTGTTACGGCCCCAACGTCGGGGGAACGCCGTCAGGATCGTGTCTGTTGAGATTGTTAGTATCAATGGGTCATTGGGACAGTCAAGGAAGGAAAAGGAAGGAAAAGAAGAGACAGAAGAGAACGGAGAGAAAAAGAAAAACTAGAAAGAGTCGTCTCACTTTCGTCCAGCACCCACAACCACAACTGATCCACCATGACCACCCTCGCAATCGCCTCAGGGTCATTCCTCGTCCTCGTGCTCCGGTACACAACCTGCTGTCGATCCCTATGCGCCGTGTCCTCCGAGGTCCAGTTGTAATACTGCTCCAGCGTCCGTCTCGGATGCATCGGTGACGGCGTACCGAGGTGGTTATTAATCAGCCGCCAGTCCGCCGCCTCGTCGATCAGCTGGTACAGCTTCGCGGCGAGCCACAGATAGCTGCCCAAGGCCGACTGCGGCCGCCAGGGGGGCGAGTCGTCGTGCCAACCTTCGATTTCGGAGGCTGTGCTGTCCATGCGGCTGGCCATAGCCCTAGCTCGCTCGATAACGCTGTTCCAGGTCCCTTTGCGCTTGTTGACGCGCTCGAGGTCGAACTGTTTTTCGTTGAGGTAGCGCGTTTTCCGGACGACATTGGTCATGCGGACGAGCCGCTTCTCGATTTCCCAGTGGAGGTAGGGCATCTACAAGTGGTTAATGAAAGGGACTATCGTATATCAGAACAAGTGGGAACTGGCTCACAAAAAAAACGATGTCATTGGCCTCCGGTGACCGAAAGTACGTCTTCCGAGCTGGCGCCTCGATCGACTCGTTCACGGACACGCTCGCTGAAGCCACGCCGTTCTCGCCCTGTTTCCACGGAGCCGAGGGTACAAAGGCGCAGCGCGGTCGTATTTGACGGGAGTGAGGCGGTAAGTGCGAACTGCCCCCTCCCCTTTCTTGCCCGTGCCATAGTTCACGCTTCAACAGCTTCTCGGTGTTGGTCTGCTTCTTCTTGGTGACGGGTTGGTACCGGCCGCGCTGGGACAGTCCCCGGTTTGGCTCGACCAGCTCACAGCACTCTTCTCCATAGTACCTAGCGATCGCGTCCTTGAATTGGATGTCAGCAAGAACCTGACATGGTCACCACGGGTGTACGTGGATGATGAGTGCTATGGAAATACCTCGACCCATTTCATGTTGTTGGCTTGAAGATGGAAATACCGCAGCTGTGTCCGGTCGGAAGACCGCTTTAACGGCGTTCGTTCCTCGTCATACAGCAGCTTCTGCATGGCAATCTTCTGATGGGGGAATTTGCCATGACACAGCGGGTGGTCCAGCGTCACGCCACCCTGGCCCTTCTTGAAATTCATCACCCAGCCGTTGCACCCGTAGTTGGATTCGGCCGGGTTGTCATCTAAGCCATCGTCAGGGCCGTAAAGCTCCGGAATGTACGTTTCCGGGGCCTGCTCGGTCTTTAACGCAATGTCCTCTGGCGTGCCCCATTGCTGTGTCTGCTTGACAATCAGACGTTGGCGGTTGAGGTTCTGTCGGCGGTAGCCACTCGCCCTCGCGATGCCGACCTCGAGGCGGTGGAGCTCCTCTTTACACCCGCTGCCGGCACGGTGGCGCCAGTCTGCATGGGCGCGGTCCAACGAGGCTAGGAGGCAAGATGAGTCGGTGGCCGCGAGGCGGTGTTCTTCAAAGTAGTCGCGTAGATGCCGGATGCGCCGGAGCTCCTTGCGCACAATCTTCTGCTCATGCTCCGAGAAGCCCTTCTCGAACAGTTCCTGGCGTTTGGAGAATCGGGCGGCGAGGAAAGAACCCCATGCGTCGGTTGGCGGGGTCGGATCAACATATTGATCCTCGACAAGGTACGGCGGCATTGAGGCGCAGTCTTTTTTTTTTTCCTTTTTGTGCTTTGATAATTAGTCTGTTCCCGACAATCCGGCACTTGGGACCCGGGGCTGCGAATGCTGCGCTGCCAAGTACGTCAGGTGCACGATGAGAGGACCGGGACTCAGAAAAAAGGTGGCAGTGCCTGCGAGTGTGAGTACATGTCGTAGTGCCGGAATGCCGGGTGGTTGGAATCGACAGCCAGCAAGAAATAAAAACATACAAAGGCTCCCGGCCACCGCGATGAAGCGATGCGTTGTCGAGAAACCTGGCAGCCAATCCGCAGCGGCACACAGTGGGATCGGCCTCACCAGACTTCTGGCCTCTGGCCTTGTCAAGCCCCGATGCGGCCGTCACCAGTAGCCGGAAGCTTGGCACACGACACTGAGGTCCGATGCTGCATGTTGAGCCGGCCAGAGCTGCAGAAGCGGGGTGGCGGTAAAGGGTGGTTGGTCAAAAGTGGCCATGGCCGGCAGCGATTTCCACGATCTCTGCATTCCGCAAAATCCAGTTTTACCCACTGAGCCCACGCCGGAAGAAGGCCTTGCGATGGACCCCACTCTTGGCGTCTGGATGGGGAACAGCGCGCCCACATGTCCAACGGCCAAGCAAGGCCATGATAAGGTTGCCGACCAACTTCTATTAGTAAACAAGGCAACTATGTCCTTGAAAACGATGGCCTTGGAAACTATAAAAATGTGTTAAGTTAGAGGCATACATAATAAAATAATCTGCGCTGTAGGTTAAGGGGTTGTGCCTTTTTTCTATTGTTGATGATATCAAATCTCATTTTTCATTGAATCACCAAGGCCTGGATATTTCATGCAGGTTGCAAGTGACGGTGAGACTTGGTGCCCGATTCTGGCAAGGGAGTCTCACGACCATGCGGGTTCTAACCACTTAACAACATGGAAAACAAGTTAAGTAAGGGTCGGGGGCTCGGATTGTTGCAGGACTGGTTTGATAACAGGTGGTATCCCGAATCACCGCGTCGGTCGACAAGTTAGGCTGAATGACTCTCTCGTCGAGAGCTGAAATCGATAAATAGTCTCACCTATTGGATAATATGTGAGACCTGGGTTGGCTGCTAATGCACAGGATTCGGTGACAGTAAACCAACCACATAGGCAAGTCAACCGTCAAATATAAGGGAGGAAACGCCGTGAATCGGTTCGTCTGCGGAGATGCACAACCCAACCGGAGTTTGACTCAAAACGGATCATGATGAATTTTTGGACTTCGACGGGGTGCAATGGGTAATGGTAGACAATGTCCATCGGGGGTCGTGGGGGTTGAGGAATTCGAGAAGGGGCCTTATTACCTTTTCGACACGGAAACAACGGTCTAAATCTAATTAATTCAAGACTCCGTTAGGGACCCATCTGGGTCGTTGTCAATGTCAGCGCACTGTGGTTAAACACTGTGGAGAATGGCGGTCGCCGGGGTGTGGTGAGATCGACGGGAACATCCGCAATATATTGTGTGTTTTCAGAGCGAGATCACGGTCCAGCTAGTTACCGCAATACCTTTTCGTACATGAGCTTCTTTGACACTGCCGGGACGGAGAATCGCGTAACTGACTAGAGTCACTGTTTCGATAGGTAGTCAGACAAATGCACCGTTCGATAACCCAGAGTTACCGACGGTAAGGTTATCCACCAAAGACCCTCGCATTGGAGCCGACTCATGGACGCACCTGCCGCTTTTGGTCGTCAGACCACGGCACTAGCCGAAAGAGGAACTTCACCATTCGCAAGCCCCGCCGATTTTAGCGTCATTTCAATGCTTCGTCACGTTCCCGATTGCCATTCCTCACTTCAACCCGAAACCATTTCATTCCATCTTAACCCTGGTGGATGGAAGAACACCGGGATACTTGAAAGTCTGAGCAAACAATCACGATGGACGACAAAAGTGGACTGCCGCCTTACCAAGCTCACGCGGAGCCCCCGCGCTGGCGACGACATAAACCGCGTCGGGCCAGGGCATTTCGCTTCTTGGCACTGGGTTGTTTGTGCTTCATCGCGTTCGCCCAATGGAAGCAGCTGTCGCAACGACGTCCCGTCAATGCAGAGCTCACAGTACACGGTCTCTCAGTAAAGCGACTGCAGGAGGATCTTGCCGTGTGTGCGAAGATCAACAGGGTGCCAGATGATCCCATCGGCGCTGGGAGAGAGCGTAATGCCCGGTACATTGATGGGCACGCGCCCACGCTGATCAAGAATGCTACGGTTTGGGTGGGCGAGCCAGCGCCTGGCACCTCTGATGAGGATGCTCGCAAGGGGGTCGGCTACTCGTGGATTACCGCCGATGTGTATCTCGCATACGGCCTCATCCAGAGGGTGGAATCCTCTATTGCCGTCTCTTCGGTCGCTTCCAATGCCCTAGTCTTCAACGCCGAGGGCCGGCCCCTCACCGCGGGCATCATCGACATGCACAGCCATGCGGGCGGCTCCCCCCTTCCCGAGTCGTGGGGCAATGAGGATCTCAACGAGATGGCGTCCGACATCACCCCCTACGTCCGGTCCATCGACGGTATCCACCCGAACGACCACCAGATCCAGGTGATCAAGTCGGGCGGCGTCACCACTAGCCTGATCCTGCCGGGGTCCGCTAATAATATGGGCGGCGAAGCCTACGTGATCAAGCTAGCCGTGGGCAAACCCGACGGCCGCAACGAGACGAGCGCTGTCGACCTACTAGCCGACCCGGACCGCAACTGGCGGTTCATGAAGATGGCCTGCGGCGAGAATCCCAAGCGCGTGTACGGTAAGCCGGGCACGCAGGGCCCAACCAGCCGGTTGGGCGAGAGCTGGGAGTTCCGCCAGGCCTTTGAGCATGCTACCAAGTACGTGCAGGAGCAGAATGACTGGTGCACCGCCGCGGCTGGGGGGATCGAGCAAGTGCGGACGTACCTCCCGCAAGAGCTCCGCTGGGAATCGTTGGGCGCCCTGCTGCGGCACCAGGTCCGGCTGAACACACACTGCTACACGATTTCAGACCTAGAGGCGTTTGTGGACCACACGAACGAGTTCAAGTTCAAGGTCCGGGCGTTCCACCACGCTCATCAAACTTATCTTGTGCCAGAGGTGAGATAAAGAGTCCCCATCCCCTCCTTCCCTCCTGCCTACACGTAACAAGGGATCTGGTAAGACTAATAAGCATTTTAGATCCTCAAGCGGGCTTACGGCGATGAACCCCCGGCCTCAGCCCTGTTTGCCGACAACATGTGGTACAAATCCGAGGCCTACACGGCATCGGAATACGCCGGCAAGATCCTGTACGACGCCGGTTTGGAAACCGTTTACGTCAGCGACAACCCGGTTCTCAACGCCCAGCACGTGGTCTTCGAGGCGGCCAAAGGGTACAAGTACGGATTGCCGTACCACGCCGCGCTCGCTGCCGTTACTACGGGTCCAGCTGCTCGACTTGGCTTCGGGAACCGGCTCGGCAAAATCAAGTCGGGCTTTGACGCCGATGTCGTCGTCTGGGACAGTGACCCCCTCAGCGTGGGTGCGACGCCGGTGCAAGTCTGGATCGACGGGACTGCGCAGTACGAGAACCCGGTAGTGCTGGAGAAGGGTCCTGCACAGGTAATTGTTCCGGATGCCTCCTTGTCTAAGATTCCCGGGGAACCCGTGTCTCTGGATGAAGTTGTCTTCACCGGCATTTCCAGGGTCCTTTTAGCCGGCCGTGAGGAAAGCTTGTCTGCCAACAACACGGTGGTGGTATCCAAAGGCGAGATCGCGTGCATCGGGGCCTGTGAAGCAGAACTCCGTGCTGCCACTGAATCCAAGACGCCCATCATCAAGCTCAACAACGGGTACGTTACCGAATCGCTGACTGCTTTTGGCTCGACAATCGGCCTCAACGCCATCGATGCTGAGAAGGACACGGACAATGGCAACAACGGAAACGCATTCACCCGCGCCGAGGATGGACTCGCCCTCGACACCAACAAGACCAACACAGCCTACAACTACGGCGTCACCAAGGCCATCTCCGCCCCCAAACTCAGGGGTCAAGACACCCACCACGGCACCAGCGTCGGCTTCCTGACTGGCGCTCGGACTCCCTTAGACCAAGACGCCATCTTCTCCCCAGACGCGGCAGTGCACTACACCCTCACCCCGACCATCAAATCAGCCGGGCAGCCCGACATCTCTTCGATCTCCGCTGCAGTCGGTGCCCTCCGCCGCAAGCTCCTCACAGCCGTGTCCACCCGCACCGAGTCCATCCCAGACACCTACTCCGAGTCCTTCTACCTACAGCGTGTCGTCAACGGTACCCTGCCGCTCGTCCTCACCGTTCACTCAGCCGACGTGATCGCCGCCGTTCTCAAAGTCAAACATGCCGTCGAAGACGCCCTCCAGCAGCAGCGTGATACCACCACCACCGCCCTCCGTCTCGTCATCCACGGTGGCGCCGAGGCACACCTGTTAGCCCCACAACTCGCGGCCGCCCACGTCGGCGTCATCCTAGCCCCACTCTTTTCTTATGCTGTCACATGGGACCAGCGCCGCGCCCTCTCCGGCGCGCCGCTGACGAACGGCACCGCAATCGATGCGCTACTCGCAGCTGGGGTGCGCACGGCGGTGGGACTGGAAGAGGACTGGTGGGTGAGGGATCTGGGACTGCTCGCGGGGATTGCGCATAAGAATGGACAGGGAAGGATTGATGAACGGGAGGCGTTAGGGTTGGTAGGGGGGAATTTGTTGGAGTTGTTGGGGGTTGAGAAGGAGGAGCTGGCGCCGAGGCACTTTGTGGTTTGGGAGGGTAGTCCGTTGGAGATTGGGGGACGGGTGAAGGGGGTTAGTGGGGGAAGGGGGTGGGTGGATGTTTGGGAGTAGTTGAAGGGGATGTGAGATGGTATCAGGCGAGTAGTTGGTTAATAATTTGATCCGAGAAGGATTTTGGAGGTGTTGTGTTTTACCAGTTGACGATGACTCGGCGGATGCTCAACCAGGAGCGTTGTTATCCCATTTCGTCCGCCGTATGTTTGACATATTTATGCACATGTACCTGTAAATCCACACCTTCATAACACGCTACAGGTGGGAATGGGCCAATGTGTTTGCGATGGAATTGGTGTAGTCTGAGACCGACAATGTAGTTGGAGATGCCTTTGGTCTTGTTAAATTGCACTGGTTGCCAGGCCATTTTGGTGGGTGGATTTTGGGAGATTGGTGGCGGCCGAACAAGCGTGCCATCTGAGCAGGCGTGCCAAGACGTGATGGGTGAGTGACTTTTGTGTTCCGTCTGAATAAGGGTTTCAGAATCGTATTCTCCCTCAAATGACTAACTAACTAAAACTTTTCAACTCTTTCATGCAAGCCCGGCCACACAAGTCACAGTGACACATGGAGTCTCGCCAGCATGCAGGTTTTAGCCACCAGATAACATAACAAACAAGTCAAGTAACGATCAGAGGGTCGATTGCTGACTAGACTGGGTCGAGAGCGGTTTCATGTAGTGGTTTGGCCTTCTCATTATCCCTTGTGAGTACGGCGATAACATTATCCACAACACGGCGCCGACCGCTGGGACTTTGCAGGTTGAACAACGGGCTTGTATAGAGACCGATAAACTCGGTCATGGCTCCGTAGGACGCCAACTCGTTGATGTATGCTTGATGTCTTAAAGCACAGGCTAGATAGTTGGTTGGCGTGGATGGACAACAATAGGGCAAGAGGTTGTAGGTGAGGGATTCGAAAGTTTGTTCCGGAATGGGCGTTTGTGGACGCAAATACAACGCAGGCGTACAGTGTTTCCTCACCTGCTAGTCGAGTTGGTGGAAGTCCATAAGGTACTTAGTGATCTGGTGGCCAAAAGTCCATGAAATGAAGGCATTGGTAGGCGTAGAATAATCTCCATATCTCAACCATGACTTTTGGTGCTTGGTCTATCTGTGTGTACACCGCCCTACCTCAACGAACTCCTAAGGATGATGTACAGTTAGTTGGGTTATCTCAAGATCTCAGCCACAGCCTTGGCGCTTAGGCTATGCGCCACACACACGACTAGCGCCAGCTGATCTGAAGCGCAAAATGGCCATGTTGGTCATCGAAAATTCGTATAATGCGGCCATCGAACCGCACAACGTGCAATACAACTACACGAGGTTCAACGTGTACATCGAGTTGGAAGGAAGGCATCGAGGTTCAACAGGGCGATTGAACTGCCCAAGGCTTAACGTAACCATCGAACCTTACAAGGCTCAAACACAGTATTGTCTCTGTATGCACTAGGCACAATGAGAAGACTGTAGCACTGCATGAAGTGGGACAGGAGTGATAGCAATTACAATAATACATTTAATACATTAGCTAACAAATATCGTACAGTATTATTGGCTTCGTTCTGGCATCACCTAATTTGCCCCTCGTCTCCGATTTCTGGTCAAGCCCTTTTTCTTCTTTCCTTCTTTCCCTCCTTCCTTCGTTCCTTTCCTATCTTCTTCGACGCCTTTGTCAGATAAGGTACCTAAACAACCCCCCCAAAATTAGCAGCTTCCGGTCCCTTTCTTGGGCTTCCGGCTGGGATCCGTCTCCGGTCTTTTCTTCCGTTTCGGAGTTTTTGGCTGCGGGGCTTTTCCAGGCTGATCTCCGTCACCCGTTTGGCTCGGGACTTCGAGGCGCAGTGCTTGGGCAAAGCGCTCGGTCACCGTGCCGATGGGGTCGACTGGGACCTTGGTGTGGTAGACATCGAAGCCCGGGTCGGGCGTCGTTGGCTGCTTGCTCGGATCGTCCAACATGTCGAGAAGGCTGGCCGGGACTCGAGTCCGGAAGATATCTAGGGTCATTGGCATCCATGAGCCGGGGAAGACCAAGCAAATCTGGGGCTGTGTTTGTTGAATTAGCATTCCAGTCTGGCCAGGGAGGAGGATCTTGGAGTGAAGTTGGGGGATTGTGTACCTCAAAGTCCGGGGAGTGAGGCTTCGATTTGGGCTTAGAACGACGTTGTTCTTGCGCCATGGAAATAAGCAAAGCGACCAAAACGGGTCTTTTTGGGCTTCTGGGCAGTGGCGACGATGAGACCTCATGAGCATATTCTTATGGTAAATTCCGGGGTTGTCATCGCCAGGGTTGGTCTTCCGACGTCGAAAGTACTGTGATCTCTCAATATTGGTCTCGTCGTGATTGAAGAGGGTAAACGACACAGTTTTGCGAACGGGTCCTCCCCGTGTTGTGACGGACATCGGTACTGTTTTGTGTGGCTTATTTGGTGGTTTCTGAAATAAAAGCTTACGGTTTGACTGAAGAACGAATGAGTGGCTTAATTGGTATGGGCCGTTTTGAACCCTTTCTGTCTTATTACCCGGGGGTGGAGACAAACTTACCGGTTCAACGAGACACGATGCCCGAGGGAAACAAACATCCTGTAGATTGCGGTGCAGTATTCGTTATTGTCGAGCTGACACTCCAGGGCCGCGGCTAGATACTGCTCAAGCTTGGAGGAAGTCGGGCCGCTAGGTTCAACCCGTTTCCTCTGGCTGGGACTTTTGTCGGGTTCGTTATCGAAATGGGCGCGGCAGCCGAGGAGGTCCAAATATCGGCCGGTCCAGAAGAAAGGGTGCACTAACAAACGTTGTCGAGGATGGCGAGCGGCCAGCTGGTTGATTGACAAACCAGGCAGTAGCGGGGTCCGGCTTGTAGCGTTAGAGGAGGCCTCGGCAGCGGCGCCGTCCATCTCGTCAGCGAGGGGGATCGTGGCCCGCCATCAAGCAGCTGTTCACCGCGAGCAAGGCACCCCGACTTGTTGCATGCACTAAAGCCGTTTCCCAGAATTCGCGAAGTTGTGCATAGTGTCTGCTTGAAAGGGTGAACACTCCCGCGCGGGAGGTAGACAACGGCTCTGTACAGCTTGATTGATCATGGGTGGGTAGCCGCGGGCCTATTTAATGCCCCCCTTTGCCCCTCCACCTGGGCCTCGATCCCCTTTCCTCACTTTGCACCCGACTTCAGTACTTAATTACCTACAAGTCTGCCTATCTCTCTCTATCTACCTCAGTGCCGACCTATGTAGCTGCCTACCATGGAAGTAGGTAGAGATACCGAGCAACCACTTGTCAGTCCCGGCTGCAACTGGAAATCCCAAACGCTACCCAGGCCGGCGTCGATCACCTTTAAGCGGCAAAAAGCGGAGCCGATAAGAAACATGGTGGCCTGTGCTTCGCCCTCCGTCTTGACGTTGCTTCGTAACTCTCCAATGAACCGATTGGCTATAGCGACTCTCCATCGTTGCCTAACGGCTCTTTGTTGTTGCACGGCAATTACCCTGGAATAGAGGTAGAGAGACAATACATTGGCTCACACATGTCCGTATATACAGGAACTATACAGAGCACTGTTTCAAAAGAATTCCACCAACATTGACCTCTTGTTATTTCTGCCTTCGAGGGCTGATACGCCACAGAGTGGCGTGCGCCCACAAGAGTGGGTCCTGCATGGGTTCCCGCACCGCCACAATGTCCACGACAGGTCTGAGCTCCTGAGAGGTACACTCAAACCCACACTCACACCCCCAACACAATCAGGGTAACAAACAAAAGAAAACATAACGCAGAAAACACGTTGCTTTCCATTTCCTATTTGCCTGTACATCTACAATAATGAACCTGCCATTAATAACCTAACAAATCCCCGCCCTCTTTACACGGTCATGTAGTAATACCGCGTCGCCTCATCCCACTCCATCAACACCTCTTCCTCCATCTGTTTACTACCCAGCACCATCTGTTGCCACACCGCAATCCCAAACGACCCGGGAAAAACAGCCGGCACCACCAGTGCGCACAAATACCTATCCCCAACACCGTCGCCCCTAGAACCAGAATCGTCGCCCTGAACACCATCATCTCCAACAGCTAAAGCACCAGAAACCCCTTTATTACCACCAACAACAACCTCCCCTTTAACATCCCGCACCGTACCCTTCCACGGCGACGACGAGGACGACGGCCCGGCAAAAGCCGACAAAGGACACAACACCATCGCATACCCCTTTACACCACCACCCCCAGCTCCCGCTACCGCAAACCCCGCATACTCCACCACCTTCGCCGGATCCCACGCCACTACCATCCCCGGCCGGATCCGCTCACGAAATGGGATCCCCGCGGCGTTGGGGTCCGGATCGACGCTGCTGTAACCGTTGAAGCCGTTGAAGTTATCTGTAGCAGCAGCAGCAGCAGCCGCGTCTGCATTGCTGGCGGGTTGACGCTGCTGCTGGGAATCGATGTGAAGTTTCCACAGTTTGGCATGGAAGGCTTGGGCGCGGTCAGGCGTGGTCTGGTCTGAGGAGGAGGTGAAGCAGCGGGCGATGAAGTCGGCTGCGGGGAGGCGGAGGAGTTGCGGGCCTGTTTCCGTCGGGGCGAGGAGGGCTGGGTTGATGCGGGGTGTGCCGGACTGGGGAACGTTTGGTTAGCTTCGTTCTTTCAGGGAGAGTCGAGGGAGTCGAGGGAGTCGAGGGATGGTTGTCGTTGGATGTATCAGGGTTAGGGTATCAGGGTAAGATGCTTAAGCACGTGCAGTTCACGTGATTCAAGTTGTGGAGGGAGGGATAGAGGTAGGGTTAGGGTCACGACCAACACTCACATTCCTCGCAATCCACTCGCGCAACTGCGCATTATTCCACGTCGCCGGCACGCCCGGCTGGTATGCCGCGCTCTTGGCCCGCGGCACTGGCACGCGCAGCATCTCGGCATACCGCAGCGTGTTGCGGCTGGCGCCCACATCGGCCAGGCACGGGTTGACGCACGCCACGACGACGGTCTTGCACTGGCGCCCGCTGGACGCGTCGAAGACGTGCTTGAGCGTTTTGGTGAGGGTGCTCTGGCGGAAGGGTACGTAGGGGGCGGGGGCTGCTGATTTGGCTTTTCCTTTTCCGTCGGCGGTGAAAGTGCCCGTCGCGGCAGCTACATCGGCCAGCGCCCGGCCACGGATGCAGTCCTTGAGCACGGACAGACTCGAGTTGATCTCGCGTGCTTCCTTCATCCGGGTGGTGTCGTGGGTAACCTTGTCGCGCGCGGCTTCGGACCCGGCGAGGTCGATGAGGTAGAGCATGCCGTCTTTGGCCGCGGGCTGGGTCGGGTTGCCGAGGCGGACGCGGCAGATGGCGTGGGAGCGTGACGAACTGTCGTTGCGCAGCGTGGGGCTGGTGCGTCGGAGGGCGGCTGCGGCTTCGATGTGTTGGAGGAAGGTGGTTTGGTCCATCACTTGGTGCTCGATGGCCCCGGCCATTTGGGTCACGCCGAAGGAGTCTTCGAGGATGGAGATTTGCTTGCGGTTGTTGAGGAGGTCGTAGGCGGTTTGTCCGGCGAGTTCGATGATGGACAGTGAAATCGTCCTCTCGCCTTCCAGACTGCCGTTCATCAAGGTCTCTGCCACGAGCCGCTCCAGGCCGCTCACCGTGAGGGTCTTGCCGGACGAGGTCTGGCCGTAGGCAAACATGGTCCCGATCCCGCCGTCCCAGGCCCATGGTACGAGAGGCTTGACCAGGTCTTCGTAGATCTGGTCGGTGGTTGCTTCGGGGCCGTAGAGCTTGTCCACAGTATAGTCAAAGGACTGCGGGGTGTCAGTTGATGGGGCAACAGGAACACTTTGTTTTGTCGGCAAGAAACTTACTCTCAACTTGGGGAGGCCCCTGACTGGCTGCTGCAACTCATGCACGTCTACGACATTGGTATTGCCGCGGATGTGCACGCCCTCGGGGAACCCTTGGCCAATCTCGTGGTCTAGCATCGGACGCACTCTAGCACTGACGACCATCTCTGGGTTGGGATCGGTCGCAGGGCCCGGTTTGGACGGAGATGGCGCTGGTTTAAAAGCAGCCACCAGCTTCTTGTAGCGTTCCGCATTGTCGAGGTAGAATTGCTCCATGATGAGTAAGGTGAGAAACTTGCCAAGGCTGATACTGGAATGGGCTCTTGCTTGCGTTTCTGGGTTTCTGAGTTATCGGTGTCGGTTTGTGAACAGGTCAATTCAGAAACCGTCGAACGCTGGCTGTCTTAATACTGTCAACTATCCCAAACGGAGCAGCGCTGCCTGACCGGAAGGGGACAGAATCTCGGAGCCTAAGGAAATCAATGCTGCCCGTCTCCAGGCAACGGGTCTTGGGTGTCTTACGAATTGGGTTGTGGCAAACGGGTTTGTTCGCATCGGCCAATCGAAACGGCTTAAATCCCACAAACGAAAGGCATCGAGTTTTGATCACACAAACAAACTATTGACCATTCGTTGACTGATGGCTGCGGGTTGCCGAGATCATTGACTGGGTTGCTGTGAAAGCGATCGCCGTTGTTTCGGAGCTCAGGGAAACCTTTTGGCGGCATTAATGTAAATGATCTGTCTCATGAGATGTCGAAGTACAAGCCTGCTGCCTGCTGTCATCGTAAAGATTTAGGGATTGTTATGAAAGCTACAAAGTAATTAAGCCGTAAAAATGATTCAACGCCACCAAACACGGCCTCCCAATCAACCCGTAGACAAATCAACCCGTAGACAGACACGCATCGTCCCAATACCAGCAAAAACATACAACACCAGGGATTCCCCAGTCGTCACCGACCTGAGTACTAGTCTGGCGATCAGCAGTTTGACTCGGGGAGAGCGGACGGGATCCCGTATTTTCTACTGTCTATGGTGGTATGTGCTAGTCTTGTCCCAGTAATCGGCTCTGTGTATTTCAGGAGCAGGGAGAGCAGGGGAAGGACGGTTGCGTCGCCCGGGGAGGTGACCACTCGGTGCAAAGGGAAGCTAAGGAGAACCTTTACAATTACTGGATGATCTTCTTTCTAACGTACGGTTCTATTTGGAGGGATGATTCCTATCGGTATATTCACCCTAGGCCATCGTCGTGGACCGATCGAGGTAGGGACTCATTCGACCCAGTTGGTTCGGCTTGGTCACCACAGACCGCGATTCTCTTACCAGTGTCCACATCCTACAGGCCTGGAGACGTTTCCTCAGAGATCAATGTTACGCACGGCATCCTCGGTGGCGGCTTCCTGACTGTATTCCACCTCAGCTGGCGAGCGAGCTTTACTTTAGACCATGTTATTGCACGTGCGGGTGATTAAGTGTGAAAGGTATGTCTCAGTGTGTAACCCACATTAATTCAGTTTTAAAGATTCAAGGTCGGGATTTCTTTCGAATAATTACATCCTCCATAGGCTGGGAACTCACGAGTCACTCTGGCTTATAAAAACACATGCCTCCTCGTCTCGGGCGCTCTCGTACCTGGCGTGCGATTAATTAAGCAACAAACCGGCAGCGTTCTGGTGAGTTTTCACATAATTATTTGAAAACATTAGCGATCTTTCGGCATTAGTTATTGTAGCATCACTGTGAATGAACTAATCACAGCGGAGATTGCACCCGGGCGTTTGTCCGGGTGAACTCAACGCTCTGCAGTGCCGATGCCCAACTTTGCTTGATGCGTTGCACAGCGGGAGTACTACGTGCCTGGCATCCCACGTCCCGACCTGACACTCCGAGAGTTGACGGGTTCAGTCAGCTGGAGAACAATTCGGGTGTTCATTGACGGTGTTACTGTTCCTCGACACTGCTGCTGTTCTCAGAAGAGACCGTTGTTTAATCGGCCTGTTTCTCTCTTAACCCGTCCTTGCTTTGGAAACCTCAAGCTCACAATTTGCCTGGTACAGCTCAATCGTTTCCTTGGTAGACTGCTATGTACAGAGTGTCATGCTTCTCTCGGTGACGGTTGAAGGAATCGCGAGAGTACCCGGGAGTCACATCTTTGCCATTGTGCCTCGGAGGACACTACCGCTACGAATAGAGGAGAAACAATCTGCTGAACTTCGCCAATTCGCTTTATTTGCTGATGAGCGAGCCTGGAATGGTCCCGCATTTGGACTAGGTCTAGTTATCTAGAAACAGTTCTGCTCATTACAGCTTTAGTCAAGAGATACGAAACACGGTTAACCATGTGGTCAATATCCAATGCAGGACGGTCATTTTGAATGCCTTGTGTTTATTTAGCTGGGTAGACTAATTAATTGATGCTTCAATCCATGGAAGACGGGAGCCGTACAAGTGGCCCGGTGAGTCCATGGCTGGTGTGTACCTAGATTCGAAGGAAAGAAAGATACGTCGGTGCAATACGAGAGGGCTTGATAACATGCCTACATTTTGCGGCATCAAGTTCCTTGTTTAACCTGAGTCTATCCAGTCTTTGGGTACGCGGCTGACCAGGTAGTCGACATAATATTCTTTGCCTCAAAGCTCAAGTCGTAGGGTTTCTTCCACGGGCGTTTCGTGACAAATTTATGAAAAATCACAAATGGACGGGTCTATATGCTTTCTGAGCTGTGAAAGCTCCTGGCAGGTTGATACTAAGCCTCGTGACTTTACAGTTGCCCCTTTCTTGCAGATTGCGTATTACAATGCTTCCTTCTGAATAGCACCGTACAGAGGCAAGTAGGCAGATAATTATGTATTCTCCCTCTGACAAACAACCCAGCTTAAAACACCGCACTGAATAACACCAAAACAGACACCCGTGCAAACATCACACCACCGGCGGCGAGTCCCCAAGCCCCCTCCATCCTTCACCGGGCCCGTGGCCGGCCAGATCGCCAACCTCCGGTCTCCTAATTACATCTCATGTCAGAATTTGACAGGCATCACCACGGGCCCTTGAAGTAGACGTGATAAGACGCCATATCATCTGCCCCTGGCACACGGTCCGCGCGGAGACCGATGGGGGTCATATGAGGCACAGGCTGGAGTGACAGGGCCATGACGAGAAAGATTATGTATTACTCCGTAGTTTGGTCTTTTCGCTGCGGTAGGTGGGTAAGTAGGGAGCGGGCAGGTTTTATTTCTCGGTAGGAGTGAAGGCAGTGGCTGAAACTCGTCCTTAAATAGATGCTCACGCCGATATGCGAATCTACGAGGGATCCGAGTCGCTAGACGAAGACGAGGACGAGGCCTCGGGAAGTCGAAGAAGGGAACCAATCATACAATGCGGCGAAACACTCACCCGTTTGTGTGAAGGTCCCCCCGACGCGGGCCGAGATAAAGAACAAGACAGGCACTACTAAGGTCTCAACTCCTGGCAGTACCCGTGTGGGCGTGTGTCTGTCGTTGTGCATGTGAAACCGGGTTTCACACGAAGCGAACCCGTCAAAGTATCCATCCTGTATCCTGTATCATGTCCCTAACAGTTGCCAAGAGCACACGAGTCATTTTCATCCCTCAATCCTCGCGCCGTCGCGTGGTAAAGGCATGGCAATGGCCCATCCCGTGCTGAGGGATGTCATCACCAGACACATTTGACGCTGTAACAAACCGATTGGTTTCTGTCTGACAGAAGAGAGCGGGGAGAAGGGGGAGCTCGCCGAAAGGGGAAGGTATTTATCTGCCACGCAGTCCCTAGCTTCCACCCTGGGATGAACACGCGTTCGCCTCGCTTAGATGTTGTGAGGGTAGAGTTTTTCCTGGGGATGGGACGGGGGGATCTCCTCGGGTTCTGGCTCCTGCGATAATGGACTTGTTCCCCCACCTTGAGCGTCAAGCAGGCGTATCTGACAATGGATGCGACAGAGCCTGCGGATGGGACGCCCAAACGTTGTTCCCCTGCAGATGTCCCAGCACTTGGGTTTGACGCCGATGCCAAGCCCAGCGCATCGAGAGCTTTGACATCAATGTCGAAAGTTGGAGTGATTTAGCAACCAATAGTAACTTGTACGAGAGCCGCAGATGTCACAGCGCGGGGTGCGGCTGCGAAGGGCTCGCAAGCTAAGTCTTCGGAGCTTGTTGGATGTGTGTGCGCGCGCGAACGTGTGTGTGAGATGGTAAGGGCACTCAAGGTCCTGTGCTGTCTGTCCTGCCTTGATCTCCCGTCCACGCGATCGATTGCTGGTTTGTCTCCTGCCCAAGTGGGAAGGCAACTAAACTGTTCTCCCCCACCGATCCCTTCAGCACATGAAAGGGATTAAAAAACATCTCAACAGCGCTGCGGAAGAAGGGTATGTGGGGGGTAAGATGGGGAGATATCACGCCCGCTCCTGATAACCTACCCCAGGCCAGAAAAAAAAAAACAGTAAGCTTCTCACGTCTCCTGCCTCGTGGCTCGTGGTGTGTGTTGTGCGACATGACAGCCGAGACAGACGACACAAAAGCAGTGGAGGGGAGGGGCACAGCACAGCAGTCAGGTCAGGGATTCAGAGTTCGGGCCAAACCGGGGATGGAGAACACCCCTGACCCCTGGTTCGGGATGGGACCGTGGGGTCCACCATCCGAGTAACCCCACCCCCCCGTCCAGCTCATCAGAGTTTGGCGCGTTTTGGCACCGGCTTTCAGTGGACATGCCGAGATCGACGGGTGCTTGGATATGCTTTGGGCTTGTGCACTGGGGGATGTCCAAATTCCTTGACAGCCTGAGTCCCGACAGACAGCACAATGCACCAGACAGAGTCAGTCGTCTGAGACAACTGGGGCCGATGCGAACGGTTGTTCCGGCTTCGTCTTTTTCTGGGGCTTCAAGGGTTTCAAGGGCTTCCGGGGCGAGGCTTGTTTCTCCCTCCAGCAGAGAGTTCTGGAAAGGGCACTTGGTCCGATGGTGGCGTCGAATAACCGTGAAAGGAGCGCGCTCGGGGCCCTGGGACGAGATGGTGTTCTTGGTTGTTGTGGTTGACCCTGGGTACGCCACAATCTTTATTTTTATACTTTATTATTTTCCTTCTTTTACCTTGTCGAGCTTGTGTTCAGTTGTTGTTTCCATGATTTGTGCTTGAGCCCTGCGAGTCTATCCAGGGGATGATCGCTGGGTCGATGATACCCTATCGAGCGGCCGCATCTGGCCCCCACTTTCCGGGGTTCGCTTCGACACTGATCAGACTCGAATGCCGGACCACGTTGCTGGAATGGGAATCGTGCCCGGCCCACCAGCACCGTTAGGGCAAGCCTGGGCGCCACCGACGCCTGTTTTCGGGTTGCGTGTTTGAGTGTTTTGGCGTTGAGGCTTGCGAGGGATCATAGCACGAAGCGATGTCATCTCGGGGTTCGGAGTGCAGGATGGATCAACTTATCAAATGTTAGTCTGGAGTTGAAATGCGAGGACCCGAGGATGACGGCCACAGTGGCACAGTGTGCAAGGGTCGGCTTGGCCTCGCGTGGGATCTCTTGGCTGTCCAATGACCCCGACGCGATATCAACCGCAAAGGGAAGCTGTCCAGACGAGGGGTGTGTTGCAACTTGCAGCTGGCTAGGGCACCAGGGGTCACCCGCGCTGGGCATCCCGCATCCCAAGCCCACGGGCCACAAACATGGCAGGCCAGGAGCAGAATCTGTCTGGCTCCATCTGTCAAAGAGCACAGATACCGACAGAGCACAGAAAAAGAGAGAGATAGCATCCTTTGGCTATTCCCAGACTATCCATCTCCGAAATACATGTCTCGGCAGGCACTGCGGCGACCGCGCAGACGCAGCATGGGCCTGAACGCGGGTGTATCAGGACCAGGGCGAGCTGGATCGAGCTACGACACCTCTTTTTTTTGTCTAAGATACAAGTACCAACACCCGGCATCCCGACGACAGACCACCGTCAACGGACGACCGACCCGGCGTCATGTCGGGCTCTACCCCCATCAACACCTTCGCCATGCCCTTCTACTCCGCACCACCACCCGCCCGTCCCTTCCGCAACGACAAAGTGACCCTCCTCACATCATGGTGGGTGACAGCCATGTGCGCGACAGTCATCATCCTACGGTTAGTCGGCCGGTTCCTGCGCGTCGAGCGGCTCTTCCGCGAGGACAAGATCGCGGCGCTGGTGCTGGTGCCGCTGGTGCTGCGCATGGCTTTAATCCACCCGGTGTTGCTGTCCGGCACGAACAATGTGCTGGTGGATGAGGCGCATCCGTTGACGGAGGATGAGGTGTATCGAAGGAGTGTGGCTAGTCGGTTGGTGTTGGTTACGAGGGTGTTGCAACCTGCTATGTACGTTCTCCCTGGCTTTAAACGCGAATACATACTGACAAGTGCTTCAGCCTCTGGCTCTTCAAAGAAGTAACCGTCGCCTTCTTCGACCGCCTGGTCCGGCCCTCCGGCTCCAACCGCTTCACCCACCTCCTCCTCTTCACCCGCATCTCCCTGGCCCTCACCTTCCTCGCCATCCTCATCTCCACCCTAACCGAATGCCACCCTTTCCCACATTACTACCAAGTCCTCCCCGACCCCGGCCCCCAATGCCGCCAAGGCTACATCTACCTCACCACCGTAACCGCCTGTAACGTCTTCACCGACTTACTGCTCGTCGTCTTCCCCATCCCCATCGTCATCCGCAGTCGGTTGTCGCCGCCGCGGAAGGCGTTGTTGGCGGGACTGTTTGCGCTGCATTTGTTGACGGTCGCGGTGGCGTTGTATAAGGCGCCGGAGATTGTAAGGGAGGGCGGGTATCAGGGGACGAGGACGACGTGGGCGAGTGTGGAGGTGTTGGTGGCGACTTTTGCGGCAAATGCGTTGACGTTGGGGACGTTTGTGAGGGATAAGGGGGTTAAGAAGAGGAAGTTTCGGTATCGCGGAGGTGAGGGGAATAATGGTAATGGTGCGGGTTTGGTGATGGAGGGTTCGGGGGCCAGGTCGGTAACTACAGCGGGGGGTGGTCTTGGTGTTGGGGGGCATGGGAGGATGGGGAGTGCAGGCGGGAGTGGAAGTGCAAGTGCCAGTACAGGACGCACATCGCGGGGCACGAATAAACATCAGATGTTGGCAGCGGAATGGGATGGGGAGGATGATCTGTGGTCGGATGAGGAGGCTGTGATGCCGAAGCCTGCGGTGGAAAGCAGAGGAGATCCGATACAGCAGAGTCAGCACCAAAACAACAACCACAACCACCTGACAGCCCCAGGAACAGACGCCAGAGAAGGCGCCGTCAGCCGTACACAGAGCTTCGACCTGCTCATCCCACGCAGCCGATTCAACATCAACATTAACACCAACAACATCGACATCAATACCAACAACAACTACAGCATCTCACCAACCCTCACACCTTCGCCCACAACAAACCCACCACCAACACCCATATCACCCGTCCCAGAACCAGACCCCACAAGACGGGACAGCCGTGGGGGTCCTAGTCCAGCAGATACCGATCAAGGGGACAAAAGGGGTTCCCTCTTGCCACCGACCGAAGGCGTGGTCCAGGCGGACATTAGGGGGTGGACACGCGGGTCGAGCACGGTGCTGCGGCCTTTGGAGAGGTTACCTGGGTCTGGATCTGGGACTGGGGTTTGAACCGTTTGATGAATATGCCATGATGATATTGTTTAATGGCCTTTTTTTTTATTTGTTTAGGCGGGTTTGTTTTGTTTCCGTTTTGTTAGAGATACCACATATGCGAATTATGACTTATTGTACTCCCATTACATTATTGCGCATTAATTACCGATGATGCTGTATTGCTAGCCAGTGCTGGTGTGCTTAACTCAATGTGGCGAGTCAGTGCCATGAGATTCACAAGTTTCCATGACCAGATTCAACAGTCTGTTCGCAAGCCGAGTGTTTCACGCAATGTTTCAAGGTCCTCTCTGAGTCTTTCCACCCGATCAGTGCCAGGAGTGTGGTCGGTGGGGGTGCATCCAGCCGCCATCGGGTTTGCAGATTGGACGCTCGGGGTCCGCGGGTGAAAACCAGGGATCCTGGAATCCCTGCGATCCTGGTCTGGCGATCCGGGGATTCACACCCTGGCCGGGAGGGTCCCGATACCTTGTGGATGTGTGGAAGGGAAAGCAGAAAAGAAAATCAAGAAAAAAAAAGAGACGGCCCGGGCTTGAAACAAATCCGCTTATCGTGCGTGGTTCTGTGCGGTCCTGTGTCGTCCTGCGTCTTGCCAATTCCCAAATTGGAAGCCCATCTTGCGAACCAGCCGCCTCAGGTCCAAACCGGCCAGTCGGTGGGCTATCAGTGGATTCGGTCGGATGATTTTGACTGACACTTACTGCGTGTTTTCACTTCACACCCCGTGAGAACACAGGGCAAGCGGCGTTTGACAGAGGCGGGAGACTGACGGGAGACAGGCGTTTGACATTGCGGATGTGGTTTCCGTGCCGTGTCCATGTGTGAGGTCGCGTGCTGACTTTATTTACTTTGGAACTACGCAATACAGGACTGTCGATACAGTACAGTACGGAATGCGATACAAAGGGTGGTTATTGTATGTTTCGACGGGAGATCCATTTGTTGAACTTGCAGGTTGTTCCTTCCCAATGTCTTCTCAACAAAGCCGAGGACGGATATCTGAACACTTGCGCGATATCTGCCACACCAACGACCTCCTGATTCCGGTTATCATGCGTGCAAGGCAGGCGACCCCCAACTGACCTCCAACTCCCACACCAAAACACGCTTCATGGCAAAACAGCACGCAGGGCATCGGCTCTGGGGGCGCTAATGCAGGCCCTGGACGCTCAGCAACCCCCCAAAACACAGCCCGATAACGCCATTTACGCCAAGAGAACAGAGCCAATCGCACCCCTGGGCACTCGCATCAACATTTTTTTAGGAGTTCGTCCAGTGGCCGCCCACATGCCACATCCATTTTACTCTTGCTCTGATGCTGGACAGTCCTCACCTCTAGCGCAGGCCGCTGAGACACGTTAACCTCAGACAAACCAGCGGACAAGACGATCCGCCTCACGGTCCGCAGAGCTATTTTGACCGACAATCCCTAGTGTACACTCCGTACACTACACTAGTTAGTGACCCTAATTCGGGCATCACGAACCAGAAAGGAAAAGCCACAAAGGACCCGGCCGGCCCCGACCTGCGACCAGGCGTTGACAGATTCGAAAAAACAGGGAACCCAGAAAGCGTGGCATTTGTGGGGAAGGCTAAGGGCCGAACGCTGCTCCTGTTCGTCCCGCTCCTGTGTCTTGTCTCAGTCTCAGTGTCTCACTCAACAGAGCCACAGCAGCTGGACCTCAGTCGGAAAGCGCCGACGACGACATCGACGCCTCGTGCGTATCTTGCACGCTTTTGGCCCGGAGGACCGTTGTGCAGCCCGAACCCGGACCCGAACGCGAGCACGTTTTTGGGGCGTTTTCGGGGTGTGGCTTTCCGGATTTAGAGACCCCCGCTGAAGGACACCCTCCTTATTACGCTAGGACGGAGGTTGTGCGTATCTCTGCTCGGAGGAAGGGAGTTGTTTGCGACTTGGATCTTTGGGAACACCGTCGACGACATCCCACGCCAGCCTCTCCCGGTCTCAACTACCCAACCTCCACAGCAACGCGGCTGGTCCCATGGCGCTGGGTCTTCAACGCTCTCCTTTACACCCTCGGTTCCTCAACACTACTGGCCCAACCCAACCACCACCACAATGCCACAAGACGACATCGAAATGAACCGCCTCGGCCGCCGCCCCCGCAGCATCACGCCGTCCGCCAGTATGCCCAGTCAAGCTAGCCAAGCGAGCCTGCCGGACAGCGAGCTACCGGCCTGGTTCCACGCCCGTACCCCGCGGGCCTTGGAAATCCGCCCGGACGGGACAGCTTCTCCGGGTCTTGGATCCGGCGAAGGAGACGGCAGCCGCAGCAGCAGCGGCCGGATGCGTGCGCGGATGGACCGGTTGATTGACTCGTTCCGGAGAGAGGACGGGTCACGGTTGGAGGGGTATGGGTTTGATGACGAGGAACACCAACTCCCCGATCACCAGCACCATGATAGTTCACACCGCCCATATCGCCCACCACCACCCCCCGACCCATATGTTTACCAAGACACTTACACAGACACCGACGCCGGCACGCAAAACCATCCGGAAGAAACCCTCGACGAAAACGGCCACCCGATCCGCGTCCGCAAACACGCTCTCGGCCGATACTACGACCTGCGCGAGGCCAACGCCCGTGCTGCGCGCACTCTCCTCGCGCGGGAACTCAAAGGCCGGCATCTCCAAATGATCGCCATCAGCGGGTCGATTGGGACAGGTCTGTTTGTGGCCTCAGGAAAAGCGCTCAGTCAGGGGGGGCCGGCGTCCTTGTTGTTGGCGTATTGTATTGTGGGGAGTATGTTGTGGTGTACGATGCAGGCGTTGGGGGAGATGGCGGTGGTGTTTCCGGTGGCGGGGTCGTTTTCGATGTTTTCGACGCGGTTTTTGGATCCCAGTTGGGGGTTTGCTATGGGGTGGAAGTAGGTCTCTCCGTTTCTTTTTCTTTTTGTCCGGGAGCAGCGCTAATGCCAGGCGACAGTTATTTCCTTCAAATGACAGTGGCCTTCCCGCTCGAGGTCATTGCCGGGTCCATGACGATTGGGTACTGGAACCCGGGCTTGGAAAAGTCCATCTTTGTGACAGTGTTTTTGGTGGTGATTGTCGCGATCAACTTGATGGGCGTCAAGGGGTATGGCGAGGCCGAGTTTATCTTTGCTATTGTCAAGGTAACGGCTGTTGTTGGGTTCATGTACGTTCTTATTCCCCTTTCCTTTTCTTTCCGTTCCTCGTCTCTCTTCCTCATCATACTGACAGTGAGAAACCAGCCTCTTCGGCATCGTCATCAACATCGGCGGCACCCCCACGTCAGGCTACATCGGCGGAACCTACTGGCATTCCCCCGGCGCCTTCCACAACGGCTTCAAAGGCCTCTGCGCCGTCTTCGTGGCCGCCGCCTTCGCCTTCGCCGGAACCGAACTCGTCGGCCTCGCCGCAGCCGAAACCGCCAACCCCCGCAAATCCCTCCCGACCGCCATCAAACAAGTCTTCTGGCGCATCTCCCTCTTCTATATCGTCTCCCTCGCCCTCATCGGCTTACTAGTCCCCTATACCGAACCCCGCTTGCTCGGCGCCACCAGCATCGCCGATGCTTCCGCCTCGCCCTTTGTGATTGCCATCGAATCCGCTGGCACCACCGTCCTCCCCTCTATCATGAACGGCGTTATCCTGGTGGCTGTCATCTCCGTCGGGAACTCCTCTGTCTTCGGTGCCTCGCGCACCCTAGCTGCTCTCGCCGAACAAGGCCATGCCCCCCGCATCTTCCGGTACATCGACCGACGCGGACGCCCTTTACTCGCTATCCTCGCCGTCTCAGCCGTCGGCCTGTTAGCCTTCCTCGCCCACTACGAAGACAACGACGATATTTTTGACTGGCTGATGGCTATTTCCGGGCTGAGCACCATGTTCACCTGGGCGAGTACCTGTCTAGCGCACATTAGACTGCGCAAGGCGTGGACGGCGAGGGGCAGGTCAACGACAGAGGATATGGCGTTTACGGCGCAGGCAGGTGTCTGGGGGAGTTGGGTAGGGTTTGTGTGTAACGTAGTGTTTTTGCTGGCGCAGTTGTGGGTGGCTATTGCCCCGTTACCGCGGGTGCATATCCCGGGGCATGGACCCGGTGACCACCACGACCACGGGCCCGGGGGACACGAACACTGGAATGGAAATGGACTGGGACATGGACACGGAGGGGCGTCGACGTGGCGGGCGAGGAACTTTTTTATCAAGTGTTTGGCGCTGCCGGTGGTGATTGTGTTTTATCTGGGGCATAAACTGTGGTACCGCACGGGGTATGTGAGGGTGGCGGATATGGATATTGATACGGGGAGGAGAGACTTTGGGCGGTTGGGGGTTATTAAGGCGCAGGAGGCGGAGGAGAGGAGGACGTGGCCACGGTGGAAGAGGTTGTATCGGATGGTGTGTTAGTTCCGGGGTGAGTTAATAAGCGGTGGATAATGTTATGAGTTTTTGTATCTTATGGGTAAGCATCTGCTTGTGGCGAAATAGAATCGAGACGGTCTTGTTGTCTAGGTAACTATTGGGTTGAGAGGCGTTGAGTAACAACAAAAGGGGCGGTTTGCGTTGGGATTCGGTCAAGGGTTAGGGTTATTGACTAAATAAACACTTGCCAGAGTGATTCCTGTCCTTGATCGTATAATTATACCTGATTCTTCTCGGCGTTTGTCACTTTGAGAGCCTAAGTCCAGGCGGACTCCATGTCTCAATCTCACCGTGGCTAGCATGTGTGACGAGGCTAATATCCTAGCCAGTTAATCTCACCACAGAGATGTTCACAGAATACATGGTAATTAACCGTGCATTTGTTGTGATATAAGTAAGGTACTGCACGTACGTGGTTTACATAGACGCATCGGTAGAATCACTCCATATCAGCCGCCAAACACGCTCCAGCATGGCACAGCCAATCAGTTCAAACAGCCACCGGGGCGTTTCTTCTAACAAATCTCTATCTTTCTCTCCACCTACCTACCTACCTACCCAGCCCCGAAGCCAGCCCGGCATCCCCTCCTTCGTGTACCCCCTTCACTCTCTACCCCCCTCTTCTCCGTTAACCAACCTGGGTACTCACCTTCCATCTCCATCTAATTACCCCCATTAAACAACCAAACACCCACACCCCCTCAACCCCTTCACCATAACCTTCGGCACATGATACTCCGCCCCCCACGGCCTCCCATCCGTCACACTCTCCACCTTGTGTTCCGACGACCTAGCCCCCGGTTTAACCCCTGGCCTACCACCCGCTGAGGGGCTTGCCGCTCTCCTACTCTGCGTTTGCTGTTGACCATGCGAGTCTGTCTGAGTTTGCGCTCCCTGCGACTGTTGTGCCTGTGCCTGTGCCTGGGCTTGCCAGTGAGCATGGAAGTGTGCTTCTTCTGAACCCGCCTGCGCTTGTGCTTGTGCCGGAGTTTGTGCCGGGGTTTGTGCCGCTGGGGTTTGTTGTCCCGCTCCTGTCCCGGCCTTTGACCTGTTCGGCTGGCCCCGCCCAGGCGCAGGCACCGGTGCCGACACAGCCACAGCCGCCGGCACGACCGCCACAGGCCCAGGGATAGGTCCAGACCCAGGCACAAACCCAGGGCCAGACGGTTCCGTAACCGGCGGGACCGGCGCGCGAGGATCGATGAGGGAAAACCCGAGGGTGATGTCGCCGCGCTCGGATTTGGTGAGGTAGATCCAGCTGATTTGTTGGTTGAGTTTGTGGGCTACGAGGGAGGCGTTGCGGCCAAGGGGGGAGGACATTAGCAGGGTGGTGTGTTGGTGTTGGTGGGAGGGGATTGGGGGGTCTGCTGGGGCGAGGAGTTGTTGTTGGCGACGGGTGACGTGTTGTTGTCGGGATTGGGATTGGGGTTGGGGAGCTGGGGGTTGGGTTTGAGCTGCGGGGGGGCCAGGAGGTTGTTGGAGGAGGTCTTGGAGGTGAGGCTGGGTTGATTTGGGCTGGGCTGGGCCGGGAATCATCAACCAGTACTCTGGCGTCCAATTTTTTAGAGATTCCAGAAACTTGTCGACGGATTTACCGGTCTCTGCACTCTTCTGCGCGCCGGGCATCATCAGCATATTCACACTGGTCGGCTGCACCTGGTTCCGCCTCAAACACTCCCACACCAAGTCATCAACACCCGGCAAGTTGTCCTCCGTCGACGGCACCCCGCGCTTATTCTCCATCTGATCCAGCACCAGCATCTCATGCGCCAGCGACAACCGAATCCGTGCGCGCAGGTAGTCCTCGGCCTCGACATACATAGTCGCGAACTGGGTCGGCCCCCCGGTGGCGCTGTAGACGGTGCGGAGGAACGGCGTTGCGGCTGTCATGCTGCCCGGGAGGACGGAGAAGTCGTTTTTGCCGGGGAGGAAGATGCGGGAGGATTGGGCGTCGGTGGTGAAGGGTCCGGCGCGCGGGGCCGTTTTGGTTTGGAGGTAGCGGCGGAAGATGCAGCGGGTTGCGGAGGGCCGTTGGTCGCGGGATCGGTGGTCGACTTGGAAGCCCGGGGGGGTGGATCGGCCCGAGATGTGCATGCGGTTCATGCTGTTGGCGAGACGGCTGGAGGAGGCGGCGCCGGCTGAGGGGACGTTGAGGTTGTCTTGCGCTGATGTTCTGGGAGCAGGGGCCGGGACATTGTCTCTTCTGGCCGCTGGAGCCGGGGCTGTGGTGCCGTCTCGGGAACGGGATACCGTCGCGGTGTTGGTTCCGGAGGGGGGATCGACCCTGGTGCTGGGGGTCCCGGATGCAGGGTTTCGCGGAGTAGGAGCAGGAGCGCGCTGGCTGGACGGGGTTGACTGTGCAGGGGCAGCCGGGGTAACCGCGGCAGCACGCACGGGGGTGGTCCCGCTCACATTGCCGGACGAGGGGGTGGACTGGCCGGCGGCACTGCTGGCGGGGGTCCCGATGGAGTCACCGAGCGAGGGTAGGACGGCGCGTCGTCTACGGGGAAGCATGGCTGAGGATTGAGACGATGTTGTTGAAGAGATGGATTCAAGGAATTATCTAGGATAAAGAGAGGTGATCGCCGGGACTACTGAGTCTATAAGAAGTAAATGGGAACAGTGGATATGAAGGACACAACACATCTCTCGACGATGGATCACTGACTTATATCTCTGCTTCCATCTTCAATTCCACAGTTTTACGGTCCAAAGTTTTACAATGTGGTTGGCCTGCTTGCCTGTTTATGGGCTCATCCTAGAGTTGGCCGTCAAAGTTCCAACTATCATCCGACGTAACTCCCGTGGTGTGCCCTACTGATGCCTGACCACGTATCAACACCATCAATAAATCCGGTTGAACCTCGTAAACGGGTTGTTGACTTGCTGACATGACCTGGGTGGTCCTCATGAGCGACGGCGAAGCCTGCTGAGTAAATTCTTACTCGACATTCCGCGCCACAAAGATGACATAAAAGCGCCCAGCTAGGAAATAATACAGATTTTAGACACGAGATGGGATGGTTTGTTGGTTGGACAACCGAATTATCAGACGATACCTTGCCATGGTTGGGGAGAAAGAATAACAGCAGAATCACTTGTTTACGAGCCCCGTCATTCCTAAAGACGGTTGATTGCCTGTATTCAGACTATGACACAAACTTTTGACGGGATTTACCAGAATAGCTCTTCAATAGTCCTTTGACATGATAAAAAAGTCATGCACTCATACAAAATCTGATGCACATGAAGGGCGTAGGAAAAGCGCAACAGTCCTCAGTCGTGACTCCTGTGTTTGTCACACCCCGGCACTTACATTTTCTCCCGCACACAAAGTGCTCCTCACCCCGCTCTAACCCTGTTCGAGTCTTCAACATGCCTTCTTCAATATCCAATCATACCCATCTTCTTCCCAGACTGTCACAAATGCAACCAAACCCGTGCCCGGACCTGCAGGCTGCTTAGCAATGTGTTTGCCATGCCTAACATGTATTCTCAGGGTGGTAGCACATCTGCGACAAGGTCCGTCCCGCACGAGAAATGTGCCAATAAATTTGCTCTCCCTGTGCCGGGTGCCCGGTCGTTGGTGGAATCTGGGGATTTGACATCTGTAGCGTTGCATTCCGGTGCGTGGGCTGCATCTTCAGTGTGTGACACCGGCTGGTTCAAGGTGACACCCGACCGGTGCTATGAGCTGTGACAGAGTGGGCTTGATCAATTGGGTCTACTAGGAATGCCATAGCCTACTTATAAGTGCTCGCTCGCTCATCTCTTCCAATCTTCAACAAAACACCACAGTCCCTAGCAACAATGCATCTCCCCCTCCTAACCCTAACCCTCTTGACCCCCCTCGTCACGACATCCGCCCTCTTCCCCTTCGAAACCATCCAACTCACCCCCTCCGACATAACCACTTTTTCAGCGGTCAACTTTGGGACCCTCCCACATACCCATCCTCTGCCCTCTCAACGTGAACCCCCCTCCTCCGAACAACCCCCCTGCCGCGCCTACCCCTCCACCCCCTCCTGGCCCCCCCCATCCCAATGGTCCCTCCTCAACAGCACCCTGCACGGCGCCCTCCTCCAACCGACGCCAGCCGCTGCAGCCTGTTACCCTGGTAACACCCACTACAATGCCACAACCTGCGACTGGCTGGTGCATGAAGCGGGAAAGACGCATTTTTGGTTAGATGAACCTGTTTCGACGCTGACGGAGTGGCCGCAGGGGGAGACTTGTAGTTTGCGTTCGGAGGAAGGGGATGGTTCTGGGGAGGTTGGGGGGGAGTGTGAGCAGGGGGGATTTCCGGTGTATGTGGTGAATGCGACGACGGTGAGGGATGTGCAGGTGGGGGTTAATTTTGCGAGGAATTGGAATCTGAGACTCGTGATCAAGTAAGTCTTTCCCTGATGCTAGGTGTTGGTCCAAGGGTCCAAGGCTGACAGAGTAGAAACACCGGCCATGACTTCGGCGGCCGTTCCCTAGGCGCCGGGTCCCTAAGCATCTGGGTACACCACCTCAAAGACTTCGAGTTTCTCCCCGAGTACCCTGTCGGGGAGTACACCGGCATGGCGGTGCGTTTGGGAGCGGGCGTCGAGAGCTGGGAGCACTTCAACCACATGGCGGAGCACAATATCTCTGTTCTCGCGCCTGGAGGGGCTACAGTGGGCGCTGTTGGGGGATGGATTGCTGTGGCTGGACATGGCGCGTTGACGAGCAAGTATGGGCTTGGGGTGGATCAGGTGCTGGCTGTTAATGTGGTTACTGCGGATGGGAGGTTTGTGAGTGTGCAGCCGGATGATGAGGATAAGCGGGATTTGTGGTGGGCTTTACGGGGTGGCGGGCCAAGTATCACTCCCAGTTACCTTCCATTGTGCTCAAACACTACCCGCTATTAACACAAGAATAGGCACCTTCGGCATCATAACCTCAGTCACCCTCAAGGCCCACCCCCCCCTAACAACCATAACCACCTCCCTCCAACTCACCCTCAACCCCCTTTCCCCCACCTCCCCAAACCGCACCACCTTCTGGCGCGCCATCTCCTCCGTCTACCACTTCATCCCCCACATCCTCTCCTCCGGCGGCTACATCTTCAGCTACATCCGTCCCAACCTCACCGACTCCACAATCAGTTTCACAATCTCCCACACCGTCCCCAACATCTCCGTCCCAGACTACCGTGCTCTCCTCCAACCGCTGTACACAGTGCTTTCAGCCCTTTTACCAGTTCCGGTCTCCCTCCCGGGAACAATCACGCCCACGCCCTACGCCGGTAACGGTCGTCGCACGGGCGCAGGCGACACCCCCATCAACACGCGCTACCACTCCCGGCTATTCCCCTCCTCCCTCTGGGAAACAAACACCACCACCTCCCAGGAAATATGGACCGCCCTCTGGGAAACGGAAGGGACCGGAATTAGAGCAGGTGTAGAAGAAGGCGGGTATGTCTTCCACGGGATTGGGTATTCCCCCACAAGGGAGGTTGCGGGCTGGCCGGGAAGGGATAGTGCGGTGAATCCGGCGTGGAGGGGGGCTTGGTTGCATGGGAGTTTGATGGATGTGCAGAGGGAGGGGCTGACGGCTGGGGAAGTGAGGAGCAGGGAGGAACGGGCGAGGGGGTTTTTGGGGGGGTGTAAGTTTGGGTTTCTTTGTTATATTATGAAGGGGTTAAGGGGGTAACCCTAACCCTGATTTGACTTGACACTGAGTCGACATGCTGTTTCTCTCTCTTTTTCTATCGTCTCTTTTCTCTTTTAGTTGCTAAGAAAGAAGCTAACAACCCAGGGAACCTCTCCCACGCCGGCTCCTACATGAACGAAGGCGATCCCGGCGAGCCCGACTGGCAGGCCCGTTTCTACGGCCCGCTGTACGACGACCTGCTGAAAGTCAAACGAAAGTGGGACCCCTGGGGCGTCTTTTGGGCCAGCACCACCGTTGGCAGCGAGGACTGGGAGGTGGTTACAGAAGATGGATATCCCATGGGACAAAACGGGCGGTTGTGCCGGACGGATGCTGGTTTTCGGTAGAGGACCTTGCTTTGATACGTAGATTGGCCGTTAAGAAAAAAGCACTCGTTAAATCGACATGACGCTATGAACCCGCTATGCCAAACGCCCCCGTTTAAGTAACCCAACCCTCCCTGCCAGTATCCATCCCTGTTTACGCCTTAAGTTTGTGCCGTAAAATCCCTACCTCTTCCCCTCCAAAATCCCCAAATCCAACTCCCCCAACCCCCCCAAATCCGGACTCAAAAACCCCCTCAACGCCTCCTCCACCGGCGTCAACGGCCCCCCATTTCCCATCTCCCCATCTATCCCAGACCCAGCAACCCCAGCTCCATCTCCCCCCATCCCCAACCCCAGTCCCAACTCCGGCGACGCCATCTGTCCCATCGCCGGCCCACCTGGTCCAGGAAGTGCCGAAATCCCCGCTTTGCCGGCGCCGTTTAAGCCGGTGAGGAATCCCGTGTCTAGACGTGGGGGGAAGGGGTTGTTCAAGCCTTGTTGCTCATGCGGCTGCTGCCTCTGCTGTTGAAGGTGGTGTTGTTGTTGCTGATGTTGCTGCTGCTGCTGCTGCTGCTGCTGCAAGTGTTGTTGATGCTGCTGATGATACTGAGGCGGCATCATCTGCGGTGGAAACGGCACCGCAACACCATGCTGCTGTCCCGTATACGGCGGGTATGTACCCACCACCCGCGACGATTGCATCCCACCTGGCATACCCCCCGGCATCCCACCCGGCATCCCGGGCATACCCGCGGGCATACCTGGCATACCTGGCATCATCCCCCCCGGCCGTAACCCATAAACATTCTGCACTTGAGCCTGCACCTGCGGCGGCATACGATGATGCGGCGGCAAAGGCATGCCATTCATCATGCCACCTGCTCCCATTGGCATTCCCATGCCCATCCCGCCCATTCCACCCATTGCCATGCCGCCAGCCATGGTCATGTGTGGCGGGGGTGGAGCACAGAGGTCTTCGATGATGGGACCGTTGGCGAAGTTGGGTGGGGGTGGGGGGACGGTGGGGGTGGTGGTCCACATGTTGGGGTTGTTGGTGACGGTGTTGGGAGAGATTTGGAGGGGGGAATGGCCCAGGTTGAGTTGGGGGCTGTTGGCGAAGGGCATCATGCCGGGGGGGAGGCCATATTGTTGTTGTTGTTGCTGGGGCTGTTGAGGCTGTTGATGTTGTTGTTGTTGATGATGTGGGTTTTGTTGATGTGGGTGTGGGTGTTGAGGTTGTTGCTGCTGCTGCTGGTACGGATTGACGGGGTACACCGGATTAGGGCTGGGAACGTAGCGGGATCGGTTCATGATGCGGTCTTGCAGACAGGTGTGGATGTGTGATGATCGCCTCGGATTCTGTTCTTGGCCAAAGTCAAATCCCAGAGTGTGGGATTGCAGTTGGGGCAAACGGAAAAAAACAAGCGTTCGAAACAAACACGAGAGGGGTACATCCAAACCTTATAGTCAACCGGGTTGTGTGTCAGCCCGGCATGCTCCGGCGTGCTCGGGACCAGCTCTTCAAACATGACGTCCTGGCCGCCCCCAAATCGGCCTTTTCCCGTCCTTCGGTGTGGGAAATTGGGAATCAACCCGTCGCTTCCGGGTAACGTTTGTCGGGCGAACGTGGGGTAATATTGGGGCGGAGCCGGTGTGTTGATTCGGTGGACGGGACAAATATTTCGGATGATGCTGTGTTCGGGCTTTTTTTGCTGACCCCCGAGTGTTTGAAACCCTGTTGGCAGCCTGTTTCAGGTCTTGGCCGGGCTAGACCGGACGGCCGGGACCCACTTCTCCGGACATCGACCCACCTTTCCGGATCGCACTCGGAGATGGACCCACTCCGAGCCGGAGCTATAGTAGTATCCATGGCGACATTATACCATCGAGTGCAAGATGAAATAAATAGACCTGATACAAAATTATGGTATTGGTGAAGTAATTCTGCCCGAGAAACACCATTTGTACAACGTTACCCTCACACACAGCCCAAAGCACAAGAACGAGGCCAACCCCGGCCCCGGCCCCGGCCAACACACCTCAGCCAGCTCCTGTCCTCCACCCAGCCTACCCACCGCTCAAAACGGCAATATATTGCTTCGAGTGCGCGTTTCAGAGGTTCTTCATCGTCGCGGAGTACGACAGGTGCCAAACGGGCATCGTCCCACAGCCTTTTGTTTACTCTTTGACTCTTTGTCATGTGTCTGTCGTACAGGTCCGCTGAAGTCATTATCATTAGGCCGTATTCGCCTAGCCTGCAGGCCATCAGCAATATGTTCTCGTCATTTCCATCCGCCCATTTCCAATCCCAGCACCGCTGATTTCCAATCTCACCCATTACGAACACCTCTTTTGATGATCTCTCCATCTAATTAATTATCTCACTCCGTCATCACTACATTTTACCCCCTACCCCCACAATGTGGTCCCCCCGCGCCCTCTTCCGCTTCAGCATCCTCGCCCGCCTCAACAAGCCCAAATTCAAAGAAATCCAGTGGACCGACGACGGCGAAGTCCGCCCCGTGACACGTGGAAAAGCAAAGCAATTCGGTCTGCCCGAGGCCCGGTCGCCGCGGACGGTTGTGTTCAACGACGGGGCGCCGTATCGGATGTTGTCTAATGCCTCGTGTGCATCGCACGCGCCGTTGACGGTGTCTGCTTCGGAGGGGATTGTGTTGGAGAATGTGGCTAGGGCGAGGACGAGGCGGTATCAGTCTTTTTTGAAGGTGTAGGGTTTCTTTTGCTTATGGGGTGGTTTCCGTTCATAAGAGTTGGTCAATTCATTGGGAGCGGGTTCTCGTCAAATATTCATTGTTTCAAAGGCAGTACCAGTCATTCGACTGACTTATCCCCAACGCCGGGTCGTTATAATGCGCCCCATTCACCTGTCTTTTCCTCTCTACAATGCTTGCAGTCCCATAAATCCATAACGCCTCCAATGCTGGTCATCGGGCCCCTTGCCGATACTGTAAACACCATCCCGCAAACGCCAGCCCAGAATACACCCCTACCCCCATCTAATAAACCCCCATTTAACCCCCATAACCACACCTAACCGCCCCAAGCCCCATACCCCCGAAAAACCCCTAAATGCAAAATGCTAGCCCGTCGTAAACCTAGCCCGCCGTAACCTTAATCCGCCGTAAACCGCGTCATACTCTCCTCAATCCGCAACTGCACATGTCTCGGCAAACTCGACAACGGCGTCCAATTCGGCACATAATGCGGGCCCCTCTGCATAAACACCCGTGTCCGATCCACATTCCGCGACGCATTCGGCGGGTAATACGGTGTGCGCCGCGCTGTGCGGTAGATCGGTGTCGGTCCTCCCCCCGCTGCTGCTGCTGCTGCTTCGCCCATTGTGAGGTCGGATAGACCTAATCCGGGGTTGGGATTGAGGAGGGGGTCGGTGCCGGACATGTGGGTGTCCATGTCCATGTCCATGTCCCTGGCGCCTGGCCTGGTGCGGAGGGTAGTGGTCGTGGATGAGGAGGAGGAGGCGGAAGAGGAAGAGGAGACGCTGCGGGAGCGCGGGCGGGTGGGGAGGACGCGGTGGATGCGCTGGGAGACAGTTGGCCAGCGGGGCAGGACGGAGGTTAGCGGGCTGGGGGAGCCGGAGCCAGAGGCTGGACTGCTGCTGCCAGACCCGGAGCTGGAGCCGGCGCTTAGGCTGGGGGTGCTATCCCTGCTGGAGGATGCCGACCTCGAAGAGGCCGACGCAGACGCGGAGACTGATCGTGACGGTGGGGAGTGCCTCCGGGCAACAGACCCCTTGGCAGCGGCACCGGTGTATCCCGGGCTAGTAGCCGGGCTGGGAAAGCTGTTGAGGGAGGAGTAGCTCAGGCTGCTGGGGGCTGCGCGGTGTGGTGTGCTTGGGGGTGAGGGCAGGTCGAAGTAGTCGAGGAGCGAGCCGTCGGAGGGGACCAGGCTGGGGGTGGCCCGTTTGGAACCGCCCGGGGGGCCGAGGACGGAGGTGGTGGTGGTGGTGATGTCGTCCATGGGGTCGTCTTCGGGGGCGGAGAGGGACCGCAATCGGTCGGGGGTGTAGCGACGGGTGGTGAAGGAGGGCATTGTGCTGGCTGTGTTGTGCCGTATGGTATTGAGGGTGTATGTGTTGATGGATGTTGATTATGTTGTGCCTATCGTGGCTGTCTTGTGGCCGTCAAGATGACGACTCGGGGAATACAATCCAGCCAGCCCGGTTGTGCTCGACACAATAAGGCAAACCGTACGACGAAGCGAAGCGAAGCGAAGCGAAACCACGACGGAAAACGAACCACGACGAGAAGAAAAAATAAAACCCAAGGAACTGGATGAACGAACGGGTCAACCGTACGACAGACCCAACACAAGGTCATGCATCTCCTCCAGACGACCTGGCCCGGTGTCGTTCACCTTTATTGCTCTCGGTCTAGCAGGTGCGCCATCCCAGAACAACATCCCAACCCACCAACACCCCAACACCTACACCCGACACACACCCGCCCGGCACACACCCACACGCCCCCAATACCCCAGTCATTCGACCCGATCCGGGGGTTTAACGCAGGTCCAGCAGGGCTATGAGGCTCGGTTCGCTCAGTCGGCTCAGAGCATCACAGCACCACAGCACCACAGGACCACCTACACAGCTTAACAGGCACAGGGAAAACAACCCAAAAACTGTTTCAACATTCGAGCTACAGCGCTAATTTTAGGGTCACCCGCCGGCCTGGGACGAAAGGCCCATTCAGTCGGCCATGCGGGCGGCGTCTCGGGGGGTACGAGGGGCAGGTGGACGAATCAGCTGCTGCGCCGGCCACCAACACACACTTCTCTGACTGGCAGGGTTGTTTCACAACCCATTTGATGGGAGCTTGTGCGCGCGGCGCGAAGGCGGGGGACCCACTGTTGTTGTGCCGGTCGGTTCGTTACTCTCGGAGCCTCGTTACCTAAGCTTTGCTCTTTGCACTTTGCGCAGCAAAGGTTGTGGGTTGTGGGGTGTTCGCGTTTGATGAAACGGGATACGGCCGCCTTGCTTGGCCTTGTTGGAGTTGTTGGCCGGTTTCGCTGGGCGGATTGGAGGGTCTTGGCGTTTGCCGGATGAGGTCATGCTGGATTTCCAGTTGCTGCAGTCAGCTGATTGAGTGTAAACGGGCTGCTTTGTCGATGGTGCAGATGATCTCGGGCTACGGAACTGTCGCGACATGTAAAAACAGAAAGTATTGATAAAAAGGAAAAGAAAGAGGTAAATAGGTAGACTCAAGCGTTAACCAAAATGTTGTTGGGCGGTCCGGTACTCCCAGCAGCTGGGGCTTCACCCTCGTGCCAAGCCAACCAGCAGGGCCAATGAACACCAAAAACAGAGCTCCTAATCGGTAACAAATGACACTGTTCCGTCCGCTAAACGCTAGATAGACCAGGAAACATCCCATCTCCAACCTCCAAAATGCTTTCCACGCTCACTACCTTATCCCTTATCCCCCATCCCGTATCCCAATCCCATCCCTTATGCGACCAGTGATCCCATCAAGCACTCCTCAACCCCGCAACAGGACACACCGCGCCCTCGCCCACCCCACTAACATCCGGATGCGCATGCATACTCTTCTTATGATGTCCCACCGAAGCCTTAGTCACAGGACAAACCGCCTCGTCTCCCTTCCCCTCCGTCGACGGGTGATCCGGCGGCAGCACCGTCGTCGCGGTACCCACCACAGGACACAAGCTGTCGTCCATCGCGCGGCTCTTGTCGTCGGTCGCTAGGCGCTGGGAGAGCGCCGGGCAGGCCGCGGCACCGTCGGCGGCGTTGGGGACCGCGGGGTGCTTGTGCAGGAGGTTGGAGCCGTGGTGGTCGGTTGTAGCGCCGACGACGGGGCAGGTTTGGCCTGGTTGGGAGAGGTCGATGTCGGGGTGGGAAGGCGGGAGCGTGGTATTGGTTGTGCCCACTACGGGGCAGTTGGCTTGGGCGGAGGCCATTTTGGTGGGTGTTTTTGGTGTATTGGGATTCTGAAATGGTTTTCGGGGTTCTCGATCGTGATTTTTCGTAGAGGATGTTGCGAGGTCTGTTCTTTTGCGGCAAAGATTTAAATTGCTTGCGGGAGAGTTGCCTGGGCGAGTCACCTGTTTATCTTTGCTGGCTGTTGGGTTCAGGCCGCGGGGCATTGCTGAACGAGCCTTGGAGGCATGACGTAGTGGGGTAGCATGCTTCATGCTGTGGAGAGAGGACCAATCATGGCTCGCCATGGTCGCTGAAAGCGGCAGTCTGTGGAGTCCGTTGAGACACTCTGCCCCACTCCTTTCAGCCTCTACCCAATCATATCGTGGGCGTTGGTCAGACGGTTCCGGCACGGGGGAACTGGTGGAATTCCTTTGCCACAACCCAACCAATGAACCCAAATCTCATTGTTTATCTCGCCATTCGCCCCGTCATCGCGGCCGCTCCAAGGCCTTCCGACGCGCAGACGCCTGAAACCCGTCAATCATAACTTTATGCAGCCAGTTCGTGGCCTTTAACGACCCACCTCTGCCTGACTTGCCTGTCCACTTGCCAGAGTTGTCCCTGTCTAATCCGGAACAAAGCATCGCGCAATGCCGCACAGCGTCTCTGAACGCGTCAACCTCGTCGGAAACTCATTCAAAAAGGAACCGGAGTTCTATTTAAGCAGATCCCGATCCACACCACTAACTGGGCTCCTCCGAGCCCTTCGAGTGGTCGTGGTCCGCGTCAAGGTCAATTGGGATACCTTCGAGTCGCTCTCGGTCATTGTTGTCATCGTCGATGATCATAACAAAGATGTTCTAGGCAGATATGGCCTAGTGGAGGATTCTGCCATCGTGAAACAGCAGCATTTGTGTCTTTACAGCGTCCTGGAAGACTTGGACTAATTCATGGACAGACTGGACGATGTTGCAAGGCCCGCTAGCGGGGGAAAGTGAGCAGGCAAGTGAAGGTCGTGACAACAAACCTGCCAAACGCTTTTTGGGCGGCTCGATGCGAAGGCTTAGAACGACCGGATCAAGTCTTCTTCAGAAACCTTGCAAGAGTCCGAGGTGTATTGAGGGTGTCAACCGCATCCGAGAGCCGTGTTAATTATCGAGGATGGTTAAGGATGTGGCGAAGTGTGTTTGCCCTCTCCAAGGGAAGGCTTAGTGTCTGGGCCGTGTATATACCTGTTGATGTCTTTCACATGTGTTCTATGTCATCTTCTCCTTGTGCTCGGAGATACTGACCTTTTTCGTGGATCCCAAACTGCTACTACAACAAAGCAGTGATGATACAAGGCCGTAAAAGTCCCGAACTGACTTTGGCAAGTCGGTCTTCCATGTTTACGAGCTGAAATTTCTCTGTTTTATGGTACGAACAGCTTATCCGCTTCCCTTGGCTCGGTAGGCTGCTAGGCATTCGGAGCTCCCTACAACAAATTTTGCACTGTGCCGCTCCTGTGCCCCTTTGTTGCCCTCCCACTCGGCCCGGGCCGAGATCGCATCCATTGATTTCCCCGCGACGCTCGCAGAGGCGAAGTCACACTGAAACGGGCGAAAACTGATCCTTCATGCCATCTCAGTCCGAGCTCGGCCAACTTCTAGAGTAGGGGTCAATGCTTTCATGAGCCTTCTTCAAGTGGTCAGCAGCCCCTCAACGAAGACACCATGACCCCGTTGTACCAAACCAACCTCATGATCATTTCAGGGTTCTCAAATAGTCATTACTAGGGGATTACTTTCTTGGCAGTCTCGGAGATTCTGGTTAGTGTGGTCGAAGCCCAGCACACACCTGGCGGGTGCCCAGCGAAGCTTGTTCTGGACATATTAAAGGAGAGCAAGCCTGCTCGTTCTCCGCGGCGTGCCAAAGTCGCGGTTTACACTGATCGAAGCTGTGGCTTGCAGTAGTCGCAACTGAGCCAGACTGGTCTGTTAGTTGATGCAGTAGAGCTGGGAGGCCACGAGTATACAAATCCACACAGCGGGCGGCCATGACCTCGCCAGTCCACCACAAGATAGCCACGCCGCCCAGGAGCGCCGGAAATTGGCCCATGATTTGGCGGGCACCCTCCTCGGCGTGCTAGCCAGTGCTCTGGGTAAAGGGGCCTAGAGGTGAGGTCGGCGAAGCTGTACATATCAGTAAAGACGAGGTTTTTGACCAGGTCGAGGTCGTCGAGATCCTTGCAGTCAGGTTGAAGTTGCCGAATTTCTGATTTTCTCGGGCTTGATATCGCCCGGATTACGATTGCCAAGCAGCTAAAACACCGGATTCGTAAGTGCCTTCGTGCAGGCTGCGGCATCGCTCACAGTCTTCCCGGCGACCTCAACTGATCGTTTAGTAATTTATTTATCTGGTGCATGCTGCAGTCGCCTTTGAATTTTAGCGAGACGGATGTCCTTTAAAGGGTCGTGGCTCCCTTTTGGTTATTGATTCGCCGGGCAGGGGCAGATGGTTGCAGTTGGGCATCGCTGTTGTCAGGAAGGCACCACATATGACCTGATTCGCCTAACAATGAGATCGCTGACGGCCGGGTCGTGGCACGAATTACACGACGTACGTAAATAAATTGAATGCCTGAGATGGATCATTTCTCAGCGGAAGCTACCATTTGATACGGGTTATCCGATCGATTGGCCAGAATGCGGAAATAGTCGTTATGAAGGTGGGCTCCAGAGGCTGCAGAGAAACATGTCCCCATTATTTCGGTTTATCCCTTTCCCTGTCTCTCGGACCTATCAGTACCGAGATAAGTATCAATATTCTCCGACGGAGACAGTAATTTGATGCCGTCGAAAATTCCCCCCCCCCCACACATCTGCAGGACAGAGCCCCCTCTGATCATAGGCGGTTGTGAACATCCAATATTCTAACCATGTCAAGCGACTCAATACGATCGCACTGACCTACGACAGTTACATTAATACCAAGGTCGGCCTTTTGTCGGTTTACGTGATTAGTCGATTGACTGTGAGTTCATGCCATCAACAAAAGCAAATAAACATCGGGGACAACTTAGTGTAAACAGAGTCGGTGGGCATCCACCCCCGCTGATCACAGGTCATTGCTCTTCTGGTCGGCTGTCGCATGTCGCTTTTGTGATACAACAGCAATGGTGACGACGCTAAAGTGACCCTGCGGCGGCCCGAAGACTGATCGGCTCGACGCGGAGGATTCACCCCACGCGATAGAGTTCTGAGAGAGGGGTTTTCAACGCATGGCAATCGCGCGTCTCCTGCATTGGTACATACCTATCGACAACCCCGTTGCCAAAGCTTGCCAAAAGGGGCGTTCAGCTGATGCAGGACGAGCTTCGCAGGTCTGCCTATACTCCATCAAGGGGCCGATCATGGGTACTGCAGGTGCCGAGTCGGCCATCAACGGTCTCTTCATCACCGTAGTTGTGACCCCTTGTGCTTGTGTAGCAGAGGTATCTTGCGGGGAGATATGGGCAAACAGGGATTGTTGTGCAACAGAGCACCTAGCTAGGTAGGTAGTATTGGGCGCAACGGCTATCTACCTGGGCCTATTTCAATTCCGGTGCATGTATGCCCCATATCTGAGACCTGCAGAAGCTAACATGACTCAAGCACAACCGAATCATGAATTGAATGTGTCAATGTCCGGCCAGACACCCAGGCGCCTCTTAATTATGCAGACAAATAATTCTGAGGTGGGAGGGGGCGACGGTACAAAACCCTGAATCAACAGCTGAACTGCACAGTAGTGGAACCTTGAGATACGTATTGTGTTTCTCTGATAGGTCGGCGCTTGCCCTGGACCGCAACATATGTACTCATGCAGGTTCCCATGCATGAGTGAGGAGAGGTGATCCCATGGTTGTTGCGGACTTGTTGCAGGCCTGCGGACACCTTTACCCATTCCCGAGCTCGGCGAATTCACAACACAGAAGGACGGTTGAGAATCCATTTAATTTTTTGAGGGGCCGGCTCCGAGGTGATCCTGGCCTCACCGGCATGTGGACAGTGGCAGACAAATGACACGATACATCGGCAACCCGGCAGCGGCTGAGCCCAATGGAAGACATTCAAGACGATGGTCATTTAGAATTTGGAGTCCCAACTAGATTACCGAATGTAGAAACATCAGCTGTTCCAAGCTGTTCAATCCGGCCCGGCAGCCCACAAAATGCCTTCAGAGCTCCGTAATCGTGGGTGTGGCGCTTCGCTTGAATTCTTCTCCAAGCTCCTTGATCTGTTGCAGGGTGAGCAAGGAACCCATCGACAATAATTAGTGACGGGGAACTCACTTCCTTGAACTTTTCCACCGCTTCATCCAGAGCTGTGTTGATCCAGTTCTTCCTGGACTTCAACGCCTTTGCAGACACGCCGGTCTGTAGATCACCCAGGCTGTTTAGGATAAGTTGAAAGTTGAGATCCTGCTCATTGAACAGGTTTTTCAGCTCCAGCGTGGCTTTCAAGGCCACCTCCATCTTTGGCAGCAGGGCCTGGAAGTGAGTGACGAGAGCCCTCACGAGCTCGAGTACGCGGACCAAGTCGGCCTTATCTTCGTTGTCCTTGGCGATCAGTGCAACCATTTCGTCGTACTTGTTCTTTGCCTTGATGGCTCGGTCCGTCTCGATGCCGCTGCCGATCCAGAGCCAACCGCAGAACACGCCAAACACGCCGTAAGTGATGGCCTTGTTTTTCGCAGCGTCCTGTTACAGGGTTAGAATATTTGAAAAAGGCTATGGGAATCCTCCCACGTGCTGCGCACCAGTGACCTTACCCATTTGTCATATTCCTTATCCTTGATCGTGATCGAGTCGCTGATTTCCTTCATTAGGCGTGTGAGTTCCTTGTTCATGACCTCGCTGTACGGCTCTTGAGGCGTGCCATCTGGCTTCAGGACGGGTTTCCCGGTCACGGGGTCTATCGGACCCTTCAGGAACTGCTGCTCAATAGTGGCAACAGATTTTTTGTCGTTATCTGTCTCTGTGTAGAACTGGGACGCGTCCCAGTTAGCCGCGGTGGCAGGTAAAGACGTACGAATGCTTTACTTGGTATATCCCGGTTAAATCGAGTTCAGGTATTACTTACGGCTTGGAGCAAGTCTACCATGGCCTTGGCGTCCTCGCCCTTTTGCTTTGCTGACTTTTGGAGGGTCTTCACTGCCAACGTTGCACTCTCGACGGCTTCCTCAAACACGTCGTCTTTGGGCGCGGCCGCATACTTTTCGTCCAGGAGAACCTGAAACGCTTCGTACAGGCTGATATCGGCCTTTTCCTTGATCAAGCCAATGCAATGGTCTGCATAGGCAATGGCTCCGTTGGCGGATGTCGCTAGCAAAATGTCAAAGTCAGTGACGTGCCCGTTGCTGTCGGGTAAGAAGGCACTCACTAAGCCTTCCTAGTCCATTGGTATTGAACTCGTTACAATGCTTAGCGACGTTGACGGTTGTGTCGCGGAGGAGCTGTGAACGAGTCAATAATCGCAGGGCAGTGACCTTAGCCAACCTGATTTGGCTACTCACGTTGTAAGCCGATGTATCGATTTTGTCTACCACGGCGAAGGTCGACTTCTTGAATGTTTTCTCAAATTCTTCCTTCGAACTGCAAAGCTTGATGCCTTCCACGACATAAAGGTATAAGTCTGGTCATAGGTCAATTATCAGGCCCGTCAACAGTGGCTGACCTGATGTGATACGGGACACCTACCGTGGTACCCTTGAGTCTGAAGGATAAAGCGGTTCTTCTTTCCGTCAGGGGCTTTGGTAACGACCGAGCTGGGCGATGAGATGAGGGCACCCTCCAGAGCCGCCTTCAACTGCTTCTCCCCCTCCGTGTCGGGCGCCCAGTTGGCGTTGCTCAGGGCGACAGCGACGGCAGCCATGATGAATTGACGATGACCGAAAAATACGTCTCACACGAAGGGTGAAAGTCTGGTTGAAATGTGGTTTCTGGAGTCAGTGTGTTGCTCAACAGATCGGGGCCCAAGTAATTAGCCTCGATCAAGGGGGATTAAAGGAAGTTGTTCAAGCACACTCAGGGCATAATTTCCATGACGCGCCAAAGGCGGGTAACAAATCGGACTATACTACGTTTCGTACTGCTTCTTTGGTGGAGGTGCATAAATGCCGACAGCTGAACGATTCGGTTCCAGGAGCCGAGGGCGACGGGTTTGAGACAGTGGAGGTGTTACTACAGGAGGAGGCCCTTCTCGCCATCTCACCATCTTCTTTTACCCTTACAGCTACGCCCACTACTTCAATGGCATCCACCTCGGTTGGTCAGTCATCGCCCATCCATTACCCAGGTTGGAAAATGAGACCTTTCTTAAGAGCTGAAAATGTGCTGGCAGATGTAACGGGTAGTGATAGTCGAAAGTGTAGACCTGAAGACAAGCGGCCACAACGCTGCAAGCGGCAACAGCGCTTAGGCAAGTATTGACCAGATAGGGAGTCAGTTGATCAGAGGCCACTTTGAACTCCGCCGGTCTGCCAAACCTTCTCTAGTCTTACGCCTCCCTCCTTCGCTCTCAACTCCATTTTCTGTTCCCCCTGCAACCCAAAGTGGAGACCCGAGGGCAAGCGGTAACAGCGGCGAAAGCGGCAACAGCGCTTAGGCAAGTAATTCCTACCTGAGGGAGGTCGTCGATTGGAGGTCACTTTGAACTCCGCCCCTTTCCCCAACCCTGTCTCCGCCTCCAGTCTTTTCTTTCAATTCCATTTTCTGTTCCACTCCTGGGCCCTGCCCAATAGGTAGGTAGGTACCTAGATACATAGGTATGTACACTTCCATGCCGGCAGCCAAATTCGATGGCTGAGACAGAGTAACGCGCGAGCGGAGTTGGTACCGCCTATACTGTTTCCAAGGTGGGAAAGCCTTGGGAACCACTGCATAATACTACGACCTCTAGCAAAGTGGGCTTCTGCGAGGACCACACCGAGGCCCTTGGCACTTCTTGTCATCCGGTGATTCCCGCCCTCCCGCCAATTTGATGAGCAGTAGGTACCTTTCTCACCTTATATGGCCTTCATCAAGCTTCTTTCCCATCTTAGCTTCGTCCCAATGTGATTCATCGCAATCAGACATTGACATTCCCCCGACATCCTCATTCGTTGACACCCCGGTTAACAGCTTACGCTTCAATCATCATGGCCTCGTCAGCTTGGTCCGAATTTCACATTGCTATCGTCAGCAATGATAGCACTCTATTTCCTTCCTTTCCGAGCAAAGAGCTGTCCGAAGGCGATGCTGACAAAATATTACTCGCCCATATTCGTAAATATGCAGCAGTGTACGTCACAGCCATCATGTCTTTATCTCAATACCGGTCCCATCCATGCTCACAATTTCTTGGGTTGCTCTAGATCCCCAAAGCTGAGGTTCACGGCGGACGGCAAGACCGTCCTGAGTGATGGAACCACCTTGTCATATTACTTGTCGCTGAAAGATGGCGTACGTGAAACCCCTTAAGTTGTCCTTGGAAGATTCCAAGTGCGCACTTCTGACACACGAAAGCAGGACTTGGATGGCTTGCACAAGAACAATGCACCAAGCGCCGAGGCGGGCAACCCAGCTCCCGAAACGGATGCGCAGAAGAAGCCCGCCGTAGCCACGGTCCAGGTGGACTTGATGCTAAACAGCGCCGGCGGCAATGGCGGCGACGGCAAAAAGGCAAATGCATCATCGGTCGACCTCGCCAAGATCCAGGAAAGTACCTCCAAGATAATTGAGGAGATGAAGTCGGACGGTGCAGTGAAATTGGGCGACCTTGAAAAGCTTTCAAAGAGCCTTGGGGCCCTCAGGACCGACTCAATGAACTTTGCTACCGTGGCCGGGTGAGTCGTTTATCTACCTCCGCCGTAACATGTATGTCCGTTGATTGGTAACGGAGAAACGACTAACCCGTCACAGAACGGTCAATTACCCTGAGCCACTCGATCTGAGCGAGTGGCAGTGGGATGAAGTTCTCAGAAACAATCGCGCTCTGCATGGTTGGTTCTACAAGGGTAACATGCTGGTCAAGGCTAGGAAAAGAGGTACGAGATCCGCTGCGAGGCGACGACCCCAGCGCAGCGCACCGCGACAAGACACGATCGTGAAGATGTACTTATCTGACTCTCCTTCAACATTAGCATTTCAACTCACACCGAACCCGGATGCTCAACGCAGTCATCCTCAAAATCCTGTGGGAACCAAGACGACTGGGACGAAAGAGACGCCTGCTCTGGTGGTACGTTTTCAGCTTTTTGCACGCCATAACGTTGAGTAACGCCAATATACCGTACGATAGCTGACTCGTTCCCAGAACGTCCCGGCACCTCCCGTCCCGCCATTCTATGTATGGGATGATGCCACTGTCGAGGTCACCGAGATGAAAAGTGCTCTAGAGAAAACCATGGCAAATCAGGGCTTTAGCTCCACGGCGGTCAGGGCTGCCGGGTAAGTGGCAATGATTGAGTGCCAGAAGGTTGAACCGGGTTCTGACAAGTACGTGGTACAAGGGGCGGCGGAGCAATGGAAATTCAGGCCACCGCCTCGCTTGCTGTCGAAAAGGAGCACTCGACTGCCAGCAAGACACTGACAGCCCAAGAGGTCAACTCTGTTCATGTGTCATACAAGGTAAGCAGCTGCTACATTTAGCCTGTTGGAAGCTTTTTCTGACCGACATTCTCGCCTTCAAGTTCCCTAGGGCCGCAGTCGAAGTGGACGGCTACTGCCTGCAACTGACCGAAGAGGCCAAGCGAGAAGCATTGGCGTGTCGGGTCCGGGAAGACGCCGACCGGTGGGAGCGGGAATACGGTAATTCGGCCATGTTCCACCTATGCTTACAACTTGTTACGTGCCATGAGGCACGCCCAGTCTGCTGATATCAATACTCACTCAGGCACCGTTTTTGCTACCCAGTTTACCCTCGGTGGTGAACTTATTAGTTCGCGTCTTTTCCATGGCAAAGACGACGCAGAGCTATCGGCTTTCAAAGACAGCGTAAAGACTGCTGCGGGTTTCAGCATCTCTACCCCCTATGGCTCTGGCGGCGCCAGCTACGGCACTGTTGAGTCGAACGAGTCGACCAAAGGGGAGAAGAAAGCTCAGCAAAGCTTGCGACTGGCCTGGCAAGCTCGTGGAGGGGATACCCTACTCTGTTCTAGGTACGCTATGGCTCTGGTCCATGTCGTTATTGGTCCAATGATTCGTGTATATTTACTGATCTACCTCGACAGCCCTACCTTGTGGGCGAATACCGTCAAGAACTACCGTCTTTGGCGCATCATGGATGTAAGGCTCCATGATTTGGTTTTCCGCGTCTCCTTGTGTTTAAGAGTTACTCTAACCTCGGCTACAGCAAGAAGGGATGGTCAGGATGAGGGACCTGGTCAAGACTGTTAACCTCAAGGCGAGCCTATTCCTGGAGAACCCAGAGTCAGCCTCAAAGCACGAGTCTGAACATCATGGGGGCGAAAACGATGAGCAAGTGTGGAACATCCTGAGCAAGGCGCTAAAGGCTGACCAGCCCCACCCTATCGCGAGCAAGATCAAGGAGTTCTATGAAAGCAAGAGCTTTAGCCTGGAAGAGTTCAATGCGTCCCTCGGGCAGGACGCAGCAGAATTAAAGCTGACTGAAAAGTCTAGCTGGCCAGCTTTGGACCTAGAACAAAAGGTTTATGTGGGCCTGTTGGGCTACCACAAAAAGTTGATCTCGATAGATTAGAGCGGATTCGGTACCGAGGCTGGGACGTCTCTGGTCATAATGGTGGAGGCGAGGCCGGGCATTGTTGGCATGACTCGTTGTGTCGCTGGGCATTGGTCGCGGGGGATCCCGGTCACTTGTTGTGATGTTCTCGCACTTTGAGAGGAGACCTGTCAACGATTTTATATTGATCGACTTTGCACGCATATATAATATGTGCAAAGTCCACCTCATAACGGTACACTTAGGTTTTAAAAAAATGGAGTCAACCTTAAATACCTCTGGATGAATGTACCTGTTTTTATTGAGCCTGAATGCTTGTTTGTTTTCTCCGCCCGATGATTCTGAATTTAGTTATCATTAAGGCAATAATTAGGTAACAATTCCAGCAGCACAGGAAGTAAGATGAACGGTGCAATTCCTGCAAACTTCAGATGCTAAACATTTATCTCCAGGAGTTTGGACTACTTGTGGGCGGTGTGGAGATAATTTAACACAATCCATATGGGATTCATCAAATCAGGATTGGTGAATCTCCTTTGTCATAGCAATTGAAAATTGAACCGCGTATAAACGGTTGATCGGGTGCCAAGCCCGGCACATCATGACGTCGCTCTGACACGCACTTACACGAACGCTTGGGCAGTTTGCCCAGGTGACCTCCAAGAGGGGCAAATTATTGTTTACCGCTGGAAATGAGATGATATATTATGCTCAGGTTCCCGGGTGGTTCAAACTCTGGACTCTTCATTCTCTCACATCACCGGTGTTCGGCTTGGATTGGCCTTGTACATACATACATACATCGACTTGTTGCTGTAGATATACAGCAGTACGTACATCAACGCCCACCATGATTTCCCCCGAGCAAGTCGCCGAGATGCTCTACCCGGCCTCCCACACCAAGGGCCCAGGCCCCATCCCCACGGTCGTCCGTACGTCTCCTTCACCAACTCCCCCCCTAACATTTTCTTACCCCCACCTTATCGACCAAGTAACTAACACACACAATTCCCCAGCCACCCCAACCCACTACGACCTCTCCACAACCACCGGCCACCGCACCCTCTGGGTCCTCTTCGCAGCCATGACCCTCCTCACAGCCCTCTTCGCCCTCCTCTCCTGGAACGTCCCCACCTCCCGCCGTCTCTTCCACATCACCACCACCCTCCTCACCCTCATCTCCGCGCTCGCCTACTTCGCAGCAGCCACCGGCGCCGGCTCAACCCTCACCTGCCTGCCCGTGCGTGACCACCATAACAAGCACGGTATCCCGGATACGTACCATCGCGAGTGTCGCCAGGTGTTCTGGGCGCATTATGTCGATTGGGCGCTGACAACGCCGGTGCTGTTGGTGAATCTTGCGTTAGTGGCCGGGGTGGATGGGGCGCATACGTTGTTGGCGGTTGTGGCCGGTGAGGTGTCGGTTTTGGCGGGGTTGTTTGCGACGCTGCATGGGACGGCGCATTATCATCATCATGGTGGTGAGGATGGTAGTGGTGCGTCTGCTGGGGCGAGTGCGGTGGCGGGGGCGGTTTGGGGATGGTTTGTGATTGCGGCGTTGGGGTATTTGTTTGCTGTGTGGCATGTCGGTTTGCACGGGACGAAGAGTGTGCAGGCGAAGGGACAGCGGGTCGCGAGGTTGTGGGCGTCGTTGGCGATTTATACGTTGGCTTTGTTGGCTGCGTATCCGATGTCAGTGATCTGATGCCTTTTTTTACTGTTATTTTCTTTCAACGTCCCGCCTTTGCTAACGAAGATCCAGTGTCTGGGCCATCGCACCGCTCGCTCGGAAGACGTCAGTCGATGTCGAAATCATCATCTACGCCGTCTTGGACATCCTTGTGAAGCCCGTCTTTGGACTCTGGTTGCTGGGTAGCATCCGTTCCATTGCAGAGGCCAATATTGATGTAGGAGGATATTGGTCACAGGGTCCGTCTGCCGAAGGTCGGATTCGTATTGGAGAAGAGGACTGAGTTGTTGCAACTTATTGTGACCATAGGTTGGAACCTCGGGGAAACAAATCGAGCCAGAGATGGTTTGCCAAGGAAAGGCCAAGGGGCAAAGGGAACGAAAAGTCGAAGGTGGGCCGATAAAGGGAGTCTTTACGGTAGGAAATCCGAACTTGAATCTGTGCGGAGCTACCAGCGCGCTTCGGTTAAAATACCGTCATCTGCATTATTTGTCGTCAGTAATTTCCATCGAATACGCCGAAAATGTTAACGAAATATCTACATGGTTGATTATCTCGCACCTAACTTGATGAGAATAAGTGATTTGACATGAGAATTTCGGTCTACACTCCAGGGCCCAGGGGGCTATGATTGCTCGACCACGTTGTTTCTGATGCAATTGTTAAGGATCGGCATCCCCATCTACATGGATTATACAGATACATTTGACATATCCGGCCGTTTTGTTGGAGACATCGTCTTTTGCCTAGAATTGAAATTAACGATGCGCCTGCTGAAGGGTTATTTAATTAGCCGCCGCCATCGCCGAAACTGGTCGGGCTCAACGCGATGCAAACGACAGACTTTCTCTTCATCTCGTAATCATGCCCAACCGCAAGACCCTCTGGCCATTGTCGGCAACGAAAAGGTCGCAAAACCCAGAAAGAGTGAAAGACAGAAACGCAGGACGCAGCACGGGCAGGTTTAACGGGCTGGCCGTTGTCTAATTTCGTTTCCAAAATCCTTCCAATCGCGATGTGTCATAACTTCGTTCTTGGCCCCCAGCTTAATGCGCTAAGACAACCAACAACACGTCTCGGCCCGGTTAAACCGGCACGCCGCCGCGACGCGAGCAGTTTGCTCGGTTCAGGGGCAAATCAACGCATCGTGGGATATATTGTGAGCTTCTTTTTGATTTCCCACCCAGAGAATTTGCCTTGGTTCTCCCTCCTTTCGACACATGTAATTCTTACAATCTCAAGTCTCTCAACTAATTATCACACCTATTTTAATTCAATAATTAATTCCACATCCCTCCTCAACCATGACGCGCCTAGCACCGCTGCTGCTCGCCAGCTTGTCCTCTTTCCTCTCCAGCGCCATCGCCCAAACCAACGACACCACCCGCGCCTACCAAGCCCTCGTCGAACTCGACCAAGTCTTCCCCCAAAACGCAACCTACACCCCCGCCCCGGTCTTCCCCATCGTCTTCGCCCTCCAAGACCTCCCCCGTGCTTGGGCATCCACCTACGTCCGAGTCACCTGGATCCTTTCTTCTGTCGAGGGGCTCTACCCCGGTAAATACGAAAACGGCACCATCACCATCGACCACGCCGACTACCCGGACCCGTACTACATCACGGCTTGGAGTCGCCGCCTCAATAGCACCAATGCCGCGGGCCACTACTACCTGTATTGGTTCCTCGAGTACGAAGAGTGTCTCGGCGTCGACGTTCCTTCGACTGGTATTGACTTCAAGTCGCGCAACGGCGTGCTACAATTCACCCTCGCGTCGGAGTCGAACTCGGACAACAAAGCCCAGAAGCCCGACCTGCTAAACGTCGTGGACAAATGTCCCGTCGTCAACGGCGCGTTCAAAATCAGGGGTACCTTTGACAGGGAGGGCGGTGCCAAACCAGACCTGATTAATCAGACCCGGTCCGAATGTGCTGTGCTTGACCGTGCGGAGCCCACGGGCAATCCGTGTGCGGCGAAGCTGGATGAGAAGACGGCCAAGAACATTACGGCCGAGTTGAAGGCTTTGGCTTGTGCTGCGGACGGGTGTGATACAGCGGGTGGTGATCAGCAGAACGGAAACGGGAACGGAGGTGGTAAGGGGGACGACGGCTCGGGGGCTGGGATTTTGAGGTGGAGTTCGAGGGTTTTGATGGGGTGCGTGGTGGCGAGTGTGATGCAGTGGTACTTGTAGGCAGGTTAATTGTCATGCTGTTTGGGCTAGTCTACACGCTGATGACTCAAGTAGTAATAATCCAGCGAGTGTCTTAAAAGTCAGTCCTCATTGCCTCAACCATATGATCTCAACGATATGATATGATCGTAAACCGGCAACCCACGATTCTCCGCAGATAGAGGGGAGAAATTTGCCCCGGTAACTAGTTGCAGACCAAGGCTCTTGTGCTTTCCAAGACCTTGGCAAAGGATTTATTTTCATCCTGAGCTCTGGAGAGTTATCTTAAAGCAATCTAAATAGGCAATCAGGGATTATGTGGTACGTTCATCAATTAACTAGTAACTAAACTCCACCCATTTTCTTCGCTTTTCCACTTTGTGTTTATTTTTCTCTCTTGGCATGGCTCTTCCATGGGTCTGGTACTCGTAAATTGTCAAGTTAGTCGTTCAGTCAATACTCCAATTGTACTTAGTTCCCAGAGAAATTACTCGAGCAATCACTTGGAAGTCAACTGGGTTCAAAATCCACACACGGTAATTGGGGGATCAACCCTGGCCTAAATGGTGAAGATTCTCCCCATCGGAGCTCTGGTAATGATAACTGGTGACTCCTTTTGCACATGAAACCTTTAATATGGATCGGATAGTATGAGACGACTTGTATCACTCTGTAAAACGCGAGAATTACCCCTTCAAATTCAATTATGCCATGGCAAAAGCACTTCGTTAACATACAAAGGTTAGGTAATTTTCTGTTATGTCCTCAGAAGGGGCAAATACACGACAAGGGGGAGCAATCCCATTCAGGAGGGCTTTGTTATCAATGCTGATCATCGCGACAGATGCTTTCATCATTCACTCTACCAACTAACCCGTCACTTGCGGCATCCAGGCATCGACGCTTGTCAAGCCACCCTGTGGGAAACCACCCATCTCAATATCTCCGCGGCCACAAAACGCATCTCGGCATACCTAACAATTCACCGAATGACTCTTTGCGCAGAACGCACCAGCGATGTGAAGCACCGAGCGTTCGGAACGAACAAGTTCGGAGGATAAGCCGACGCCAGGCGGCGGCACAGCAGTCTGTTGGAATCGCGTGGCCTCGTAAAGGCTGGACTTTTTCGGCCGCTCTCCGTAGTGGTGGCGTGGTGCGGTGGCTTAGGTTAGGTCGTTGGTGATGATTTTAAGAATCTCAGCCAATGTAATCAATTGATGCGCCATACCCACCCGATCATGTGGCCGCGTCCTACCCCTGATTCGCATGTCGCCGAATCACCTGCAGTCCCGGTTCAATGGTTGATGCGCATTTCCCAACCGCCCAAATCCAGCCTCGCGCAGCTGAGTCTAGCCCGACGTCTCGGGAGAGGGCGCTTAATTAACTGGCCGATGGGTCACAGAGTCCTGGTCGGTGTTGGGACTTTGTGCGTGCTGTGTGCCTTGCCGGAGTGAAAGGAGCCCACTAAGGCTGTAACCTTGTACCAACAACCATTATTTTAGGCGGCTAACGAACGCCCTGGGTGCATGGTCTCGGTGGTCTCGATGGTCGCCGCGATAGGGGCGGAATAACTCTTTCGAGGGCAGGCAAGGTTGGTGGTGTGGTTGAAAGCCAGAATGAGAAGCGGTGCTTAAAAGCCCACTGGACCCGGGCAGTTTTGCGTCCGAATCTCTATCCATCAGCCATCAGCCATCAGACGACAGCGATTCCCTGAGCTTAGACCTGCTGCCCAGTGCTACTCCAATATCTAATTAAGAGACAATCTCTTTATCAACAACAATGCTGCTTCTCCGTTGGATTCAGACCCTCCTGCTTCTTACAGCTTCCGTTTCCGCGGCCCCTAGCGGCCGCTCCGGTTACAATGAAGCGGACCCTTCAGTCGCGTCCAGCGACTCCGTGTCTGACAATGGCACAGCCAAAGGAGTTGAGGCTTAAAGATGAGAGATGAGAGTGATATGTTGTGGAGCTGCGTTGCCGGGTGAGTCAACATTGTCTTTGTTTATTTGTTTAGGTAAATAGCGGTACAATCAGGAGCTTACAGCAGCCGGTCTTGTTAGGATCCTACTTTGTTTCGCGACACGACATATCGCAACGGTGACGACTTCGAGTCCAACTACTGGCAGTTCTCGGGCTTTCTGTGTAGTATGGTAGAAGGGCTTTTGAGCGAGTTCGAGGTGCATTGGTAGTAAGATTGGATAGGCCTTCGCGGGCAATGGGATAGATTAAAGATCCAATAGAATAAGAGTGCAAACCAGACATTGCAATGATCCGACCTGCTTGGCACCTCCAATAGCTATCCCAGCTGTCTTATGACGACGTCGTGGTTACCGTATGGCTAAATTAGGGTGAGCAAAACGCGCTGTAAGATGTGTCTATTAATATCCCAATTCAGTTTTGAGGAATGGAAAAACCACGTTCATGCACTTTGTCGTCATTTTCTACCTTTCGAAAGGATAAAACACAACAAACAAACTCTTTGTGCATGCGAACTAAGACAAGATATTCCCATTTAGGAAATGAATAAAACTTCACCTCGTTTCCAAGGATATATATTCATCGTGAAGACCACCACGACCTGCGCCAGGAAAATGACCTTTAGGCGATCTCCCACTCGGCAACATCCAGCTCACGCCCACCCCTTAAGGTTCCAGAAGATAAGGCAATAACCGACCAAGTTAGCCAAAAACTACCACCAACAACCAAAACCAGCTCTTAAGACCCCATCAGACATCACAGCAACCCACCGTGCGCCCGCACCTCCCAAGCATCCTAACACTCACCCTCACCTTCGCCACAACAGCCAAAGCCGAATACACGCTAGCCTGCGGCTACTGGTACCAACGACTCAAATGTCCCATCGACGGCGCGGTATGCCAGGGTCAGACCTTGGTCACCACCATCCCAGTCAGTCGCGAGAAATGCCAATGTGTGGCGGCCACGAAGGCGGGGGAGGATCAGGGGACTGTTACGATAACTGTTGGCGGGTGGTAATTAAGTTGGGATAGGAGGCTGGGGTAGTTGGATTTTCGGTTGTTTTTGCTAAGCTGTTTGTTGGGACTGTGATGAGAGAGGCGAGGATGGAGCTTTAGGGCCTGGCCGAGGTTTACCGTCGAGGCGCGTGGCTCAGGTACCTCTATGATGCTATGGAGAATTACTGGATGGAATCCTGGGCTTGACGGCCCTTTGGCCGTTTGCGTTGTCGTGACCTTTGGCCCGAGCTGTGGGTGGTTCGTTTAGTGCTGTTCTAGAATTTTAATGTACGAGTATCGCGTTGCTGAAGGCGGGTGTTAAGGTACCTTAGTCGCAGCTCTCTATAAGCCGCTAACCGTCGGTACCTATCTATGGGCTTACCAATTACACATGTGTTTTATTCCCCGTGCCAATCTCTTGGCCACAGCCTGATCTATCGGCCAAAAGCTTATCTGTTTGGATCGGAGGGATCAAAAAGGACTGGGGGTCTCAGGGTCCATTTCACGGAAACGGTGGACCCGGCTGTGCCGTGCCAGCCTTTCGAGTTAATCGTAACGAACCAATCTCAGACCCTACTCTGAAAGGCCTCAAGCGTCCCACCCATATTCCGCCCTCAGAATAGAAACGATGCCCTAAGGAGTAGGTGGCCGTGGAGGTCAGTGGCGAAGCCGAGGGTGGGAGGCCGGGTCGAACGGCTTCTAGTGCAGATCAGTGGTAGTAGCAAATCCTTCAATGAGAACTAGAGGGATCGAAGTGGAGAAGGGTTCCATATGAACAACGCTTGGACATGGGTTAGTCGATCCTCCACGTGTAAGTTCCGTTCCAAAGCGGCACTTGAGTGCTATTCCGGGCTTATAACTGTTAGCGTGTGAATTGAGTCACCTTTTTGCAGCGACTGCCGGGATTCTCCACCCAGGTCACTTTTCTCACAGTTTCTGTGGAAAAATACTTCAGCAGAACATCACCCGCATTTGCACTGCAGCGTCGCTTCACTGTAATGGGTGCATTGGTCAACAACTATTTCGCCCTGTGCCCCGCGGTCCCACCAGCTGCAGTTGCAACGGCAAGCCCGAATGCGAAACGTCATGGGTCGTTTCATAAACACCCCGAAAAGTCGCAGCTGGCACGCGAGCGGCGGAACGCGCTAGCAGCCAATCGCCAAGATACCTCGGTGGGTATTGGGTAAGGCATGTTTGTTGTAAATCCTTTGGCTTCACCGGATCTGTGATCCCTCAGACCAACCTCCGTCCAATCGAACCCTTGTAGAGTAGGGTCGACGATCGATTTGTCACAATGAAGCATAGTCTAGTTGATTTTCTTCCATAATTAGCCAATGTGATTGATAATCGCTTATAACAAAGGATTGAAAACGGGCGGAGGGAGGATTGGGTACCTACCGATACTCGTAGCTATACTTCAGAGATATGGGGTTTGTCTGTACTACAACTCCCTGGCAGCTGCTCTGACGGTGGATTAATTAGTGCAGTATTCAGTCTAATTTTAACTCTTGAATGGCGGTTGTGATATTTGGTTTGTGTGAGGAGTTGTCGTCTCTGGTGTTTATAAAAGGCCAGGAGATTCCGAGTTTTCACTCCCCTTTCTTCATTCCATCTCACAACTTCCTTTCTAACTACCTATACGATTCAATCTCAGCCCTCCTTGAAAACATTCAACTTCCCAATACCGTAAAAATGGTTTGCTCTACTGGATGCCTTCAGTGTAAGCGCGGATACGGTACGCTCACCATGCTGGTCATTGTTGCGCATAATTAGTTTATTTAACTTCCGTCTATAGGACAGTGCGTTTGCAGGGGCGGCTGCCAATGCAATAGTGCCAAGCGTCCCGTGGCGAGCTTTGACGACAACTCCCTCGATCTAGATACTAAGGTCGCTGATGAGGTAAGTTTCTTACTTGGCCCTGGGATCCCCCAGGCTGTCTGCTGCATAGATACTAACCATGGAGTCTTAGCACGACCAGGTTGATCTCGATGCCAAGGAGCTTCCTGCCTGCTGCCGTAAAGACAATGTCGAAGCTTCGGATGGCTCCGATAG